TACCTCATTAGCCATAGACATCTTTCACAATATTGGCTTAGACACTTTTCCTAAGAGAGCTTCCTTGCACGGTCTTACATGTATGTTCCTCAACTCTCACCGCAACCACCACTTTCCTAGATTATTATTGTATGGGGACTAACTTCGACGGCTTTCTCATTTTGGTATACGCAAATTCACTATTGTTCTTCGTCTATCTTCACTGTATTGGTTAGTGTAGCTCTTCTAAATATAAGATTCTATACAGAAGTGTACTCATAAGCTAATCTATACTTTATTTTTAACAATTCATATTTTTTTACATTCTTTTCAATATGTATATGAATTTCCGTCTTCACAATTTTTTTCCGGAGAGCTATCACTCTTTCTATCTTTTTGCAAGCACTCCTTTCCTTTATTTCATTCTCTATTCCATTAGCACATCTACCATTCACAAACTTAGCTGGACTCTTTCGGTTATACTCTCACCAAAACAATAAAAACTACGCTTAGTCTCAAATGACAAACAATCTAACAAACAGAAGCATAATATGTTAGGTGGTGGTGCAGACATGCAAGTAATAAAGTTGTTGATCTCTATGGGATATAGCATCTCGGAAGGAGGAAAGTTAGATCCATTAGGTGTGGATGTAATGTCGAGTGAATCATACACACAAAAGAAACGTTCGCAACAATCAATGATGAGAGTAAAAAAAAAAATCATAATATATATATTAACATTTAGCATAAAAGCATGGTTATGACTTATGAGCGACAAAAGCAAAGATAACTATATTAAATTGTGAGTATGAGAGGAAAAAAAAATAGAAGTCCAAATATTGCTACAAGTGGCAAAAGCGATGAAAAAAATATAATATGTGCCATTAAGAGTATTAGACTGTGGGGTTCCAACTCAAAACCAATTGGCTATGAGTGAAGAGCCCCATATCTTATATATACCACTTAAGATCCTACTCAACTTCCAGTGTGGGATATTGTTATCCCTTATACGCCCGCTCGAGATGATGGCTCTTTTACCCATTGATCTCGGTATGTTCGGGCATGGATCGGTGGACCAATTATTTGGTTGGGCCGATGTGGATTGGGTTGAGCATTTGCGGATCGGGCTCTGATACCATATTAGACTTTGGGCTTCAAACTCAAAACCAATTGAGTATGAATGGAGAGGTCCATATCTTATATATAGCATTTAAGATTTTATTCAACTTTCAATGTGGGCTATTGTTATCCCTAATAAAGAGTAGTAACTAACCCTAACTGTTACCGAGGATTCAAATATTGTTATCCCAATTAATGTTAATTAATGATGACTAATTACGTACGATTGGTCGTTTAGAAAATATGACAATATAATCAAAATTTTGAGATTAATATGAATTATTTTATGTATTATAATAACAAAATTTATATACATCTTGCTTCAATATATTGTCATATTTTTTTCTATCTTTAAATACGTTTAAAATAAAAGTCATAAATTTTTAAAATATCATTCAATGAGATATCTATTGTGATTAAATGGCTATTGTTATTGAAGATAAAGTACTAATAAATGTAGTAAGACTAAAAATAAATTCTGTATTTTCGTTTAAAATTGTATAAACTTAAAAAAAGATAGTTTACATTTTGATAATTTTTATATTATGTATTTTGATGACAAAAATATTTAGAAAATTTTCCATATTTTCAAATATTTCTCTTATTTCTATATGTTGCTTTTTCCATTTATACAAAAATCTAAAAAAAAATAGAAAATAATAATAATTTCAAAAACGTTAACTAATGACATGTCTAACCGTGATTGATGGTTTAAAATCCTAGGTGGACGGCCTCAGGATCTTATAGCCTCGACTTTTATATAGTATAGATTCATTACCATATTCCTTAAAACACAAAACTCCTTAATTAGGTAAAATATTACCCAAAAATAGGTAAGATTACCAATTTATGTAGCACCATTTCTGAACTCCCGTATGTATCTTCTTCAGATCATACCTAAAATTCAGCATTGACAAAAACATTATTGTGCGGCCACATTTGAAACTTGTTTTTTTTAAAATCATACTACTATATGATATCATCATCTATTAATCATGTTTTTAACCACTACAACCGAATATTAAACGATCAATATTGCATTCTAGCACCAATATAATCAATGACTCACGAGAAATGGGTAAAAAGGAAGAAACACACTTAAGCATAATCATATAAGTCTCCAACTGTAACAGTAGTTATAATCACATGATTCACATTTTAATCAATTGTGGGATCGATTTATGCTTAATTAATACTGTAACCACCAGCCAAATTAATGACTAAAACGATCATTATCTTCTAGTTCTAGAGTGATCAATACTATCAATAAATGAGTTTTAGTGGCTGTGGAGTGGCTATAGCTTATTGATAGTGGTCATTGCCAGGAGAAAGTTGTGAATCTTTAGTGGATTTGGCGATTTGCTACCAAAACCAAAAACATCATTTCCAAATATTTTACATTTAATAAGGATCCAATATTAATTAAAGAAACAATTAATGTTTTAATTTATGAGTCAACTCTTATCATGTCTGGACTAATGGCTATGGTTGAGGAAAGTGGATTACCTTTTCCCATAGTGCTGCTACCACCATTGACCGACTCTCATGTATAAGTAATGAAATTGAATCATATCGTGGATTATTAAACTTAGAAGGAAGATGTTTTATTTTATAGATCATATATAGTTTAAATTATTTTCTCAAATAAAATTGTTATTTGTTATCAACAATATGCATTATATGGATTTTTGAATTTCGGCGGTGACAGAACAACGACATCAACATAAATCACCAAACTACATGTATAACTTTATTCTATTTTGACCACATTTAAATTTTCAATAATATAGTTAAGATTATTTTCTGTGAAATCAAAAAATAAATTAAGAACATTGAACAAATGTCAAAACTTTCTCCGAACTGAATTTATTGTTCCAGTTGAATCGAAACTTAGAAGATATAAGAAATCTTCTAATTAATCTAGTTTTTTCCATAGCAATTTTCTTAGCTATCGTGAGAAGGAGTTGACATAGCCATGGAAATAGAAACATGTAAATAGACAATGTTAACAAACTCAAGTGAAGCCACCCAATTGGACCTACAGAGCATTTAGGATCACCTGAGTTATATATATAAAAAAAAAATATAGAATATTTTATATCTTTTGTTTGTAATAGACTATTTAAGCTAAATTTCACAAGGTTAACAAATGACATAAATAGGTGGGAACAATCAATCACGAGTGGTTTGCAAGAACTACATTGGGAATCGTAAAGCTAGTTATCATTTTGTGGGTGTTGTTAAAATCAAGCATCTTGTTTTATGTCCTTTTTCCACCACCAAATAACATCAAACGTGAATTTTCCCTAACGATAGGACCACCTTTGAGAGGTTACTCGGCCAAGGGAAGTCAATTTATGTGTATTAGTGTATAGTGTTGCATGCTTCAACAACAAGTCTTGATGAGGTCTACATCAAGAATCTATACCATTTTTTCCAAACGGAGCATAATTACCACATGAAGCTCGTGCTTGTTTTTCTTTTTGGTAAATTAGATTTACCTAAGATATTTTGTTCTGCTTTCATTAACATGCCGTTTTTGCTGCCCGATTTCTAATCAGATGCTCTTGAAAATCTTTTTCTTATTCTTGTTTGAAAATGATGTCAGAGAGAGAGGAAGAGGTCAGATTTCACATGATGATATAAATTTGACTGAAAAGACTACTAAACTTCTTCCACTAAGCGGTCTCGTGTAATACACTGATAAATACAGAAATAGTAGAAATCAAATGGATCATGAAAAACACATGTTATTACCCAAATGAAGCACCAAAGTCTTTGGTTGAAAGAGTCAGATCGAACATCAATACCTTACGAGAATACTAAACATAACTTCTGCAAGAAAGTTAATAACATAAAATCTCCCAATAAGTAATTTTTTTTTGTTGTTGGAAGTAATAAATTTTCATGCAATAACATACATTTTTTTGGTAGCAAGAAAATGAAGATGTGTATTTATTGGTATATGGATTTTCAAATTCTAAACGTAGATTTAATTAAAAAAAAAACAATTGAACTTCAAAATAAGGTTTACCTCGGTATTTCAACTTTTGTAATTTTTAACTTGGAAAGACTTCCAAATACATGTTCAAATCTAATAGTATATCAAATCTTTATTAAAATCTAATGATGTATCATTAAACGAATAATACCAACTTTTGACTAACGTTTAGAAATTTATTAAACAAATAACACAGGATATAAAACAAAAAGAATAAACCAAATATTATCTAATATCCAAAAAAAAAGAATTATTACTATATAACCTATCAAAGGGATCTGCCGACTACCAAAATGGCAAAAGTCTACCAAAACTTATAATTTACAATAACCTATCAAAGGGTTTAAAGCTACGGTTTGCGAAAAGAAAGTTCAGCCACAAGTTGTTGCATGCCAATCGTAACAAAGGAAAATCAAATATGAAGTTGGACAATAACGGATCTCATGGTCGGTTAGCGAGTAAGGCTACTCTTCGGAAAGCATCGTCAATCTCCCTTCTGCTGTATTTTCTTAGTGTATGGCACATACATCTGCGTATGTAATAATTATGTTCTAGTAATTCCGTAAGTATCTTTGTAATAACTTTTTTAAATCAATGAAAGTTTGTTTTTGTCGAAAAAAAAAAAAAAGGGATTAGCCGACTACCAAAAAGGCTAAAGTTTCAAAATAAGTTATAATTTGTCTAGCAGAAGTTATTAGAAAAGCACCAGTGGTTTAGTGGTAGAATAGTACCCTGCCACGGTACAGACCCGGGTTCAATTCCCGGCTGGTGCAATAAAATTTTACTTACCAAAGTTATAGAACTAATAAATATCTTTTGAGATTTTAGGCCCTTTCTTCTATTTTGCAGACGAGCCCAACAAAATAGGCCCAATATATAGATATTGATAGATCTTAAGCTCAAGTCAAAAACAAAAAGGCATTACAGTATTTTTTTTTTTTTTTTTTTTTTTTTTTTTTTTTTTTTTTTTTTTTTGTTGTTTGAAGAAGAATTACAACACTCTCGACAACTCTTTGAGACGGAATCGATGGCGAATTCTCAGACGGTGATGGCTATGATCAGGTTGGCTAGACCGCCTTTTCGCAACAACCACGACAAGGTTGCTTTCGCTATACACTCTTCTTTCATCGCCTCCGGTTACATCCTCACTGCCACCGGACGACCTGCCTTCGCCGACGACGCTCTCTCTTCATCTTCTCAGAGTTCGTATTGTTTTCGTTTAGTTTAGTTTTTATTTCGATTTTTTCTAGGGTTTAGGATTCTGATTTTGTTCGATTCTGGAAATTTTTAGATGATGTTGGGATCGAAGGATGGAACGAATTCGACGGAGAGTATGCGTTTGTCTATGCGAATCCGAAGAAAGGATCAAAGAAAATTCTGGTTAAGTGTTTGGCGATGGATGATAAACTTCTTGTTGATGCCATTGCTGATGGTGGAGCAGAACCTGCTCATCTTGAGATTAAGTATGTCATGGTTTCTCTTTTTTTTTTGCTCGATTGTGATTTTTTTTGGTGCAGAATCTTAAGAGGTAGTAAGAATTTTCTGGTTTTTTTTTGTGCAGAGTTGATAAGTATGCTGAGGAGAGCATTGAGGGGGATTACTCTGCGCAGTTCAAGAATTTGGATAAGTTAGTGACTGATTTGCAGAGTCAGATTCTCGATAAGCTTGATGGAAAACCAAAACCTGTTGCTTCGAGAGCCCAGTCTAGGTAATTTCCCTTATTAAGCACCAAGAATTTTAATGCCTCTTAGTGTTTGATCATTGGGACTAGCAACGATTGTAGCTTGTATTGTCACTGGACTGTCTTGGGAAGTAAACATAGATTTGTTCATTCGTATAGTCGTTTTGTCAAGGTTTAAACACACAGAAATAATGTGCAGCAGAGTCTCTACCAATTTTGGGACTCTATTTTAGTGAACTAGGTTTTGATTTGGTACATGTAGTTCTCATTGTGGAACTTCGTTTTGTGGAGGCATTTCTTAATTGGACCAGAATGATATATGTTTCCTAATTCTTCAAGTGTATTCTATGATCTCCATTGTTTATCCTTGGTTGCTTACAGCTCTGAGAGAAATGAAGAGCCTAGATATTACGATGATACGCCTAATCCATTAGGCCCTCAGATTCACCCCTCAGGGTATACATCAACTTCTACTTTTCTGTGCTTATTCTTACGATCAAAAACTAAAACTTATCACTTATTGACTTTATTTATTTCCTAGGGTGGTAGTTCCTCCGATACCTGGTAATGGAGGTTACAGTGATCTCTTCCCTGGCCCAGGTGCTGGAATGTACCCTGGCAGGTGTGTTATAGATATTTGTAGTTTCTATTGTATAACTGTATCACTTCATTTCATTTCTAATGTCACTCACCACATATATTTTCTTTATTTTCTCTTCCCAGGGGTGGTTTTGGGGATGGAAGCATGCTTGTAGGTAGGAACGATCCTTCAATCCTTCTTGAGAAACGAGATATTATCACAGCTTTACTTGATTACTATTTGATAAACTGATTCTGTTTGGTCGCAGGACCTTCTGATCCTCGCTTTTTCCCGTTTGGTGATGGTTCTGATCGACCTGGCTTCATGGGACCACCACACCCGTAAAATCTCTCTTTCTTTCACACAGATGCACATACACATACACAGCCATAGATTTGAACACGTAAAAAGCTCTCTAAATTGTTTCTGACAAGTAACTATGGATTTTGTTTTGGTTTTGACAGGGGTATGCCACCTCCTGGTGCTCGTTTTGATCCTTATGGTCCACCCGGTGTTCCAGGTTTTGAACCAGGCCGGTTCACAAGGTAGTAATCTTATGCACTCAGTACTCTCCTTACTAAACTCCACAATTAAAATCTGTTTTGTAAATGGTTCTGACTTTTGTTTATATCAATCTGTGTAGGCAACCTCCAAGAGGGCCAGGAGGCGGGCACCCAGATCTCGAGCATTTCCCCGGCGGTTCAGATTTTATATAGTAATGTAATGCAATCGCTAAGGAAATAGAGAGTGTGAGCACAACTTAAAAGTCTGGTAGTAACTACATATAGACAGTAGGATCTATGTGGTTTGTTTTTTGTCAGCTGTTTTTGTCTTTGGTGGTGTTGTTGGTTTTATTCCCAGCTGATTGTTTATAACCTCAATAAATATATAAATAAAGACTTGGTTTATTTCGCTTTTAAATTTCCGTTGGCTAAGTCTGAATCGGTCCCCATATAGACACAATGGCTTGAATATATTGAGAATTTGAAAACTATAGCATCATCTCTTTTTGCTTCAACTACTTCGCTTCGGGTTATTGAGATATGTTGGTGATAGATTTGACTTGCGACTAAGTTATACTAGTGTTTGCCAAAACGACACCAGTTTAAACAATTACAAGTACAAAGTTGAAACTCTGTTTCTGTTAAGGAAATAATTTGAGAATGTAGAGTGGAATCATTTTATATATTTATTGATATATAGGTCCAATAACAATCACACTGATACATATAAAACATTATCGTTATTCATATATTATACGGTACATGGTGAAATAGTAGTAAACTCCAAGCTTGCACATGAAGCCCAGTGTTATCTCCTTCATCCTTCTAATCGTCAACATTTTACGGAAGTGTGTATGCTATAAGCAAATGAAAAAAAAAACAAACAAAACAACATTAGATATATATTATGAAAATTAAGTTAAAGCATAACATAAAGATACTTACGTCCACACTTGTAACCGACAGGACGGTTAGCGAAATTGCAGCGTTTTGGGATGGTAAGGGCAACCTCAGGATCAACACCGGAGGCTTTGGCCGTGTCGGAAAGAAGGATGGCGCAGAGACATTTAGGGTTTTGAGAAAATCTCTTAATCTGAGAACAACAACCTCCTGGCACGGCGGTGTTTGCGTCCTGAGCTGCACCTGCACATGGAGCCAGCTTCATTGCTTCATTGTCCGGCGAAGATCTACCGCACTCTCCTGCACCATCAACGACGGTTCCGATGAGGAGGATCAGACCAAGAATGCAGAGAAATTTCATGGAAGATGCCATTTAGTTTCTTGGAGAGACTTGAAAGCAAGCAAAAGATTGTGTTTTTGTTTGATGTTGTGTTGTTTGTTTGAATTGGATTCGTGAATGTGTGATTTATATAGCGGAAGATTGTGTGCAGATTTGAGGCACTGAAGGTAGTGGAGTAAGCACTTGAGTTGAGTGAGAGGGAGGTAGTGTTCTTACCTACAACATAAGTTCCAGGTGTTGATGTCTGAGAGATCACTCAAAAAACCTCATAATTCTTATTCGGTATTATCAAATCGGATGGTGGGTTTGTGGGAGTTGTGTCATCACCGTCCATGTAGCTTTTAAATTGGTGTTACTAAAGGTAGATTAAAATAGAGTTTTTATTGATTTTATATTATTATTGGTTAATGTGAAGTGAACGGATGAAGAAACATTCTTGATCTCTCTTTAACAATTCTGAATTTTGGATGCTAAGCAATACCACTAAAATGATCCATAAGTATTAGACCTATGTGAAGAAACTTGAATTTATTCGAGTTAAAAAACCTTGTACCACAAGTTACTAACATAAGTATGAAAAGCATAGATGATGGAAACCAAAGAGAGGCACCTGTGAGAGTTGGCTCTGTCTATTTGTGTTGGAACTTGGAAGTCAAGACGGTTTTGCATAAACCGAGGCAAATCAAATTAAAGGACTAAACAAAATCGGTTAATATGGTTTAGTTGAGCTGGTTACATAAAGCTGTGGTATTCTTAGTGATCAAGTTTGCTCTGTTTCTATTGAAACTCAAAACTGGGCTTAAATCCCACCGGCCCGTATAACTTCAGCCCATAGTCTTGTTTTTTTCAATTTTCATTTTGCTTTGTTGTTTTTCTTCTTCTGTCTTGACCTCTTAACATTCTACGATTTGTTTCTATTTGTAGTCAATATGACAATTTCATTAAATTTTCGAATGGATCATTAAGATGACGTGCAAAATAAATAAATAAATTCACCACGGTGAATCGGTGATCTATCTGGTTTAACAAAAATACATTATTCATTCATATATCTTTTTTTTTTTCATTCATATATCTAATTTTCAATGTAAAATTTTCTGTGGAATTTTTCCTTAAGAAATATTCTAATATCTGTTTCCATATAGTCAATGATCAATGTGAAAGAATCCAACCTGCCCATGTGATTTCTGCCGGATTTCTGTAACCCAAACTTATTTTTTAGAATACTTTGGATACACAAAACTATTTTTAATCGAGCCCACCACATGTTCAAGCAAATCACATGGAGTGATTCCAGCAAAACACAACAACTATTAATTGAAATATAAAGCAAGAAACCCCCAAAACTAGAAGATAAAAATTAAAAACACTCTGGGCTCTTTTTTGTTGTAGTCAAATTACAAATAAAACCAACAAAAGGTTCTTTTATTAATAAAAGCATAAATTGCGATGATGATTATTATGGTAGGGGACTTATGAGATAAAGACATCTTTTATTTAGTGAGAATCGTTATCCTTGACAACGGTGACAGGGCAAGGCGCGTGTTGGATCACAAAGCTGCTCACGCTTCCCATTATTATCCTGTTTCATTGTTTTTAATTATTAGTCATTTACACTTGGAAAATACCTTCTTTACACTTCCAGACAAAAATGGTCCAAAGATTAAAGTTTACAAGAATTCACAATCTTAAATGTTTTTTTTTCTTAATTATGAGATAAAATTCAAAGCTAAAGCTAAAACTAAAACCTAGTCCATAGCTAAAGCTAAAACCTAAAACCTAATCCATTATCCATTTTCCACTGGACCTTATCCATTTTCGTTGAGAAGTAATTGTCATGAAAGTTGTATACTACCAAGTTCCTCAAAAGAATGTTTAATTTAGAAAGACCAAAATTGTTCAAACTAAAGTGAGATGGTTTTAGATTATTAAACCACAGATTCAAAGTGGTATTAGACATTGTCTTTTAGTTAGGTAACGAGCGTTTCTTTAATCATGGCTTTGGACCAACACCAAATAATATCAATGGCCCGATTATCTCACAATTTATAATTTCATATAAACCAATACTAAACACTTTGCAATAAATGGCATTTTGGCAAGACGATTCCCAATTTGGAATAGAATTTATTACATAAAAAAAAGGAGCAAGAGATTACCTTTGAAGAGCACTGAGTCCTCTGCTTCCCATGACAATAGAATCGAGTTTAAGATCTTTAACAGCATCAACAAGCTTCTCTCTTGCATCTCCCCAGTATAACTTCGTCACTACATGCACCTTTTTTTTTTCAATAAAACCACCATTAATTTATATAGTTTCTTTATCAATGAGTCTTTGAAATAAATGTATTTTGATTCGGATAAAAACCTCTTTCTGCCTCGAACCGGTGTCGAGCATATCAAGACATGCGATGTCGGTTTTGACACCGTATTTCTCCATAATCTCCGGTTCCCTAAACTCTGCCAACGGTATGAGAGCTGCAGCACCAAATTAAACCGGATTAAACCGACAGATAATTCTCATATTCCATAAGAAGAAAGAAAAGAAGAAAGTAGGAAACTTACGAGAACCGGATTTGAACCAGAGAGAGTTACGAGATTCATCGTCAGAGATTGATAGTGTGTGGATGATGTAAAGTGTGTCTCCTTTATCTGCTAAGTTCTCGATCGCCCATTGCAGAGCGTTCTTGCTGCTCTCAGAGAAGTCCATGGCGATTCCGATCTTCCTGTCTTTAGGCATCTTTCGTGACCCTTTTTCTTCTTCTCAAGAAACTTTGAGATGGTTTTGTTTTTTTTTTTTTGGTTTCAAGATTTTTTTCAGAGAGAAATGGTGGTGACTTGTGAGAAGGAAGTTTAGCTTCAATGTTTAAGTTAATATAAGGATTTGGAAGTTTCGTTGATGCTTCTATCCGATGTAGGATCCATTATGACTCATTTGTTTGCATCTGAACCGTCCATTTTTAAATCGTACGGTAGCAAGCAAAAGTATTTAGATTTTTGTTTCTTAAATGAAATCTTTTTTTTTTTCTTACCGACAGATCGATAATGAAATCTTGTAATTGAATTGTTTATTGTTTGTTTAGAAGCCGTACTACTAAGTAACGAATCCAATTACGTACAAACTTGTATAAAAATTAATACAAGTAGCTTTTTTGTATACAGAAGCTACTTCGTTAAATTTTCATCTCTATCGTATACATTTATTTTCTAAAAGAAAAACTGTAGAGGTGTTTGGATCCAACAATTTGATGGCCAAATATATATAATATATTGATATGTTTTGAATCTTGATCACCGCTAATGAAAAGTAGCACAAGGATCTCATTATATTAGATGACTTTAGTATTAAAAAGGCATTTTCTGGCAGTGATTTAATATTAAATGAGTTGTTTTACCGTTGGGTTAGGATCGTGATTGCTGAGTTGTAAGCAAATAGCCATGAAATTGCACGTTTGATGATGATTAAAATATTATGATATGTAAATAAAAAGTCATACTAATAAGAAAACAATCTTTATCTAACTACAAATGTGAACTAATCGTATGGATAGGATAGGACTATTCGCATAAATGATAAAAGGGTTTTTTTTTCATGTGTATCTTATTTTATAACACCAACATGAATATATACGTGGCTGAGGATTAGAGCAACTACGATTTAAGAAGTATCTTAGATATGAGACTACCCCCACTCAAATCATTCGTTTTTTTAATGCAAGTTTTGAGTTAGTTAAATGTGTATTAATTTGGTTTTAAATTTCAACTTATGATTTCAATGCTTACCAACGGAAGTATCATTCAATTGGTTTTTGTATATTCATAGACTCTCTAGAGGAAAGTCTCCGTCCGATTACTTAATATAATGGTGTTTGGCGAAAAAAAAAAAAAATAGGAAAAAAGGATCAAAGTTGAATACACGAACATCAGAAAACTCAAGTTTTAAACCAATAATTTGCAACTCAACAAACCTCAAGATTAATACTATTTAGAAGAAGAAAAATGATAAACTAATGACTTAATTGTTGTCATCATCGTCGTGGTTTGACGAATTTTGGGCTGCCTTCTTGATACAAACTAGAAAACATCGAGGTACTCATCAATTTTGCCTTCTTGATACAAACTAGGTCCTCAAAAACGCCCTCTCTCTCGTCCACATGGTGGTGGGCGGGTGGTTGGTGGGCCAGGGGTGTTTGGGTGAAAGTCCCTCTCCTCCGGTTTCGATTCCTCCTCCTGCTGTTATCAACATTATGTGGGAAGTCTATCAGTTGGGCTTTGGCCCAATTGGTTTACCAGGTAGTCAGAAATGCAGGCGGCCCTAACTACCCCTGGCACTTAGTCGGAAGGCACACCAAACTCGGGATAGGCAGAGTGGTAGCCCGAACGGCCTAGCCGTTAACACGGTGGACAAGTCCACTATGTAGCACCTCGGTGCGTTCCTACCGGGGCCGACCGAATAGCCGATAGGGTATATAAAAAAAAAAAAAAAAAAAACAAACGCCCTCTCAAGATATAGGCATTTTGTCGTTGACATTTTCTTCATATTAATGAATTTCCTGTTTTGGGAATATATGGACTCATTTGTTTGATATGATCATTGATAAATAAATAGTGCCGTCAAAGTTTAGTCTTCTTCAAAAGACCAATCAACTTATACATTTGAAACCATCCTGCCTGATTTATTTCTTTGTTCTTAAATTTATGGGGCTAACTAAATGAATTTTTGAAAATACCTTTGGGCTGATCTATTTAGATGGTCCCTGATATGGGCTTTTAACGAAATACGTACCTACCCACGAAATGTGAATTCTTCCTACAGGTGCGGCCATTTGTAGAAATAATAAATTCTTGGATTATGCAGGATCAAAGCAACTTTGTTCTAAATATATTGTACATATTATATGTATGAAAAACTTTATTGTTTGCGAGTGAGGAGTGATCATGTTATAAATTGTGTGAATGAATTGGCTAGAAATGCATAGCATGAACATGGATAATGATGAGTGTGATAAATATCGAATTACATGATCATAGGCCACAGCGATTGTAAAAGTTGCAAGTGTCAAGTTATAGGGGGTCGAGGGTTGGTTGATGTGAATATGTCACGATGCTTCACAAAACCCTAGAGTCAAAGCACTACATCTCTTATTTTGTATAACTTTTCATACGTTAAATTAGCTTACATTGCAAGCAAAAACATGCGAAGATCTCTCTCTCTCTCGCTAAGTCTAAAGTTTTGAGGAGATTGGGTATGGTCCGCCGTGAATGCATGTGACAGTGGAGCCTACGCACGTGACTGTAACATGTGCGATCCAACTAAATATAATCCTAATTTGCAGCTTTAATTGCCAAAAAAAATTAGGATTCAATCTTTGCGTGAATCCATAATCAATAATCATGGATCGGACTTCGTACCGGACATATATTCTGTTTAGCAGTCTGATTAAATGTGCGGTCGAATTTATAATATCTGATTAAAAATTTTCAAAATGTTTCTGAAAAATGCAAAATAGTATGCTGTATGCTAATACCTTTTTCGAGACATTTAAACAAATCATATTGCAACATGTTAGCAACTTAGCTTTATTAGCTGTCATCTTAAAACTTTGTTACCGGTAAACTATTTCTTAGTTAATTCATCCATGAAAAATACAAAAACTAATTTTTCAAATTTTTTTTTTTTTTTTTTTTTTTTTTTAAATTTCTCAAAATATATATAGGGTTAGGTTTTATGACATATATATACTAGTAATCAAAATTATCTATGTAATTATATTACCAAGTAAGGATCACAGGTTCTAAGAAACTTATTTGATCAACCAAAAATTTTAAAAATCAGAATTGTATAAAGAAATGTAGTTGAATATACGAGGAAACAATAGAGGTCCCATATGGTTCCATGGTTGGGAATAGAAGCTTCAGCAAATTATATTTTTATTTCGGAAACAAACATGAAAGTATATTATAAGAGAAAAAGGAGACAAAGCAAAGAAGAGGAAATTATGGAAACAAACAAGCTTACGTAACCTCCCCAAAATACTAAAAGAAAAGCATTTATAATATTTGATACTTTCATCTTGATATTGTTATTGTCACCGAAATCAAAATGGACTCCACCACCCTACCCAGGAAAAAAAACAAGATAACGAGAAGTAATAATTAAAAACAAAAAAACCATTGGTTAAATTATATAGTCAAGATCTTTTGTCCAGTTCAGACAGTCTCGTGTTGTCCATGTGATGTGGCTTTAATTCTCTGTATGTCAAATAACATCAAATTCTTTTAATATTATTCTTTGCAATGCTGTTTTATATATTTTATATGAATTAAAATTCGAATGTTTTCATGTTCTTTAGTAAAAAAAATGTCTTTATCTTTATGAAAGAAATGTTTTTCCCTCGACATCTTTTAAAATGTTTTCATTATCATATAAACTGGCCACGAAATTCTAAGCCTGCTATAGAGAAACTAAAGTTATATGTTAAGAAACAATTACGACTCCTGTCTAGTCAACTTTGCTGAACCAATTTATGTTAAGGTGTGTTTTTGCAAAAAAAAAATAATTCTTTGGGATCGATCGGCGGCGTCTCCGACTTTATTAGTTTGATCAACATACAAAGACAAGAAAGCATGTCATGCACGTTTTATGGGCCGGGAATAAATTATCCATCCACAATTATATATGTTTTTTTTGTGTCATCCATAACGGTGTATATTGTAATATTTTCTTATTAAAAGGTTCGAAATCTGATTTAATCGTATCAGAAAACTAAGTTTAAGAGCCTTTTTCTGGTTTAAGGCTAACGTAAGATAATGGAGTGGGAGTCTTCACACTAATTAAAAGCGTGGTCAATAATAATATTTGAGTTGGTTGGTATAAATAGTGCTTAGTTTTGATCGTGATAAGTCAAAGAAGTCGAAAACGATGTTGTAATAACTTCGTTTTATCTTTCGGCGAAAAAGAGAAATTGCTAGTATTTAGGGGAAATTCAAAATCGAAGCTCTCTCTTTTCTGCTTTCACTTTGTTTTATTTGCGGAAAATGTGTTCTATGATTTCGGAAAGTTTGTGGGAGACCAATCATAGTAACATTCATTCTCCCGTCAGCATAATCCAACGCATCATCTACCCTTATAGCATTAAGCAATTTAGGAATGAAGAATTTAAGTACACTATACATAATGCATCTTTTATCTTTCTTTTTTTGTCACACATATATTATGCCAAATTATAAGTATTTGGATTATCCGAAGCTAACCCACATAACTAAGAAACTTATTCATGTCTAAATATGTAAAACAAATAAAACATGAAAACATGTTGCCGTAAAGGTAGAGAGAGTATGACATAAAAGTTATTAGTGAAATTGATGTTTTTAGGGAAGTGGTAAAGGAAATAGTAATCTTTTGCATAGACATGATATTGACATGCAGATCTAACACGCATGTCTCTATTATGTTACATACTTACATAAAACATACCATCCAACTAGATAAACATGGGAATAAATTGCAATTTTTCATTTTCCTCTGTCAATTTTGTGACATCTTATAAAAACTTTTAAAAAAGTCTTGTGACATTTCATGTTTATCTCATTTCTTAGTGGACTAAACTTTGATCCATCACCGTTTACATAAATATAAATTTAACAAAATTTATTTTACAAGAAATCTTTATCAAATTATTATTCATATTAATTAGCTTTATTAAATTAGTGGGAAATAGGAGATAACTTGTACGCGAAGTATCACATCTCGTTCTCTGGTTATGCCAAGTGGACAATGATGGGCCAAATGTCGTCTTGCGACGCCCAGCAAATCAAAATTCGCCACGTGTATATGCCACGTCACACACCATCGTACAGTGCAGTTGAGCTGTTTTTGTTTTCGGCACCGTTATAAAACCCAACGGAATTTTTGTAACTTAACAATGGGTAAAACCGTCATTTGTACTCGTCTCGAGAAAGTACCCATTAAAAACCTAAAGAAACGCGCTTTCCACGACGGTATGTGTTGGTGTGACATCATACCTTATTTAAATTACAAAAATATCCTTGTCTCTCTCTACTTATCATTTCATTAATTACATTTTCATCATTTTAAATCACAATAATTGTTCGATGTACCTAAAGAAGAGACCCGACTTGTGTGTTCCTTAAATAGGAAAAAAACATCGTATTCTACGAATCAAAAACGTGTGATACACGCTTTCACATTAAATGCAAACTACATTACAAAAGGGATAAAATCATAATTGAATCTAGACCCCCAAGTTGGAGGGGTAATTAAGTAAATTAAATAAAGGCACGTGCCAGTCTAATGACGGTTATAACCCTATCACGTGGTAGTCAACTCGCTTTACAGATATTCCGAGAGTGAGGTCCCACAATCTTACTTGCCATTACCCTCTCTCCCCATAGTTAGTAGTAGTAGTTGTTAGCGCGTCAACTCCACTTTCTAACCGTAGGCGCGTGAATAACGAAACCTCTCCCCCACCACCACCACTACTACTTCTTCTTCTTCCTTCTACAAATACCTCAGAGTCTCTTTCCCTCGTCTTCTAGTATTTTTTATTTTCTGTTATTTTCGCCTGAGACTGGGTCCCTGAGAACTCACGAAACTCATTATTGAAACTTAACAAAACAGCAACCTCCGTTATTAAAGTTCCCTCCTCGATTTCCGTGGAAAATCACACTTTTAACCATGGAACCTAGTAGCGTAATCGACGATGCTGAGTTTTGGCTTCCGCCGGAGTTTCTCACTGACGATGTTTTTCTCGTTGAGAAGGAGAATAACGGTGTTGGAATCGATGACTCTTTGTTCCCGTACAAGCCTCGTCATGGATTTGGCGGTTTTGCCTCCACAGTTAAGCCTACCACGGTGAAGGAAGACGACGAAGAGAGTTTCTTAGCCGGATTGACTCAGCAGATGGTTAAGTCTTCTCTAGAAGATGATTTCTCCGGAGGATTTTGCGGTAATCACACTTTTCCGGCCGGTAACGATAACAAGGTAGTTCGATTTCGACCTTAAAACTTCGTTCTCAATCTTCTCTCTGTTTTCGTTGGATTTTGTTTTTTTTCTGGAGTTTTAACCGTTTTTTTCTTCTTCTTCATGGTTCTTCAGGCATGGGGAATGAATCGTTCACCTCTGTGTGTCGCCGGAACTGGCTGTTGTTGCCGGAATCAGCGATTGAACCAGAACTCCAATTCGCGAGTTTCTTCATGGGATCTGTACTGTGCCGCGGAGAGGATGAGTATCAACGACGAACCGTACCATACTGGCAGAGGACTTCTCGGTTCTCCCACAAAACATTCCTCCGTCGCCGCCGCCGTAAAAAACCACTCCAACAACGGCACCGGTTACTACAACAACCATCAATCTCTCCAATACCAGAAGCTACAAGCTATCCAGGTAATCAATCACAAGCAAAACTCTCTAAACATTTGATTTTTGAGTTTTTTGTGCGATTGTTCTAATTGGTTTGTCTTCTTGTGCAGTTTCAGCAGCTAAAGCAGCAACAGTTAATGAAACATCATCGCCAATTGGTGCATCAGAGCAGAGGAGTAATAGTTAATGGCAATAAAAATGTTGGTCCAGTGAATTTGTCGTCTTCTGCATGGTCTAATCAGCTTCCGAGGCGTGAAGTTATGAGAGCTGTATTCATCGGAGACCATACCGGAAAACGTGGCTCAACAGGAACCGGCGTCTTCTTACCTCGAAGCGTTAACCATACTTCAAGAACTGAGACTCGCGAGAAGCCCAGTAAGTTCCAAAAAAGTTACAATTCCCAAATGTCAATTTTTGGTTTATTTTGGTTTTGTGACGAGAAATGTTTTTGCTCTTGGGTTTAGCTATATCGACTGTTTTGGTTCCGGCTAGATTGGCTCAAGTCCTGAATCTGAACCTAGGCGAACCGGTCCGGTCTTTGACAAATCTCAACGGTATAACAAATTAATCTCAACTTCTATAGCTAATTCAATTTAATTGAGCTGTCAGTTTTATAACCAATTGGTTTAATTTTTGTTAATCATGCAGATGTGTCGTGGAGACAGAGGAGCAACAATGGTGGGTTCTCGAGCCAGATGCACGGTGGCGTGAGGGCAGAGCAGTCAGTGCAAGAGCCTCGGTTACCTTCTGAGTGGGCTTATTGACTGATTTTGGTGTTCGTAACTTTTGGGTGTGTTTAGGGTGAAGATTTTACGGGTTTGATGAAAGAAGAAGATTAGGATTTGATGATAGGTAGTGAAATAGTGGAAAAAAAGTTAGGGTTTATATAGATAGTGGAAGAAGAATAAAGAAAGTTGAAGTGTGGAGAGGACGAGGTTTTGGATCGTTTAACCACCCATTGATGGCTGATAGATGAAGAAAAGAGAGCTTTGAGAGTGAGAGAGAGAGAGAGAGAGTACTGACTTTTTTTTTGGGTTTTCTTGTTTTACTTTTTACTTGGAAATTAAATGTCAGTCTGTCACCGGGCTGTTCTTTTAGTGTCATCCCTCTCTCCCTCTCTTTTTGTTCTCACAACTCTTAAGCAATGGAGAATTGAGTAACTAGTAAAAGAAAAGTTTAGTTACTGTATATAATTTTGTTTGCCATCAGATGGATACATAATTTCTAAAATCTTTGCATGCGAAATCATATCTTGATACTGAACTCTTTTTTAAGAAAATCTTAATTAAGAATATATCTACTCTTTTTTCTTAATTGATTGATCAGAATTTCACAAACCGAGAGGTAACAGTAACAAGTAACAACCCATAACTGGGTAACACAAATTGACTTCAAATTGACCTAATCAACATGTTGTCTTGCACAAATTAGTTTCACACGTATATATTATCATATACAATGATTTTGAAAAAAATATTACTTACTAAATCAACTAAAAAAATAATGTTCTTAAGAAAACGTACCATTGAGACAACTACTGACACAAACAGAAGTAACCAATACAAAAAGAAAAAAGGTGATACTATGATGATGCCCAAAAACCTCATGAGCCTTGTTATTAGCAACAGAACACAGCTCCTATAGTATATTCAAACTCCTAAACAAGTGAAATGGTAAAATCGTAATGAAAGGAATTTGGCAACCCATTAAACAAATACTCCCTAGTATTTTTTTTTTTTTTTTTTTTTTTTTTTTTTTACTCCCTAGTATTGATGTAGCAGTCCAAGATAAGTAATTAATGGATCATTAAATATCTAGAAGCACACGAGAGCACTTAAATAACTCGATCTTTGATTAAATGCTAAAATGCTGGTCTTCTTTGTGGAGCAACGTGCAGACTTTGTCCTATGCCATTTGTTACTCCAGATATATTGTCGCCAGATTAAATATAGACAACTTCTGATATGGTTTTGAAATTTGAGTAGTGGCAGCTGTTTTTAGTTGTCTTGGTTTTCTCCGTGTTTGTTTCCAACAACTAGTACGAGATCATCATCTCCAATTTTTAATTATTACAGTAGTAGTAGTATTAATCTTTATTTTCTTTCGTCGACCTATTTTATTGTTTGTTTTAAGATTCATACACCTACACCAAGAGCTTCAAGTTTTGTAACCACATACTATGGGAATGGGACTCACATTTTCATGTGGGTGTTTGTATTTTGACTGCTTCACGCGGTTCGTATCGTTCTACTAAATTATTGGTATTTGTTTGGATATATAACATTAATGAAAACCACTTGCATTTTCACATGACTCCGCATTTATGCTACTTTCCTCACTTTCCATAATTCACATAAAAACAATATATACAGTATGATTACTATTTTGAAGAAAATAACGCTTGCATATACATTAACGTTGGTCTCTGTAATCACACTTAGTTTTTTCGGATTTACAATCTCGAAGTATTCATATTTGTACTTTCACATCCGTGTTGTATTCGGAAACCACATAATAAGCTATTCTATGGTACTTGATTGTTTAGCCTATCCAATTAACGAAACATACGCTAGATTTTATAATATGGCTTAAATGGCATCAACTGCTAACATGAAAAAACATGTACTATGGATTATTGGTAAGTGCGAATTTTAATGAAAGTTACGAACTTACGATGCTTGATTCCTTAAAAGATTATTTTGTATTGAAGAAAAACTGTATTTGCAAGAGAAGAAATTAGCTTTGAATGTATCCCTCTATTTATTTACATTCGTCACTATATGTGATTACTGCCTCTGCAGACCAATATTTAAAAAACAGGTTGACCTATTTGCAACCATCTGTCTGCAACTATGTTTCATCTTTTTTTTTTTTTTTGGATTTTCTTTGGTCGGCCTTTTTCTTTATATGGATTTTGAATGCTAAGAAAAAAAGAATTGAGTGAATTGGTTCTCACATGTATAGATGAAAATTTCAACAGTCAAACACATTTGCTCAACTAACAACTACCAACCCATCACCAAATTTTCGTTTCATTTGTTGTGTTGTACAAATTTTAGATCCAAAAATGTTCTTCCAAAATCGATTGAGGTGCTTATGTACACATATATTAAAAATATAACATAATTCCAAAATGGTTTGGATCCGGTCTAGTTTTGTCTCTGAAATAACATAGATTATTTAAGGTTGAAAGCTCACAACTAGCCTTCTTAGGGCAAAGTACAAGTAACCAAATTTTTTATATTCATATTCAACATAACAAATTGTAAACATTTGCAAGATTGAATCAAACCAAACAGGTTATGTAACAATCCTGTTTAACACGGACAATTATACAATTGGAAGCCCGTTAAACTTGTCAAAAAAAAAAGAAGAAGAAAAACTGATATAAGTTTTAAAATTAGCTTTTGGGAAAAAAAAAGAAGAAGAATCTTGTTACAATGGTTAAATTAACATAAGCAAATTCAAATATGTGTGTAAAAGAAGTGATAATTTGGATAAATAATTGGTGTTTCAAGTGAAAATTTATTTGAATGAATTGGTCACTTTTGTACTATAATTTATAAAAATATTCATTGGATGTTTTAGAACACATTTGTGTTGTATTATTTGGATATGTCTGATAAAACCTATTTAAAAATAATTTTGTTAATTTAGTAGACTTTTCAGTGCCCTCTTGATACTGGGTAGCTCAACCAACAACAAACTGAGGAAGGTATAGAGAGAGAGAGAGCTTTGGGTGTTTTGCTTCAGGCTTCGATTTCAAGTCGTAGATCTTCCACTCTGGCTTCGCGTTCCACAAATTCTTCCTAATTCGAAATCTTAGCGGGACGGCGATGGGCGATCAGACGGAGCAGAAATACTTGCCGAAGAAGAAGAAATCCGAAACGGAAGACGATAAGAGGTTCACGTGCTTCTCTTTCCTTTGGAATCTATGTTGAATCAGTGAATTTTGTTTGCTGGGACTAGTGAATAGATCATTAAATTGAGAACTGTATGTGGAATAGGAGGAAGAAAATTGTTCCTGGGAGCTTGTTGAAAGCTGTGGTGAGACCTGGAGGAGGTGATTCGAGCCCTGTTGATGGTGATCAGGTTAATAAATTTGGCTTTGTTTTGCTTCTCGTGTGGATAAATCAGGAAGAGTGGTCAATTTTGGTGGTTGTGTGTGTTTTTTCTTCAGGTTATTTATCATTGCACTGTAAGGACACTGGATGGTGTAGTAGTGGAATCTACGAGGTCAGAATGTGGAGGTTAGACTGACGAAACATTTCTCAGTAGAGTGTTAGGATGAGTTTTTTTTTGTTACGGACTCATCGAATGTGTTGTTTGATGTTCCATCAGGGAGAGGTTTACCGATAAGAGATGTCTTGGGAAAGAGCAAAATGATCCTTGGACTGCTCGAAGGTATTCCAACGATGCACAAGGGTGAAATTGCAATGGTAACTCCAAAAACTTTATAAAGATCCGTTGTTGTTGTGTGTGTATTGAACTCACCTCTTGCTTCAAAGATAAAGTTTTTTCGAGTGCTTTGCCGTTTTTTTGTATATTTCAAAGCTGCGTCTCTTTAGTCGGCTTTGTAGTTTGGTCTTTGAAGAGGGTTTAGTTGATTTACTGGAGTTACCTGAACTTCAATGAGTTGATGCGCCAAATCCTTCTTAGCTATTTCAGATCACTTTCTTGATTCTTCACAGCTGAAGAAGTCTTTATACTTTTTTGTTTCAGTTCAAGATGAAACCTGAAATGCATTATGCAGAGAATGATTGTCCAGTTTCTGCTCCAGGCAATTTTCCAAAAGATGATGAGCTTCATTTTGAGATTGAGTTGTTGGATTTTTCTAAAGCCAAGGCAAGATCTCGTCACAAGCCAAGATAACCGTGCATTAGTTAGCCGAAAGACTTTGAAATCTTGCATTTCATCTGTTTTGACTTAAGCCTTCGTTTCCTTTGTGTTAATGTCCAGATTGCAAGTGATGATCTGGGGGTCATCAAGAAGGTAGGACCTGATTTTCCATATATGTAGACATATCAATTGGGTCGGGGGTGATGTATTTCTTTAGTGGCTCGGTCAAGGGTAGTGCAAGGAAGAATAATATGGTCCAAATATTTCTGGTTTTGACTGATGGCTCAAGCATTGCTTTATTTTTATATGAAAGATTCTAAATGAAGGTGAGGGCTGGGAATCTCCCAGAGAACCCTATGAAGTAAAAGCCAGGTAATATAATTCTTGATCAGTCCTGCATTTTGGTTCAAAAAAGTATTTAACTCTGTTTTCCCTTATGGGCTGCAACGTTGAGTGAAGTTTTAATGCATTTTTGTGTTGTATATTAGAATATCTGCTAAATCCGGCGATGGACAAGTGATCTTCTCTTACGCAGAAGAACCTTATTTCTTCACATTTGGAAAATCTGAGGTAATTGTTAAGTTTATGGGGCAGTTTTATCTTTTTACTCTTAGTCCATGCAAATCCAGACTAGTGGAATACATTTCTGACTATTGCTCGTCAATTAGGCAGGTGCCTAAAGGTCTTGAAATCGGAATTGGAACCATGGCTCGGAAGGAGAAGGCAGTGATATATGTTCGCAAGCAGTACTTGACTGAATCTCCTTTGTTGCATATAGATCAGGACCTTAAGGAAGTTCATTTTGAGGTTGAACTGGTACATTTCATTCAGGTATATGAAAGAAGAATGCAATAAGAAAACAGTATTTTCCGCATTTAAGAATTGGGAAGCTGAGCGACTGACATTCACATTCTCGCTTTGAAGGTGCGGGACATGCTTGGAGATGGACGTCTCATAAAACGTCGAGTTCGTGATGGAAGAGGTATGTCTCACACTTTCTTTTCATCTGTTTCTTATCCGTTTCAACATGGTGCGGGTTGTTGTTCTTATTCGTCTTGCTGGGGCATCTGCTAGATTCCAGCTCTTGTTTTCGGTAAATTTAGTTTATCCGCTAGACTATTCTGATCTGCAACGTTTCACCAACTTATTAGGCGAGTTTCCAATGGATTGTCCTCTCCAAGATAGTCGGTTAAGCGTTCACTACAAGGGCATGCTTCTCAATGAAGAGAAAACTGTCTTCTATGATAGCAAGATTGACAATAATGATCAACCGTTGGAGTTCAGTTCAGGAGAAGGACTGGTCAGTTACTCCAACGTTTATAGAAAAACCTAGTGGAGTTATTTACACGTTTAGTTGAAATACATCTCTGGGCATGGGTTGGTTAAGATTATTCTGTCGTATTTGCAGGTCCCTGAGGGGTTTGAGATGTGTACTCGTTTGATGCTACCTGGGGAGATTGCTCTTGTTACATGCCCCCCTGATTATGCATATGACAAATTTCCGAGGTTATACTCTTAACTGTGTAAATAACACTAACATGATAGTGTATAAACTGTTGTCGGAGAAATAAACGCATTTCATCTTTTGTTTCCTGATAGACCACCTGGCGTGTCTGAAGGTGCACATGTTCAGTGGGAGATTGAACTCCTTGGTTTTGAAACGCCAAGAGTAAGTTGGTCTTGTGTTGATGCGCTTACGATATAAATTGTAAACAGCTTCCGTTTCTTATAAGTCTAGAGATTCTGTCTCAGGACTGGACTGGCTTGAACTTCCAGAGCATCATGGACGAGGCAGATAAAATCAGAAGCACGGTATGGATAAAACATTCTGCTACCATTTATAATTTGACATATAGTCCTAAATTTTATCACTTCAGATTTGCTATTAGCTAATCTTGTCTGCAATCAGGTCACACCAGATCTATTAACTTATGGTTCTTCTCTGCTTTTGGTTATACTATGAACTTCAGGGTAACAGGCTTTTCAAAGAAGGAAAATTTGAGCTCGCAAAAGCAAAGTACGAAAAGGTAATATAAGTCATGTCATACCCAATTCCAGTATTACATTTGTTTCATTGTGTCTGAGCGGTGAATCCAAAACCAGGTGCTCCGGGAATTTAATCATGTTAACCCACAAGATGAAGATGAAGGAAAAATATTTGGTGACACAAGGGTGAGTTCCATCTTCTCATTACATCTGTTGTTACAGATATGTCTAGATTTGATAATTTTAGAAGTTTAAGTACTAACTAGCTCTCATATCCTTGCTCTGCTGATATCTGAAGAATATGTTACATCTGAATGTTGCGGCTTGTTTGCTTAAAATGGGAGAGTGGAGGAAATCTATAGAGACATGCAATAAGGTAACATTCAGTAAACAAATCTCTTAAGAAGGCTTTATTCTCGAATCAGAGGTTGGGATTTCTGAGAGCTTTTGCGCACCAATTTCCAAACAGGTCCTAGAAGCAAAGCCTGGTCATGTGAAAGGTCTCTACCGCCGCGGAATGGCTTACATTGCAGGTGGAGAGTATGATGACGCTAGAAATGACTTCAATATGGTATATTTTGCTAAAACTGTTATCATAATCCAATCAGTAGATTTAGAAATCTGCTTACTAATAACATGACTTATGTGTCGGTGTTTTAGATGATCAAAGTGGATAAATCATCAGAAGCTGATGCGACCGCTGCTCTATTGAAACTGAAGCAGAAGGAACAGGTCAGTGTTCAGAAACTATCTCAACCAAATGCCCATCCCACTCGAGTTCATTAAGGCTACTTATGTTTTGGGATTGTTTTGCCAATTTCAATCTCTGTGTTGTTTTCTTTTGAGCTCACAGGAAGCGGAGAGCAAGGCTAGAAAACAGTTCAAAGGATTATTCGACAAGAGACCAGGGGAGATAACCGAAGTCAGTTCAGAAATAAGAGAGGAGTCTAAAACTATAGAAGAAGTAGATGAGACAAAAGATAATGATAATGATGAAATACAGGAAGAAGAAGGAACTACGACAGTGAGCACGGAAAGGAAGAGGAAATGGTCGGAGAAAGCCTGGCCATTTCTGAAGAACGTGATGCTCCAAATCGGAATCCAGCTCGGTGTTGTCCTGTTAGGGATTTTGATTTTTCAGTTTGTGGGCGCCAAATTTACATGAGAGAGCTATGAATAAACAAACCAACGGTACTCACTTCTTCAATCAAAAGGTTTATTAGTACTTTAGACTCAGAAAATATAAAACTAATGGATTAAACGTTAAGCTTATGTATTTTTGTTTGGTTTAACTTATGAAAGTAGTTGTTAAAGATGGGAGTTCTTTGCACCACTAGACGATCCTCTCTTGCTTCCTCAAGTGACTGGTGTTTGTTTCTTTCATTCAAATTCTATGAGATGATGACAAGAAAAGAAAGAAAAGATGTTAGTAGAATATGACTTTAATGGATAATTTCCCAAAATTAATCATTAGTCATCTTTTTATCCTACTATATAGATCGTTGTAATGATTAGTGTTAGGTTTTTGTTGAAAAACATTATCTACTTTACCAATTTTCTATTTTTAGTGTAAGATGTTTTGGAAAAACCAATTATTGTACAAAGAAAATGTGAAAAAAATATTCGACTTTATGAAACAGAGTAATTAATTCATATTGATGAAAAAAAAAAAATTAATACATAGAAAAAAAAATCCCACCCATCAATCGGCTAAATAAAAAGTCGCCACTTTGTTTTAAAAAAAAAAAGATTTCAACCGTTTTCTCCGTGTGGAACTCGCGTTTTGTCGTACACCCAAAACGTTGCTTAAATTGATTTGCAAAAACGCTGATTTTGCTTCTATCGGAGATTTTTGGGGGCAACGGAGAAATTTGTTTTAGGGCTTTTTATTTACTTATCATCGTTGTCTCAGATCCTGCTAGCTTTTCCAACGAACGTTTAAAATCTCTTGTTTCTAAATTCTTCACTCTCGTCTTTTGATCTCTTGGGTCGTTCTCGTTTCTTCGATCGTTGAGTCACCGGCGTTTACACCTCGACTTAGGTTCAGAGGATTTGCGACCTGAAAATTTTGGATTCCACAGATAATTGAAGATTAGGTTGTAAAAAAATTCAAATTTGTTGGGTTTGGTTTGATGATGTTGACCCAAACTGTTTGGGGTCTCAAGTAATATGGAAGTGGAAGATTATTAACAAACAAGATTATAATGACGCTTTATATTCGCCGCGAAGCTTCCAAGGTTCGTCGTTTTTCTGATTTTGCTATCTTGCGATTAATTGTCGTTATTGGCTATTTTTTATTTGGTTTGTTTGTACAATTGTAGATATGGAAGAGATTTTGTTCGGAAATAACGACAGAGATTGGTCTCCTCGCTGAGAACTGGAAATACCTTCTTGCTGGTCTTCTCTGTCAGGTTTCCATCTTTTAATTTCAGTTTTTGATTACTTCAATCTGTAATTGTAGACTGGAGCTGCGTATACTATTTGAATTCGACACATATTGTATGATTATCCTTTTCTCAGATTCTGGTTTCTTTTTGCTTAAGTCTGAAAATGAAAACGTAGGATAGAGTGAAAGGTTATGATCATGGTTTGGTATACCTATAGTTTCTTTAGGTCTTGGGAGAAATTAAAGTACAGGACTTGAAATTACCCTTTTCTTTTTTTCTGAGTTCTACTTACCTTTATGGCTTTATCTTAGTTTGACACTTTTATGAATGCATCTGTTATGTGCAGTATATTCATGGTTTAGCTGCTAGGGGAGTTCATTATATTCATCGGCCAGGACCAACGCTTCAAGATTCTGGCTTTTTTGTTCTTCCGGTTTGTCTCGATTATTTTACCTGGTTTGGTTGATCTTGATCCCTTTCTTCTTCAGAATATATATATCATAGTTAAGCTCTTCTTGGTGTTTGTTTGGGTTTTTAGGAGCTTGGTCAAGATAAAGGCTACATAAGTGAAACTGTGTTCACTTGTGTATTTCTTTCATTTTTCCTGGTGAGTTTTTCTCAGGATTCATGTCTGGTTCTGTTCTGGCGAAGCAGCCGTTATATTTTTGTTTCGTCTTAAAAATTGCAGTGGACTTTCCATCCTTTCATTGTGAAAAGCAAGAAGATATACACTGTGTTGATATGGTGCAGGGTTCTCGCCTTCTTAGTTGTAAGTACTCTTTGCCCTTTGCTACGTAAATGCAATTCAAAGCTTGCTCGTCTTGAAGTTTGTTGCCATTTCTCTCCATAAACAGGCTTGTCAGTTTCTCCGTGTTATAACATTCTACTCGACTCAGCTTCCTGGCCCTAACTATCACTGTCGAGAGGTAAAACTAAATAAAGATCTATAAAAGGGCGTATCATCCATATTCATGTGTTTATTCTGGTTAGTCTCTTGTGTTAACTTACAGGGTTCTGAGCTTGCCAGGTTGCCACGGCCACATAACGTTCTTGAGGTGCTCTTGCTCAACTGTGAGTTCTTCTAATCATTTATCCTTCCCTCAACACTATTTTTTGACGTATGTTTCTTCTAGTTCGTATGTGATAATACGCTGATCTTGTCAGTTCCTCGCGGGGTGATATACGGATGTGGAGACCTGATTTTCTCATCGCACATGATATTCACTCTAGTCTTTGTCCGCACTTACCAGAAATACGGTTCTAAAAGGTACAAAGTCTTCTAGTCATATCGTAAAACAATAACCGGACATAATAATCTCTGTAATAGCTTGTAAATGTCTCTGTCACAGGTTCATAAAGCTGTTAGGTTGGGTCGTTGCCATCTTGCAAAGCCTCTTGATTATTGCGTCCCGTAAACATTACACTGTAGATGTGGTTGTTGCGTGGTATACTGTGAACTTGGTTGTCTTCTTCCTCGACAAGAAATTACCAGGTCTGATCTTTTACTTGATTACTTGTAGAAAACCCACAAATTTTCTCATATGCTTTTGTTTATAAACAGAATTGCCTGATCGAACAACGGCATTGCTCCCTGTGATCTCGAAAGACAGAAGCAAAGAAGAGAATCACAAACTCTTGAACGGGAACGGTGTTGATCCTGCAGATCGGGTACGCACCTGACTTAGTTTACAGTGTTAAATCCGACTTAAAAACCCCAGTAAATTGATCTTAATATGTATAAATTTCCTTGTGGTCTTTCAGAGACTGAGGGCTCAAGTGAATGGCAAAGACAGCAATGGAGGTCACACTGATAATGTTACCAATGGCGAATGAGAACTCTGCTCGACTCTAGTTTTCAGGTTGTTGATTATTGGTAAATGTTGATGACATGATTATCGATCCAGAAAAGAGCTTGATGCAGGCTGTATAGTTCCAGTTCCTTGTTTGTCAAGTAATCCGATGTTTGTGTAGTAGTGGCTTTTAGGGATTTCACAATTTGACAAAAAGATAACATCACTAAAAACAGAAATTTAACCATTTTAGGTTAACATCAACTTTCGCTTAGCTATATAATCAACTGCCCAAATGGGACGATGATTCTTATCTTCTGTTTAACTCCTGTCCATAAATTCATCGCAAGTCAGAATTTGTTAGTGTGTCTTTATTTTTGGTTTGTCAATAATTTTGAAACACCATCGCTATGTCATCTCTTGATGCGGTTTAGAACCGTTTGTTTGGTGAAGCCGTGAAGGACGTTTCCAAAACTATCATAAATACAATATTTTTGAACCTACGACAAATTATCAAAGTTTTATTTAGTCATTTTTACTCCCCAAATATTTTGCGATTCAAACTTTTTGTTACGAATCAAAGATTATTGTTCACAAACTCATTTGATTAAAACAGCCTACAACGATCTTAATCGCATCATCTAAATTTAGTTAATAATCGAAACCTATATATAAATACTTTTCTCATGGAATAGTTGGGGATGAAGTTAAAGAAACAGAAACAATAATAGGGGTGAAAAATGGGAAAAAATGAAAATGAGAATGAGAAAGGAGGTGGGAAGAGGGAACGTGGAGTATGTCGGTAAGGAATGTGGTCAAAGGCACATACCATGTGGGCTCACATGTGTTTCACATCTTCTCATCAGGACACTAACTTTGTCACCCAAAATCTCTCTGTCTCTTTCTCTCCTTTTTCCTCTTTCACATTTTTTCGGTGCTCATAGTTAAACACTTCTTAATTAGTCCTTAAAATCCAACGAACCAAATCCATACTCGGCTAGTTTCATTGCTTCATTAATGATATTAAAAAGTGACCGATTCTTCTAACTTAGAAGTTCTAACCGTTTCGTACATTCGAATTTGAAATGAAGTCGTAACCGATGTTTATTAATATAGGTGTCACAACTTCAAATCGAACATGCTAGTTGAATATAAACAAAAACAACAAACAAATGTAAGATAGAACATTCTAATTGATGGTCCAAAATATCACTTTTGTTTAACTTTTTTTGTTTTTGTCGTCCGAAATTAATTAGAGATCAAAAGGGCCATTTTTGGGGAATGTTGTTTACATAAGTGATATGAAGCGGTTTGGTACGAACTTTTCGTGCCAGATTATCCGCTTTTACATTTGCACAACGAAAAATTAAAGATAAAGTGAAGTTAGAGAACTCTTCCTTGTCCCTCTGAAATTCCTCCAAATACACTGAAAATGCCGGCCATTCAGTTGAATAAGACACCATCTTCACTAGATCATAACAGTCTGTAAAGAAAGCTACCTTTTAATTTTGATAATATATGGATCATTGGAAAGGTTATAAAATTCTCTAATAGTTTTTTTTTTAGTTACCCTACTGATCGAATAATATTTTGGACCCACTGCTTGAATGCATATATTTGATAAAGTCGATGTTGTCTTCTTCTTTTTTTCTTTTGTGGTTAGATATTGTTTCTTAGGATTCGGTGTCTCACGAAACATTTAGACCAGGAGCGTCGTCGTTGTTCGCCCTAAAAACTTCTCTCCCAGGCACAATAACCAAGGTAGCCGCAAGCCTTGGTCGAGATGAGTTTCCTTCACCGGCGATGCTCTTCCGACTGCCTCCCTTTCTGATTGGTGCTACTTATAAGGTGAGATCTCTTCGGTGAAGCTCCTTTTCCGGTGACGTAACTATTCCGGCGAGCCTTTCACTTGAGATGACTTCCCTTGTTCTTTCCAATGCGAGCCACTCTCGTTGTTTACCGTTGTCTTCGGTCGCTTTCCTCCTTCTGAGGCCCCCTCGTGAACCACCACCGGTGCCTCCATCTCCGCCGAATCCACCGGAACCACCGGATCCACCGGACTTTCAGATCTGCTTCACTTTTGCTGATTCTTGTACCCAGCCGTCGAGCTCCTCTTCCCTCTCAGTGTTTGATTCGCTCGTCCCCAATCTCTCCTCCGCCATTTATGGCTCTCCATCCTCCTTCTCTCTGTCACTGGGTTTGTGGAGATCTAATTTAGCTCATTCAGTTTCAATGGGCTTGGATACTTTTGAGTCTACACTTGTGCTCTCTGGTAGCACTTTTATCGCTTTGATGCGATCTTTTACCGCAGTATGCGGATTCTGTCTCGATTTGTCTAGTGTTGTGTTGACATCTTTACTTTGGCTGAGCGATTACCAGTTTCGAGTCCAAGCTCCTTCGTTTGGCCCCACCACAATTCTCCCCTCCGTCACCCCTGGAATTCTTGATGTCGTCATATGCTACCTCGCTCTCACCGTGAACTCCTGGGATTGGATGGGCTTGGTTCAGCCTTGCGTGTCCTCAAGTGACATGTATATTGCCTTCCCGTGTGCCCCGATTGCTGTAGGCAGCTCGTGGGCCGGAATCGTCATGAACTGCGTGTGCCAAAAGATTCAGACCTGCTCTCTCTTCAACGGGCAACCCCAGCCCTCATGGGCTCTCCTTCCCATCTCCATGACGTCGGAAGGTATGGTATCTGTGACCCTTTGGTGTAGGGTGCATAGGCCTAGTAACAGCCTCTTGTTAATTCCCAATTACCTCAATATGAGGATTCATCAGTTTCAAGTACCTCAGTATGAGGATGTTTTCAGATTTGACCAAAACTTTGTTAGAATGGTTGTAATGTCTCTTGAGAGATGGCTTTTTGGTAGTCATTTTTTGGAGATTACGGTTTCTGGTTTTGGTATGGATTTGAATAGTGCAGGCTCCAGAAGAAGCGTTGGCGTCCTTTGTGTTGTTGATGTGTTGTGTGCAGGGCTAAGCCTCACGGAAGAGGACGGTTGGGTCATAAAGTGCCAACCATTCCAGCCATCATCACAGAAGGTGGAAGCGTTCTTGAGCTTCTCAAGTGTAGCATGGTTACAATCTTCGATCTGCTGCGGGTTGGGCTGGTGTTTCAAGAACCCACTCAACGGAAAGATCCACCATGGATCTTTTTCAAGACCCTTTGTGTCCTCTGTTCTCGTAGCGGAGGCACTAGCTCTCAAGGCGGCTATCACGGCGGCTTTAGCATTGGGTGTATCAAGGCTGGCTTGTATTTCGGATTGTCAGGAGCTTGTTCTTCTGTCCAATACCGGTGGCCACGCAAACGAAGTAGATGGCATATTAGCGGATTTCTTTCGTTCTATGTTTATGTCTAGTTCTGTTCACTTTGTTCCAAGGTCTGAAAACGGTGGAGCTGATGCTTCAGCAAAAGCTGGCCTATTATCCTGTATTTCCTCCTCCATATGTGGAGTTTGAGTCTTTTATAATGTTATTTGGTTTACAAAAAAAAAAAAAAAAAAAAAAAAAGGATTCGGTGTCTCACATTCTCAAAGATATGTGCCGTTTGACGGTTGGCTAATATTTATTCGCTTAGAGCAGCAGAAGATACAAACACTGACATAGAGATGCACACATATGATAAACATATATGGTTGGTATGAATGGAATGATAATGATCATATTGTTTTATATATGTTTCACTAACCGAGCGATTTCATTTCTTTAATTTTAGGCTGGAAAATCTTTTTCTTTTTTCAGTTTTTGTTTGTCGACTTCTTCTAATTATTGTTGTAGTATTTGAGTGATTATGATAAAGAGGGTCGTCCTTTGGTGTCATATATGGGTAGTAAAATCATTAATTCAAATGCAGAAAGAAAAAGACATTATCATTATACCAACTGTCTGGATATGGTGTGTTTTATGAAATTCTTGATTTTTAACCTTTTTAATAATGTTTTTTTAATATAGTTTTAGAGGTCCCTATATGATCATCTATGCTAATAAAGAAAACACCACTTTAATGAGCTATATTTATTATCACTCATGTTTGGACAAGCATGGCCATGGACTACAAGTCTACAAATATCAGAGACCAATCGAACTTAAGAATTAGTGTAACGAGGAAAAGTGACCTATCGGCCACTTACCACCAACACACACATGCAGTAATAAGGAGATATTGTGGCCTCTAGACAATTTTAAAATATGTGTTTTTTTCAAACTACGTCCTTTAAAAAAGAATCTTTATACCATTTCCAAAAGCTCAAAAATGGAGATAACGTGTATCAAGGTATGTAAAACATTTCTTCACGAAAACGACAACTTTTGAATCAGTGAAAGTTGTTCGCAACAATAATAATGGAACCAAGTTCTATGTGTATGAAAATTTATTTTTATTTTTATTTTTTGTTAAAGAAAAGTATATGTGATATATGAATGCAAACCCCGACACATGCTCAATTTTTTCCCGAGCATTGCATTTTGAAGCTAATTTCCCAGTTTAGAATAAAACTTCACTAGAGAATATATACATTATCACATTATCATATATATTCTTGATATCATACATTATCTCGCTCCAAGATTTGATCATTTGCAAGTTCATGATGTTTTTGCTTGTTCTACAATGATGGAGATAGCTTCGTAAGTCACAACAAACAATATCTTGTTATTGGATGCTAAGAAAGGATGGTGGAATGTGTACTCAACCTGTATAAACTAAAATTATAGTGCATAACTCAACTTGAAGAGAATGGAAAAGAATATAACGTCAACCATTAGTGTTTTTTAGTTCATCGTTATACACCCGTTAATATCTTTTGCTCAACAACCTTAACATATTATATCCTTTTATTATAGACACTACTTTTATAAAAATCTATTTTCATAAAAATAGTCTCAAATTTTAGGACAAGGTTGCAATTTATATATAGGTGGGTTTTCCTAGTTGAAATCTTTAGTATATGACCTGTAATATTTTTAGTTTTATTACAAAAGTATGAATTCATAATACTCCAAAAGTCAGCCAGAAAATAATAATTTTTGAAGTCAATCCAACAAATGGTCTAATGATGAAGTTCACGCGGTTTCAACTTTCAACATGAAAAAAGTGTTTCTGCTTTTTGTGCCTTATTTTCAACGGTTAAAACAAAAAAAATTCACAATTAGTATAATTTTTCACCTTATGATTTGACTGAGCTCTATTATGAAATATAAAATTTTGTCGGCATACTTTCATAAAATTGAAAATGTATGTATCATGTCTATAATTTTTCATCCATTTTGATTTATTTAGCTTATAATTCAATTAAATTATCACATACTTGAAACCAACAAGCAAAAAAAGCATTTCAAAAATCCGAATAATTTATTTTTAAAGAAAAAGAAAATTTAAAAAGGTTTTAAAAGGGAGAGGCGCAAAGTTTTGTGGCAAAAACAACTTTCGGATAAAAACATTTAAATATTAATTTGGAAAAAGGAAAAAACAATTCTCTTTGTAGAGGGAAGTCTGAAAACGCCGAGAAGAAGAAGAAAGCTTGAGACTTTCTCTCTGTATGCATTTCGAAATCGATAAAGACTTCAACTTTCGGTGCTAACAATGGCAATTTTCGTATAGTTTGATTTGTCCACAACTCTGGTTTCGTATCGAAGTCCGATTTCATCGCCGACGTTAGTCATCAAATGGGAGCTCGTTGCTCTAAGTTCTCATTCTGCTTGTTCCCTTCTCACTTCAAATCCGCTTCAGTTCTCGAATCTCCTGATCTCGGTCTGCTTCTCTTGAATTTCCTTTTTGTGTTTTTGATTTTGAGGGTTTTGTCTGATTTCTGTTTTCTTCTCTCTTGATTAAAGAAAATGGAGGAAAAGTGTGGCCGAGTTTTAAGGAATTCAAATTGGAGCAGCTGAAATCTGCGACCGGAGGTTTCTCTTCAGACAACATTGTATCAGAACACGGCGAGAAAGCTCCTAACGTTGTCTACAGAGGAAGACTTGATGATGGTCGCTTGATCGCTGTTAAACGCTTCAATCGCCTGGCTTGGGCTGATCATCGACAGTTCCTGGTATTTCGAAACTCTTTTTCATTGCCCTTATCATCAATCTCTGCAGAGATTTGATTTTGGGGGTCTAAATTGAGGAAATGGTAATGTTTGATTAGGATGAAGCTAAAGCTGTTGGGAGCTTGAGGAGTGATAGATTAGCGAATCTGATAGGATGTTGCTACGAAGGAGAAGAGAGATTACTCGTTGCTGAGTTTATGCCTCATGAAACGCTTGCAAAGCATCTTTTCCACTGTGAGTACTTAAAACGCTATTCAGTTTGTGATTTGAATGATCAGAACAAAGGTTGGTTTTAATAGGGTTTGTGTATTTTCTGGTGCTGTAGTTAATTGAATGATTTTTTTGTGTGTTTTCAGGGGAAAATCATCCGATGAAATGGGCGATGAGGTTAAGAGTTGCATTGTGTTTAGCGCAAGCATTGGAATATTGTAGTAATAAAGGGAGAGCTTTGTATCATGATCTCAATGCTTACAGGGTTTTGTTTGACAAGGTGAATATGTTGATTCAATCTTTCTTTATCTCTCTGAGTGATTTGTATTCGAAGTCTAAATTTTGTTTATCTTTTGTTGGTTTACAGGATGGGAATCCCAGGTTGTCTTGTTTTGGACTCATGAAAAATAGCAGAGATGGGAAGAGTTATAGCACAAACTTGGCATTTACTCCTCCAGAGTATTTGCGAACGGGTAAAACTCTCTCTGCTTTATGTTTATATATGTCCCTTAGCTTCCAAAATGTTTCAGGGCACAAAGTTCTTAAAGCTAAATCAACTCTGTTCATCTTGTGCCAGGTAGAGTTACACCAGAGAGTGTAGTATTCAGTTTTGGAACTGTTTTGCTCGATCTCATGAGTGGAAAACATATTCCACCGAGCCATGTAAGTCCTCTACTAATAGAAGATATACAAACTTTAGATGTAATATAGGACCGGGCTCATTGTGTCCTGCTGGATACTTGTTGGAAAGAATCTGTATTTCAATCCTTACTAAAATCCAAATGATGTTCATCATCTTTTTCCTGTCTCATTCTTTCTCAGTGACTCTCTAACCTCGCTTGTATACAGGCGCTTGACCTAATCAGAGGCAAGAACTGTGCAATGTTAATGGATTCTGCTCTCGAGGGTCATTTCTCAAACGAAGACGGAACTGAGCTAGTACGTTTAGCCACACGTTGTCTGCAGTATGAAGCTCGAGAAAGACCAAATGTGAAATCTCTCGTCACTTCACTTGTCACACTCCAGAAGGAATCTGATGTAGCTTCATACGTTCTTATGGGTATCCCCCATGAAACCGAGGCTGAGGAAGAGTCTCCGCTTTCTTTGACACCCTTTGGTGATGCATGCTTAAGAGTGGATCTTACAGCCATACAGGAAATACTTAGTAAGATTGGATACAAGGATGATGAAGGAATTGCCAATGAGGTGTTGATTTATTCCTTCCTTTCGCTCACGGCTTAGTCTTTTGCATTAGGGGGACTTGTTATGAATATGGTTTTATTTACCTTCTCCTGCAGCTCTCGTTTCAAATGTGGACCAACCAGATGCAGGAATCTCTCAATTCGAAGAAGCAAGGAGACCTAGCTTTCCGTTCCAAAGATTTTACAACCGCAGTCGATTGCTACACTCAGGTAATATCTCTAAATGCAACACACCTCGAATTTTGATGCCAAGAGCCATCATAGGGCTAGACATCCAGTCATTAAATTGAAAAGGCTGGCTTGTTTTGTTGTATAGTTCATAGATGGGGGAACAATGGTGTCACCAACAGTACACGCACGGCGGTGCCTGTCATATCTGATGAACGAGAACGCACAAGAGGCTCTGACAGATGCATTGCAGGCACAGGTTGTGTCTCCGGAATGGGCAACCGCTCTGTATCTGCAAGCGGCTTGCTTGTTCAAGCTCGGTATGGAAGCCGATGCTCAGCAAGCTCTTAAGGATGGGACTACATTGGAAGCTAAGAAGAGTAACAAGCGCTGATAAATAGCGTTTTCAAAAGCTTTGTATATGCTTATTTTGTTCCCTCTCTCCGTCTTTCTCTCTATCACCATCTATATGCACATACAAACACATATATGTGGGTGTATTTATATACTTTTGATGCCTTGTTTGTATTTATGGTGATTTATTAGTGTGTCTCATGGGAAGATCTCTTTAAGAGATTATTTTCAGGCTCTGTCCATTTATCAATCACTTACTTTCCATTGAACATTCTTATGACTGAGACAAAACATTCATTATCATGTAATATGTCCATATTAATGTTATATTTTTCTTTAAACTTGTAAGTTTTGGTTTTCTTCTAATTCTAGGTTAAACTAGCCTTTTCCTCCGCCGTCTTGTGCATCTTTCACGATATGTCTTTGTGCAACTGTAAGATCTATCTCTATCTCTCGATGATTTATATGCTAGAGTCGATCTGATTCAGTTTTAGACCCTTAATTGGTAATTATTTATGCGTTTCTTAATCTGTAAAACCTTGCAGCAGCGAAAACTGTAGTGTTTTGGGACATCGAGGATTGCCCAATCCCTGATGGTCTCGATGCTCACGTTGTTAAGGATAATATTAGAATGGGGCTTAAGGAAAAGGGTTATCATGGTTATATCGAATCAGTGTCCGCCTATGGTGATTATCATCATATGAGGGATCGCTTTGGTGGATTCTATGTCATTCACTGGCCCGATAGTAAATTCCTTAATCTCTCTCTAATTAATTAAGTACACTATTTTCTCTTTTCTATCATATATATATGTATGTATATTGATCTCCTATACGTCTTTCAGGAGATGGGAGACGTACGATGATGTTGTTGGACTTTCTCAACTATAACTTTGGCAATCATAACTCACCACCAGTGAATTTGATGCTAATCCTTGGAGACATCTCAGGAGATATGGGGTTCATCGGTGCTATTCGGGCAATCAAAAGAAAGTGCAATGTTCTCTTATCACAGCCTCAAAACGCATCAAGTGTGCCTGGTGTACGTACAGGATGGCTTTGGAAAAGCCTAGCTACTGGAGAAGACCTTATCCACCGAAGCGAAAAGTCACCACCTCATTTTGATTGGTAACTAACTCAAGGGGTCGAAACTTCAGCCGAAGTTTAGTATATTGATTGCCTACCGTACCTTGCCAACGCTGTCTCTCATCATTAGCTCTTTTTAATTTATGGTTGTTTTTTTTTTTCCTGAGAACTTGTGAGTATTGTTGCTTGCTTTTGTTCCCAAGGCTGTCTCAGCTAAAATCTTACGAGTTTTTATATCATCAGAAAATTGAAAAGAATAAATCTCTATCTCCTACAAAATTTCTTCTGTATAATTTTTGTAGGAAATTAATTATAAGAAATATTTCCTATAGTAGGAAATTTACTTCCAATTTGTGTAGGGTTCATGTCATGCAGACATAACCATCTGCGACGGTTGTGGCTCAGTAATGCTATTAAAATCTCTAAAAAGGACAAACGATGGTTTGGTCGGCGGGAAATAATGGAATGATATGGCTCTATAACCATATTAACCCTTAGTTGCACACATTTTTGGATCTTTTTATATAAATCAAATATATAAGAATGTTATATTTTTCTTTAAACTTGTAAGTTTTGGTTTTCTTCTAATTCTAGGTTAAACTAGCCTTTTCCTCCGCCGTCTTCTGCATCTTTCACGATATGTCTTGGTACATCCCTAACGGTAAGACTCTAAGATCTATCTCTATCTCTCGATGATTTAATTATATGATTAAAAGCTAGAGTCGATATCTGATCAGTTTCAGACTCGTAATTATTTATGCGTTTCTTAATCTGTAAAAACCTTGCAGGGGCGGATTTTTTAGTGTTTTGGGACATCGAGGATTGCCCAATCCCTGATGGTCTCAGTCCTTCGGATGTTGAGGATAATATTGCAATGGCGCTTAGCGACAAGGGTTATAGTGGCATTATCAAATTAAACTCCGTTTTTGGTGATTTTCACGATATTATTAGCGATGACTTTGCTGGATTCTGTATCAACAACTGCCCCGATAGTTAATTCCTTAACCTATATTTTATTTTTTATTTTTGTTGTGACATCGATTATATTACTTAACTTGAACGTGAACTACAATAGTCAGCATAAAAAGAACAAGTTATTTACATTTGTGATGTAGAAACGAAAAAGAAAACTTGAATCTTGAGGTATTCCTGACTTTGAAAGTTCAAATATCACTCTCTTGTGACCTTGATGACTCCAGCTATGTTGCATAGCCTGAACTAGTGCTTGACATTCACTCTCCAAAGCCTATCTCTAATTACACTCTTTTCTCTTTCACTCATATGTCTATATTTTGATGTACGTTGGTATACGTCTTTCAGGAGATGAGAGACGCACGATGATGTTGTTGGACTTTCTCGGCTATGGAATTGGCAGCAATCGCTCATCATTGAATTTGATGCTAATCCTTGGAGACATCTCAGAAGACATGGGGTTCATCGGTGGTATTCGGGCAATCAAAAGAAAGTGCAATGTTCTCTTATCACAGCCTCAAAACATATCGGAGGTGCCAGATGTACTTACAAAATGGCTTTGGAAAAGCCTAGCTACTGGAGAAGACCTAAGTGAAAACTCACAACCTGCTCTCAGTCTGAATTCTAAATTCACAGCTGTCCAAATCTAAAGCTCACAACCTGTTGCGGATCCTTAGTTCTGTTGCACTAGTTGGTATCATGATTGCTTTTCTTTTTATAAGGATTCTGTCCAGAGAATGACCTAAGCATCTTTTTTGTTCTCTGTTTGTTATAAAACATATGATCATGGTTTTGTTTAGCTATATCTTGAATCTTTATGCTCTTTTAGTTATTCATTTCCCTTATAAGCTTATGTATTTATTGATCCTTGTTTGCAAATTTAAACCTAATGTTTCACAAAGAAGGATCAATGAACCTTAAATGTCCTTACTTTTCGGTTTTCTCTTGCCAAAAGGAATTGAATCCAAATTAGTGGTTTCAGTTGCGGGAATCCAATCAGCATTGTGGCATTTGCAAGAGAATACGGCACCCAAATATATGCGACCATGTTTGGTGAAATACGGACCTGAGTAAGAAAGTATTACATCTATGTAGCTGACCAAGTCAGCTTTCAGTAAACACTTCCGTTGACTTCCTCTGTATTATTCCTCTCTGCCTTTATATGTGTTGAGCAATATCTAATTCTTATGCGTAAAAAGGAAGGATAATTGTTCGCAGTCTCGGAAATTTACACTCAAACATAAGATAGAAAGACCACAGCCCGACAAAAGCAAACAAGTTTAAGCTTGACAACAAAATTGGAAGCAACAAAATTTTTGTGCTAGCAAAACCCACCCCCACCAACTTTAGTAATTGGAAGATCGTCTTAGCAGGAGGCGTCGAGACAGCCTTGGGGAAGCAAAAGCAACACAAACTAAAGCTCTAGCAAGCAAAGTAAAACTTGATATGCGACTTTCTCCCACCCTCCAAAGTATTGTCAACAGGTTCAGTTTGGACGATAAGGAGGTCTCCAACTGATAGTGTTTCCCAAAGACATTTTGTCGATATAGGAAAATTTGGCGGAACTGATTTGTTTTCAGGCTGTGCAAAGAGAACATTGAAACACTTCATGTTTAAACTGTTAATAGCAGCTAGGAAGGTGTTGTGTTCTCTGATATCTCCCAAGATTAGCATCACGTTTGCTGGTGAAGAATTGTCCATTGCCCATGTAAACATGTTCACTAAGATCTTCCGAAGTCTGGCATTTTTGTCTCCTGAAAGAAAGCATACATGATCTATATAAAACGCAGATCATATGTAAGCACAAGAAAAAGAGAGCAACAGAGTTTTTACCTGGTGAGTGATTGACCACGACTTGAGGAGGTAATTTATCCTTAACCTGGTTCTCATCCTCATAGATGGATGCCGCACCACGATAATCCATATTATCGGGGTCAGATGTGTTATATGCATCTCCTGATATATAGAAAGAAAGCATATATATATACATATAATCGTAGATGGATGGGGAGAAATAGTGCAAGAGAGTTTAGGGTACTCACCTTCTGTTTCGTGCTCGGCAATGACTGCGGATGGTTCAAGACCATCCACGATCTTATTCTTATTGCCATAAGCATAGATGGAAGCCCTACTAAAATACTTCATTCTCTTAAGTACCGATCTGATGTTCTTCGAAACCTCAACAGCATTGCTACCACTGGGAATTGGGCAATCCTCCACGTCCCAGAAGACGACCGTTTTTCCGGTTACGAATATCTTCATATGAGCAGGCACCGGATCATCATCAACAGTATCCATAGAAATCAGAGGCACAGAAGATTGAAAACAAAAGAGAACGAGAGAGGGCAGGAAATATCGGCTCATGCAGTAAACCCTACTTATATATATCCATTTTTAGTGGATCTGGGCCATTTTAACTAAAGCCCATTCTAATTAGTTGATAATCGGCACATTTTAAAATGCCGGACTAAAGAAAGATTGTAATAAGAAATGTGATTTTTTTTTTCTTTTAGCATTGAAAACAGAAGTGATGAGAATAAAAATGAACAAAAATTTCCTCCCATGACTGAAACCAATAACTTTAAGAAACGAGATAGATGCACATGGATACATATATTTATTTATCGAACAAGTAGACAAAAACAATGGTATCATAAAGTTGTTATTATACAGTACTGAAATGTTGATTATAAAACAAAAATCAAACTCACTCTGTATCCTCTTATATTTGATGATATCGGCATCAAATCATAGAAAATGTAAGATACGGTCCATTAAATATGGATCATCATCAATCCAAAATATTAATATAAAGTATGACGACACACATGTGGAATTAATGAACGTTTTACATAGGAGCCGGAGCTAGAGCAGGAGATGAGACGTCTTCGGAGACAGGGCCTGGGGCAACCTCGGAGACAGGGCCTGGCGCGGAGCCGGAGCTGAGGAATTCCAACATCGAACGGTGAGGATTCATCCGTTGAGCATCGCAGAGATCAGGTAAAAATACACCTGCATATAGTCAATTGGTACGACGAGTGCGTTGCCATGATAATAGAGAATCACTATTACTTAAATACTAATTATGTTAAGTGAAGCATAACCATCTATATAGCTCATACCGATATTCCTTGCTTTGACGATAAGAAATACCAAAAAACATGAAAGTGAGTTTCATGCATATGTGATTCTTACTTCATTAATAAGCCATGATAAATATCGTAATTTATAAACTTTCTACTTTTCTAGTTACGTGCGTCACTCTTGGAAAACTTTCTTATTTTCGTAAATACATTTTTTTCACTTATTATAAAAAATAAAGTACGAATTTCTCAACAAAACATGTTTCAAAGAAAAGAACATGTATGCATGAATTAATATTTTTTCTTTTTCAAGGTTTAAGGAAATATTATGGTACCTTCACCGGCGGCTAGATTGAAATAGAGATCAAGAATGTTAGGGCAAAAGTCCAAGCAAGCAGATGAGCAAAGCTTAGCGGCAAATCCTGCTTCCATCAATGTGTCCGATGAGATCCCTACGGTTTTCCGATCAACCCCACAAGCGGCAACGCACTCGTCGGTCTCCACGTGGTTTACAATCCCTTCCACGTCCACCGCGGAAGTCCGGCAAGTGAATTCTCCGGCGACATTAGCCGTCTCCAATATACATCTTTTCCCGGAAGCTGATATTGAGAACGAGCACATATTTGTTGGCAGATTCTCGCAAATAATGTTTTCCCCTACAGTTATAGAGAAGAGAAAACACACATAAGAATGGTTAAATATCAAAGATTCACATGAAGATTAACGCTTTCTTTTGATCTATGGTTTATCTTAAATCTGTCATGTAATTAGTCAAACTATGAAATCTAGGTTTCTTCCTGTGATGATCTAAAGACTGATGAAAATTTTCTATCAAAAGACGTCTTGAAGAAAAGAAATATGAATATGTTTGTACTAAACGTACCTATAGCCGCATGAAGAAGAGATGAAAGGACGAGAAAGATTGGCAATTTGAGGGAAGAAAAAGACATTGCTTCGGGTTTTTCTTTTCTCTCTTCTTCTCTTTCTCCTTTTCTTGATTTTTAGGGGTTAATGGTTTTGAACCTCTTGATGTTTCAAAGGAAAAGAGTAATATTGAGAGAACGTGGAAATAGGACGCGTATATGTTGAATAGATGTTGTGGGGTTTGTGTGTGTGTATATATACAAGAATGATTTGTATTTACTATTTCCTTATAACATTCTCTATATATGGTGTTACTATAATAGTAAGAATTTGTATTTTTTGTCAACTGTAGAAATTACATTTTGTATGGTAGTTGTAATTTTTTTATTTTTCTTGTGTTAGGTTCTTGCTTGGTCAGTGATATATGTTCTATAATTTTTCTATTTTGATGTCTTTGTAATCTAATCGATATTTGTATGCATATTTTGTGGAAATCACAGAAACATCATCAACTGGGACGTGGGTAATCCGATAAATTGTAATTTTGTTAATAAAATAAACCTAATTATAGTTTGTTCAAAGGTTGACAAAAGTTTGACTACGGAAGATGATTTATATATCATTACTCATTATGTGTTTTCAAACTCTTAATTTGTTTTTTTTTTATAACTTTTTTACTATACAGAGCTTAGTATTTTGGTTACCAGAGACTTTTGCTCAGATTCTTTGAAATCGTCAACATGATGGTACTACTTAATCTTTTAATGTTTGGAATAACGTAATCAAAATTATAAACAATTGTAAAAGATTTAGTTGGATTATCTTTTTCATTACAGGACTAAAAGACTTTTTCGGGTGAGGGGGTTTCTTGGAAGCAAAGCGACGTGCTTACAATACATGTCCTCACGTCCGTATTTGACTCAACGCGTTAGTTCAAGATAATATCCTTGCAATTTTTATTATCTCACTTAAACCTTGCTAGTTGCTACTGCCTTTATTGTGTTTACATACGAGTTCTCTTACTTGTTGATAAAATTTGTACAATTAGTAGTAATTGTTTTGGTTGAACTATATTAACTTTGGAAACTCAAGAAATTCATCCTAAAGACATTATAATGTGCTAAGTCTAATAGATCAAATTATTTTTAAAAAAAATTAAAAATAAAGAAGTCTAATAAATCTGCCACTAACTGGTTGTCTAACTTCTAACGTAAACGAATAAGTAATGATTTGATGCAGAGCACATCAGCCCGAATAATAAATTTCCTAGTGGTAGTACATGCATTACATCGATGAAACAGCCAACATTCTTTGACTTTTTTCTAGAATTATTTCATTCATCAATTCTACAATGTACTTGTTTTTAATTCTAGAGCAAGAAGTTTAGTTTGGTTTATACTTTATATGGCCACTCAAGCCTACACACACACATAAAAAAAAAATAAAAAAAAATCCTTTTGGATTGGCCTAAAACAAAAGTTTACATGAGGCCCAACTCCGTATTATCCTTGAAGGCCATTAACAATACAAAACTGGCCTATGCTTAATTGCTTATGCAGTTATGCTTATCTTTTGTTTAGGTCCGTAAGAGGAATGCCACGTGTCATTACACAAGATAAGTAGAACCCACATGAATCAAATCCTTCGTCCACCTCACAATCCGAATATCCGATCCTCTCTCCCTCCACCAAAACCAAACCTTCCAAAGTTTTTTTTTCAAAACAGCACAGAAAAAATGGCAGCAACCGCCGCAACAACGACGTCGTCTCACCTTCTTCTCTCAAGCTCACGTCACTTGGCGTCAGCATCTCAGCCTTCAATCCTTTTCCCGAGATCTCTGTTCTCCAATAACGGGAAACGAGCAACTAGTGGAAGAAACCATCATGTTGGTGGTGGAGTGAGGTGTATGGCGGTGGCGGCGGATGCTGAGGCAAAACCAGCGGTAAGGAAGAAGAGTGGATACGAACTCCAAACGTTGACGAGCTGGTTGTTGAGACAAGAGATGAAAGGAGAGATAGATGCAGAGCTGACGATAGTGATGTCGAGTATATCAATGGCTTGTAAGCAGATCGCTTCACTAGTTCAACGTGCCGGAATCTCTAATCTCACCGGAGTTCAAGGCGCCGTTAATATCCAGGGAGAGGATCAGAAGAAGCTTGACGTCATCTCTAATGAGGTCTCTTTCTTATACATACACACTTTAAAAGTTTTAAAAAGCAATTATTACATGCTAATGGGTGGATGGAGTATAAAGATTGAGTGGGTGGTGTGTACAGGTGTTTTCCAACTGCTTGAGATCAAGTGGAAGAACGGGAATCATTGCCTCGGAGGAAGAGGACGTGCCAGTAGCGGTGGAGGAGAGTTACTCCGGCAACTACGTCGTAGTTTTTGACCCTCTTGACGGTTCCTCCAACATTGACGCCGCCGTCTCTACCGGTTCTATCTTCGGTATCTATAGCCCCAATGACGAATGTATTGTCGACGACTCCGACGATATCTCAGCTGTATACTACTCTTCCTTTTATTTTTAGTTTTATCTTTAGGAGATAGAAATCGTACAATGTAAATTAGGTGACCTTTGGCTTATAATGTTGTTGCAGCTTGGGTCAGAAGAACAAAGGTGTATAGTAAACGTGTGCCAGCCAGGGAATAACTTGCTAGCAGCCGGCTACTGTATGTACTCGAGCTCAGTTATCTTCGTTCTTACTCTAGGCAAAGGCGTTTTCTCCTTCACGCTCGATCCAATGTATGGTGAGTTTGTCCTCACGCAAGAGAACATTGAGATCCCCAAAGCCGGGAAAATCTACTCCTTCAACGAAGGAAATTACCAGATGTGGGACGGGAAGCTGAAGAAGTACATTGATGACCTCAAGGACCCTGGTCCAAGTGGGAAGCCTTACTCAGCAAGGTACATTGGAAGTTTGGTCGGAGATTTTCACAGGACTTTGTTGTACGGTGGGATTTACGGGTACCCTCGTGACGCGAAGAGCAAAAACGGAAAGCTTAGGCTTTTGTATGAGTGTGCACCGATGAGTTTCATTGTTGAACAAGCTGGAGGGAAAGGTTCTGATGGACACCAGAGAGTACTAGATATCCAACCAACGGAGGTAACTCAAATTAAAATTAGACTTAGTTTCACTTTCTTGAATTTTGTTTTGATATGCTCTCTCTACAGCTAAGTGCTTACATCTAAAATTGGTGTCATCAGACTAATTCTTATGTTTGGGATACTTGACACAGATACATCAGAGGGTTCCACTATACATTGGAAGCACAGAGGAAGTAGAGAAGCTGGAGAAGTACTTGGCTTGACTCATGTACCAAACATAAGCCATTTAATTTCTATTGTAAGCCAATTTCTGACTACATGGTATATGGAAATAGATGCATAATGGTGAAGGTCCTATTTTGTTGTCAATATCAATATAGAGAAACCAGCTGTTAAAACAATAGACCAAGCAAACCAAGTTTAATTTATACATGTAATAGATACTAGTTAATTAGGAGCGACCTTAGGGGATAGCATTTTCATATTTCACAGATCATTACAAGCATTAGCACTGAGCAGCATAGTTAGGCAAAAGCAGAGGATCTTGCATTGGTGGTCTTGTCTTGGAGTCAATGGTAGTCTTCAAAATCAGTCAATTGTCTGTCATGTCACTCTCTGCCTTCAAATCTTGGCTGTGTTAAGAGAAGAATGGCTCGAGTTAGGGAGATGATCAATATATCTTGAAAATCTAGAATGATCACATCAAATGGAGAATGAGAAAGCGAAAGTACCAGGATTCGAGATACGATTGCATTGTGTTATGGAATTTGTAGCAGTCTTGGCATCATCTCCTGCAAATGAAGCATCAAGAATGAGTGAAAATGGCAAATGTATATCTATACTCAAATGCAGACCAGAGAATTCTCACCTTGACTGCTCATGTCTTTCCCTTGAATCACTTCAGTCACGGTTGATGTATATTCCAAAAAGGCCTGGTCAGACTCGAGATTAGCATCCCCTGATTCAGGAGAGGACCTGTAATTAAGATAGCGTATGATCAGACATCAAGAGATAACATCCATTCACAAAAACTGATCCTATAAAACAAAGCAAATACCCTGAAACAGTTTCAATGGGTTGATTTGGGGTCTGTGACAAGCAATGATTTGTACTTCCTTCACAACCAAGATCGAAATCAACTAGTAGCTCCGAGAGTGTGAAGTTTTCACCCAAGAAATCCAGATTAGAAAAGTCCATGTCAAATAAATCAACTTCTGGCTCAGACCCGGATGGAGAAGTTGAAACTAAATCTGTACAGGCAGGTGCCTCTAAGCACATTTCTGTATCAGCGTCATCAAAGTTGAGCTTTCCTTTCACATGGTCTCTCTTATTTGACATCTTAGAGTTAGACTTAACCGGCGAAGAAGAAATAAGATGGCTTCTTTCCACTGAATAAGAAGTAATTTGCTTGAGAGGGCTGATTGTGAATCTCTCCTTTGTAACAATTGTGCAGTTTGTAGGAGTAACTTCTTTCTGGGGACTGTTGGACTTATCACTCCCAGGAGAAGCATGTTTTTGTGGTGTCCTAAGGCATGTTGAACTAGTTGGAACTGACGAATCAGCCTTGTTGAACAAGCACTTCACCACACTTGACCCATGACCATTCAATTCATTAGATGCAGAGTTTTTGGCCAATGCTAATGCTTCAGATGGGGTTTGAGATGAGAAATTGTTAGCTGCTTTATCAGCTTGTGGGATCTTATTAGTCCCTAGTCCAAGAGAAAAAAAAAAGACACAAAATTAGTTTAAGAGCTACACCAAATGAAATAAACATGTAGGCACAGAAACATACCAGTTGCTGTAGAAATCCGCGCTTTCCTAGTTACCGGAGGAGCTCTTACAGAAACTTCAGGACCTTTTCTTTTCCCGGTAATAGACTGACTGGTCGAAGGTGTGGAAAAATTCCCAAAATCGACTCTTTTGTTACCTAGCAATGATACTGACATAACATTTGGTGTGTTGTACTGAGTTAAGCCTGAAAAAATAAGAAAGCCTGCCCTATTAGTTCTCAAGTGACAAATTTTGTGCCAAAATGTGATGCTTCTAATAAGCCTATTATGTGCATAAAGGTCTAATAAGCAGACAAGAGCTAGAGCTACTTCATTCAATAATGTGGAGCACATGACAAGATCAAAGATCTAATTCAAGCTAATCATTCCAAATTAGAGCAGCTAAAAAAAACAAAATCTCCAAACCTGAAGAAGAAATGCTGTGTTTTTTCTGTTGAGAAATCGGAGCTGAAGCCGGAGGAGGAGGAGGAGGAGCGGTGAGGCTAGCGTTGTAAGAATTCATCACATTTTGCATCCCCTGCAACAGATTTTGAACCCTAATTTTCTCTTGATCCAATTTCAGTCTCTCTTGATCAAGACTCACTTTCTGCATCTTTAGAGATACGTAATGGTTCAACATAGCATCAAGAGTCATCAAACTATTCGGAACCTGCGAATGAATCCCCAAAACAAAAACAAAAAGTAAGAAAAAAAATCAAAATCCCATAGATTTTTTCCAACTGATTAAAAAATAAATGAATACATACTTGGCGAATTGGGGAGTTGGAGATGAGAGAAGAAGCTTCAGATCTAAAGAGGTTTCGGGTTTCTAAGAATCGATTGTCGTAGAGATAGCGATCGACGATAAAAGCAATTTGCGTTGGGGTAACTTCACCTTTCCCTATGATACTTGATCCTTTGGATCTGCTCGATTTCCCCATTATTGCTATGTATTCTGAAAAATCGAAAACCCTAATTAACACGAAGATGAATCAATAGAGAGAGAGCGAAGTTGAAAAGACCTGAAGATGAATGGGTTTTAGTAAACTAGCAGTAACAAGCAGCGGGAGATATTCAAAATATCCTCTAGAACGGTGTCGTTTTTGAAAATTTTGCCGGGATATTGTTTTCACCTGTTTGTGGCGGTAACTTGATTAATCCACATCTCTAACACTCAGTTAAGGTCTAACAATTTTTTCATATTGAAAAAAGAGGAAAAAAATGTATTTTATACTCTTTGTTTTATTTTATAAGAGGTTTTGGATGAATGCTTGGTGATATATATATAAAGATAATTTAAATGGTGCACAGAATATTTTTTTAAAAATAATAAGAATTTGATTGAAACAAAAATAATCTCATAACGCAAGAGGGAATGAAACCTAACATTAAAGAAAATTTTAATAAAATGCGTTTTACTGTTTTAGTATATTGTACTGGGAATTAAACGAATAAGAATAGTATTTTTGGGGTTTACCACAGTCCACAGTGACAACAAAGAAAGGAAACGAGGGAGACAAAAGTTGATACCTTTAACGCTTTTTCACATTGTCCAAGTGCTTAACCCACACCTCTATGTTCTTTCTCTCTCTTCCCCCACCACATCACTTTACTCTCCTCCATCAGAAGAGATCTCACCTCCCCCATTTCAAAACCCTAGAATTCAATCACAAATTCCACAACCATAATCTTCCATCTTCATTAATGGCGAGCTTCATTCTCTCCAGGTCACTCCTTGTTCTACTCCTGATTGTCATCTCATTGTTTTCCATAATCACCATTTCAGAAGCTGAAACATCGTTCTCCTTCACAAGTTCCGGTAAAAATGCGAGCTTTGAGTCCGACGACTTTGCCCTGTACGGCGAAGCTAAGCTCGTGGACGGCGGATCTTCGATTCAGCTGACTGACTCAGTGAGTCACGGTGGTGGGCGAGTCATCTACAAGAAACCCATTGAGTCCGTGAAGAATATAAACGAGTACTTCGCCGGATTCTCTACTTTCTTCTCTTTCTCAATTTCTCCTAATCGTGGTGGGAGACTCGGATTTGTAGTGTTTCCTGTTAATGAAACGTTTGATCACTCTTTATTCCAAGTAAAGTTCGATACTTCTGAAAATCTCACCCAAATTGGAGATTCTTATGTCGCGGTGATTGTTGATGGTGCTACGGTCTCTGAGAAGATTAGCAATTTCACGATTGCAAACTTGGAGAAGACGGAGAAAGTTTTGTTGTACGCTTGGATTAATTACCAAGCTGGTGGCAAGTTCTTAGAAGTCCGGTTAAGCAAATCAAAAAGCTTTGAATCTGTTCTTCCTCTGATGTTTGATCGGATTGATTTGTCACAAATGTTGAAACATGAGGATGAGTTCATGGTTGGTGTGAATTCGTATAGTGGGAATGTAAATCTTCATTCTTGGAGCTTAGAAGTGAGACACTCCGAGTATGAGCACTCTTGGGCGCCGGTGCTTTTGGAGGAACAACTTAGAAAAGAGGAGGCTGCGAAGAAGAGAAGAAGTGATAGGATGAGGGATATTGTGACTTGCTTAGTCATGACCTTTGGATCTACTGGTCTTGTGTTCTTCGCCATGATGCATATATGGGCAGCTTTCAAAAGGAACAATCTTGCAATGGTGATGCAGGAAGAATGTGGGATCAAGACCAAGGAGTTTGAGTATGAGAAGATGGAGAAAATGGAAGTTGTGATGAGTAAAGCTGCTGCGAAACAAGAAAGGAAGTGAGAGTCATGTTTGGTGATTTTTGTGTGTTTAGGATATGTGATCTTTTATGTAATCAAGTAGAGTCTTGGTAACTAGTTTATCCACGAGGTTCTTCATTGGCTAATGTAGTAGTCCCCTTATTTTCATGTGTGTAAGCTTTGCAACGTTATTACTTATTTGGCATTTGTAGTTTGATTTGGCATGTAAAAATGTGAGAAGAATGTTGTAGAATTCACACCAAACTTGAGTGCAAGGGATACTCGTTTGCAGTAGATGGCAAAAACAAATTCCAACTCCTACACAAATAGATTTGTAACTAATCATCGTTTTTAAGAACACAGTGTAGTTTATCTTCATCTAGACAAAATCTTCAACCGGAGATGAGTTTCAAGACGATGACTGCTGTGTTAATGAGCATGAGGGGTAGTCTCATGTACTGGCAGGCATGGATTAGACCGATGATTTGGCCTTTGGGGGAGTTTCTTCTACCGGTTTGGTGGAGTTCTCCGAGTGTCCATCCTCTTGGAACAAGGAAACGGTCTTCGTTGAGGATTGCCAGTGCATTTGCAAAGAGCAGCAGGCCTTTTAACAATGTCCAGAAGCCCATTGGTCTCTGTGATGCATAGAGCTCAAAATGATCAGAATCAGGGAAAGAGAGTGGAACAAAGTTGTCTTTTATTAGGTTTAGAAACACAATGAATGGACACTAAGTGCATGCAAGTGTAAGCTACTGATGTGTCCTGTAAATCTAAAGCGTCTATCGAAGAGAACCATGAAGATAGCAGTGCAAAATCTTGATTCTAACACATAAAGAGCCACCAGACAGTTTTTATTCTTTCCTTGCAATAATATCTAGAAATCTAAACAATGGCAGGACGGTCACCGAGCTAGCATTCCAAAGAGCCTTAACCTAGACATATTGTATATCAACACTTCTAAGGATATAGTAATCACATAAGCAACATAAGTATGCTTCATGAGAAAAGCAACAAGCTAGATCAACCCTAAGAGCACTAGATGAGATTTTCTTGAGGATCTGGTTCAACAAAAGTTCATTTGAGTCAATCACAAAATCTTGAATGATTATAAAAAAACGAATCCTCAGGCTTAGCAGTTGAAGCAATCAAAAGATTACTAAGTTCCATCACAATTAACAAGGGAGGAAGACAATCTAACATTGACCACTTTGTCTAAACCCAAATGTGGAAAGAGATAATAGAGCAAAATGCATACCGATCAGGCTAAGCTTGGTGCAGAAACGAAGAATACAAAATCCCAATTAACGCAGAACAATGTCAATAAAGGCATTAGCAGAAGAAATCATCGTTTTAAGCTATGTAGCAAATTACGCAGGAATCACTAAACCTTAAAACTGCTGATCTAAACGTGAGATCGAGACAGTAATTGAAGATCCAAGGTTTCTAATAGAAGAAGCAGCTAAACTAATCGATCGATTCCAACAAGGAAACGAAAACCCCAAATCTAGCAACAACCAGTGAAGAAGAAAATAAAATCGAGGAGCTGAATCGAGTGCGAGATTACCTAAGAAATCGTTCCGGCGATAACGACGGCCTGAGAAAGAGGGAATCGAATCCGTCGGTGAGATCTTTATCGGGGGTTTAATTTGTTTCTTCTTTAGAAAATCTGAAACTGATTCTTCCGCCTTAAGTAAAAACCCGAACCGGGTTAGGGTTGACCCGGTTTGAATAAAATCCGGGTCAGGACCCGATATGATTTTTTTATCGAAGAGGAAGATTTGGATAAACCCCGACACTGAAGTAAAAACCCTCCCATGGCTTCTCTTCTTCTTTTTCCTCATCTTCACCATTTTGATTCTTCACTAGATCGTAGAGAGATAGTAGTAGTAGCTCGCAATTCACCAAAACCAAGGCGATTTCTCACTCCGAAAGCTTCAATTAATGGCGGCGGAATCACTAACGGAGCTGCGGCTGCAACCACCGCTAAACCTAGTCGCAAAGGGAGGAAGAAGAAGCAAACCTCGACGATAATTGAAAAAGATAACACCGAGAACGATGCTACCGAGACTGATCCTGAATTGAATCCGGAGTTATTGGATTACGACGACGGGATCGAGTTTCCGTACGATGATCCGCCTCTTGTGTGCTGTTTCGGAGCTGTACAGAAGGAGTTTGTTCCGGTGGTGCGAGTCCATGATAATCCGATGCATCCTGATATGTACTCGCAGTGGAAGATGCTGCAGTGGGATCCGCCGGAGTTTGGGCGTGCTCCGGGAGGTCCGCCGTCGAATGTGGCGATCTCTCATGTTCGTTTAGGTGGGAGAGCGGCGTTTATGGGAAAAGTCGGTGAAGATGATTTTGGGGATGAGCTGGTTCTGATGATGAATCAGGAGAGAGTTCAGACGAGAGCTGTGAAATTCGAGGAGAATTCTAAAACTGCTTGTACTCGTGTCAAGATCAAGTTTAAGGACGGGAAAATGAAGGCGGAGACTGTGAAAGAGCCACCGGAGGACTCGCTTCTTGCTTCAGAACTCAATTTAGCTGTGCTTAAAGAGGTACCAATCTTTCAATCTAGGGTTTATGAGGAACAATTTCAATCTAGGGTTTATGACATGATAGCTCGAGCTTGGTTTCTTATGGCTGTCTTGCGCATAAATCTTATTGCAAATGACTGGTTTCTTGTTCGTATATGATTTGGATAATGAGTCAGAGCACCTCTGCTTGGCTTTTAAGCTTTTTGTTTGTTACTGGTGCTTCCAATGCAGGCAAGGATTTTTCATTTCAATTCAGAAGTGTTGACGTCTCCTACAATGCAATCAACTCTTTTTACGGCAATACAATGGTCTAAAAAGTTTGGAGGGCTTATTTTCTTTGACTTGAATCTCCCACTACCGCTATGGAGATCGCGCAATGAGACTAGGAAGTTGATCAAGAAAGCATGGAATGAAGCAAACATTATTGAAGTTTCACAGCAAGAGCTTGAGTTTCTGCTTGATGAAGATTACTACGAGAGGAGAAGAAACTACACACCACAATACTTTGCTGAGGATTTTGATCAGACGAAAAACAGAAGAGACTATTACCATTACACACCAGAGGAAATCAAGCCATTGTGGCATGACAAGCTGAAGCTATTGGTTGTGACTGATGGAACACTTCGGCTTCATTACTATACTCCTACTTTTGATGGAGTTGTGGTTGGAACAGAAGATGTGCTTATAACTCCTTTCACATGTGATAGGACAGGTTCTGGTGATGCTGTTGTTGCAGGGATAATGAGAAAGCTAACAACTTGTCCTGAGATGTTTGAGGACCAAGATGTGTTGGAGCGACAGCTCCGGTTTGCAGTTGCTGCTGGGATCATAGCGCAGTGGACAATTGGTGCAGTTAGAGGTTTCCCTACTGAAAGCGCTACACAAAATTTGAAAGAACAAGTTTATGTTCCATCAATGTGGTAGAATAGAGAAGATCAAGAACTCAACTTGTGTACTCAATATTTTTGAACAATGTGTGAGATGTATACTGATTCAAATTTGTAATCCAATGTACAATCAATTTTTGAGTTCACTGATGAGCAGCTGATCTCTGTTTTGTTCTTTTCAGCTTCACAAAAATGTTCTGGCTGTCTAAATCGACTTTCAGTGTTTGACGTCGGAATCTCTGACTGTTTTTGGTTACTGTATCGCCATTATCTAAAAGCACTCTTCTTCCATCCATGTCTTTGACTTAATTTTTTCCAGAGCTGAAATTGTTTCTTTTCAATAAAGAAATAAATCTAACTGTATAGATACAAAATCATACAAATGCAATCAGATCAACAATGAACAAAGAGATATGATTTCAATTAAATTTTATATTATTCCTAATTCTAATTACAAAACTTTCCAACAATGAACAATGCAATCAGATCTTGCATTTACAAGTGTCACGGACTTTTTTTAATTTTCACTTTGATTTGCGACTATCCATACTAAATGAGAGTACAAGCCAAATATTCAGTTAAATATCAAAGATTTTGTTTTGTCAAAACTTCTGTTTATATAGATTTTGGCAGAACAAAATCTTTGACATTTAATTGAATATTTGACTCGTACTCACAAATACGGAAAATCAATTAATGATAAAAGAAAATATCACAAAGACCAAAAGTTGTATAAATATAGCCTCTTTCCAAGATCTAAAAAATCCAGAACATCTTAATCTCTCAATAGTTTTAATACAAAAAAAAAAAAATACTATGGGAATTACAAAAACTTTGGTGACTTTTTTACTCGTTGTAATATTTGCAGTTTCGTTGTCCAACCACAACATTTTGGCCTCAGGTATGTTTATATATTGTTTTGTTATTTTAAAATCAGTATTGATCATTTTAAGAGCAATAATAAAGATGCAAAATTTGTAATGTCTTTGTGTAGGTGCAGAGATGGACAAACTCTCATTTGACCACTGCAGGGTTTTGTGTTCAGATAGCTACGGATGGTTTGAATGTAATACTGATTGTTTAGGGCGTGGTTTTGCAGATGGGCAATGCGCTACTCGTTCTCCCAAAGAGCCTAAGAGATGTTGTTGCCAATGATCCTAAATCGCTTGTCAAAATATATAAGATAATATTCTCCCTATTAAGTGTTGCATTTGTTTTCTAGAAGCTATAGGACTTAAATTTTCATCTCGTTGGTTTGATGAAATAAAAACGTTTCTAGTAATATAAAATGTATTCTTTATCAAACTTGAATAGCATAATAAATAGAATAATGCCGGATTTCCTTCTTTTTGTAAGCTCATTAGTCAATGACTCATTGATTTATCATATTATTACATATTTTGAATATAAAGATGAATATGGTGAAATTTAGTCAAAGTTATAACTTATAATTTACTATAGAACTTTAGAAAAAGAAAATTTATTGTTGAGGCCTCTGAAGCCGGTGATCAACAATACAGTAAAACCTCTATAAATTAATAATGTCAGGACTTAGAAAATCTATTAATTTATAGAGGTATTAATTTCTCGTTATTAATATATAGAAAGATTTTACTAATTTTTTAATTTATTAAAAACATTATATCTGAAATGCAGTTTTTTTCTTTATAATAATCAATATATTTCTAAAATCAATTACAAGTAGAAAACAATTATTAAGTTTAGAAAACAACACAAACTTTTTTCGATAAAGTAAAAATATATTGAACTCTACTAAGAATTAATACAAATTTAAGATAAACAAACAATACTAGAATCATATTTCACTAGAGTCATATATATTTATATATATATTGATAAATTTATACAATTATTAATTTATGATATTAATGGGACCATATGTTTACATATGATTTTCAAAAAAGTTAGTATCTTATTAATTAATCGATTTGTGTCATATTTTACATTGGTCCCAACTCGGGACTGAAAAAATTTATTAATTTATAGAGCTTATTAATTTATCGAGTATTAATTTATAGAGGTTTTACCGTAAATTACAAGGACAAATCCACACATATAGGGAGAAAATGACAATTTTGGTAATATTTTAGGGGGTGTTATTCGTTAGTGGATATTAATAGAGTTTAAGTCTAACTCAAATCTAATGTTATTGGTTCTCAGATTGTAAATACAGATTTCAAATTAAGTGTTATTGGTTCTCATATTTCTAATATCTATATTAAAAGAGTTTGAAATCTAGTGTTATTGGTTATCATATTTACAATGATCAATTAAAGTTTCATGTTATTGGTTGTTTGACAAATTTTCACAAATGTTTTGATTTGAAAAGATATGAAGGAATCTGAAACTGATTTCATGTGTAAATTATAGCAATCAAAATCCTACCTTCTACTCAAGATTTTCACTATCATATTTTTATAATTATAAAATCTCATTTATGAGAATAACCAAAAATTCTTTTTTTTCCTTTCACGTCTTCTCTCCTTCTTCTCGACAAAGTGTTCCCCAAGGTACTCTTTCAATAGTTTTTATGTGTTTTTTATAGTTTTTATTTTTTATTTTTTTAAGGTTGTTTTCACGTTGCATTTTTTGAAGTTTATTTTTAAAGTTTTAATTTGAAATCACCAAAGTTTGATGAGTAAATTCTTTAGCATATTTTTTTGTTAAAACTTCAAAACATTAGAAAAACTTGAAATAAGAAAAGAAAAAAATGGTCAAAAGTTTTGTTGGACTTCGGGTAGATTATAAAAATCATTTGTTATTGAATTCAGTTCTGTTATAGAAAACCAAATGAGATCACGTATCATTGAAAATACACTTCCATGTATTTGACAAAATGAATAATGGTTCACTTTCAATGAACCCAAAACATTTGAAATCTGATAAACTTTAACTCTAATGGAGTTGACTTTAACTTCACTAACGAATAACACCCCCTTAAATTGTAACTTTGCAAAGTAGAAAGGACGGGATAAATCGAGGGATAATTAGGTTAAAACTTCTTCTTTTTTTTTAATTAGGTGAAAACTTATGCGAAATGTGCTCGATTATGATCAACCATTGTTTTTTTCAATTTAGTAAATAGGTCTTGCATGAGGCAAAAATACAGCATAACGCTAGTAGAATATGAATTATGATACCCAAAACAGAGAAATTGGAAAAAGAATGTCTTTGTGTGGGTTTTCTCTTTTTATAAACAAGAAACTTGCTTCATAGAAATCGTCACTTCTCTTTTACGTATATTCTTTTTCTTTTTAAGTGTTGCGTGTTTTAAGAATGTTGCGGTAATATTTACTCATTTAAAAGAGTTAAGACAAAAGGATCAATGGTTTCATTTTCACTGTTTTTTAAGGCCGGCGTATCATCTGGACCTTGATACTGTTGAATAGCTTGAAGGTTACTTGAACAAGCAAAGACAGTGCCAATTTTTCTTGATAATATATGTACATAGGAGAATCTGAGTGTGTTGAAGAATTTTGAGGGTAATAACTTTCAATATCTCAATATCTGATGTCCAAGAAATTTTTTCAAATTTCAGTATGCGTATAAAAAGATTGAATTAATGTACAATCAATTTTTGAGTTCAGTCTGGCTGATCCAAATTCTTGATGCTTCTCATGAAAGGAGAATCGATTCTACAAGCTGTCTGAATAGGGGGGTACCTCTGTTTCCTATATTGTCAAAACGCTATAAACTCGAAGCAAGTTGTTGTATCATATTTGTCCTGATTCACGACAGCATTCTTTGGTGTTTGACATATGAATCTCTGACTGTTTTTAGTTACTGTAATACTAACTAAAAGAACTTTTCTTCCATGTCTTTGACTTTATTTTTTTACAGAGCTGAAATTGTTTCTCTTCAATAAAGAAAAAATTTAACTGTGTAATTTTCATTTTGATTTGCTGCTAAATGTTATTACGTGGTTGAAGACAAATCAAAATGAAAATTAAATCAAAGTCGTTGACATTTAGTGTGAAAATCGCACTTTTTTTTTTAGTGGTGATGATGTTAGCACAAAAGACTTATAATTTCAATTAAATTTTATATTACTACCTAATTATAATAAATAAAAAAACTTTTCAACAATGAATAATGCAACCAGATCTTGCATTCACAAGTGTCACTGATTTTTTTATTATTTAATTTTCACTTTGATTCCGAATATCCATACTAAATGATAATACAAGCCAAATATTCAATTAAATGTTGAAGATTCTTTTTTGCCAAAAATTGATTGTTACTGACAAAAACGGAAAATTAATTAATAATAAAAGAAAATATCTCAAAGACCAAAAGTTATATATAAATATAGCCTCTTTTCAATATCCAAAAAATCAAGAACATCTTAATCTCTTAATAGTTTTAGTACCCAAAACAAAACAAAACAAAAATACTATGGGAATTACAAAAACTCTGGTGATTTTTTTTCTCGCTGTAATATTTGCAGTTTCATTGTCCAACCACAACGTTCGGGCCTCATGTATGTTTAAATAATGATTTGCTATTTTAAAACCACTATTTATCATTTTAAGAGTAATAATAAATATGTAAAATTTTGTAATGTCTATGTGTTTCTGAGTATAAGTATAGCATAAGACATGCCTAAAATTCAGTTAATACTATAGTATTATTTAGACTTGTTATATAACTAATTAACAATATATAAGGACTTCTTATGTTTGTTCGATTAATATTTATGTGGGTTTGTGTAGGTGCAGAGATGGAAAAAATCTCATATGACAACTGCAAAACTTTGTGTACAGATCGTTACGGATTGTTTCAGTGCATTACTGATTGTTTAGGGCGTGGCTTTGCAGATGGAGAATGCGCTTCTCGCTCTCCCAAAGATCCTAAGAGATGTTGTTGCCAAAGATCCTAATCGCTTATCAAAAAATATATATCCCTAAAGATAAATCATCTCCCTAATGAGTGTTGCATTTGTTTCTCTAAACTATTGGACTTAATTTTTTCCCTCGTTGGTTTGTAATGAATGCAATGAAATAAAATAAAATAACTATTTATTATAATACCTATTCTTCTTTTATTTCCTGACCTCTAGTTTATATAAAACGTATTTTAATCAAATTTAAGTAGCAGATAATGCGGATATATTTACCTCCTATTTTTGTAAGCTCATTAGTCAATAACACATTATTATCATATTCGTGACATAATGAATACAATAAAAACACTAAGGATTTCCCCAGGCGTGACACCTCAGCATTTTGAGCAATTCTCAGCATGACACATCATTAAAATCGTCATCTAATAAGAACATTTCGATTAATACAGCTTATCATCTTCGTCCAATAATAATCCTTCTTTTTTCCATGTCATTCTCTCTCACTAATAATGTTTTCTGTTACAAGCCCAACCCAATTATTTTTGTTTGTAACCAAAATAAATGCCCAAGAAAAATAGTAAAAAAACCCAAATCAAACCTCTCTAAATATTGTCGATGCTCTAAACTGGAAATAAGACGATGTCCATGGCAACGAGGAAGGTGTCGAGCAACGCACACCCAACCACCAGAGGAGAGAGAAGGAGCAGTTCAATTACGACACCGGAACCCTAATCAGATGTTAATCAAAGAGGAGGAACAATAGTCTCAAACGATTGCATATGATTTGGCCACCAATATGAAACTTGATGGAGTTAATTGATATGAGGTGTTACGGTGGAGAGGATGGTTTCGTTCCATCCAAAGGGAGTATATAGTCAGCTTGCCAAACCATATTACAAGTAAAGAAGGTATATGTTTCGAATTCTCCTTGCATTAAAATAGATTTAGATTCTTTTTAAATCGTTCGTGTCTATCTAGGATTAGAGAGGGTTCACGAGAAATTGAAAAAGGGTGAGATTGATGATTCTGCTGTTAGTGTTATCAATATTGATTAATTAATTAAATAGCTCTGTTTGAATACCTCCATCGTTTTGAATTCATCTCATATTTGTTTTGGGTTTCAATTGAATAACTCTGTTTGTATTTTAATTTTTTTTTTTGTTTATCTTGATTATGAGTTTGCTATTTAGACTAAAGGGGACTAACTTTTGCGAGGTATTGGGATAAAAAACTGAGAAATTATTGGTTGTTCTATCTTGCTAATGTGTTATTTCTTTTTGTTCAGGGAATATTTATGTTATCGTAGCTTGGCTTCTAAATCTGATGCAATCTCATTTTTTCCAGATTTGCATTGGTAAAATTTACATGTGTTATTATCACACTTCACATAATTCAGATTTGTATAAGTGTATTATACATTAAGAGATGAGATTTTGAATTTTGATCTAATGTTTGTGAAAATGTGTTCTAATGTTTCCTAACTGGTATTTGGTCTAATGTATGTGTCCTATATAACACATGTTTTAGTTTTATTTGCCATGGTTTCTACTCTGATGGAATATTCAAGCAAACTTATGTGGGTTCGCTGTGGATTGCTCTATCAAAGTTGGCCGCTTTAGCTATTCTTTTGCTTATGATAGCTCAAGTGGTCTTCACAGCATTTGCTTTAAAAAGCGGCAAAAAGGGTTGATTATCCATTATTATTCTTGGATTTTGTGTCATATTCTTTTGTTGTGTTTGTTGGATGCAGCGCATCTTGACTTGCTTTCCTCATCGGCATGTGTATCGGCTATTACATGTTTGATGGTTCTGTTTCTTGTGGCTTTTCCATTTTCTTTCAAGTCCTTTTCCTAATTCACGTTTGGTTTGGAATGGTTTTGTTTATGATTCAAAGCCCTGTGTGGCGTCTAGCTTTTAATTAATTATAAACTTGGGTTTGTAAGAGTACGTTTGATTTTTATAAAAAGGGTCGTGAGAGAAGTTCTCCAATATATTTGCGTATATCCCATATTTCTTCGTCTAACAGAGTCAAAGATGAGAAAAAATGGAGATGCTATTCACACGAAAGCCTGACAATAGATGAATGTGTATGAATACGATGAACAACACGATCAACAAATCAATCTGCACCAAATTTAAGAAAAATTTAGAGAATAAAGGCTTGACTCGAGACTCTTTAGTATGATTCAAACTATGCTTGGGTACCATAAGTAATTTTAACATAAATAATCTAAGGTTCTTGAAGTAGAAACATAATAGTCGCTGAAAAAATATTTACATACATCACAACATAAAAAATCTAACATTTGCAAGAAGTTAAACATATACTAAAATAATAAAATAAAACCAACAAATACAAAAATTGACGATGCGATATATTTCTTCCGTAAAAGTAAGATATAAAAGTTATTTATCAATGTATGAATATATAAAATAATAAAATAAAAACAACTAAAATACGAGCAAAGGTAAAATACAAAATCCGAAAAAACTTTTAAATTTCTACAATAAATACTTATAAACTACTTGCGGCTTAAACCATTTGTTAAATTTATACCTTCTGCATGTTGTTCTCTAAAAATCACTTGATGTCAAACAACTACTTCAAAATAAATTTTTTTTTGAAAAAATCTCGCAGCGTAGCGCGGGTTTCGATCTAGTTTGAATATAAAGATGAATACGGTGGGATTTAGTCAAAGTTAGCATTTACTATTATGTCAAATGCTATGTCTTTGTTTCTTAAACGTTCATCTGAAGTTTTTAAAAAATAAACTATATATTCATTGTTTGTGACTTTGAAGCAGGTGATCAACAATAAACTGTAAGGACAAATCCACAAGTATAGGAAGAAAATGGCAATTCTTGTAATATTTCAAATTGTAACTTTGCAAAGAAACTAGAAAGGTCGGGTTAAATCGAGGTATAATTAGGTGAAAACTTCTGCGAAATGTGCAATGTTTTACAAGTAGAGCCTAGGGAGAAGGGGTAAGTAATTTAAGAAAAATGTTCCTCCATAAGACATGATATTTGCTTGAGAGAATGATAGAGTTTGGATATATACTTACTTCTTAACCAATGTTAGTTGGTTTTTCTACATGCATGCTAAAATCGGCTAGCTACATATTGCATTAAAAAACAGAAAAGATCGTAGATACCACTAGCAAATTCACTCTGTTTTGGTTGATATCATTTACGAGAGCACTTACAGAAAGGTCTTTCGAAAAAAGGTTTTTTAATTGTTACCACACAAAGCTCTGTGTGGATAAAAGAATGCCTTGTTTACTCTCTCTTTTTGGATTTTCCCTAGTTTTATTATATGATAACTTTTAATATGGAAAACATGGAAGAGGCTAAAATAGCAAGTGCTTCACGTCTTATTGAATGAAACCTGAGTAGGTTTGTAGTTTATCTATTTCATATCATACCCTATAATAACTAGATTTGGGTGGACATGTTTTCTATCAAGAATACAAAAGAAAATACTTTGTAATAGACGTGTACATAATAGAAATTAATTTTCTGGTTAATAAATATAGCAACTGAATATCATTAGGTATCTTGATACAACAAACAAACAAAGCAAAAAAAAAAAAAAAGACTAAAAGAGCAAGAAAACGCTGAAACTGAAATATAAAATAATCGAGGACAATCTAAAGTGAAACGCTCCTGCATGCTGAGATCCCCCATAATAAAAAGATGTGTTGCTCGACATCTTAACCTTGTAGTAGTCGGGGTTAGTTTCTCTTACCTTGAGGTCATAGAGCGGCTCGAAATCGCCTTTGCTCCTTGCGATTTGCAGGTCGCACATGTAAGCAGTTTTTTTAGAGCCGCTGTCTGGAAAATATCCAGACCCCATCTGGGTTGTCGTGTGTCGGTCATAACTGTTTTCGTTGACGATTTCACCGCCCCACTGCACAATCTCAGCATACTCAGTAAGACGGGTAAATATTTCTATTGGCCAATACCCGACAGGCGAGAGGACAGTACCATTGTTGAGCCCGACAGCCAACCACCAAAGACCGAAGTTTGGATCCTGCATTTATGTTTAATTATATGTTAGAAATTAGAAAACATTTATACAATTAAATAAAAAAAAAAAAAAATTAGTCTAATTAACCTTCCAAATCTGTATTGTAAGATCGGTTTGGGTGCCTCCAGAAATTGATGTGGGAGATATAGCACCTTCAATGACGATTGTGCGACTGGTTTGTATGAAACCAGCGCATCGGAGATTATAACACCATGAGATATTGTAGGCATCACTCTGCAATTTATATGCATGTAATCAAATTAATATTTGTCGATTAATTGATTTTAAGTATTATTTCATTGCTTTAGTCATATTTACATATTTTATTTAAGAAAACTAATATTTTGTAAAAATAAACAGTAAAAATTCATTAATACAATAGTTTTTTATCTTTTGAACCAAAAAAATACTAGTTTTCTCTTTCAAATACTCATTTATTTCAAAAATACAAGAGTTTTTGCTTCAGCTTCAACCACTCCATTTTCGATAATATTTAAAAGGGATAGCAATTGTAGCCCACTAACAATTGTTCTACAAAGTAGGCCCATACTATTTTACCCAACTTGAACCAGATAGAGCCCAATAACCCAACTCATGCTGGACAAGACGAAGACGATTCGATTTGATAATATCACAAGGGGTTTGTAAGAACCAGAGTTGAAAGTTCTAAATTAAATTTCATTCGCCACTGCTAATTTTAAACTTACACTCATACCGACTCTTATTAACCAGAGTTGAAAGTACTTATTGGATATATCGTATAAAAAAAATCGATTCAATATAATATAACTCCTTTTTTTCCTTCTAATTAGTAATATTTGGGATTAAAGACTTCATATTGAAAGTGAAATAAAGAAAATCACATATGCACATACCGTCCAGAATATAAAGAATCTCGGCTGGTTGTCAAAATACAGATGCGGATAAACCTAAACATTAAAATAAACAAATTTATAGTTATACTAATCTTACACAAATAAGATTCTGATTAAAATCAAATTTTAATAACAATAGTTACTTTGTATATTTTTGGCGGAAAATAAAAAAAAAATAACTAACCTGCCAGCCAGCTTCTATACTGTTGAGGTCATTAGTGTCATAAGACCCTGACACAAGCCAAATTTGGCCGAGACTGAATTCGCCAGCGTTTCCTATTTTTGGATGCCACACATTCATCGTGGCTTTTGTCCCATAAATCTTTGGTGGATTTTTCATAAATCCAAAAGCATACTGTAATCCCAAAAACAATAGACCAATTAGTTCTTTTTAGTTTAGCCATTGAAATATTGAAATGGTAATATCACAAGTTAGTTTTGAATATATAGATTTTCCTCCCCCTTCATTACCAATGTTCATCTGAATATTCCTCAGACCTCATGTTTGACACTTGTAGGTCCACTGGTTTTTGGGCATTTTATATAAAACTTGGCATGGTTAACTTTGTGATTAATTCAAAATTACTTCGAGCCTCTTTACCATGTTGGTAATTATAATTATCGGTTGCTATGAGCAGTATGTTTCTTTCTATAGTTTTTAATTAGTAATATTAGTTCTAACAATATCGGGTTTGGTTCGAATGACTTATTATATAACTATATGCAACGTTAGGGTCAAATTAATATTCGGTTCAAGCTAAGATTGATAATTTTGGTTCAATTTGATATGGTTCACATTTCACAATACATACATAATTAAAAATAAAAATAAAAAGATTTTGGATACTTGCCTCGTGTCCTCCAGTGACTCTTTCCGCTGCTCCGCTCTTATGGGAAACCACCCTCCGTATTGGAATCGTCCCTTCTGGACAACTCATTCCGGTATTGTGCCATATCTGCCACTTCCCTGCATCTTCGTTTTTTGCCATATTTGGAAAACTTGTTGGAGTTTCCTGAATTATTGTTTTAAAAATAAAATCTGATGATTAATTTGTTTTAAACATTAAGAAATATAACTATTCAAAATAAATAAATGACTTTATATATAACTAACATTAAGAAACAAACATACCTGAATTACGTGATTCTGAAGGAGGGGATGTTTAAAAGAAGGTTGATCTCTCATTCGGATGCAGTCAATTATGTCTCCATCTGGACTCTATTTATTTATAAAAAAATAATAGTATCAATATAGGTTGAATAAATAAGTCACATGATCAGTTTTAGAAAATGTAGGATTATAAGAAATAAAAGCAAATTGATTCTTCTTTTCATTTGAGCAAAGAAAAATTAATGGAAAAGCCATATGACAATGACGATGAGATCAGGTTATAACATTAAACCAACGTATTGAAATTTGTTTTTTTTTTCAATTTAATTATCAATTTGCTATTGTTATGTTTTGTTGTTTTTCACATTTAGCTTGCCCACAAAACTATAATTTATACTTAATTGTATTTAAGAATTTTTTCTATACGTTAACATCATTTATTACCAATACTGTGAAACAATATATATATTTTTAGCAATAATTTTATCCATATTTGTTTTGATAAAATTATCCCTTTCTCGGTCTCCGTTGTCAAAATTTATGGATATTTACAATTACCCTTTTATATAGGTATATATATCCAGTGAAATAAGTGAATAGTAAAATCTATATATATATATACTATAGGTTGGTTTAGTAATAATGGAGTAAAATCTATAAACTTACCTGGATGGTCATTAGTGGAGTTGAGATCACTCCTTGTTGAGTAAGGAGAAGTGATATCACAAGCAATATTAATGACCGAGTCATCATTAATGGTGATTAATGACTCCGAAAAATTAATGGCGCCTCTGGAAACTCAAGAAAGCGTACACTGAGGGAGAAGAAAGTGAAAGAGACTTGCTATCTTTATTACAAAATTCTCAATCGTTAAGAAATCAAGGAATGTAAAGATGGTAGTGAAATAAGATCGGCTTTGAGAAGTCTCTTATATAGAGAACTACAACGCTGCCTCTGTCTTAAAATTCAATATCCTTTTTGCTAATGCTTTGTTCGTGTGTCTGTTCTTTTTTGGATAAGTACATGCATGCACTAACCACGCTTTTGCAATATAAACTTACTTTTAACAAAAATACAAGAAAAGAAAAAACAATTATGCACCATTCAAAATTTGTCATTGTACCACCACACATTTAATATTAGTGTTAAAAATATGTGTGATCTATATTACTAATTAGTGTTAGCCTTAACTTTACAAACCTTTTAAATACATATACATAACATCCACGTAAATGTACGTATATGCATCATTCTTTCAAGAAAGTGAATACATACGTACGTAACCAAAAAAAAAATGAAAAGTTTTGATGTATATTGTTACATGATGTTTTCAGAATACGGTAGGAAGTCAAGAGGCCCTTTCACGACAGCCTAATAATTAATGCAAATACGTTAAAACAATTCAGCTAGTCTTTTGTTCAATTTCTAGATATACATATAGATAGACTCCGTCAATTATTGAACGATTTATATAATACGACTAAAACCAAAAATTTTATTAAAGATAGGTGAATTTGCAGAGCTTAATTTAGGGTTCGAAAGGGATACGCAAATTGTATTATTGCAAAAGAAGGATTTTAAATTCTTTTGGAATATCCCCAAAATGGAAACCTGCGAACGATACTTCAACGACTTGAGAGTTAGTGGACACGTGTCTACTATGAGATTTAGTGGACACATCATTACTATGTATACATGTTTTTCTCTCTCTCTTACTCTCCCGCTAAATTTTCATGTAATGTTTTATTATATAAAATTTTCATGTAATGTTTATAAATTGTTTTTGTTCACCTATAACCTATTATAATGTTTATTAGCAGAACGCTTTTACACAGAAGAACAAATCTACTACGCGTCAATAATAGGCCAGTAACTCTCTTTACATCAGAGATCTTAGATTAAATTTAGGGAATTTATAGTAACTAGCAATGAATTCAAAAACAATTAAGAAACTAACCATGGACAAATAGTGTGTGTCAGAAGAGCAAGTAAAATTACCTAAAACCCTTTGTTTTTTTTTCCTTCTTTTACCATCAACAATTTTTTCTTGTTTCCTTATTTCTTTCTCTCTTTCACCATCAATGATGGAAGCTCTAATTTAATCTACCACTATCATCATCACCCACCACATTCTTCTCATTCTCGAGACGGAAGAACGACGACCACAATAAAATCACTGTTACTATTTGCGACTACGACACCACCATCACCACTCGCGATGAACACCACCACCGCTTCCTCCAAAACCATCATCACCTCCGCCATAACCACCTTCTTCACAGTGACCACTACCATTGTATACATAGGATCTGTCAAAGATCTCTCATTTTCTATATTTTGGTCGTGGTTGTAGTGGTAATCGACAATTGAGAAGGAATAGATTTTGTAAAATTTCATGTTATTTTGTAATATTAATCGATATTTTTTTGTTTGACACACTATTATAATAAATATCATGTTATTATTCTGTTTCACACGGTTTCTTTTAAAAAAAAATGATATTTGTTTATATAACATGTTATTTTTGCAAAATGTATGTTATAAAATATCACTTTTTTGATAAATATCGTGCTATTTTAACATGTTTCACGCGATTTGTTGAAATTTTTCAAATCTATTACTTTTTCTCCGCATAAGCTTGCTCTTTGGTTCAACTTTTCAAATGAAATGATATTTGTTTATATAACTTGATATCTTTGCAAAATGTACGTTATAAAATATCACTTTTTTGATAAATGTCGTGTTATTTAACATGTTTTACGCGATTTGTTGAAATTTCTCAAATCTATTACTTTTTCTCCGCATAAGCTTGTTCTTGATTCAACTTGCAAGGACATTTTTGTCTTTTACTGTGCCGTCATATGATTATTTACCCATAGAAAAACTGACAATGGCTAGTTACTTAATTTTGACTCAAAATTTGGCTATTTTGTAATATTATCCTTGAATTTACATCCTTTTCTCTTTTCTTATAAGGGAAATTTGCAAAAGAAACACACAAAAATTTATAAATTAAGAAACTAACACCTAACAAAAAAATGGGTGATATTCTCTGTATTTTATATATTAATTCCAATTATGCCATGTGTTATGTGTGAACAAGACGTTCTTTGCCTATCTCTCTTTTCTTTTCTCGTCATTTTTTTTCCCCAGAATTTCTTGCTTTTCGTTGAATTGGATTCAAAATCTGGCCATTTTTCTTCCTTTCTCTGCCACTCTGTGTTTCTTATGTTTCTTACTCTCTCTCTCTCTCTCGCTCTTTCTCACGTCTCCTTCATTTTCTCTCCCTCTTACAAGCACCATGTGAACTCCCATTCGATCCATCTACTTCTGGAACATAATCTATCTGATTCGAATCGACAAGCATCGATTCATAACCTTTGATGAGTAGGAGTGAGAGATCAGGACTATATCGGGAACCATAGATTTGATGCAAATAGTATACTATTTATCCAAAATTTACTAAATAGTATGAGTCTTTAGTAAATACTATATCACTTTTAGATACAAAAATTGACATCTACGATTTGTAGGTATTGCTTTTGCATTGTTTGATGTAAATTAGAGAATAAAAGTTTCTGATTCTGGAATTGACTGCTTCTTTTTATTGTGATGCAATCTGGTGTTGAAGATGAATAGATGGTGATGAAGCGAATGGATCAGAGTCGTCACCACCACCACGACAACCACCATTGCAATCAATATTACCACCATCACCGCCGTCGTTGCCGACACCACCATCACCACTCCTTATCTCATCTTGTTTTCTCGTCCTCTGTTCTTACCAAACTCACAAACTATCTCTTCTCTTCACTCTCTTTCTCTCTAAAACATAACCAAGCTTACAATTTCACGCGTGTGTCCACACACTGAAACAAATATGAAGGAGTATTTAGACATTTCATCTCCCATATGTGTTATTTACTTAATTTACCACATTGTGCTGCTATATTCTTAAATACTTTATCAAAATAGGTTAGTTTTGCAAAAGACCCTTCTTATAATCAATGCTTTAAAAAATTATAATTTTTCTTGTAATATGCCATATATACCACTTGGCTGTTATAATGAAGAATTAAAATATGTATAAGTTGTGCTCGAACCGATTGTGGAAATACGTTTTTACAAAGTAAACACTAGCGGTTGGGGCCTAATTAAACATTAGCAATAATACATATAAACTTTATTCAAGAAACTAAAAATAAAAATATTCTCTTTTGAATCGGACTTGAGTATAGGTATCTAATTGTGTTGCTTTTCAACTACCAATCACTGTCAAACAAGATAATTAACTATGGTAGTTCAGTGATCAATTTACATACCGCAACTCCCGAGTGATTTTATAGAAAGTTTTCTTAAATTTTTACCTTATCTGATTAATCACTATGTATTGATATTGATTGTAATTCATTATTTTTTAATTAAAAAACAATAATTACTGGTAAACAAGAACCAAAAAAAAAAAACAAAGGACTTTGTGTAACTTCAGGAAATGTGAGAGATTTTACTAAAATTAAAGTTTTATTGGTAATTTAAAACATAGTTTTCATCAATTTATTTAAAGTACACAAAATTTTAGAAATCTAAAATAGAACTACAATTCTAACATAAGCAAAATCACCTAAACGTTATCTACCATTACGAACCAAACAATTAATTAGTTTTAAAATTCAAAGATTGGAATAACATATACCAAAAAACGCAGAAAAAGATCCTTGAACTTGGGGGTTGTTATCAACTTTTTAATTAAGTAAAAAGATATGATTCCTCGAAAAAGTTTGCACGGCTTTATATAGTTATATTACCAAAAGATTATGTTAGATAGTACTTCTTCTTAATTTCTTATAATCGATCCTTAAAAAGAATATTGCTTTTCTTGTAATATGCTAAAACCACTTGGACGTATTGATGAAGAGTTAAAAAGACGTAAGAAATTGTGGTCGAACCTACTGTGGAAACATTCTTCACATTAAAACCAAAAAAAAACCTATTGTGGAAACATGATTTCATAAAGTAAATACCACCTGTTGGGCCTAAACATAGCAGCGTAATAACTAATACTGATACATAAATACTTTTTTTCCAATAAAACTAGATAACTCTATTAGTTCTCCAATATATATATTTCCAATATTTTAACAGGTTCAGAGAGTTTTAAAGCTTTTAGCACCAAAAATAAAAATAGATCATCTAAGGCAAATGAGCTTTTGTTTGTAAATTTAGTTGACACAAAATGAGAGAAAGCAAAAGAAGGAAAGCAAATGTGTTCGGTTTCAAAACTTACCTAAGTGGTGGCTTTCACATTCTCAAAACTCACAAAACTAATAAAACCAAATACAAAGAGCAAAGCTTTAATCTGTAAAACTTGTGAGATCCGTAATTGGTAGATTTCATGAAGAGCCAATCTTCAAGCATCACACATGACACATTCATAATGGGAAACTTCAATCTCAACAACAACAACAAAACCTAGACCCAAAGCAGAGGGATTTCTAACTTCTAAGCATATACGGCAGGAACTGGCCCAACAGGCTGCGGATATACCGTGGCTCTAGGAATGGGTGCTACCAGCGACGAAGCAACTTACATTCCATCCATGCCAATAATGGCAATTCAAATGCTGCAAAGAATTGGGTGACTTCTGGTACACGGAACTGAGCAAATGACCACTTCGAGGTGAAATATTTTGGCAAAATTCAGCAGCGTTGTATGAAGATGTTAGGTACAAAACAAAAGCATGTGTTGATCCATACACACAATTATAACTATGAAGGAAATATATTCCTGAATTTGCCGGTTTTGAGGAGAGATATGAAATGCAAAAACAATAACTCTGCAATATCGCTATCCTCACCTCTAAAACTCATCTCCTCTGGTTTCTTATGGAAGTTCTCTGTCTTGAGCATAAATCTTATTGCAAATGACTAGTTCTTGTTCATTATCACAAGGATTTTTCATTTCAATTCAGAAGTGTTGACATCTCCTACAATGTAGTCAACTCTTTTTAAGGCACATACAATGGTCCAAAAAGTTTGGAAGGCTGTATTCTTTGACTTGAATCTTCCATTACCGCTATGGAGATGGCGGAATGAGAGTAGGAAGTTGATCAAGAAAGCATGGAATGAAGCAAACATCATTCAAGTTTCACCGCAAGAGCTTGAATTTTCTACTTGATGAAGACTGCTACGAGAGGAAAAGAAGCTACACACCATATCTTATTCAAGTTTCACCGCAAGAGCTTGAAATTTGTACTTGATGAAGATTGCTAAGACAGGAGAAGAAACTACACACCACAATACTTCGCTGAGAATTTTGACAAGCTGAAGCTATTGGTTGTGACTGATGGAACACTTCGGCTTCATTACTATACTCCTACTTTTGATGGAGTTGTGGTTGGAACAAAGATGTGCTTATAGCTCCTTTCACCTGAGATAGGACAGGTTCTGGTGATGCTGTTGTTGCAGGCATAAAGAGAAAGCTAACGACTTGTCCTGAGATGTTTCAGGACCAAGATGTCTTGGAACGACAGTTCCGGTTTGCAGTTGCTGCTGGGATCATTGCAGCGGACAATTGGTGCAGTCAGAGGTTTCCCTACTGAAAGCCGCGACACAATTGAAAGAGCAGGTTTTATGTTCCATCAATGTGGTAGAATAAAAATATCAAGAACTCAGCTTTTACAAAAAGTTCTGAACCGTGTGAGATGTATAATGATTCAAAATTTGTAATCCAATGTACAATCAATTTTTGAGCTCACTGATAATAACATGTGAAAGAATGAGGAATACTGTTTCCCATGATATCTCTCTTTTGTTCTACACAGCTTCCCGTGCAAGGTCACAAACTTGCTCGAGCTGACCCAAGTCATGACGCTCCTGTATGGTGAAATCGATCCTACAAGCTGTCTGAATCTTCCAAAAACTCAGGTTACCTCTGTTTCCTATAGTGTACAAAGACTATAAACTCGAAGCAGATTGTTCTATGTCCTGATGCACAATCTTGACTCTTTTCGATTACTGTATCACTGCTATCTTAAGGCACTCTTCTTCCAGCTCTTTGAGTCTGTTCTTAGACTTGATTGTTTCCTGAGCTGCTCAGGATGAGACTTGTTACAGATGCAATCGGGTTGTGGGTTCGCATAGAAATTCTCCTCTAGTCTGGGAAGTGCAGCAGGCAGTCTCGCATATGCCGCTCCAATCCTGTCTCTATTTAATCTCTTAACCTCAGAAGAAAACTCTTCCCAAGATATGATACCCTCATCAAAATGATCTATCAGTCTAACAAAATTCAGCCTGAAATAATCACACAAACAAGTCAGCAAAAACCAGTGAAAGAAACTACATAATCTCGCCAAAATGAAATTTTTTTATTTTATGTTACCATACCTGTCTGGATTTATGGACTTCCTAAACCCTTCGAACCTTCTGTGCCCTTGTACCGCCTTAGCCATATTACCATCATATGTATACACAAAAACATCACTTTCAAGGGCCACAATGTAGTCCAACGCAGCAAGGCGGTTCTGGTATTGACTGAAAGGCTCTAACTCTTCTTCAGTCGCAAGAGTTGAATGAGAGAAGACATTTGGGTACTCTGCACGGAAAGCATCCATACTCTTGCTTCCATAGATTTCACCAGCAACTATATATACAGTGGTGGAGGACGGATATCCCATGGCCTTTAGAAATATAGCTGCTTCTCGCGGAGACATTGGACATCCGCCTTGAATCCGTCTCTCTCGGCTATCAATCTCTTTCTCCTTCCAATGTTTGACACTGTACCTCATGATTCTCAGCTCTTCAGCATCTTCAGTTGTAAGATTGTGGTTGCATCCTGTAAAGGCAAGCATGTCCTTCTCATATCTGCAAATCCAAAATCCATTTGATACGAAACCAAGATTCAAATTATTGCCCTTATTGATGGTCAAAGAAATGTCGGATTTACCTCAAATGCAGAGCTATATAAGGCTCACTATTGTTTCTTAACCGGTTAACCAAAATCTTCCCTAGGTCCTCAATCTCCTTTGTGTATAGCAGTGCCTGGTAATTAGCACGACATCTCAGTCGTTGGATCGATGGTGGCAAGCCATTGTTAGCAAGCCGTGAGTCAGTAAGCATGAACTTTAACACCTTGTGACGTTTCAACAATGGCAACATTTCGCTTCTGTAGTAACTAGCCTGTATATCAGTTGTGAATTTAAGAATTTACTTCTCATGGTGAAAAGCCCTTACATTCATATAGGAGAAGAGATAAAAATCTGAAAGTTAACCATGAAACCCACAGTAATATGAATAAAGCACGGACCTTGGACCAAGAAACAGGGGCCTTGAGAAGAGGTTTCATTGCGGCATACTGAGGAGGCAGGTACTCGACAATGTCAACATCGTGTTTCAATACGTTCATGAAGTTTCTCCAGTCAAAAATATCTTTGAACGTGCTGCACTCAAAACAAGATATATTGGCATTCTGCTTCTTTCCTAGTAAATATCTTGTGATATCAGGTCATTAAGAGTGCCAAGATATAAAGACAAGACCTCGGGTCAGTCCAGAAAGATTCATGGTCAAGCAGAGGAAGAACAAGAGTTGCATTCATGATTTTGGCAACAGCGACCATGTCACATATCTGCATATTGGTCAAAACCAACAAAGAATGGTAAATCAAAACAGTTGACTATGGAGAAAAAGGAGATCAATACCCCCTGTCCCCTAAAATACTTTGGAAGTAAACTCACCCCAGTTCTCATCTGATTCAATCCTCCATTTGCGTGAACTAAAAGATACCCATTGGTTTGGCGGTACAGTCCTAGACAAAGACATACACCAGATATTGAAAATTCAGAACTGCAAACGAGCTTGAAGAAGAACTAGGAATTTCAAGATAGCAACATACTTGTGTAGTTCTTGGGACGCGCCACACATTGGCGGTAATTCCCTCTTTCAGGTTTCTGCCAAATTTCCGGAATCTGTAAAAAGAGACAACAAAAACATAAAATCCATGACCAAGATCCTCGAAAATGAAGTCAAACAGAAAGAAACTATCATCCTTACATAGCAAAAACAGAGGAAATGATAAAGAATTTAGTTAATTATCAAAACCTGTAAGACCTCCGATTACACTGATCACAGAGAACTTCTCGTACTTTAAATCTGTTACTTAACGAATTTACGTCAAGTTACAATTAACTCAACAAAACAGATTAGACACTAACACAGATTAAAACCACACAAGGGATGCATCTAGTCAACGGTAGTGAACTGTTAATCAAACCAATATCAACTTGGATTGTTTTGGAACTTCAAGATTAAATATTGCAGAACCTAGAGAACTAGAAGATTAAAGAGTTTCCATTTCAAGTCTTCCCAAACTATGAAGGTTATGATCCACACATCAAAGCCGCCTATAAATCCATTGACCATATTGCTCGTCAAAGTCTCAATCCAATAGCAAAAAGTAAAGCTCATAAAAATCGCCACCGAGATATTGATTGTTAAAAAAAGCTATTATAATTGCACAATGATAATTCAGTTTTCTAATCATTAAAGTTGTTCTCAGAATTCATCTTATTACCTAACGCACTACTTCTTCTTCTTCCTCCCAAAAGGGGACACTAAAGCAAACATTGCAATCTTTTTACACTAACTTAGCAATATTAGATCATTTCTAAAGAACTGTTCAACAAAACCATCAAACAATTCAGCAGGAACAAACACATAAAAGAGGATTGATCCCAATTAGTATTTAACGAAGTAAAAAATTGCAGAATTTGATCACAAAGATTGAATTTTTAAATCCCTAAATGTTTAGAGTAAAGAGAAAAAAACTCACGGGAAGTTTTTCGAGAACACGCATTGGCTGAGAAGAAGCTTGGTTCTCTGCAACTTCACGTTGAGCCATTGACCAATCATCACGAAGCGTTCTAACAACAACAAACTCCTTCAAACGAGCGTGATCAACCACACGCACACCACCCATAAGGTAGACCCTAAGAAACACAGACGCAACCACAAGCACCATTAGAAGACCCAAGATCCGACGACCCACGTTTCTCCCGGATCTAAACCCTTGACCAATCATAACCGTCGATCCACCACCACCACCAAACGGAATCCAGAATTTTCGGAGAAGAAGGTAACGAATCGCCGGATGATTGTAAAATCGGTGATAGTGATCGTGATGGTAATGAGATCCAGTAGAAGAAGCAGAGCTTTCCGAAGATGGTGACGAGTCTTGGCCGCTCGCATCTCCACCGTCTAAATCTGTTGATCCAACGATGGGTTGATTAACTGTATTGCTGTAGTCAGATGAATTCGAGGGTCGTTCGGAGATTACGTCTAGAGAATCGCCGACACGGCGGCGAGTGGTGGGTGCAATTGGTACAGGGTTAATCGCTCCGGCGACTGACATATCGTCGCCGGTGAAATAGGGAATTCAAGATCAGATAAAAGGAAAGAGAGAGAGAAGGAAGAGAGAGGGCTGATTTTTAGGTGTTGGGGTAGTAGTTGACCATGTTCTGGTTTGTCTTCTGGTAATAGCCACCGTCACCGTGAAATTCGCCGAAGCTGAGTTTTTTGTTTTTCAGATTTTATATTCGCCAGTGTGTCTATATATATTTATAATTTATGTGACTGTTCTAATATTTTTTTTTTTAGGTTTTGCATTATTTATGTATGATATGAATGTGGATAATTTCAAGAGTTGGTCACGTTTGTAGCACATCTTTTTATATGACTAGTTTTTGGATGGTAGTGCACTAGTGCTGTAGTATATTTTGTCATATAGCTGACGCTAACAAATATAGGCAAAAGAGTGATTAACGTGTCATTTTGACTGTTCTAACTTCTAAGAGATATTAAGTATGAATATTCATATGTTAATTAAGTTGATGATGGTTAAACTTTATCATCGATAGGCACTCTAGTCACTAGTCTACATTGTGATGAAGATGGCGCAGTCATTGCCATTTGCCACTGCTACAAAGCCATCAAAGATCAAATCAACTTTCTACCAAATATACAAAACTTCTTGTTTTATATGTGGGACTATAACCCTTTAACAACTATCCAATTCAAAGCATGCTCCTTTCGTGGCATTTTTTTTTACATTCGTGGCATTATTTTAAACTTATTGAGTTATCCGAACTTAAAAAAAACTCGGATTAGAATATCAGAATTCATAAGTTTTAGAGATAGTTAGAGATATAGTATTAAATTCTACAGTATAATTTATTTATAAAAAATCAAATTCGATCCAGCGTGGTGCAGTGTCATCGATTTGACTTTTGGAATTATGTGCACACAGTGAAAAGCATCATAAATGGATGGATGATATTATCAAACCACAGTTACACACGTGTGTATAAATAAGTAAAGCGCCCACTCCTTTTTCATTTCGTCGCAGAGAGAGAGAGAGGGACGATCTTTTCTAACTGAAGCTCTCGAGGCCAAGTTGCGTAGCCGTAATCGTCATCTTCGTCTTTCCTCTTCCCAAGAATCTATCTTCTCTGTTCTTCGATTTCGAAACCCTAACCTCCTCTCTCTGCTTTGCGTTTTCTGGATCGAAGATGGTAGCTGCTGGTAAATCCGACCTTTCCTTGCCTAAAACTTTCGCCTGCAGTGCTTTCGCTGCTTGCGTCGGCGAGGTAATCACCAGATTCCTTAAATTTTTATCTCTCTTAACTCCATTTTATGTACCGGTAAAGTATTTGTTCGTTCGAGAAATGTGTGTCGCGATCTAGAGTTGTTTAGCTATACGCGGAAATGTATTTCGAATTTCGTTGAAATTTGTGAAGTTTCGATCAGGTTGATCTTTATCTTTTTGTCTTGTATCATCGTATTTGCTAGAGAATCTGGATTTTAGCTTCTATAATATATATCCTGAATTCCTGATTACGTAATTACGATAGAAATGATTTGATCTTGGAATAATTGTTCAGATCTGTGGCTAGAAATTGAGTTTTTGGCATTTGTATTGCAGTGTTTTGACATTGTTGATTTATGCTTTGGATAATGATTTTGCGAATCATTGAAAAGATTATGAGACATGAAAATGGAATCGATTTGTTATGCTACGCAACTGTATAATGTTTAATTATCCGAATAGAACAAACTGTATCTTCTCTTTGGCTGTGTTGTTTCCTCAGAAAATTCTGCGTTGCACAATCGGTTTTGAAAATTCTTATGCAATTAAACTCTCTGGACCAGGTATGTACAATTCCATTGGACACTGCTAAAGTTAGGCTTCAGCTCCAAAAGTCTGCTCTTGCTGGAGATGTTACTCTGCCTAAATATCGAGGATTGTTGGGAACTGTTGGTACCATAGCAAGGGAAGAAGGGTTACGTTCACTATGGAAAGGTGTTGTACCTGGATTGCATCGTCAATGCCTCTTTGGAGGTCTAAGGATTGGAATGTATGAGCCGGTGGGTTACAAAATCTACTTCTTTCATGCTCCAGAAAACGTGCTTAAACTCAGTGTTTTCGTAGTTACTACTTAAAGCCTTAACCAATTTATTCTCCTCAGGTGAAAAACTTGTATGTTGGAAAAGACTTTGTAGGTGATGTTCCATTGAGCAAGAAAATTCTTGCTGGTTTGACAACAGGTGAGCATAACGGTAGACCGGCTTAGAAGAACCCCGTAATATATGTTTCCTCTGTATCACTTAGTTGGGTTATTGTTTTCTAACTCTCAGGTGCACTGGGTATCATGGTAGCAAATCCCACTGATCTTGTGAAAGTTAGGCTTCAGGCGGAAGGAAAGCTAGCTGCAGGTGCACCAAGACGGTATTCTGGAGCGCTCAATGCGTATTCAACAATTGTGAGACAGGTAGTTATCCCGACTTGGAAGTTGAGATTGTGCATAAGTTGCTTCAACTCTGCTTCATATCTTATTAATGTGGCTCTGACAGGAAGGAGTCCGAGCTCTTTGGACTGGTCTTGGACCTAACGTAGCAAGAAACGCTATTATCAATGCTGCTGAATTAGCGAGTTACGATCAAGTGAAAGAGGTATGAAAACAAATTTATTCTCTGTCTCTTTTGTCTGACTAAGAGATCCTTATATTTGAAGCAACATTCCTTTTTTTGTTTGCGTTCAGACAATCTTGAAGATTCCAGGTTTCACTGACAACGTTGTCACACATATTCTATCTGGATTGGGGGCAGGATTCTTTGCTGTCTGCATCGGCTCTCCTGTTGACGTGGTACAGTATTTACACATGACACTGAACCTTGAGTTTGTTCACTACGTTTCCTGATTCTCTTCTTGAATCTTGTTGTGTGGCAGGTTAAGTCAAGAATGATGGGAGATTCTGGTGCTTACAAGGGCACCATTGACTGCTTCGTCAAAACTCTGAAGAGCGACGTAAGCAACTCTGCTTCTGATACCTCTCTGGAGGTCTTGTTCTAAATATAAGCCCAGAAAATGTTACAAACTCTTTACTGTTTCGTCTACAGGGTCCCATGGCATTTTACAAGGGTTTCATCCCCAACTTTGGACGCCTTGGCTCATGGAACGTCATCATGTTTTTGACCCTTGAACAGGTAACAATTGATAAAAGTTTTATTGTATCAAATTCGAATCAATCACGCAAAGTGTTCTGTCTCATTTTCTAATCCCGGTTCTTAATACTCTAATCCAGGCAAAGAAGTATGTCCGGGAACTCGATGCGTCCAAAAGAAACTGAGACACAAAGTTTTAAGCAGAGAGAATAAGAGCAACATTGTTTTCTTCACAATTTTCGGTGATTGAGAGAGGCCACGACTTGGTCGAATATTGTTTTCAGAATAGAGAGTCAGTTTTCAAGTAAAACTGTGAAATAAAATTTCTTTGGATTGCTCATATTTTGGCTGTACCATTCCAACATTTATCAAAAATCATACATTTTCTCCCTTTCTTTCCGCAAAACTGAGAAATCAGAAAAGACAGAAGAAGAAACTCTTGAAGAAGAAAGAGGTGATAGCATCTCAGCTCAGTTTCTTATTTTCTGGAAAAGCCAATACCTCGACTCTAAGGTAAAGCTCTTTAGCTTTGTTGCAGATAAACAGTATAGATCCATCAATGTGATCTTCGTATCTCTCATAGACAGCTGGAACCGTCATAACCACCAAAACGCCTGCCAAAATAACCAAGAACCACCTCAAAATGAATTTCCAGCTCAAACCATTCCAAGAAGAGTTTTTCAATATTTACTTACTGGTGTGGCAAAGTGTCTGAAAATCCATGAGGCTTCCGATTAATGAGATGAGAAACAGAGAGACTGCTACTTTGGTATACAACTCTGAGTCTCTTCCCATTGCAATGTCATACGAAACTTGAAGTAGTTTGTTCACATGGATGCGTAACCATATTGAAGCTTCTTCCGCCATCGCTTCACTTATTTGAAACTCCGGTAGTGGCGGTGATGGCCTGGAGAGCCAAGGAAATTGAATTAGAAATGAAGTAATATTAGTTACAAGTAAATATTAATATACCTGTTGAGAATGGAAGCAGATTTGGACCAGAGAAAGAGAATAGAGAGCAAGAGAAGAAGAACACTCGAAATAAGAGTAAAGATTGTGTAAGCAAATGCCTCAAACACCATCCATGAAGCTATGGTCACTGTAACTATACCAACACTCACATTCTTCTTCCTCCACAACATCACATCTGCAACTGCATATTCATTTCATAACAAGAAAAACAGGTTATATAGGTGAGAGATCACCTAGCTTTTATAAGTCTTGGATTTGGTAATTATATGGATTCACTTACCAATGCCTCCTCCCAGAATCTCATGTATTGTCCTTTCTCTGTTGAACAACTTGTCCGAAGAAGAACCCATTTAAGAAGAAAGATCAGCAAACTTGGATTCAGATTTCCTCAGATCCCAAAAGTTACCCAGATATGTGTGTTTTTTCTCTGAATGTCAGAGAAACAGATCATCATGAGCAAGGAAATCCTAAAGGCTCAAATCGAAGGAACCTGATGTATCAGAAGAAGAGAAAGTAAAAAACAAAAAAAGGGTGAAGAGACTAAAGTTGGGTCATCACCATCATGATCAAAGCCATCAACTTTGAATATATAAATAATTAATTAATAATTCAAAGGCTATGCTCTGTTAATGGAAAAAGAAGGTGTTTGTTGGCCTCTCAATGTTTTTATTTCCAGCCTAAAAGTGTTATCCTTCTGGTTTTTTCAAACTGTAAAAGTTCGCCAGTTTGGATTCTATAGCTGAATCAAATTTTACACCATCCCTTTATATTTACAGATATCAGTTCATTTATATAGTCAACAGAAGTAATTAATTACCTAGAGAATGTTGAAAAATAAGATAAATGCAAAAAAGATGAGAAGAAAAGTGTTTAATTTTGATGTATTTTTTATCAGACTCTAGTATGTTCCTTTTCAGATGTAAAATTCCTATGAATTCGAAAAGGTCGAATCTTTATTCTCAATTTAAGATTGTCAGAAGGATTTAAGATGGTAAAAGAAATCAAACAAAAACAATTCACAAACCATTTAATATTCTGTTTTCTCTATCTTTCGATGTAAGCTTTTTCTTTTTCTCTGTTCTGTATGTAAAATTGTTAATAACTCTCGTGATAACAAACCAAAACAAAGAAACAAAAGTGACTATTCCCCACCTCCATCAATAAGACTTCTTCTATATTTTCTCTGCTATTTTTGTTTCTCAGTTTCCTCTTGAGAAGTCCCCACAGCGCCGAGATTCGCCCCAGCCGCAGAAGCATCAAGCAAACTCGCTGCAATTGCTGCCTTCAAGTCATCATCTTCCATCTCTGAAAAAGCCTGCACTTCCTCGTGTGACAATGCCTGATTTGGTCTTTGTTGATCAACATTGTCATTACTTCTGTTGTTTCTAGCAGAAGAACCTCGTACTGAGCTCGTGCTCTTTATTAGTCTCTCTGCGTCTTCAGGAGAAAGCCACTGTCCAAAACTATTGGAAGCTTCAGATGAAGACGACATGGGACACTCCTGTGGGAAGTTTCCTTTCACTATGAAGATACTCCATCCTGAGCCTTTGAGAGAGTCTAGGAACGCAGAAAGGTAGAACTTCGATAAATGTTGTGGAGCAGCGAGGAGGCTGTCAAAGTTATACCATTCGCCATTCACTTTCCTTATGCAAAACCAATGGTCATGCAAGTGGCAGATGAAGGCGCTTTCAAGCTCAGGGTCTATCTGCGCAGGCTCTGCGTCTGGACAATTGAGTGGAATCACTTGTAGATCCCATACTTCCAAAGCTTTTTGCAAGACCTGTCAATCAAACAGAAGCTTTCTCAGTGAAAAGAACATGCAAAGCCTAGATCAACTTTAAAAGATTCAAATGCTAAACCGATCCCCTCTGTTTGCAATGTTTTATCCGCATCCAACTTCAACATAATGCGTTAAAATAGCTTTAATTTTAGATGTCTAAATATGTGATGTAAATCAATATTCAGTGCAATAAGTGGGTTGCTTTTTCTATACCCTTTAATCTCAATACATTAAACTTGCAATCAATACTGACTTGTGTCGCAACCTTATCAAATATCAAGTTATCAACCAACTCGGTTTAAAGATCCAAGAAACAAAAAATGATAAATCGAAGATACAGAACCTCACTAATAACTAACATATCCAAAACCATGAGTCCCTAGATAAGAGAACTCCTCTCAAGTTATCAGTTATCAGCATAACAATGTTCGCTCAATGAAGCTAGGCTTCGACAAATGAGTTATTACCCAGAATAAAGGCTGCAAATTCACACCATTACTGATCTCAATTCTTCTTGAATCGATCTAATTGTACCTTACTCAAAAAACGTAAATAACCATTCAAAAGTTTATCACTTCAGCCTAAACCCAGCAACTAAAAGAACCATAAAATCGAAACCCTAATTTTGCCTAAACTTCCAATAACAAAAAGGCTTTACACAATCGAAATGTTGAATGCAACTCAAGAATCTTCAATTGCATATCCTAAAAACACGAAATCAGGATATCGCGATTCGTACCTGGATACTAAAATCGCCGCCGAGGGAAACATTGTGCGACTCTTCAGCTAAGAAATCGCCGGGGGCAAACCCTCCAACGGAAGCACCTTCAAGCATAACCTGACGCTCCTTCCCGTCAAGATCGGCGGCGACGGCAGCTAAATCGAATTCAGAGAAGAAAGGTCCTTGCAACACCGTGTTGACGCAGTGTACGGCGCACAGATTTGACTCTTGAACCTCGTGATACAACATTCCTCCGTTGCTTGTTCGTTCCATCGCCGATCAAGATTTGATAACAAAACCCTAAAATTCACTGATTCCGTGAATGAATATATATTGCTCCGATGCGAAAGTCTCAAAGAGATTATGAAGCGAAGAAGAAGAAGAAGAAGCAATCAGAGATCGCAAGTTAACAGATTATTTAAATAAGAAAAATTTAAGGGACGGAAAAGTAAATATGCAATAAAAGGATGCCACGTGTTATATTAACCGACTTTTTTAATTTGAGATTTTAGGCCTTTTTCTTATTTTGCATACGAGCCCGAAACTGTTTCAAGATAGGCCCAATATCTAATATTGACAGGCCAATTTAGGTTTCTTGCTTCCCAAGATTTTTGGTTTCTCGAAATTTTGCTAAAACTCGACACTTGTGTGAAGTCTTTGATGGCGACTTCTGAGACTGTGATGGGTATGGTCAGGTTGGTTATTCCTGCTTTTCGTAATAACCACGACAAGATCTTTTTCTCTGTTCACGCTTCTTTCATCATTTCCGGTTTCGACCTCATTGCCCTCGACGCTCTGTCTTCTTCGTCTCAGGGTTAGTATTGGTTTCTTTTTTTTTGGCCTGATGATTTATGTTTTAGGATTCTGATTCATTTTGTTAGATATGGTTTGGTTTGACGGTTGGAACGAATTCGATAAGGATTACGCGTTTGTGTATGTGAATAAGAAGAGATCGAAGAAATTTCTGGTTAAGTGTTTGGCGATGGATGATTATCTTCTTGTTGATACCCTAGCTGATGGTGGAGATGATGTTCCCCATCTTGAGATAAAGTATGTCATGGTTTCTCTTTAGTATATGGTGATTTATTTTTGGGGAAAAAACCCGAAAAAACCGTCATCTAATTTTTTTTAGCCGTTTAATACATGTAGTATTAAATTTGGAATAAAAATACCTCTTTTAATTTCGGTTGCCTTTTAAAATCTTCGTTTTTTTAAAAATGGTAAAATCGTACCTCCGAATTAACGACCGTTAACTTTGCTAACGGAAGCATTAACTGTGGTTAAAACTTAACCCATGATGTTTAAGTATATATATATATCTCTTTTCTGTATCTAACGAACAATTTGTCTTAGTCTAGTGGTTTAATGTGTGTTGACTATCCATTTGTACCTAGGTTCGAACCCTCATCTGCCTTTTTATTTTTTTTTCTCCTTCTTCTCTTTCGTCTTCCTCTTCTCCTGCTGAACAATACCTTCTACAGAAACTCCACTCCATTTCTGGCAGATCCGTCTCAGATCGGTAGAAATGCAGCAATCGTGTTTAAATTTTTTTTGGGAAATTGGAATTGAGAATTCAGCTATGGAGGAAGTGACGAATCTGTGTTAGCGGAGAAAATACTAAAGCGTTTAGAAATGGAAAATCTTTGTTCCGTCGCCTGCGGTTCCACCACTCTCCGCTTCGCCGTTGTCTCCGGCGTTCTACATTCTCTTACCTCTGTCAATCTCTCTGTGAATTTCCGATTCTCTGCAAGTAAAAAAAAACTGAAAAAAACAAAAAAAAAACGACTAAAAGGAAGAAAGGGGATTCGAACCCTGGTTGAAATGTATAGTCACCACATACTTAACCACCTGACTAAGACAAAATATTCATTAGACTATGAAAAGAGATTGTATAAATATATACTTAAACATCATGGGTTATGTTTTAACCATAGTTAATGCTTCCGTTAGCAAAGTTAACGGTCGTTAACTCGGAGGTACGATTTTACCATTTTAAAAAAAACGAAGATTTTTAAAGGCAACCGAAATTAAAAGAGGTATTTTTATTCCAAATTTAATACTACATGTATTAAACGGCCAAAAAAAAATTAGATGACGGTTTTTTCGGGTTTTTTCCCTTTATTTTTGTGAATTCTTAAGGTTACTAGAGAGGTTCTGTTTTTTACAGAGTTAGGAATTATACTACTGAGAGCAGCAGTATTCATGAACAGTTCAAGAATTTAGACAAGTTAGTGACTGATTTAAAGAATGAGATTCTGTATAAGCTTGACAAAGGACTAAAACCTGTTTCTTCCAGGTAATTCCCCTTATCAAGCTAAGTTTGTGTCTCTATTTTCATGAACATGGTTTTGCCTTTGTACTTGTACTTCTCATTATGCGGAGAGGCATTTGTTAGTTGGACCAGAATTATATATGTTTCTTAGTTTATCAGTTTTTATCATTGGTTGCTTGCAGCTCTCTGACAGATGAAGAGCCTAGACATTACTCAGATCCATTACGCCCTTAGATTCACCCATCATGGTAATACATTGACTACTTTTAACTCTCTGTGCTAAACTCTTATAGTCCAAAAATCTTCTTTAATGTCTTCTTAGCCATATATAATTTCAATGCCAGAGTAAAAGAGAGATTTAATTGACTCATGGCAGTTTGTTATAACAAGATATCGATTCACACCTTTCTTGATTATGCTTTGTTAAATGATTTGTTTGGTTTCAGATCCAGATACTGCAGGCTATTTCCGCCCATATGGTGACCAACCTGGCTTCATCGCACCACCACAATCGTAAAATGACTAAATTCTCTCTCTTTCTCTATGTACATATAGTTGAACACAATAAAAAGCTCTAAGTTGTTTCTGATTATATAAACCATGTATTTTACTGAACAAATAAACCCCACAATCAAAATCTGTTTTTGACGCTTGTTTGGCTCAATCTTGATAGGCATGTTTAAGCATCTTGATCTTGAGCATTTTCCCGACGGTTCAGATATATAGTCAAAAGTAAAGACATCTTCAAAAACACACAAGAAAATGTAGGCATTTCTTCATCTCTTTGTTTGAAGTCTGGTAAGTAGCTATAGACAATAGGACGCCATCTTATCAGGTTTGGTCAAAAAGCTCATTACCTATTAGCATAATCATGGCAAGAACAAAAACCAGGAAAAGAGAAACATCATATAAAACGAGATAAATATTTAAAGATCAAACATGTTTAGCATCCAAGCGGTTTATTTGTCATATACACCTACTTCTCCTACCTTCATAAGATTCACTGTTTCGGTTTGAACACTCAACATGTTTGCTAGTTGCTTCCTACATGATTCCATCTGGGACTAAAAATCTGTTCCCATCTAATGCTCCTTAACATCTCTCGTTGGTGTTTCCTCCAAAAAGCAGCAAAATTTTCCTTCCAATTAACTGGAACACCGAATCGAGTGATTACAACAACATTCTTAGCTTCTTTCAACCATATTCTTTTCCACAAGTCATCATCTAATGACAGAGACCGCAATTCTGTACAAAGGCAAGCCATCTTTGCAACACTTGCTCCAGGAAGCAACTCTATTATCTTCATCTTTATCTCTGTTGGTAGGCACATCAAACATGGAGCTTTATTGCTAAGACCAATCAACAACGGGATAACAAGATCATATTTTACCATTCTCCAGTACTTGAACACCTCGCGGTAGATACTCGAAGAGCCATCTTTGTCAGACTTCAAAGTATCGATAACGGGCACAAACCCACGCTTATCAAGAAGAACCCTGCGTGGACTAGACCCACTTAAACTTCCGTAAACTACAACCATATAACCTAAGCTCTGAAACTTCACAGTAACATACTCGATTGTATTTGTATCCTTAGAGGTAATTAGCTCAGGCAGAGTATACCTTAGGGATACTGAAAGTAACTTCTTCGAAAAGCTAATCTTATCTGAACCAGCATTGAACAAGACAAATCCAGATTCTAACATAACTTCATGAACTGACATAGGCAACGTATTTAACTCAATGGTATCACCAGATTTCTTCATCAATATATTTTTCAAGAAGAATGGTTCGGTACCAGGAAGGCAGGAACTAGGGTTTGATGAACTGATGCAACAAAAGCAGAGTAATCGAAAGAGTAGTAAATAAGATCACCGGATGTTACTCCAAGAGATTGGAGCGTATCCTCCGGCAACAGATTTATATAGAAATATTTTTCTAATTTTTGTTTAGTAATATTATAAACAAAATTTCTGTTTTTTTTATCATTTCATATATAAGATATTGTATCAAAATCTTTGTCCTAAGTCCCAATCTTTCTCTTAATCAAATAAGCATTGTACATATAAGTGGAAGTATTCAGAAATACATAAGCAAAACCAAAACAAACCTAAATCACCAAACAACAACTAGACCACATATATAAACATTTACAAGCAAAACACTTATCAAACCAAAAGCTAAACAAGCACTTTTAACTCCAAATCTCTTTGACACCAGTTTCTTCATCAATGTGCTCGACCCACAGCTTTCTTGTATTTGTAGCGTTTTGAAATCCAGAGGTACACTAAGAAGTTGAGGAAACTTAGAGTTGCCAACAAGTAGAAAAAGTAATCAAGATGGCCTCTGTTCAAGTTATCCGGTATCCAACCTGGTTTACCGTTCTTTTTCGTCATCTTCATCACAACCGTCACAAGGACCGTGCTTAAGTAATTCCCCAACGCAACCGTGGTCAACGACAAAGCAGAGCAGAGACTTCTCATGGCATCAGGAGCCTGATCATAGAAAAACTCAAGCTGACCTATAAAGGTGAAAACTTCTGCACAACCGATAAGTAAATACTGCGGGATTTGCCAAAAAATCGACATTGGGATCTGTTTTTGGTCATATGCATTGTGACTTTTGACATAATCAAGCCTGACAACCTCCAAGACTCCTGCAGTGATCATGGCAAAGATGGAGACCACAAGACCTATACCCATACGTTGAAGCTGAGTGAAGCCTCGTTCATTGCGTGTGAACTTTCTTGCCAACGGGATAATGAACTGGTCATAGACAGGAGTCCAAAAGAGTACACTGACAGTGTCGAAAAGTGAGAGTGAAGCTGATGGGATTTCAAAGTTTTTCCCCATATGTTGGTCCATTGTGTTTCCTTGTAAGACAAACATTGTGTTCATTTGGCTGTACACTGTGGCGAAGACTATTCCCGTGGCCCAAACTGGAAGAAGTGAGATTATGGACTTAAGTTCTTCAACTTGAGTAACAGAACATAGTCTCCACGGATTCACTTCCCCGTCTTTGATGCTGTCGGATTGAATCTCAACCGCTGCCTTGTCGAAAAACCTGAGATATTCAAAACGTTAATTAGAAAACAGACTCAAAAGATATCCAAACTTTTTTATTGTTAAGTTGGGATTAAGATGGAACTTTTGTTTCTTACTTTAAGTTATCTGTGTGCACGAGTTTCCGGCTACCTTTGATGTTACTCTCATCATCTGCGGTTTCGAAGAGCAGAGATTTATCCTCTGGAACCTTAACACGCATCTTCCGAAAAGCCGCAACTATGACCTGAAAGATCCGAGTAAGCGGACTCCCTCCAGGTCTCTGAAGCCTGTAAAAACGGCTTCCCAAGAAGAAAAAACAAACCGCGATAACCATCGCGACTGTAGGAACACCGAAACCCCATCCCCAACCAACGTTCATTTGTATCCAGACAAGAACAGTTGCAGCAATGAGAGCTCCAACATTAATGGAGAAGTAAAACCAGTTGAAGAAAGAACTTTTCTTGATCTTCTCAGCCTCATCATTCTCATCAAACTGATCCGCTCCAAAGGACGAAACGCACGGCTTTATACCGCCAGTTCCAAGCGCAATCATATAAAGGGCAACAAAGAAAACAGCCGTCTGACCTGAATTCGGGTGACAAGTATCGCCATTGCAGTTACCTGGTTTAAGTCCAGGAACTGAAGCTGATAATGTCAAAAGAGTCATACCCTTCAAGAGAAAAACAAACTTATTAGTTTAATCAAAAGATTCACATTTTAACCGAAAGATAAAACAGAGCAAGTAAAACTCACGGAGACATAGATGAAAACAAAGGTTGCAATAGTCCAATATCGTCCAAGGTAAGCATCAGCTATAAAGGCTCCAATCAATGGAGTTATATAACATGTTCCAGACCAATTCGTGACGTTATTTGCAGCCGTAGCATTGCCTTGATTCATACGACTCTCAAGATAATTCACAAGGTTAGTGCCCATGCCATAGTAAGCCAATCTTTCACAGCACTCATTTCCTACACAAGTGTTTAACAAACACAAATATTAATCAGTCTTCTATATCAGACCCAAGCTAAAAATAAAATAAAAAATGGGCCTTCATTTAGACAAATTTTGAAGAAAACAGAGCATATTTTAGGGTTTCAACTCTTTTTTCTTAGTGATGATCATCACCCAACAAAACTTAACATTTCCCATAATACATTTTAAATTTTATTTTTCTCTTTCTTTCAATTTTCTTTTTCTATTGTATATAAAATCCCTTTTCCATCATTACTTTTATGATTTACATGTAAATATTTTTTTAGTGGACCTAATAAAACAGGGGACACGAGGCCATTATTACATCAGCTGGTCCAGGTCCAGGTCCTATAAGGCAATAATGAAGAAAAAGGTTGGTGAAACGATTAGAACGTTACCGAGAATGAAGCGGCAAGCTTTCCAATTTCCAGTTTTCTCCTTGTTTGCAGGATTTTTGTGAATATCGACCGTTCCATCTTGCGTATACACATCTTTTTCTTCCATATTCCTAAAAAAAAGGTTAGGTTTTTCAACAAATATGTAACAACCAAACACACACACCTAAAGATCAATACTTCAGGTGTGAGGCTATGAGAAAACCCTTCAAATTTTCAAGTAGCTGAGACATTTTTTTATGGATCGACATCAAAGACTACTAGATTTAGTTGATTCGTACGAAATTTTCAAGCTCTGAAATTATAGGTTATGTGTAACCAGATGAGCTTAAGGTTATAATGAAAGAAAAACTCAAAAAGACAGAAAAAATAAAGATAAACCTTTGTCGGAGACAGAAGTCGGTGGCCAGAAACCTTTGTCGGTGGCAGCGGAATCAGCGGCGGAGACTAGAGCCAAGAAGAAATTATTTGGAACGAGTAAAGAGATAAAAGAGTGGCCGAGGAATTACACGGCACTTGTCGGAGTAATAATGAGTATTGAGAGCATGAGCTTATAAAGTTGCAGAGAGCTCTGGTCCACCTTTATATCCAAGGAAATAGAAAGGAGCGTTGTTCACTTTTCTTCCCGATGTTTGCAATTTAATCCTCCAAGTTTTTGTATATTTCAGTTAGAGCCCCAAGCAAAGATTTTGTGCTCTCAGCTCTATCATATTTGGATATTAGTATAATATTGTTTAGTTGTTTTTTTTTTTTTGTCGGCTTATTGTTTAGTTGTTTGTTTGACTCCAAAGTATAAATAGATCAATATCGAAGGACGTGTAAATCATCCACCAAAACGTTAGTGGACATTTTTTGTTTTTTTTTTCCGATATCCCGCAAGTGACAAGACCAGAAAGAAAACAAGCAAGAACTCCTGCTCAAAACAAGAAAGATAGATACAATCATACAAGTGTGAAAACAAATATTTTAGTCGACATTAAAGAAAATTTGGATTTTCCTTATTTAAATTGAGTTCATCCTCGTTTTTTTTAATGGTTTAAAAATTGTGTTCATACTTTTGTGAAACTTTATTTTAATATCAGATTGTCGATTTTAATAAAATTAATATATGCGATAGGTCTTTGGTTTGTTCGAAAAATAAAATATTTGTAGTTCAAAGAAGTTCAGGAAAATAAAAATTTGATTAGGTTTTGGTTGATGTTTGTTTTAGATATGTGAGAAAATAAAGCCAAAAAAGGCGAGGCGCTAATAGACAATTAGTAATAAAGTAACTGTTGATCTAAAGATTCACCAAGCACGAATATTAAAAGATGCATGTGAATCGACTTAGCTGGATCGTCTTAACTACGAGGATTTGGCTGTATCTAGACTTAGTTGTTGACTTGAACTCTTTAATCAAACTCTCAAATTTGATGATTAAAAAAACAAACAAATAGTTTTTTTTTTTGTTTCTTTGTCAAAGATAAATAAATGAGTTAGATATTTTTAAGATATCATCAATATATTTAACGATATTAATAGTTAGATATATTTGATTAAATGTTTTTATAGCATTTTTAGATTGATAAAAAAATCCCAAAATATAAAGAAATAAAATTTGAAAAGCATTTAGCATGTTTTTAGGTGAAAACAGTGTGCTTTGATTGTTTTCATTCCAGTGAAAGTCTTAGTTTCAGTCTTACCACGATTCCACATTCTCTTTTAGGCAACTTTTCTTACATACTCGTCTAATCAGTTACCAAAATATTTTTGAATTTGTACATTAGCTAGTTGTTGGGATGTGACATATTAAGACTATGATGTTTGGGGTGGGTTTTTTTTGTTCATCATCGAATATGCGAAGTTTGTGTCACAGAAAGGTTTCTTAGTGATTGGTGAACAACACTTGGTCCGAAATTTTACCAAAAAAAAAAAGAAAAGGAAAACACTTATCGAAAAAATAAAAGTACTACAGTAAATATAGTAAAAAGAAAATTTATTTTTGTATCATAGATGTAGGAATTTAATTTATTGATCTACGAGATAAAACATTACATTAAGAAGACCAATAAAATGCATGCATAAATAATATGAGTTTTGTATATGCGAGTCTTCGAATCATCCCGAAGATTAGAGAATAAAGCGATTGTTTAAAGATTGGATTATCTTGTAAGCAAAAAACACATAGCCGCTGACTTAAGAGAGACTGAGAGATCCAATGCATTTTTTAAGATTGTTTGTAGAATTATGGGTTCACATGGTTTAGTCCTAGTAAGTAATCTTTAATTAGTGGTTTGAACTTTAAACTAATCATTGATATCATTTGACACATTTTAAAATCAAGAACTAATAAATAAGACTTCAACCTTGATATGAAAGGTTGTTGCGAGGTCCAACTTTAATAGAATAAGTACGAAAATTGTTGTCAGATCTAACTGAAAATATAAGTAAACGATAATATTTGCTACAATATAATCATTTGATATCCCTTGATAGATCAAACAAAACAATGATGTGCAATTATATAGAAATTTGGATCAAGCATATTTGATTATTTCACGGGAATCATAGTAGTTGACCTGTTGATTCCAGTCTAATCCATTGATTCTTCAAATCCAAATTAAGAAAAAGAATTTGTGCTTCAATTCAAAGCAATCTTCTTCTTTTTTTTTCTTTCTGAATTTAAGATTAATTATCTTAGAAAAAAAAAGCTAGCTAAAACGTATACTTAAGAGCTGTTTGTCTGGATTAACTCTCTAGAAAGAAAAGCTAAAAGGTAAGTTAAGTATCACTATCGACGAGTACTACTTAGTTTTCCATTATCTTTAACTCTAATTTGTGGCAATTTCTTAAAAGTTTTAACTAATTTCACAACAGATCAAGCCTGAACAAGAGTAGGTTTTTATTAGAGATTTGTTCTGATATCAGTTGAAAATCAATAATGTTAGATAAATGCATTAAAAATTTATATGAAATTGGTTAATGAGATTTGGTTTACTACTTATGACGATCACACGAATATAACACTAATCAAATACAAAATAGCCGAGTAAACCCTTCAATTTCACAAAATCAACTTTACGATTCTTATCCTTATTTTCATTTCTTTTCACCACCCAATGTTTCCATTCTCATAAAGTCTCAAAATTTATTTGTATGAAATTTCATTTTCTTTCAAACTTCCAAGTCCAATAATTGACATACTCAACATAAACTTTATTACTCAGTTGTACAAAAACCAACGGCGTTGAAATCTTAATATCGGATAACTGAAATCCAAAACAGAGTTATTGCTTTCTCAAATGGTTTAATCAGTTTTTTGGTTAAAGCCCGTAATGAATACTAAAAACTGACGATGACTTATCTTTTCATGCCTCATCTTCACTTAAATTTTGTTTCTTACTTTGTTTGTCCCCTTCACTTGTATTTTGTTTCTTACTTTGTCTGTCTCCTTCATCAGATGGTTGTCGTCTTTCGTGTTTCCTCCCAACCTCCGTTTCCAGCAAGAGACCTTTGTTACTATCTTCGGACAATACTTGATCAGATTCGAATTTTACTTCCTGTTCAAAAAAAAATTCACCAAAACCTAAGTAACAATAATTGTTATTTTCTTAGCGAAAAGAAGAACAATAATTGTTATTTTAATGTGAAAATTAAGTATATTTTTATATATTGAATGATTGCTTAAGATGTTGTAGTCATACCGGAATTTTTCCAACAACCATGTGAGCTTTGTAGAAAACATCTTTAACTTGGGCTTCATCACCCCAAGCATCCTCAAACTTGGCTATTAGATCTTCATTTATAAGCTCTACTCCTTTTTCCTTGGCCTTCATCGCGGGCTGCCACGATCTCAAGAACCCTATAAACCCTTTAAGCGAAAGTTTATGCGGAATGTCTAGAGTAATAGGCTTTCCTTCGGACCCCATCCCTATGGTCTCAAAAGGAAACGGCAACGTCTTATAACCGTCAAATGCTAAATTCATAATAGGAGTTCTAAAAGGTAGAGTAGAGTCCACAAGGCGCTTCATTATGGGATCGATCTCAGGCGAGATAATGATATCGTTGTATACCCACACGGCGATTAGGCCTCCTTCTTTACGAAGAACACGTTTTGCAACATTGTAAAATGTGGTGAGGTCGAAAAAATGGACAGCTTGAGCAGCAACTATGAGATCCATCGAGTTTTCTCCCCCGACTAGAGCCACCATCTCATCTTCTGTCATCGTTATTGGAGTGTGATGGTAATTGATTCTTGAGTGTTTGATTGCTCGTTTAAGTTGTGCTTCGTTTATATCGGTAGCCACAACATTCTCGTAATGCTCCACAAGCTGTAAAATATAGAGTTCCTGGTATTGTCAAGCTTAGTTCACCTCTACTATATATATATATATATATATATATATATATTCTATATGCGTATAATATGGTGAGCAAGATTAATTTTTTGTATGCGTATAATATGTCTTGTAACCGTTGAATGCCAAATGCATCTATTGTATACTTAATAAAACAAGAAAGATCTTTGACCAATTTTTTTTAAAAAAAATAACAAGATCAAGAGGCTGAATAACAACAATCAAATTTGCCGCCACCAAGTTTGACTAATCTTAAGAATAATAGACATCATTCAATATGAGAGCCCTCCTAAGTAAATTAGTTATCTTGTTGCTCGATTTATCAACAAAATCTCGGTAGCACAAATCATACTAACTAGACCTTACATACTAAAGGAAAGTTTCAGATTTTTCCCAAATCTAAAGAAGAGATAGTATTAGAAAGCTTACCCCAATAGCAGCCTGACCGTTACCAGTTCCAACATCCCAAGCATATTTGTGGTCAAGTGTCCGTGCGGCAATCTTCTTATACCAATCAATCGGATATCTAGGCCTTGCGTCGAGATAAGCTTCAGCTTCTTTCTCTGATAAGGCAGCCATCTTCTTCTTCCGCTCTCTTCTTCTTTCCTTGGTTTGAAATGAATACTCAACTTCGTTTTATATTTGAATAGTCTTTGTTTCTATTAATATATTATGAAAAGAGTTCAACGACGTCCAACTTGGCGTGAGGTTAAGTTTCATTGCAAGTCCTTCCGAAGACGTCTTTAATGACTTTTTTTTTGTTTTAATATTTTTTTGTTAAAAAGGACAAAACAGTCAGTATAAGTTGATCAATACGCACGTAATACATGTTCCACGAAATGATAGAGAGAGAGAGAGAGAGCAATATATTTACGTATGTAAATCCATGAATTTGGACTTTGTTACCTTCATTATCTCGATCAAAATTTCTTGGTATCCCTTATTATCCCCAAATTCCTTTTGTTACTTTATTTACTTTTGCAGTTTTGGAATTATGGAGTCATTTTTAATGTTCTTAGACTTTTTCTAGTAGTCACAATATCTAATTAACCTCTAATTGATTAGTTGACAAAAAAAAACCTCTTTTTATATTCAAGAACAAGAAAAGTTACAGTAAATTTTGGTGGACTATTTTGGTTACTGGTTAGTGTTATTCAAGTTTGTGTTCTTCTCTCATTAATGTCAAGGTCTCTCCTGGATAAATGATACAATTCTTTAGATGCAATTGGACACCCATGAAATTCTACATTGGAAAGGAAAAATGACTAAAGTTCCCTAAGTGACTAACTATCACTAAAATATCTTACATCAAAAAAGAAAAAAGAATAATAAATGGTTCATAAATTCAAGGAATCTTTTTTCTCACAAACTGTCTTTTGAGGAAAAAAATAATTCCATCCATTGGATTTTTTCAAGTGTTTGCTAGGCTTAAACTTAATAGTCTAATACACTTGGCGGGAGTGGGAAAAAAAAAGAATGCATCATAATATAAATGGTTAATTCTTTGCAAGAACTCATGATGGCTTGATTTACTTGAACTAAAAGGTCCAAAATACATTTCTCTTTTTTGCAACTAGTAAATAATGAATTTCTTCAAAAAAAGAACAGAAAATCGTATTTTATATTATTATAATCAGATAGTAATTTTCTTTTTAAATCAAGAAAAAGGAAAATTGTACATATAAACTGGGTTTTATCTGTAGTATTAGTATTATAGGCCCAAGTTCATTAGCTGAAGTTTCAACTCATAATGGGCTTGGTTTTGGGCTTATCTGGGTTTAGTTTTACAAGATAGAGTTAAAAACTCTCTCGACTCTCTTTTTCTCAATTTAATCCTCACTCTTTCTTCTTCACGAGAGCAGTGTCGTTGCTCTGATATTGTAACTGTAACTCCGGCGGATTTTGCCGTTTATACTGAATTTTTCCGGGTTGGTCTGTGATTCCGACTCTATATACGCTAAATCACCGTTCACCGTGGATCTCGTACATCAAATTTCGTCAATTGCGTTTCTTTATCGCTTTTGAGTTTCGACTACAAGTCGTGAAATCATGAGTGAGATCGTGAGAGTTCAAGAGATACTTTCTAAACTCTGGAACCTAAAGATAGCCTCCAAGAACTGCTTGAATCTGATTACGATCATATCGACTGTTGCTTATGATCCTTCGTTTGAAACTAATGGAAGCTTCAAAGATTTCGTTTCAAGATTATTGGCTCGACGTAACATTTACCGTATAAGGAAATTCTCTTTGAAACTGCGGTCTATGGAATTTGACTCAGCTAAGTACAATCTTGTCAACGATTGTGTTCGCAATGTGTTGCATCGAGGTGTTTTGGATCTTGAATTGGACATAGATGTCAATGAAGATTACACATTGCCGTTTGAGGTCTTCACTTGCAAGAAAGTTGTGATATTGAAGCTAGGGTCTGGTTTTGTTATTGAAAATATCCCTAAGAACGCTTTGCTTCCAGCTCTTAAGACTCTCTTTCTTGATAAAGTCCGGTTCAATGATAAAAGTGGTGGTTGTGCGTTTACAAGGCTTGTTTCTGCTTGCCCTGTGCTTGAGGAGTTAGTCATATATAGGAACAACCGTGAAGACTGGGATTGGGATTGCACTGTGTCTAGTAAGATCCTTAAGAGACTTACTATTCGGCGTCAAGACTGGGGAGATCTTGATGGCTCTAGTTATGAGTCTATTAGTTTTGATACTCCGAGTCTTGAATACTTTGAATACTTTGATGTTCTCCGAGATGAGTATCCAGTTGTTAATCTCAAATCCCTTGTTGAAGCTAAGCTAAAACTTCCTCTTTTTATGGTTGGCGATACCTACGATGTTAGGAATCTGATTAAGGGCTTAAAAAATGTTCAGAGTCTGAGCTTTGGCGCTCTTGACACGATGCAGGTAAGTGATCTCTATTGTTTCTCTTTAATATGTTACTGCAGCTTAACAACTACTAGATCATGAGGAAATTTATATCTAGGAACCATTGAGATACTAAAATCATAATCTTGCTAGACATTGGAATGTTTGTTGAAGTTATGACTGACTACTAGTTTGTTTTTAATTCTGTTCCAGCTGTTTTACATCTTCAGAGAAGCAGTACCAGTGTTTGAAAACCTGTTTCATTTATCACTTACCACTGAAGCAGCTTTCTGTTGGGATGTTCTGCCAATTCTGCTTGAGAAATCTCCAAATCTAGAGACTCTCACCATTGAGGTATGAGCTAAGACCCCCAAAAGTATATTGGACAAACAAAAGAATCAAAAGCTCATAAAATCTGCAATCTCTCCTGTCTTTTCTAGGCTTTGCATTATACTACTCAAGAAGACACTGTTTGCGAATGCTTGGAGGGGTATTCTTTCCTATCGTCCTGCCATATTGAGGTTCTAAAGATAACCCAGTTCGAGGGAGATATCGGAGAGATGGTGCAAATAAAGCATATCTTGGAGAAATTGCCGAGTCTTGAGCTGTTGGAAATTCATGGTCAGGCAAGAAGAGATGAGAAAAAGCTGCAGATCATGTTGGATCTCCTAATGCTCGAAAGAGCTTCGTCTGAATGCAAAGTCCAGGTCAAGTTTCCAGTTTGTTTTGCCTCAGCATGAACTTCCATATCTGATAAGAGAAACAAATGTGCTTCCCGTTTGTTGTTGACATGAGAACTGGTTTGTTTAGTTTCTTTCATATATGCAATTTCTGAATAGAACAGCTTGACATTTTTGTCATCTCTGACCGGTTGTTGTGTCGTTTCTTCGTGCCTAGAACACTCGAGTTTGTAAGAGAGTGGCTATAGCTATTAGCTACATTAGGTCTACTATTACTCATTTGTTTTGTATGTTACTACTTAGTACTTACACAGTCAATTTGACAATTTGGTAAATGGAATATGATATGACTGATGTTGTTTGTCTTCGGCTCTAGTAACATTATAGTTTATATGTTGTTTTATCAATGAGCAAAAATCTCAGTATAGGCAATGCGCAGAGAACTAGAACAAAGCTTGAATTCAAAGATAAACACATTATAAATCAACATGACAAGATCCAACACAAGACTAGAGGATTATGGCTACAAAAACATACAAGACCGGACAGATTGACACTGAAAAAGAAAACAAGAGACTAAAGTTGTTGTAAAGATTGTGTCGAGCCATACAATACTCACGAACTCATTAAGCATTGACACTCTAATTGTTACAAAACTCGAAACCATCACACAAAAACGTAGCCAAAGTCAGACAATGCGCAGAGAAATAGTTAAATCTCTCTTTTTTCACCTAGTAAATAATGAACTTGTTACAAAATGAAAAATAAGGAACAAAAATTGATTTTATTTTTATTTTAGTCGTATAAATAATTTCTTTAATTTTTTTTACTAAAGGTGTTTGTTTATTAAACAAAAAAACCGGATCCAGACCGTGACCCGGTTGACCACGTTCTCCACTCCTCTTTCCCCAAATCTAAAACCCTAAATTCTCAATTACCGTCGCGCTCGTCACATTCCGTCACTCTACCAGCGACAATCTCCGCAGAAATCTCTGGGAAACTTGCTCCAATGGCGTTTTCATTACAAGACGACGATTTTGGAGGAGATTATTCCGCTGCAAATGCCACCAGGGCTTCAGGTCTCCTCCACATTAATGGATTCCTCACAAATTCATGGTTTATGATTAGATTGGATTGGAAATTTTCTCAATTTTCATCTGTATCATTCAGGTAATAAAAGAAGCTTCGGTGATCTTGAAGACGATGAAGATGATATTTTCGGATCAAAAAAGGTTGCCGCCTTTTGAATCACAAGTTCAGTTTTTTTTGCTCACTTGCTTGATCTAATTTTGAAATTGTCGCCGTTTAGGGTCGAACTAAAGTGGAGGAAGCTGCACCTGGTGTTGCAACTGGGATGATTTTGTCACTCCGAGAGAGGTTTTTATCCAATCCTTTCTTCATCTTTTTCGGTGCGAAGAGTAACGTGTTTTGCTTTGATGTATTATTCTAACTTTCTTTTGCTTTCTCTGTGGCAGTCTTCAGAATTGTAAAGATGATCTTGCTTCATGTCAAGTATTGTTACTATACTCTAATCTATTTGATTCTATACTATTACTGTTTATGGTTGCATAGCTTTTGTATCTAACTATATCTTTTTGGTTAGAATGAGCTTGAATCAGCGAAAACAGAGATTCAGAAGTGGAAATCAGCGTTTCAGAATGAGTCCTTTGTTCCCGCTGGGAAATCTCCTGGTTAGCCTCTCTTTGTCAATGTTGTTTTGCACATGTGTATATGTAATGCTAATGCTTGACCATCCAATATTTGGTACTGTTATTTTTTTCCAGAACCTAGATTTCTGATTGACTATATTCAAAACCTAAAATCTTCTGAGAGATCTTTGAAAGAACAGGTTTGTATTTGAGTATTAAGTTGTGTATATATCAATATGAAGGTCTTGATTTTTCAAATAAGGTTTGATGGTTAATTTCTCTTTTCAGTTAGAAATCGCAAAGAGAAAAGAAGCGTCATGCATTGTACAATATGCGAAACGGGAACAGGAAATGGCAGAATTGAAGGTAATTCTCAAGAAACTCATTGCCTACCACTTTGATTCCTGACTGATACTCTCATTGCCTATCACATGTTTTCTTGACCATTACATAGAAGAAATGTCGCTAAACACAGTCTTGTATTTGTATTTCTAGTCAGCTGTTCGCGATTTGAAATCTCAACTCAAGCCAGCGTCAATGCAGGTATAAAGTTCTCCCAGTGTTTTCATTCTGGAATGATTTATACAATTGTGCCAACAACACAAATCGTGAAAAAAGTTAGCTGTTGAAGTAACTTGGACTTTTCTAGGCATAGTCCTCCACTTTTTATGCCATAGTGTACCTTTTATAATGATCATTCTCGACCTTGATGCATGTAGAGGGAAACCTTTTGCTAGTCTTTTAGTTTTCAGTCTTTATACGATGATAAGCACATGTTTACCTGGCGTCTGAATTATTAATAAGTCTGAAATAGAAGAAATGGCTATAAATTTTGAATTGCAATGGTCATTTAGCAGCTTTTCATGATCAGATAGCACTTTGGTTGATTTATTCTTGGTTTAACTTTGTAGGCGAGGAGGTTATTACTGGATCCAGCAATTCATGAAGAATTTTCACGTCTGAAGGTCTGCACCTACTCTTTTGCTATTTACCCTTGACTACTTTTTCATAAGATTGTATTGTCGTAATATATCCTTAGATAATCCAAACTGTAGCTACTAAACAAAATCCCGCTATAGTTATGAAAGACCTGAAAGATAATTCCTTAATAACTGATAGCTGACACTGTCTCCATATATTCCTGGTAAAAGTTCAATTTGCTTGATCTTCTCTTAGGTCGTAGATACAGTTGAGGACGAACACCCCCAACTTTTTTTTTATATACATATGTTGCAACTAAGTAAGAGTAGATGAAGTTTGACCCCATGTTTCTATTATGCAGAATCTAGTTGAGGAAAAAGACAAGAAGATCAAGGAACTCCAGGACAACATTTCAGCAGTTACTTTTACTCCCCAAAGCAAGAATGGAAAGATGCTTATGGCAAAGTGCAAAACCCTGCAAGAGGAAAATGAAGAGATTGGGCACCAAGCTGCTGAAGGAAAGGTATAGTTTGTTCTACTCTCAGTCTTCAGTCTGAAATTATTTGGATTATAGTAAGCAGTAGTCGTTTTCAACCTTTGTAAATCATGATTCCCTGAAAAGGGTAAAGAAATTGATGCTTGCCTATGTTCATGTGGAATGGCAGATTCATGAACTAGCAATAAAGCTTACAATGCAGAAGTCTCAAAACGCGGAACTTAGAAGTCAATTTGAAGGTAAGAAATATATTGATATTAGTTCTAGCAAAGTTTTTTGTAGAGTTGGAATTTGGATCTGAGGTTTTGTGGAATGCAGGACTATACAAACACATGGAGGAATTAACTAATGATGTTGAGAGATCAAATGAAACGGTGCTGATCCTTTTCTCTTATCTCTTAATTCCATTCGATTTTTCTTAAACGGAAGAATCTGATTATGGTATTGTTTTAAAAATGGGACTTTGATGAATGTCAGGTGATAATATTGCAAGAGAAACTGGAAGAGAAAGAGAAGGAGATAGAGAGAATAAAGAAAGGAATGGAAATTGTGTCTGATGTAGTAGGTGACAAGAAAGATGAAGTTGATGAAATCGACGAAGATGCGAACGAAATTGCTGGTGGAGAATAGGAATAAGTAGCTATCAAAATATTTTGAAAGTTAAAAGCACATTTCTTCATTCGTTTATCTGTTTCATGAAACAGAAAGTGCTAATTTTCATCTTCTAGTAATATGTTTTAATTCGCACCAAAACTATCAATGTTTGAAGCCAGCCACTGGTGTTTCGATGGTTTCCCCAAATGTCTCGTGAAATTTTTTTATCCGTCGGCTCTAGCGAAGTGAAAGTAAAAAAACTTATTTACCCAAAAATAAAAAATCACCAAGTCACACAACTTTAGGTCAATCTGTTGCAGTTGTCACGAACGAATTCAAAATCCAAAGGAGCGGGAAAATCAAAGTGACGTGGAAGCATCTTAGCGAAAGCATCTCTCTCACAATCCATCATCTCCATTAATCTGATAAAAAAAATAGGGTTCATCAGAAATCCAGAAACCGTCACAGTTCAATTTTACGAAAAATCTCAGAAATGGAGAAGTACGAGAAGCTAGAGAAGGTCGGAGAAGGAACATATGGCAAAGTCTACAAAGCGATGGAGAAAGGAACTGGTAAGCTTGTAGCTCTGAAGAAAACTCGTCTCGAGATGGACGAAGAAGGTATTCCACCAACTGCTCTTCGTGAGATCTCGCTTCTCCAGATGTTATCAACATCGATCTATGTTGTTCGATTACTCTGCGTCGAACATGTTCATCAACCATCAACCAAATCTCAATCTACCAAATCGAATCTCTATCTCGTTTTCGAGTATCTTGATACTGATCTTAAGAAATTCATCGATTCGTATCGGAAAGGACCTAATCCTAAGCCTCTTGAGCCTTTTTTGATTCAGAAGTTGATGTTTCAGCTTTGTAAAGGCGTTGCGCATTGTCATAGTCACGGTGTGCTTCACCGTGATCTTAAACCGCAGAATCTTCTTCTTGTGAAAGATAAAGAGCTTCTTAAGATTGCTGATTTAGGTCTTGGTCGTGCTTTTACTGTTCCTCTTAAGTCTTATACGCATGAGATTGTTACTCTTTGGTATAGAGCTCCTGAAGTTCTTCTTGGTTCTACTCATTATTCAACTGGTGTTGATATGTGGTCTGTTGGTTGCATCTTTGGTTAGTATTCTCAATTATGCTCTAATGTCTTTGAATATGTCTCTTTCCACTGTGATTTTGTCTTTATGTTGTGTTTCCATCTTTGAATTTGTATAGCTGAGATGGTCAGGAGGCAGGCTCTTTTCCCTGGTGATTCTGAGTTTCAGCAATTGCTTCATATCTTCAGGTATTTTGAATTTGCCTTTCATTGGTTCTTCTGGTTTTGTCCAGTTTTAATGTGAATTGCATCATTGAATGATATAGCTAGCTACCACACACATTATAGTCTAGGTTTCATTGTCCATAGTACAATGGATTTAAGGATTCAGCATTCTTGAATAGAGACTATGATCTTTACTAATGGTATTTTTTGGTTCATGGAGATTGCTAGGAACACCAACTGAGCAGCAATGGCCGGGTGTGTCCACTCTGCGTGACTGGCATGTTTACCCAAAGTGGGAGCCGCAAGACTTAACTCTTGCTGTTCCTTCTCTTTCACCTGAAGGAGTTGATCTTCTCACGGTAAATAACTCCCTGATGACCATAGCATTGTTGCAAGTTTCTCTAATATTGTTACCTCTAGCTTCTGCTGCCCTCTTTTTTTTCTCTAAGCTGAATTGCTTGGTTAAATCTTTCTGATTGAGCTTATGTTTGAAAAAATGCAGAAACTGCTCAAGTACAATCCAGCCGAAAGAATTTCAGCAAAAACAGCACTAGATCACCCATATTTTGACAGCCTTGACAAGTCTCAGTTCTGAAGTGAAAACACACAAGTTGATTGCTGAATCTGTTGTCATCGTCTTGGTGAATTTAAACATTTGGTTTATGTTTGTTTCCGACATATCAGTGTCTCATGTTTGGATTAGAGATTTGTAGTCTTTCAGATGAAACTGCTATAGCTTCTTTTCTGAAGTGAATGTATAACACAATGGTGTGGTAGCAATGAGATGATTTTCTATATATTGCTTGTTTTTGTGTAATCAAACAAACTTGATGATGCTCAACTATCTGAATCATGTCAACTTTGAAAATTAAAGTTAGACCTGACAGGTGTGGAAATAAAGGGTCTTTAATAGAATTGTCAAAACCCCAATGTTACGTACAATGGTATTAGTGTACACAATTGGTATTCTGACGCACACAACTTGCCCACAAATGGTTTACAATACAGATGGCAGCTCAAAGACACTAAGTTAAAACGATTTATCGCTACACACAATTGAAGGAAACCAAATAATACAGAAGTCGTAGTAGTAGTAGCTACTGATGATGATGTTGGGTGATGTGAAATCAATTGGACCACACATGAACAAGGCCGTGTCTGTTTCCCGTGTATATCTCATTTCGTTCTTCGTCATAGAAAAGGGCGGTTATGTCTTCCAAAGCTTCAGCTACCGCGTTTCTTCTTTGCTTTGAGGTCTTTCCCAAACAACTACTGCTGCTGCTCTCATCTTCTTTTGGAGGTCCACTGCTTGGTGTAATTTTAGCTAAGCATTTCCCAGTCAATATATTGCTGATATTGATCGATCCCGCTGCATCATCGCACAAAACACTATTAATCAATCTCCATCAAAGAGATTTGTTATAGGTTATAGGGTTATTATATATCTTGATGGGCTTATTCTTCTTACCATTTCCTTCTATCCACTGATCTTCGGTATCTGCTTTGCAGTATGAGATGATCAGATCTTGATCACTTGTAATGTAGATATTATTTGTGTTACAGTCCGGATGCCATAGAAGATGGTCCTCAAAGGAAGTCACGAGCTCTCCTCGAAAATTCCACACAGAAACATTTCGATTCCTGAATGTCAGAAACAACTGGTTCTCATACAGAAATATGAATGCAGACGGTGTCATGAACTCAGCTCTACTAACTTCCATTAGCTCAGCATTTCTGACCTGAGTTCGCAAATCAGAAACCAGTCCTTATTAAAAAACATGTAAAACAAAAGCTAAAAGATTGATTGAATCAGATAAAAATTAACTCACGTCAAGAATTTGGAGGTTCTCATTCTCTTGCTTAACAAGAAGTTTCTCATTGAATTGTTCAATGAAATCAACTTTCTTGTTTCGGTGAAGCAAATGATTGAAGGACTTGAGAACTGTGCCATCTTCTATCGACAGAATCTTCAAAGGAACATGACTGGCAGCTCTCTTGAAGATCAATAACATTATGCCTGGGCTGATGTAGGGAATCAAATGACCACAACAGTTAGAAAATTCACAAGTCTGTCAATCCAATCTAGTGGACATAACAGTTGGAAAAGCAGCTTGCTCAATATATGCAAACACAAAACAACAAAAGGGTCAGAGACAAATGGAGAAAAGTTACCTGATTTTAATTTCCTGGACATTTTTATCTGATATCGAATATAGCATGGTGTAGTTTTTCAGATCAAAAACCTTGTATACACTGCAGAAACAGCTATCGGGCTCAGAGGAAGAAACTTATAGTAAAAAAATTTAGGTTGTGAAGACAGAAAATAACCTGTCCTGCGCAGAATAAGTCAGCACCTTTCCATTGACATCATCAAACTCAACAAAACCAGGCCACTTTAATGATTCTGACTCAAAAAGAGCAAACCCTGCATCTGGCTGACCTCTCAGAATATACCTAATAGTTGAAACAACACGAAAATCACATTAGCTTGAATAATCCACAAAACATAGACACTAGATATGAAACCGATATGGTAGACAACATACTCAATTCTAGTGGATCTGCATTTCAAAGAGCTGAAATTGTCTGAAGCATAAACAGAAACTGTGATGAGAGAATCATTGTTCTTGTTGTAGAACAAGCTCCTGATGACTTCATCTGGACTAACATTTAAAAAGCATATTCGTTTGTTCGACTCTGCAATTTTAAGGTAAAGCATACTCTCAGTCACATAGACACAAAGCTGAGAGTAAAAGTAGTCAAATTACACTAATTACCTCTACTAAAAGCAGCGCAAACACCAGAATGAGCAAGCGCAAATACAATGTCCCTTGCAGCAACAATCTCGATAACTTTAGTTCTTTTCATCAAAAACGGTAATGCAACTAAACAGTGTCCCTTAGGATCGTGAGTATCATATTGCTCCTGAAATCAATCCCAATTAAGAGAATTTATGAGCAGACGAGCAATTTCTAGGGTTTGAGAAGGATTGAAAATTAGGGCAAATTCAAAAGATTGAAAATTCAGAACATACCACAAGACGCATGTTACGAAATCTCTCTTGGGCGGTGCTAATAGAGAAAGCTCGATCTTTACGAGATGAGATTTCTCTTCGTTGAAGCTTTTTAACACTGTTGACGAATCCATCGGGTCGAGACCTTTTTTTAGCCACAACTCTTCTTCCACTACAAGGTCTAGGGCTTGCCGTTATCCTTCTTCCTTCCATCTACTTCTTCCTTCTTCCAAGCCCCAATATTTAAAGCAGGTAGTGGATTTGCTTGAAACCCTAAAGGATGAGGAAACCCTAAAGAAGAAGAAGAAGAAGCGAGAGAGTTTGGGTAATCTCTAAGAGGAAGACGAGAAGTGACGGCTACTACATGGGAGTGTGACGTAAGAGTTTTTTGCAGATTCAGATTGGAATTTGGCTGATTCAATGTTGCAAAGCTCTTTTTTCTTTCAAAATCTCAATTTCGAACACGAACCAGCCGAACCAATCCGAATTATTTTTGCATAGATCGAAGGAAAATAAAATAAACATTGAATATTATGTTAAAACGCAGCGTTTAAAGTGTTGAAGGAAATTAAACTTTAATGGGCTTTGATGGATGGCCCAGTAAACCTTTCCATGACAATTGATTAATTTGCTCTTGAAAACAAATTTTGTTTGAAAAATTATATCAAGTTACGGTGAAAAACTATTGGTGACTTTCAAATTTTTTAAATAACTTTTAGAAACTTTAATTTAAAGAATAATTTGAAATATTTTGGTAAAAGTATCATAAAATTTTGGAAACTTTTCTTTTTCAATCATGTCATTTCTGTGGTAACTTAAAAAAAAAAGATGTTACAAACTAATCAGCAAAAGTCAATGGGTATGATTGGTAACAAGCTGTTAGCTGTTAGCTGGAGCGGTTAGCTGGAGCGGTTAGCTGGAGCTGTTAGCTGTTAGGGAATAGTGCAAAGCTGTACAAAAGAATAAAACACGAAAGCTGTACAAAAAAATAACGCAGATCAAATTTAAAAAATTTACTCTGATTGGAAAAATCATAACGGTACACATAATAAATAATATTAAGAATTTAGAAAGAAAAAAAAATTACATAGAAATGTACTTTAGTATATAATTACATATGAAAATTAAGATTATATAGAATGAACAATATCTTCCGTAACCGTTTCTCAACCGTAACCGTATAAAACGGTTTAAAACCGTAACCGTTAACCGTAAAAATAATTAGTTACAGTTAAAAAATATATTAACCGTAACCGTTAATTAACGGTAAACATATGAAAACTGTTATTTAACTATATGGTTAACCACATAGTTAAAACTTTAAAAATATAGTTGTAACTCCATATAATGCAAAAACAATTATCGAATGTTCAGATTAAGATTTTAAAAAAAGTAAATGATACCGCATATGAAAAAAATTTACGTTATAAAAAATGGTCTTTTTCTCAAACAAATATGTTGTACTGTTATTTTGCTCGAAATGAAGAAAATTTGGTTTGTAACATACTTTTTGATTTTATGAAAAGTATTATAATAAGTTAGTTAACTCGTAAGATTTCGCCTCCGATATTAACCGTATTGTAGTCATCAAATAACTATAACCGTAATTATCCGTAACCGTTGTAACCGTAACTGTAACCATGTTTAACTGTAACCGTTATAACCGTATTTAACCGTAACCGTTATAACCGTATTTAATCGTAACCGTATTTAACCATAACCGTATTTAACCGTAACCGTTTTAATTTGTTTTTGTTTTTGTCAAAAAAAACTGTTTATGTTATAGTGTACCGCTTTTCATAAAGCTTTTGTGATTGGTAACTGTCAAAGCTGTACAAAGCTGTACAGCTTTAAACTTGGTTACCAATCATAGCCAATAAAACAAATGGAGATGCATGCATGATGAATTTAATAAGCGAGACAGATTAAACGGGCCAAAACCCAGAAGTCGTCCCGTGTAAACGAAGAAATGGGCCCAGAAAAAGACGGTGAATTAGCCATTCAATATGTTACGTAATACCCACACGAAATTAGGCAAAAGCGACGGATGATGCATCAAGCATGGTCTCTTACAAAAGCCATGTGATTTATTGATTTCTACCCCTAACCTCACTTTATTATTTTATCATCATCTCCCTTCTTCCACCTACAGCTGAACTAATTAATGCACGTCTTCGAAACAATATAAAAATGGTCAAATTTAAATAAAATTCAACTAACAACCATTTTTTAAGAGAGCTGTCTATACGTCGTTCGACGAACTTGATATGTGGGAGTATAAACGGTCTTACGCTGTTTTAATGGCAATAAATGAGGTTGACGATTTTGTATGTTTTGTACGTCTAATTTTTTTTTTAAAATAGTTATTTTATGAATTTAGATGGTATAACAAATACTAGAATTTTGGAGTTAAGAAATATCTAATGTAGAAAACAAATTATTTAAAAATGAAATGTGTTACTATTTCACTATTTAAGTCATGTCATTAAAATTTGGTAACGAATCCGTGTACAAATAGTAGTCTCCTTTAGGAAAACAAAACCCCCTGAGAAACTCAACAGCGAGAGAACCACAAAGCGTAAGAAAGTAAGTATGAGTGGTTTTTCAACCAAATCCGATGATAAAAAGGAAGAGAAGCCAGCAACAGCCATGTTACCACCACCCAAACCAAACGCTTCTTCCATGGAAACGCAATCTGCAAACGGCGGAAGCGGTAAAAAAGTGCGACGCAAACGCAACTGCAAAATCTGTATCTGTTTCACTATCCTCTTGCTTCTCCTCATCTTTGTAGTTATCCTCATCTTAGCTTTCACTCTCTTCAAACCAAAACGCCCAACCACAACCATCGATTCCGTAACCGTTGATCGTCTCCGAGCTTCCGTCAATCCTCTCCTTCTCAAAGTCATCCTAAACCTAACGCTCAACGTCGATCTCTCTCTGAAAAACCCTAATCGCGTCGGGTTTAGCTACGATTCGTCTTCGGCGTTGTTGAATTACAGAGGCCAATTGATCGGTGAAGCTCCTCTTCCGGCGAACCGAATCGCGGCGCGGCAAACGGAGCCGTTGAATTTAACGTTGACGCTAATGGCGGATCGGTTACTCTCTGAATCGCAGCTTTTATCTGACGTCATGGCTGGCGTCATTCCGCTTAACACTTTTGTTAAGGTCTCTGGTAAAGTAACTGTTCTTAAAGTCTTTAAGATTAAAGTCCAATCGTCTTCTTCGTGTGATCTCACCATCTCTGTTTCGGATCGTAATGTTACGAGTCAACACTGTAAGTATTCGACTAAGTTATAAACAGATCGCGAATCGCCTAAGTTATAGATTCTAGTACAACACTTTTGTCTTCTTGTTTTGTTTTTGGTATTTGAATTGGTTTGTATTTATCTCTACGTATGTTTAAATTTACTTAAATCAATAGAGATTTGCTTTTGTTCTTTTTCATCTTAATATCTTGTTGCGATACTCATAATTTGATGCAGCAAAATTAGTAAAACGTGTTAGCCAATGTGTCAACAACGTATTACGTGTGGATATTTTTTTCCAACCATTTTAAAGTAGAAGAAAAAGTCAGATAAAGAATCAAATCAGATTCTTAATGACTGTCACATAATGTAGGCAGATTGTAAGGAATTAGTTGGCAGCTCAAATCGCATTTAAATCACTTCTTCTCTACTTTAATCTATATTTCTTCTATAAGTGTGGCTTCAAGCTCTCCAAATGTACAAAAACAAAACCATTCACACATACATTATAGTTGTGGATCATGACCAAGCGTATGCGTAAATCCAGACGGTGCGATTGCTGCACAGCTTCCTGTATCATCTTAACCATTCTAATCATCACCTTCGTCATTGCCTTACTCTTGGTATTCGAGGTTTACAAACCGAAAAAACCAATAACGCAGATCTAATCAGCCATGAGTCACCTTACAAGGCATCGTATATCCTTACCATTTGATGTTCCATTCCACACTTATTAGTCTCCATATTCTGGTTGTGAATCGCTACCGTCTGAGTTTCAAGCACGAGGTTCTTCGATTCTACCTTGTCAACACTAAGTTTCTATATCGGATTGTAAAATCACTCTTGACCTCCCTTCCGTGAAAGTTCAGAACCAAGAATGTGATATCAGCACTAAGCTGAGAATTGAGTATCATCTAGATAACATATAGGCAAAAGGATATATTTTTATTCCATACACTAATAAAGACTGTATTTTTCATTCTCTTAACCAGAAAAAACTAAAGCATCCATCTATTTCCTCATCGTTTCCATTCTAAAGAAAGCATTTTTAACAAGTCGAATTCTCAATAACAAAACAAAATGATCTCATATCTGCATCAACAACTGTTTTTAGATATTACAGAGCAAAAGTCGAACAATTTAGCAATTAAAGAAACAGAGAAATTGACCTTAGACAAGCTCAATGTAAGCCATTGGAGCATTATCACCTCTCCTTGGAAGAGTTCTGATGATCCTCGTATATCCACCGTTTCGCTCACCGTATCTATCAGGAACCTCTGCAAACAGAGCGTGAACAATCTGCTTCTCGTAGATATAACCCAAGGCTTGTCTTCGCTTATGCAACGAACCGTCTTTAGCCAATGTAATCATCTTGTCAACGAACTTCCTCATCGCACTAGCTCTAGCTCGAGTTGTCTTGATTCTCCCATGCTTAAGAAGCTGAGTCGTGAGTCCTCGCAGAAGAGCTTTGCGCTGGTCCGGTGGTCTGTTCAGCTTCGGAACTCGTCGTCCGTGTCTCATCGCGTAGATACGACCACCACCGTCAACAATTTTGAATCCATTCTCAAAACTCTGCCAATCTGCGTTCAATATTCAAAAACCCTAACGATTTTGGAGATTCAAATTGAGCCAAAATTGAAACGATTGTCTCTGTGAAAATGGAAATTTACCTGGAAGTCCGATTGAGATGAGAGGATTGACCGGAGAGAGACCGGAGAAAGATGGGAGTGAAGGAGAAGAGATTGGTACACGAAGAGTGACCGGACGGCGAGAAGACGAGGAAGGTAATCGGAGTGATGCGGTGGAGGGAAGAGCTGATTTGAGAGAAGACATACTCCAAACTCTGCTCACGGAATCTGTAGGAGTCGCCATTGCCATGGACATTGGAATCGCCATTAGAGTGTGATTCTCTGCAACAAAGGCGATTTTGCGGGGAATGGATAAGGGATAGAGGAAGAGAACTTCGTTTATCAGAAACCTTTCCATGGGCCTTAATGGGCCTATAAACAGTAACTCTCACGCAATGTAATAATGTATCGCTTTGCCAACAAGAGACTTTTTAAGGGTTTTTTTTTTTGCCAAACAATTTGCATTTGGTCTAGGACTTGTGTTTGGACTTTGGAGTGCTTCTTTGGGCTATGTAATGTTAGAATTATTATATGCTAGATATGTTAACAACATTTGTGATTTGCAAACATTTTAGTTTTATGAGCATTTCTTTTATTTAGAGTTTGATGTTATTGGTTGAATCTTTTCTTGGATAATAAATGGTGTTCTAAATTCTAATAGTAAAAAAAAAGTTTATGTACTTTCTTAATTGAAGAATTTTGGGAAAATCTTTAATATCATATAATTTGAACATAAAGAATAAAGAGTATAATAATAATAATAAAACGAATTTTTATATAATACATGATATTTGAAAGATTACTCAAAAATTAGCCAAATTAGTCTAAAAGGGCAGAAAAGACTTTTCGAATATGAACTTGGAGAAAGACATTCAGCTTTTTACGCTGAGAAACTTTCATATTGAGCCGTGTGTTTGTGTTGTGAAGAGAATTAATAAAAGATAATTCGAAGTGAAAAAGGGTAATAAAAAAAGGTCGTAAAAAGCGTGGATGGTTTCTTCTTGGGTTCACTGCCATGCCAAGCCATGCGATTATTAAATTGGCCATGGGGCTAGTGTTTGACGTACAAAAGTCTAAAAATTGTCAGTCAAACAGGTCCAAAACTTTGTAAGAAAAATAATATAATAATAGTAGTTTTTAGAAAAATTGTTAAAAAAAGGACAAAAGGAAAAAGATGAGGATGCAGATGAAAGCAAAATGTCAAACACTAGTTTCAGATTTTATCGGGAACTGGGGTTTGACAGTTGGTGTTGTGTAATGGCCTCTCATCAAAACTTGTGCATCTCTTTTCTTTTTTCGTCTTTGTTATTTACTGTTTTAGCTCTACGTCTTGTCCAATTCCTCTTATGTAAAATGCCTTTGATACTTTACAAGGGGACTATATGTTTTTTTTTCTTTTTCTCTTTCTTAAAATATTTTTTTACTTGGATTCCTCTTCTTTCGTTTAGGACGGTTTAAGGAAAACCATCTTTCTAATTTTAGCACAAAATTGCAAGTTGGCTATAGAATGGCTGGCACTGCCCATCTTAGTAAGCACATCGTAACACAAAAAGTCTTTCGATTGTGAGAGATTTCTTCATCCCATCTCTCATACCAAACCTAAATGACTAGTGGTGCAAGTGCAACTGTGCAACTGTGCAACCACATGATTCATACCAAACCAAGTCGTGTAATTCTGTAAAACCCCATTCTTTTCACATAGTGAATGAATCCAAAATTTTATTTACAGAAGTCACTACTCAATTTTCAAACATTTTTCAACAACAAAAAAAAAGTTTTTTTTGTCACTCTACTTTAGTACTTCTCAAAGAAATTTTGTTTCCTCTCACATAATTTCTATCCACTTTCCTATCATTACTTATCACAAAATCACATATTAAACCATTATCAACTACTATATAATTTAGTTTATAACCAATCATACCTTCGTTTAAGCGTATTTTGATCCATGTCGAGATTTATGATTTATCGCCCTCAATGGGATCCTTGATCTCTTCCTTCATCTTATTGGAAACAATAAAAAAATGTATTTACTGAAGAAACAAAATCTAATTTCGGTATGAAAACGAATTCTTCATAGGCAGGTCATGTATGATGGCATTACGATTTAAAAGATAACCGTAATTCTTTTTATTCGGAAGTGACAAAATGACCAGATTGTTAGTTTATTTGCTTTTTGGATTGGCATTTGGTCATGAAAGCATGTTTTGCATATCTTGATGCTGACTTTATTTTTTATCAAATGTTTTGACTTTTGACGAGTGGTTAAGAAATACGATTTTCGTGGACACCATTTTACAGGTCGAACCGTGGAGCATCGTTTGTCGTTGTGTATTGATGTTTTCGGGTTTACACTAATTACTCCACCCCAATTGTTGTATTGCTAACTAGAAAATTACCTCTGAAATTTATTTTCCGTTACTTATAATTTATTGACATTTCATTATATTTGTAGATTATTTAGTAATAAAGTATAAAATATATTGCACCGGTTCCACGAAATAGAGCTCTATTATTATAGACCAAACAAAATATTATCTTCTTGTGGTTAGTTTGAGAGAGAGGTCAAGAAGAAAAGAGATGGATCGGCAAAAGGAAGACGTCAAACACACAACGACGAACATTTCCGATCACACCACCTAATCTCTTCCCATTTTTATTATTTTTCAACTCAAATTAATTAACCAAGAACAAGAAAACAGAGAGAGCGAAAGAGAGAGAAAGAGTTAAAACATGAATAGAGATAGAAAGAGTCATTAAATGTACGAAGCGACATTCACAATAATTCGAAAGGTGGAAGACGACTTAGATACGGCCAGGCTTCACTGTCCTCGTCCTCCTCAATACCCAAACCCCTTTTTCCGGGATTCATCTCCAACCCACTTCCTTCCAAATTCTTCACACCCCTCACTGAGTTTTTGCTTTTTCTCTTTTACTCATCGGAGATCGTGATGAAGATGAAGTAATTTAAGAATCAAGAGTCTAGCTTTTCTTACTACAAACCCTTTTCTGTTTGGAAATTTTCGATTTTGGATTTTGCCCTTTTCTTCACTATTTATAACCATGCAATCCCACGACCAACCCCTTCTATCTCCATGGCGGAATCCGGCGATTTCAACGGTGGTCAACCTCCTCCTCATAGTCCTCTAAGAACCACTTCTTCCGGTAGTAGTAGCAGCAACAACCGTAGTGCTCCTCCTCCTCCTCCTTTAGTGATGGTGAGAAAACGATTAGCTTCCGAGATGTCTTCTAACCCTGACTACAACAACCCCTCTCGCCCTCCTCGCCGTGTCTCTCACCTCCTTGACTCCAACTACAATACTATTTCACCACAACAACCACCGTCTCTTACGGCGGCGACGGTTGTATCTTCTCAGCCAAACCCACCACTCTCTGTCTGTGGCTTCTCCGGTCTTCCGGTTTTTCCTTCAGACCGTGGTGGTCGGAATGTTATGTCCGTACAACCAATGGATCAAGACTCTTCATCTTCTTCTGCTTCACCTACAATTTGGGTTGACGCCATTATCAGAGACCTTATCCACTCCTCAACTTCAGTCTCTATCCCTCAACTTATCCAAAACGTTAGAGACATTATCTTCCCTTGTAACCCAAATCTTGGTGCTCTTCTTGAATACAGACTCCGATCTCTCATGCTTCTTGATCCTTCCTCATCCTCTGACCCTTCTCCTCAAACTTTCGAACCTCTCTATCAGATCTCCAACAATCCTTCTCCTCCTGTTACCCAACAACACCAACAACAGCAACAACAACAACAACAGCAACAGCAACAACAGCATAAGCCTCCTACTCCGATTCAGCAGCAAGAACGAGAAAATTCTTCCACGGATGCACCACCGCCACCAGAGACGGTGACCACCACCGCGGCCACAGTCCCAAACACGGCGGAGGCGTTAAGAGAGAGGAAAGAAGAGATTAAGAGACAGAAGCAAGATGAAGAAGGTTTACACCTTCTCACATTGCTGCTACAGTGTGCTGAAGCAGTCTCTGCTGATAATCTCGAAGAAGCAAACAAGCTTCTCCTTGAGATCTCTCAATTATCTACTCCTTACGGGACCTCAGCGCAGAGAGTAGCTGCTTACTTCTCAGAAGCTATGTCAGCGAGATTACTCAACTCGTGTCTCGGGATTTACGCGGCTTTGCCTTCACGGTGGATGCCTCAAACGCATAGCTTGAAGATGGTCTCTGCGTTTCAAGTGTTTAATGGGATAAGCCCTTTAGTGAAATTCTCACACTTTACAGCGAATCAGGCGATTCAAGAAGCGTTTGAGAAAGAAGACAGTGTACACATCATTGACTTAGACATTATGCAAGGACTTCAATGGCCTGGTTTATTCCACATTCTTGCTTCTAGACCTGGAGGACCTCCTCACGTGCGACTCACGGGACTTGGCACTTCCATGGAAGCTCTTCAGGCCACTGGGAAACGTCTTTCGGATTTCGCTGATAAGCTTGGCCTGCCTTTTGAGTTCTGCCCTTTAGCTGAGAAAGTTGGAAACTTGGACACTGAGAGGCTCAATGTGAGGAAAAGAGAAGCTGTGGCAGTTCACTGGCTTCAACATTCTCTTTATGATGTCACTGGCTCTGATGCACACACTCTCTGGTTACTCCAAAGGTAAAATAAACATTACCTTTTGATCACTCTTTTAACATTAATTTAGATTATATAGGAAAAAGATGTTCTAAAAAGTGCCTTTTTTGGTTAATGATTGGGAATAAACAGATTAGCTCCTAAAGTTGTGACAGTAGTGGAACAAGACCTGAGCCACGCTGGTTCTTTCTTAGGAAGATTTGTAGAAGCAATACATTACTACTCCGCTCTGTTTGACTCATTGGGAGCAAGCTACGGAGAAGAGAGCGAAGAGAGACATGTCGTGGAGCAGCAGCTATTATCGAAAGAGATACGGAATGTATTGGCGGTTGGAGGACCATCAAGGAGCGGTGAAGTGAAGTTTGAGAGCTGGAGGGAGAAAATGCAACAATGTGGGTTTAAAGGTATATCTTTAGCTGGCAATGCAGCTACACAAGCGACTCTACTCTTGGGAATGTTTCCTTCGGATGGATACACTTTGGTTGATGATAATGGTACACTTAAGCTTGGATGGAAAGATCTCTCCTTACTCACTGCTTCAGCTTGGACACCTCGTTCTTAGTTTTCTCTTTTTTTTCAGAAACAATGTGCCCATAAATAGATTTACCTGGGTTTTACTTCTTTTTTTTTGTTATGTATCAAAAAGAGAGGATTTGTAAGTCAAATTGTTCTCACTCACCCTTTGTATGGACTACCTTGGAATACATAGAAGTTGATCATGTAGATTAGAACAAGTTGATATTGAAGAAAACACTTGAAAATGGTACATCACATCATCAATAATAAAAATGATAACACGTAAGGCTGAAGTCTTTTAGTAGGTTAAAGGGAAAAATAGTTTACAAATGTTTTCAGTTGCCGAATTCTATTGAAGGCTACCAAATTCTTTTTTTTTTTTTTTTTGAATTGTTATGTTTTTTTTTTTTTTTTTTTTTGCTTTTTTGGCAACTTGAATTGTTATTATTTATTTGATTTTTTTTTTTTTTTTTTTTTTTTTTTTTTTTGTCATCCGAAATTAATTAACACTCAGAAAAGCCATTCCTGAGGAATGTTGTTTACATATGTGATGTGACGCGGTTCTGTACGAACTTTTCGTGCTAGAGAGTCCGCTTTGACATTTGCTCTACGAGAAATTAAAGATAAAGAAAAACTTAGGAATTCTTCCTTGTCGCTCTGAAATTCCTCCAAATACACTGAAAACGCCGGCCATTCGGTTGGAGAAGACACCATCTTCACCAAGTCAGAACAGTCTGTAAAAAACGCTACCTCCTGATTATCTGCGCCAATCATACACTTCATCGCCCAGAGAAGGGCCTCGACTTCGGTATGTAATGGAGATAGACTCCTACGGATGTTGGCAGCTCCCATGGTTGGCGGCTCTCCACTTGATGATGTACAAAACCATCCTGTACCGGAGAACTTATCACTTCCTTTCCATGATCCATCCACAAAACAGCGGTATCCCGAATAAGTTGCTTCAAGTGAGACAGTCCTCACTCGAGACCGAGTTACCAAATCCACAGGTCCCTGATTTGCATTTATGAGCTCAATTTGCGCTGATTGCCACAATTGTGCCTCTTTTTCCGCTAACCGTAATACCTCTAGTGGGTCACTGTCTATATTTTCAAATATTTTTTCGTTCCTTGCTTTCCAAATATACCAAATAATCCATGGGAAAGCCGATGAATCAAATTCTGAAGGTACCCTCCAGAATAAGTGATCCATATTCGCGAAGATAGATTCCGTGGGAAAATTCCCCATAACTGTAGGAATTTGTGAAAGCGCCCAAATCTGCCGTGCCGGATGGCATTGGAAAAGTGTGTGATTAATCGTCTCCTCTGGTGCGCCACATCGGGAACATCCTACGTCACAATTAACTCCTCTTTTCCGCAAATTCTCCGTAACCGGGACGCAGCCCGTCAAAATCTGCCACAAGAAATGGCGTATCTTTGGTGGACATTGCACTTGCCAAGAATATGCCTTTAGGGGTGTGATATCTGGGCCCATAAAAGATACATTGGTTCCCGACGTATCTAACCTTGTAGCATGATAACCCGATTTAACAGTATATTTCCCAGATTTTGTGAAATGCCAACCCAAAGTATCTTCTTTAGTTGGAGCACCCACTGGTAGGGCACTTATTAAGGCCACATCTTCTGGATCAAAGATCGCATGTAAGAGATCTACATTCCAAAAGTTCGACCGAGTATCTATCAAATTGTTAACTTTTAAAGACGGATCAACAATTGACCCGTTGCTTTTTGCTGGTCTCGGGAGTTGAGCTGGAATCCAGGGATCCTCCCAAACTGAGATGGTTGCCCCAGATCCGACTCTTTTAATAAGTCCTTTATTAACCAGAGATCTAGCTGAACAAATACTCCGCCATCCATATGATGGCGAGTATGATTTTACCTCCTCCAGAGGATTGGTTTTCCGAAAATACCTCCCTTTGAAAACCTTTGCGAAAAGAGAATCTGGAACCGTAATCAACCGCCATAATTGTTTTGCTAGTAAAGCTGAATTAAAATCATCTACATTTCGAAATCCTAGACCCCCTTCTGATTTGCTGTTGCACATTTTATTCCAAGCCATCCAGTGCATACCTCTGGAGTCCCCATTCGAACTCCACCAAAAATTAGCAACCGCACTAGTGAGTTTTGAAGTGATTGTTTTCGGTAGTCTGAAGCATGACATAACGTAAGTTGGTAATGCTGCAGCTACCGATTTAATCATCACTTCTTTCCCACCTTTCGATAAAAACTTGGCCGACCAACCGTTAATTCTTGTTTGTAATCTCTCTCTCACAAAAGAGAATATTTTTGTCTTAGAACCCCCTAAGCTCTCGGGCAGGCCGAGGTAAGATCCCATACCACCAATAGTAGTAATACCCAGGGTAGACTTTATTTCTTCCTTAATCTCCTCATCTACCTTATGTCCAAACTGAATAGATGATTTTAAAAAATTAATTTGTTGTCCTGAGACTGCTTCATATTGTTTTAAAATTCCCAATATTACTCCACATTGGTCCTTATTAGCCTTGCAAAAAAATAAACTATCATCCGCAAATAACAGGTGGGAGACCGAAGGGCTTGCATTCGCTACTTTTAATGTTAACATTTCTTAATAATTTTTTTTAAATGTTAACATGTAATTATGGTTCTTTAATGGCTAAGAAATTGAGATGTTTGGATTTTCCAATAAAAAAAAAAAAACTCATCTGTAATATGGACGCCTTTTCATCTTTCTCTTCAACAACAACGAAACCCTAATCTGGTTAAGTCCACCGTGGAGCTCTGAATTCGTCTCTCTCGGAATTGATCGTTCGCTGTTGATTTTGTGATTTTCAACACCGAGTTTTCTATTCTCTTCTCTTGACGGTAGAAACCATTCCGATTTATACGGCTACTTCATCGCTCGAGCTCTCTCGTTCTCTATCGATCGCTGCGTCATCTGATTTGTCACCGGTTTCAGGCTTGTTTCTCTGACCTCTGGTTCTCGGCTCCCTGATTTTGCGCTCTATCTATCTATTAATCTCTTATTCCAAGTCTTTGTTCCGCTGTTATCACAGCTCATCTTCATCTTCCATTCACTGGTGTCTTTGGCCCGGCGTCGTCGGGGTTGCTTTCAGTTCATCAGAGGTATTCTCATTTTTACCTGTTTAATTTCTATTGATCAGAGGATTATTCATTTTTTTTTCGTGGATGTCACCACTTCAAGTTTAGGCCTAATTGTCAGCTGAATATAGAATGATCTGTATTGTCGAATGCATTCATGTCGTGCTTTTGTTACTTAGAGAGAATCTCTAGCTAGTTCCCAAAAAGTCTCTTTGTGATTCAGTACTGGGAATTTTTGGTTATATATGCATTAAGAGATACCTGTCTGTTTATGCGTGTATTTCAGGAAAGAGCCTACTTAAAACATTGAGGTTTGAATATTCTCTTCGACCATCGAAGATTTGCTTGGTGTACTGGCGGGAAATGGATCCTAGTCGATATGGTCGTCAGCAAGAATGGGATAATAACAGTGTAATTGTGGTTTTCTCCTTACATATATGGGATGATAAACAAGAAATTTTTAGGGATGTTGTGAATGTCAACTCATCCGTGGAGTGAGAGACTTGGGAGAGTGAGGATGTGGATGGGATTTGGCTAATGTAATATCCGTCAATGATGTTTGTTGCTGACATAGCTTATTCTCTTCAATTCACAGGCTCCGGAGGGTTATGGTACTCAGAATGATCCAAATAATCGGTGAGTGCTAGTTGAATGGACTATATTGATGTAGTTTTTTGTTCTCATGGGGGTATATAATTATTTTAACAGGTTTGGCGCATCATATGATGAGAGATATCCTGATGAAAGGTTGATGCGGGATGATGTTTACAATTATCCACCTGGGCATAATACTCTGGGTGCCTTGCCTCAATCTAGAAGGCGAAACTATGAAGAAAATTATCCTCGTGAACATCGTAGGCAAGAAAAGCCTTACATCGATTCAAATTATGCTGCTGACTATTATCACGATAGTGAAGCTGGGAGTCATAATGGATATTACCGTGATCATGAACACGAAAGGTCGTCCCGATATGATGGCCGCGATGACTATTCTTGTAACGATAACAACTATAGATCTAGAAATTACCAACATAGCAGAGATGATGGTCGTGAAAAAGATTATGATTATTCTCGCCGGAGTTATGATTCTGATTATGAAAGAGGCAGTGTGAGAGATGGCAGTCGAAAGAGCCGTGATCCGCAGGATAGAGAACGGAATTCACGAGATAGAGAATGGGACTCACGTGATAGGGAGTGGGACAAAAGATGTTTCAGCCGCGAAAGAGATGAGAGTCCTCATAAGAGATATGAGAAATCACGATCTCGATCTACCGGACGTGGTGAGTTCTCTAGATCAAGATCTCCTAGAGGTCGGAGCCATGGGCGGAGTTACCGGGAGGACAGCTATGAGGGGGATCACTGGAATGAAAGTGAGAGGCGAAGAGAATATGAAGATAGACATGACCAGGAGCATTTTTCTGCTGTATATAATATTTTCTCAACCCTGGTCTATATTATTTTGTTGCGAAGACATTTAAAAAATCCGTTCCTATATTTTTATGGTTTTTGCTAGACCCCATCCGCCACTGTTGTTGTGAAGGGTCTCTCGATGAAATCAACCGAAGAAGATCTATACCAGATTCTGGTAAACTCTTTTTCATTTTCCGAATCTGTATGTCCTCAGGGTTAAACAATTTTTCTTGCATGACTTCATTATTCCCTTTCGCATGACTAGGCTGAATGGGGTCCTTTGCATCATGTTCGTGTGATTCGGGAGCAAAGTTCTGGGATTTCTCGTGGATTTGCTTTTATTGATTTCTCCACTGTGGTAATTGCTTTCAACTAAGCTGTTAATTCCTGGGGCTCTTTCTTGCGGTTTATTCAACCCATTGTGTGCATTTATATATTTTTTCGGAGCAGGATGCGGCACGCACCATGATGGATAGACTTGAGCATGATGGTATAGTTTTGGATGGAAGGAAGCTAATTTTCAATTACAGGTCTTTCTTATAATCATAAGACTTTGATTGATTTCAATATTACTTATGGAGGGATCATAGAATTACTTCACATTTATATAATCGTTTCTTGACCTTTTCTATACCAGAGTATAACATTCTTACACTGAATTGCGTGTGTTGTAGCAGCCAACCTACTGGTAGGGCTGGTGTGTCCCGTAGGCAGGAACATGCTTCTAGACGCAGTTATGGTGGAAGTCGAAACATGATAGTTCCCACAGATTGGATCTGTACAATCTGTGGCTGTATCAATTTTGCGCGGCGAACCTCTTGCTTTCAGGTTGGTGCATTGTTTTGGATGAAAGTTCTGTAAATTTCATAGTCAGGACTAGAGTACAAACCCATCTGTTAACTACAGACGAAATTACATATATTTAATTACCGGAAGAACTACTCATTGTAGTGTCATGATTTGGTGATGACAATACCAAAAAAGATCGAACTGATAAAACTTTCAGAATAAATCTGTTTTGTGCTCCTAGAAATTATTTCCAGTTCCTTTTGGTGATGAGTATGTATTCTCAATGGACACTTTGTTTGAGACTAAGGTGACATACATATTTTGATAGTAATGGTAAATGAACATTTTAATTTTATGTCGACACATTGACGTGCATACCTATGCTAACAAAGTATTTGTTTGCATATACAATTTTCATTATTCAAATGTCTAAAAAAAAAAGAAGAAGTTAACGAACACCCTTTAACTGATCTTTTTTGATGGGATTTTGATTTATCTTTCCTTCTATTTGCTTAAACTCTGTGAAGTCTTTATCAATAGTTGAATGTTGTGGTCGACAATTGTATCTGTAGCCCTTCTTTGCCATGCCGCTGTCTGTGTCTTGATTAATGATAGAACACTCAAAAGTGCAGTTATAATATAGTAGAACAAATTTGTGGCCATTGCATAAACGTCTGTGATCTGTCTCCTTACACAGTGTAATGAACCAAAGACCAAGGATTCTCCTTCAGCTGATGTAGGTTTATCAAACTCAGCACCAGGAAAACGAATTTCTGAGACAGGTTCTGATCAGCATTTTTTATTTAAGATGTTTTAGATTTCTTTCTTTAGTTAGAAAACAGTCGAAAGTGTTAAGGCCATAGTTTTTGTACTTTTCTACATACCATTTATACCTAAGATACATTCTTCTTATTTTCTTTTCCAGGTCCAACTCATGTCCTGGTTGTACGTGGGTTGGATGAAGAGGCTGATGAGGAAATGCTTCGGTATGAATTTTCCAAACATGCTCCTATCAAGGTTGACAAATACCCTTTTGGATTCGTTTTCTATTAAGATATTGTACTTTATACGTCAGTTGACCTGGGTTTCCTCTTTCCACCATTTTGTAGGATCTTCGTCTTGTGAGAGACAAATTCACTCATGTTTCACGAGGATTTGCATTCGTACATTTCTGTTCGGTAAGGTCTCAAAGCCAAGTTGGTTGTTGCACTTACTCCTTAAACTCTCTCTTCTGCTTCGCTTTTCCCTTGCTGATGATTTAAATTGCAAGTGCGCCTTTTGAGAAAAGAGTTATTCGATTGTAAAGAAATTAGAAACCCAGTCTAGATGATCAGTACCACCTGGTTTTGATTCTGATTGTGAAGAGTGATTATGCTTTATTGTAAAAAAAATGTTTTAAGTGTCTCTTTAGTAATCATAATCTGCTCGTTCTGTGGGTAGATTTTGCAATGTTTGGTGGTGAGCACACTCAATAATTTATTTTGTCGTACTATTGTTATAATCTACATTCGACAACCATGTTTTGAATTGACTTGTGAAGCTCTTGTAGTAGATTATTTCTGTTGTCACTGATTCTCTTACCAATTTAATATCTGAACGGTGATCATATTTTGAGTAGAACTGCTTGATATGTCTAAATATCTATTTTCCCCAGTTTATGAGTGTATTTGACTTTTAAATCCACCTACCAACTTGACACAGAAGAATTTGATTATGTTCGTGTAGGTTGAGGATGCTACTAAGGCACTTGAAGCAACAAACGGAACAGCTCTTGAAAGGAATGGTAAAATTCTTAGAGTTGCATATGCAAAGAGTGTTCATGGTTCTGGAACTGGTATATCAGCACCCTCTCACTCCAACAACCTCGCTGCTGCTGCAATTGAAGCAGCAACATTTTCGCAACAGGTACGTGAAGATTGTTTTGATCCAGTTTCCCTTGTTTGATCATTAATCAAATTTTTCAGTAGCACCCAGTAGCTTTTGTTGAGGATTGTCATTCTTATGATTCTTCTACTCCATGTGCACTGACACTCATTTTTGTCCTTATTAGTATGACGGTGTTGGATGGGCTCCAAAGGAATACAATCCTGATGAGAAACAAACCACTGGATGGCAAGCCCAGGGTGTTGGGGAAATTGAATCCCAGAAAGGGACTTCTGCTCCACAGTCTGGCTATGTGTGGGATGAAGCATCTGGTTATTACTATGATGCGGCTTCTGGATACTACTACGATGGAAATTCAGGTTGGCACTTACTTATATTTTTCTTTATTTCTTTGAATTGATTGTATGGTTGGGTAGCTGCAGCTCTTATTTTCATATCTGGTATTGCAAAACATGTAATGGGCAAAAGTAAGGTTGATCTGGTCCAGTTGGCTGGTTGAATAGTCCTGCTGTAGATGTATTCTTTTATAGGATAACTTCTTAGCAAAAATAAGTCGTCAGCTCTGGTTTATTCAAACTATCCTGTTCTTTTTATGGCTATGAAGTTCTTATACTTTGTATGCACCAAACTAGCAAACATCGAGATACAATCATACAAGTGTATGTCTTAATTAGACTTTTAAAGTATGGTGTAGGGATTCATCAAGAGTTATATGATACAGTTGATTATGGCTGCTGTAGGACTTTCTTTGGATCTTCTTTTAAATATTGCTGAGTTCGGCCTTCTTATATATATGTATATATATACACACATATGTGCCTTAAAATTTGGCATCAAATAGGGCATAATGATGAAGTGTTTTAATGTTTTGGTTATCACTAGTCATCTTTTCTTGGTGTGTGGTGGTGGGAAACTTAGTTTCACTGGTGTAAGAAGAGGGTAATATTTTCTATTAATCGTATGTTTCTAAATATGCAGGTCTTTATTATGACAGCAATAGTGGGCTTTGGTACTCGTATGACCAGCAAACGCAACAATACGTTCCTTTTCCTGATCAGAACAATGAGAGTAAATTAACTGAAAACCAACCAGACTCTGCCAAGAAGGAGAAATCCAGTCAACAAAAAGTTATTATATCGGCGGCTACTACCCCTAATGTAGAAAAAGCTCTGTCCTTACCAGATGCGGTTCAGGCGGCTGCAGCAGCAGCAATTGCATCAGAGAAGAGAGAGAAAGAGAGAGTGAAGGAGATAAAACTTGCGTCAAAGACTAGCCTACTGGCTAGCAAGAAAAAAATGAATAACGTTTTAACAATGTGGAAGCAGCGGAGCCATGAAACCCAAATACAACGTCCCTCACCTTCACTTGTTGACAATCCACCTACAGTTCTGGCTGAAGCGAGGTCGTCTTTCTCCACTGGACAATCCATGGGAAAACTGAAATCTGATGTAATTATTGCGAAGGAGAAGAGTAATTCCAATCATGGAGTTTCTGCTCTGACAACTGCAGAAAGCTCGAGCAGCAGTACAACAGGAGGACCTTTGATGGGGGTGATGAGAGGTTCTTTTGGAGGAACTGTGGGAGGAGCTTCTTCTTCAGCTAGTGTACAAGTGCCGCCAGTTTTACCTTCTGCTTCTTCAGTTTCGGCTCCGGTTTCAGTTTCCGGGAGTGGGAGAAGAAGGTTCTCTGAAAAACCGACTGCAGTGCCTACTCACAGAGAACAGCCTCAGACATCATACCGGGACCGTGCTGCAGAAAGAAGAAACTTATACGGCTCATCAACTTCAAGTGGAAATGATGTTATTGATTCAAGTAAGCGCCCTTGACTCTGTAGATTTTTCTAAAAATAGAATCCGGAAATGAGTTGTATTATTGTTATTAAACATTGGGAAACTGGTGTGTTTGCATGAAGGTGAGGATTTAATGGGGTTGAGGAAAGGTTCATTGGATCCAACACCTTTTCCTCCAGGTGTGGGTGGACGTGGGATTACAACAACCACTGAAGTCAGTAGTTTCGATGTGATTACAGAAGAGAGAGCAATAGACGAGAGTAACGTGGGAAACAGAATGCTGAGGAACATGGGGTGGCATGAAGGATCGGTAACTTAAAAAAACCAGAAATTTGGTTTATGGGTAACGTTATATGTTAATGGTGATTCCTGATTGTTGTGTATGTGCTCAGGGTTTGGGGAAAGACGGGAGCGGAATGAAAGAACCGGTGCAAGCGCAAGGCGTTGATAGGAGAGCAGGACTTGGGAGTCAGCAGAAGAAAGTTGATGCTGAGTTTGAGGTTCAGCCTGGTGACACTTACAGAACTCTTCTTCATAAGAAAGCACTTGCGAGGTTTCGTGACATGTCTGACAATAATTGACTGTTTCTGAGTGTAAAGTCAGTTAGAATTTTTTATGTTCGGTTGTGTTTAAACTGTGAAAGTGATTTTGATTTTGTTCTTTCAAGTCTTTTGTTGAATTATTATTAATGAAAAGAGACGGACTAAGCACATGGCACTTGTACTGCTCGAGCAGACTAAACACATGGCACTTGTACTGCTCGAGTTAATCCATCCAAACTCGTCACAGGCACCTAAAGACAACAACGACCTCAAAACCTTGTATAAGTCCACTTATGTGTTTAATGGATCAGGAGTCAACAACCACCTGAAGACAACAACAGCTTTCTAAAAACTTACCAAAATAATATGCTTAGTTACCTACAAAGCTTTTAGTAAAATTTACAAAAGCTAGCTGCCAAAAAATTGCTAAAGTTTTTTTTCATAAGTTCCAGAATCTTTTGAAAAATTTTCAGATTAATATACAAAATTTACTGGAACTTTTTAACCAAAGTGTGAATGTGTGATGAATAGTGGTGATTCTTGAAAGAGTACTTTCATCCAAAAAAAATTCAGAATACTATTTTGTTAATGAACAAAATAATAAATTGTTATTTCATGCACATTAAAAAAACTAGCTATTGTTTGCAATTGTTCCAAAAGAATATGCATTGATATGCGATTTTTTTTTTCTGAAGGCATTAGATTTCAATTAATCATATATGTTCGTAAAGGTTGACAATTATAATAAAACATGTAAAAAGTAGTTAATCTCGTGTTTGTCATTGGCTTTTCCCAAAACAGATTGGTTAATACGTTTGTTGGAACCATTGTTATAATGGCTGGGTTTTGTTGCTGCCGGCTATTTCCGGATAAATGCCTCAAAAGATCTTTCAGTGAATCCACCGTGATTTACGTTGTCACAACGTGAGATGGAAATGAAGGGCTTTTTTCTGTTAATTTAGTTTTACACAACCCTATAAATATATGTATCTGTATCAAAATCTACACTTTAAACCCATACCAATTTATTTTAAAATAAGTTGGTATTGCCCAACTTTTTATCAAGTTTTTTCAACATGAAGAAATGTGAGTTTTTATTGATCGTAAGTTTTGCAAAAGGGAATGTGATCACTGATTTATTGATTTGACCAATTTGGCAGGGTTCATAACAGGAGCAGTGGTAATAGTGTTGATTGGATTAGGGGCATGGGCTTTTGTTTCCATTAGACCTCCACCTCCTAAGAGATGCGGAACCCCCGGTGGACCGCCTATTACCGCCCCTAGGATCCGTCTCAGTGATGGCCGCTATTTGGCCTACGAAGAACATGGAGTTAGTAGACAAAATGCAACTTTCAAGATTGTCTTTATCCACGCATTCTCAACATTTAGGCGCGACGCTGTTATCGCCAACCGTGTTCGCCCTGTAATGATTTGATCTCTTCCTCTCTTACTATTTCTCTTTTGCTCAAGGACTCAGATTGTTTATCTGCATTCACATTGGCCAGGGGCCTATATAGAGTAATTCTGTAATTGCATTGTTTGTCTCTTCAGGGCTTTCTCGAGAAAAACGGCATCTACGTGGTGTCATATGATCGACCTGGTTATGGAGAGAGCGATCCTCACTCTAGTCGCAATGAAAAGACTTTAGCGCATGATGTTGAACAACTTGCTGACCAACTACAACTTGGTTCCAAATTTTACGTGGTTGGGTACTCAATGGGAGGTCAAGCCGTTTGGGGTGTTCTCAAGTACATTCCTCACAGGCTCGCAGGAGCGACATTGCTTTGTCCTGTAACCAACTCATGGTGGCCGAGTTTCCCAGATAGTTTGACATGGGAGCTGTGGAACAAACAATCAAAATCCGAAAGGTTTGCGATGCTCGTTACTCATCACACTCCATGGCTACTCTATTGGTGGAACAATCAAAAGCTATTCGCAACAACAGCTGTGATGCAATCAAGCCCCACTATGTTCTCTCCTCAAGATCTTGCACTACTGCCCAAACTCGCCGCAAGGGTGTCTTACAAGAACCAAACAACGCAACAAGGGACACACGAATCACTAGACCGAGACCTGATTGTTGGATTTGGGAAATGGAGTTTTGACCCAATGAAGATCGAGAATCCATTCCCTAAGGGTGAAGGTTCGGTACATATGTGGCAAGGGGATGATGATCGGCTCGTCCCGATACAACTACAAAGAATCATTGCTCAGAAACTAAGTTGGATCAAGTATCATGAGATTCCAGGTGCTGGTCATATTTTTCCGATGGCTGATGGGATGGCAGAAACTGTCTTAAAAGAACTCTTGCCTATTCCTCAATCATCTTAAATTCAATCATTCAATTTTACATTGTTTAGATCATCAAAGTTGTACATTTTGTCTCCACCCCACAAAATAGCAATGCTCTGTTCCTCATGTATAAATTTCATTTCATTTTTTTTGCGTTTTTTTCAAGTATTTATTGCATCGCAGTAAAAAGATTTACTCTGGTAAAACATAACCAAAGAATTTCTTTTATTTGGAAATAGTAAAGCTAACAGTTAGATGACAACGAAGCTGCACCTATTCTGCCACAGATATCGTTTCTTAAACTTGCAGTTAAAGGATGCTAATCATAATATTAGTTTGAAGCTGAGAAAATGCTCACTTAGGAAGGCCAGTTTCAGGATTGAGAAGGGCTTGAGTTTGGTCGTGAAGCACGATGGGACCTTTTCCAGGTCTAGTGCAGATAAAATAACTGACTTCTCCTTTCTGATCCTGAGATCCAATGTTGTCTTTAATTTCAGGCGGAGGTTGCAGATTCTCGACACCACTTGCTCCATCTAGTCCTGCTTCCTTTAGAATCGAATTATCCCCCACTACGTAACTGGTAAACAATGAAACCAAAATCATTACAAACAGCCTTTTTAGTCAATTTTAAACTCATAGAAAACCGCAGTTAACGGATCGATCACACAGTTTCTATCTCTTACCTCTTCATATCAGTGTCTGACTTAGGGGGGAAATAGTACAGAAGCCCCTGAAGCAATTGGACTGCGACCTTTCTGTTGCGTGCAATCAGTACAGCATTTGGACCAGCATCAAATGTGTAAGCAACCTGTCCAGATTTTAGTTTTTGAGTTAACAGTTGTTTATATACTTAAAAGCACACACAAAATAGTTTTTCAAATGAGATTTGAGATAAGGTTGTAGGATCTGTCTCCCATCCTTGTGCAAATGCTCGGAAATAAAAATCTATGCTGGTACAGAAGTTGGAAGTAACATCTTCCAAAGTAAAATAATGGTCAAACAGTCGGGCAGGACACTTAGTAGCACTTTACCTGTGGTGTCCCTTCAGAACGGTTCCACTTTTCAACTAAGCTAATAATTCTGGAAAAGCAGATAACAGTTTGATATATTAGAATAAAGAAGGGTTTGATAACAAAATAAACTGAAGCAGCATACATATGTCAAAATAGAGAAATACCTGTGTGAAGTGTCATTCATGTAGAATATGGGTGGAGATGTATCCAGACAAACAGCATGAAACTGATTACTATCTGTACATGTCAATTGTGTAAAGGATGCAAAGTCTCGATTTTTTATAGCTTCCTCCATTTGCAAAATCCGTTTTGGCACAACTTCCTATAGATAGAGAAAAAACAAACGATGAGGTTTAATAGGTAATACAGAATTTCATCAAACATCAAGAAGAGAACGTACTTTTGCTCTATGCTGTAAAAGTAAACTCGTCTCAACACTTTCATGCATTCCGGAGGTACTGCTCGTTTCCTTCTGCCGTGAACTCACCTGTTATAAAAAGAAGCTTTTACAGGCTATGAAGGAAAACATAAGAAGGCACTAAATTTTCACAGATTTCTGATCATTCGAACTTGTCCATAATGCTATATTCACACGTTCAAATAGAGCAACTCAAAATTGTGTCATGGAAATACTTATTTATATATCTCGTTCAATCAAATCGTGTGACGAGAGTAAATGTAACATATGATTAATTTGAAAACAGCATGATCTGGAAGATGGGAAAGTCGGAGTAATCCTGCGAAAAAAGTGTAAAATTCGCTTGACAAAAGATTGAAAAGAGCCATACCACAGCAATGATGATAACAAGATCATCCCAATGCTTCTCATCTGCCAGTTGAACTGCAACGCTGTCACTTCCATCTTCTTTACTTCCCATTGTCCACTTGACAAATCCACCAAATAAACTACGGCAAGCACTTCCTGAACCTTGCCTACATGAGAAAATGAAACTCAAACAATGTATACCGGTACCACTTAACTTCTATAGGAATGTCAGATTTCACTTCAGTATCACAACTCATGCATTAGTAAATGAATAAATAGTAGCCTGTACATAATCAATGCATGAGGAGCATTGATATATAGTGCAAGGAAGTCCACTACATGGTTACCTGGCTATTGCAGAAAGATGGCTTGGATCTTCATCTACATTCATCAACTTTGCAAGAGAAAAAACTGTAGACAAAAAGCAGTTTGACATAAACTACAAGCCATTCTCAAGCTCATGATCAACAGATAGAAAAAGCAGAATACCTAGACAAGCAAATCCAGCAGCTGAAGATGCTAAGCCAGCAGCAGTAGGGAAGTTGTTATGAGAAGCAATATGAAGATGCAATTTCTCCCAATCTTTCTTCCCTATCTTAATCCCCTTTTCCTTATCTTCAACATCACCAGCACGACTTCGAATCTCCCTCAAACAATTTTGGTACCTACTTCCAGATAGAGAGATTTCCTATACTAACATGAAACAACAACAACAAAATGCCGGTGAACTCAAAGTTAAGTCCAAATCTAGCTTAGAATTGAAATTCCAGATATAAGCTTTGTGGTGATTATCTTTGAATTCGATAAATGGAATCTCAGAAACACGAGAGATCGTAGTGGGAAATGAAGAGAGTACCTTGCCATTGAGCCACATTCGATCCCGATCAAACCCAGGACTAACGGCGACAGTAGTAACGGTACAGAGATGATCGGGATCAAGAGTTACGCTAATGCTATCGTTAACGGGGAGAATCCGAGTCTCATCTCTCTTTCCCCAATACTTAATCACCGCAATGTTCGTCGGAGTTTGCGCCGTCACCATTAACACCCATTTCTCCATCGCCATGTGAAGCTCCACGCGAAAGCTCCAAAAGAGAGATCTGCAGCTTCAAAGTAGTTGAATTGAAGAAAATGAAAGCGACGGAGAATACGACAGAAAAATGATGACTCATGGCTTTAAAATTTAAATTTTATTTTATTCAAAAATTGGTAATATCAACCAAGAAATGAACACTAACTTAGTTTTTGCCATTTTAATGAGAACACCAAAACTTAACCTAGAGAGTTTTAGACAGAAAATGGAGTTAGGTAGGAGTTAACCAAAATTATAGTGATGTATAAAATCGTATTATCATAATCCATGGTTTTATGCCAAGTTAAACCACTTATTCTCCATCTATCACATGCTTAAAAGGCCTGTGAGTTGTTTTGTCTTTGATATTGGGATATTTGTTAGTAGGGAAAAGATATGTAGTATATAAACACTGATTCATAGTTTCATACAAGTAACAACACCATTTGTTCATGAGTAAAAACAGAATCTTATAGCTCATACAACATTGGTTAAGATAATTGAAGAAAGCATCTCATTCCAAATATCCGGGACACCGGGCAAGCACCAGTGACTGCAATCTGATGAAGGTCCAGTAGTACGATGGTGCTTCTCTTCCTCGTGCATTGCTCTCTTGAACACCGAAGGATGACCATCTCTTCTATACGCCGACATCGTTGTGATATCGTGCAAATAGACTCGATATTTCATTTTGCTAAGCACTTTGTTCAACACTCTTGAATGTTGAGGCACGTGTGGTTTGCTAGAAGAAGATAGAGAAGGCAAGGGATGTTTCTGGTTGTAGCACATTTGACCACTTTCTCTGCCAAGAAATTATGTACATGATCATCTTTGCCTTCATTTATTAATGGTGTCCATTTTGTATATAAGATTAGGAAGAGAATATAAGAAAAAACCTCGGTGAGACAGTGCGGAAAATGACTATTGTTTTAGATGGATCAAGATTTATCTCAACCCATTTAGCCCATGTGGTTAGTCCTCTCTCATAAGCATCCATTGGGTCCATAGATTTAAAGACCTTATTCCCATCCATGTAATAATCCCACCTAAAGCATCAATAACTTGAGTTAACTGAACATATAGACGAATTCATTTATTGTCAATGGGTCTTGAGTTGAAAGTCTATGAACCATTAATAATTTGCTTTTACACGAAAGAAGCAAGCGGTTTTTCAGATGACTTACGAACTCCATTTCTGAGAGTGAGTCCACCAGTGAGCGGAATCGAATACAAGAACATCGACACCACGCCAATATCTAGCATTGTCTTCGATTGAGTCCAAATGTAACACCCTTTTACGGTCAACTCCTCTCTTGAGTTCCACAAGCAGAGGAGCCCAACAAAACTCAATCGATGTCTCAAAATCCTGTATAGTAACCAAACTTATTAGTAGCATCCACTAACCAATGATGTATATGTGATCCAAAAGGAGGTTTGTGATTATAACCAGAGAATGGAAAGACATTGTAGGACCATTGTAAGTGAGCTTCTTACGATGAGTGGGAATCACAGACTGTACTAAGCAGACAAGAGATTCCCACTGGTTTCTCATTATTGAATCTCCAACCAGCATTATTCTTTTTCCCCTCATTTTCCCCAGATATTTCAATGCGTCAAACCTAAACACCATCATGGAAAGAGCCATTATTTTGGTTAAAAACAGTCTTTTCAAAATCAAATTAAGAAGTAAAATCACTAGATCCTGATAATTTAACTTTTCATATTAATACATGAACATGCATTAAAATTCATATTTTGTGACTAAAAATAAATTAAATATTTTTTTCCTCATTTTAGTTAAAAAAAAATTATTCAACATTTTCAGCTAATTCTCAAATATGTAAAACACATTCCAAAAGAACAGAAAGATTAGCTAATTCCAAAACAAAATATTCCACTAGTATTCTACATTGTAGAAGAATGTATGGAATTAATGACATCTAATTCCCATATTCCATCATTCAATTTATTAATCTTGCAATTACCATGCAAAGCCAATATAATCCTAACCAAATTTTTTACTTGAGTCCGAATTTTAGAAAGAAAAACTGGTTAAAAAGAAGTAAGTAAAAAAGAGGAGTGTGGTGTGTGCCTTGGTAGTGAACAACCCTTGGGGATCCATCTCCATTTCTGGTAATAAGAGTCAGGCCTTCCATTTCTCTGGCAACTTAGCGCAGAGCTCAGATATGGACAGCTTGAGTCATAGAGCGGATACGTTTCATCGTACATCCATTTCCCCACCGAGTAATCGCACCTCTCTTCTCTTCTTTCGCGCCTTGTCTGCAACGCGTTGAGTGGATCATCGTCCCCTACTAGCCATAGCTCATCAAACTGAGACAATGCTACTTTGCTAAGGAGGAGACACAAAGATAAGAACAAGACTCGAGTGTTTGAGGTAGCCATTTGACTTGGAAACTGAGCAGTGTGGGCTTGAGAAAGAAATAATATAAAGAAGATAGGCAAAAAAAAGTGGATAAAGTGAAAAAGGCGTTAATTACGGAAAGTGGTGGTAATTAGTAATTAGACTTATGCTTGAAATCATTTTCCGTGACTTGCGTCTCCTCTTCTCTCCATCATATCCTTTTTCTTTTCTTTTTCATAGATTACAGTATCCAAGGCAGGATTTGTGAGTGTGGTGGAGTACTGTTTTTCTTCTATGGTAAAAAAAAAAACGAAATCTGATTTGGAAAAAAATGATCAAATATATATGATGAAAAAACCGAATCAGTTTTATCTGAACCAAAAGAAACAAAAATAGTAGAAAACAATCGATATAAACCAAAAAAAGAATTGCAAATCAAACACAAATTCTTTCTTAATATGTAGACGACAAAAGGTAGAGACCAAAGAAATGTAGGTTTTGTTGTAGAGAGACCCAAAACTCTCCCTGCCCTGAAATGGTCCTGAACAGACCAAACTCAGGACCCAATCTTCCTTATATGTAAAAAAAACGTATTAATGTAATGAAACCAAGACATGGCAACACCACTCTTCAGCTTTTATTCTTGTTCATGCTTATTATCAAATTCACACCAATATCCCAAACAAACATAACACAAAACAACACACTATGTTCTTTGGTTAGCTTCTGTCCCAAACATGTGTCATCTTAATATGTCAGTCGAGATTAAGATAATGCTTTAGAAAACCCATTTTTCTTGATCATCTGAAAACGATTCATCTAACCATGATTGGTGGATGTGCATCCACGTCAGCCTTTGCTTTTCCTCCTTTCAATTTGAACCAATTTTCAGATTTTTCAATATCATTTAACCAAATCTAATCGTTTGAAATCTTAAAAGGACATGAATCAAGGTTTACCTTATAACTCAGTAAGACTTTTGTTGAACAAGACCGTACTTTTCCCTCTGCAAACAGAGCAAAACATTAGAACATGGAAGCAAACTTCTACAGTATACCAGTAATGATGAGGAAACAAACAAATCAACATCTTTTGCTATCATCTAAACAAATCCTTTAACATTTCCTGGCTCGATAAGTCACAAGTAGAAGCTATGGAGCAGAAGTTAACAGAACAAAAAGAAGATGAATTTTATGGCAATGGTGATCGGTACGAAAAACAAGATATTGTTTGAAAAACTATGAGTCAAACGATTAATCTATATTTTAGAAGAAATCTGAAGAACTAGATTTCTTACCAGATAACTCATGCTTGTCAAATTTTGTAAGCCATGTATCTGAACTGATATGAGAAGACGAAACATTATCCAACCAAATGCGAAACTTCTTTTCCTTCCCATCACCGTATAAATTTTCCATCTCATCTATCCATTCATGTATCGGTTTCTCCACTCCAGACGGATGAACAAAAATACCAAGTGGACTCTGAAACATTGCAAAAGCATAACAATTAAGTCAACTAATCAGTCTACACAACACAGGCAACTGAAAACATCTTCAAAATAATCAATTTGAGCACTTTAATTTTTACTAAGTCAGATGCTTCCTCGAATGTGAATTATGTTGTGGAAGAAAATAACTTTTTTTTTTGTCAAATAACAGACTTACAGAGAGCGATTTCAAATTCTGCAAATACTTGTCAGACTTCTCCACTTCTCCACAACGCCATCTCTCATAAAACAAATAAAACTGAACAACCTCATGAGCAGGATTCATACTTTCCGCGAGGAAATTTTCAGCGTCCAAAACATCTCTTGGAGAGACACTTGGTCCCAAATTAAACCTCTGAATGGCTTCTATGATACCAGCTCCACATCTCTCGGACGCATGAAATATTTTTGGATTGTCCTTTGCATTTTCTTCATACCATTGCAATAATTCTTCATGCGAATTGCTAACCTTAAACAGTAAAAATATAAGCACATACTCACGCGTAGTCAAGTATGATCGAGCTTAAAAAGCAGTAGGGAACTAACCATTACACCATATACTTGAGAAATGTTGAAAAGCTCAGCATCGTTTCCAGAGTCACCGCAGACAAGTGTATTAGAAGGCTGATTGCCTTCAATATCCAACTTGTCAAGTAGATATGTCAAAGCACCTTGTTTGCCAGCTCCTCGTGGTAATACATCGAAAGCATAGCCATTGCTATAAACCAGCTTCACATCCACCTAATAAGGGATTTTACTGTCATCAGCACCAAAAGTAACAATCTATAATAAGATAGAGCCATCAAGCTCACATAAAGAGTACACACAAAATCTCACCCCACGCTCCTCTAATATCCCTGGAAGTTCCTTCATTATTTCAACAGCGTCTTCTCTTTCCACAAAAAAACTCACTTTGTGCTCTTCTTGGCTCTTGTCTGGCTATAACAGACAACACAAACAAAAAAAAAGAGATTTAGAACAACCAAATTACTACAGATTCAGCAGGAGATACAACATGGCAACTCGAATCAGGTAAGTCTCCAAACAGTAACACTAATCTTTCAACAGTCATCAATGTTAACATTATTTTCTAAAAATAGGAACCACAATGCAAAACAGGAACAATATACAAACTAAGACTAGCAAAATCTTCAAAGCAATTATACAAACCTGAGGCTCAAGTTTAGGGAAATTAGAAGTTTCCTCAACAACAATGTCTCTGTTCCACTTATAATCCAAACGAGCAGTCCAAATAACATCAGACACCGTTGATTCACCGCTGTATACAATCTCAGAACCCACAGAAGTTACGGCGATGTCTGGAGTCAACAACGGTCTCTTCTTTCTTAGACTCATGTAAGAGCTGAAAGACCTCCCGGTGCAGTAAATAAGCAATGAATCATGGCGATAGTGAGCTTCCCAAAGCGCATTGAACCTAAGAAGATCGGTGTTTTCAGGATCATCGTGATCCACCTGAGAATTTGGTGTGAATTGTTTAATTTGACGAATCTAACAGACGAATTTGAAATCAGATGAGTGTGTTATAGGAAGTAGAAATTACCAATGTGCAATCAAGATCAGCAACAAGTATGAGACGTGGTGGTCCTTCAAGCCTATCCATCGATTTCAGAAACCTAGGTTTTCTCTTTTTGATTCTCCCTCGTCTCTTTGCTCAACGAACTTTTTGGTTCCTTTGTTCTTAACTTCCTTGGGAAGACGAAGTTTTCCTTTTTTTTTTGAACAATTCTGTACATTATTTGAATTAGTTGTAATCTTTTTAATATTTAAATTTTAAAACAATTAGTATTTATTAGTTAGAAATTTCCTTAAGCACGTATTTATATACCATGTCAAAGTAACGAAATTCCCCTCAAATTTCAGTTTTATTACGATAACACGACGACCATCACATGATGCACTACCGGATGGTCGTCGACTCTTCCGTATTATTTTATCTTAAGAGAAAATGTGCAAGAGAAGTTGCTCGGTAAGTCGACGACTGGTGACAAAAATCGATAAAAGTTTTACAGTTTTACTGGGAATAGAGAATGATAAAACCCAAAGTTGTTAGAGTGTATGTAGTGGTAAAAAGGAAACGAAAAAAAGCGTTAGTGACTAGTGTAAGGAGAAGTACCGACTAGAGAATTACAGACAAGACAGGATTAAAAAGATTCAGTTGATCAAAAGCATAAACTAACAACGATTACAAGAAGAAATTATCACATGACAATAACTAATTGTAACCAGAAGAAGTAATGCAAACTTAGTCTTCATTTGATCTTCAGCTTCAGTAGAAAGAGATGGCTAGTAGATGTGTAAGCCATTATTTCTAGAACAGAACCAAAAAGTAAACGCCTCTCTGTTCCAGAAACTTATTCCACAAACCTTACTTAACCTGTAATAACATTACAGGGACCCAAAAAACCATGACAGAATTTGCAGAGTGAATCTACCTTTTCTTAGGAGGTTTTTGAAAGCCTCCTAGATCAGCATCTTGGAATTTATGTTTTTGTGTCCTCGACACATTCTGTTGAGTGAAACGAGAACTTTCCCCATATTCAAAACATCTTGGAAGTCTCGAGTTGTTGTCATCTTCAGAGCTTGGAATGATATTTGAAGATATTGAAGATTGTTGGCGGCCTTGAGCTATTTGAGGTATTGGAACTGCAAAGTGTTGAGACCCCTCAGATTCTGAGTGTGATATTGGAACTGCAAAGTGTGGTATCCCTTTTATGTCTGTTGTAGGGAAGTAAGGGAATGCTTCTGCAAGTTCATCAGGATTAAGAGGGGGACTTTCCAGTCTTGGGGGTTGAGACAATGGTGTTGGAAATGAGTCATTAGAGACCTGAGATTGAGAGTTAAAGGAAGATCGGTGAAGTTCATATAACTCGAGGTCTTTGTTCTAACAATTTTCTAATTTCATTTATCTTACAAAAAATCTCAATTTTTAATATATAAATATTTGTCATAGGTACGGGAAGAGCGGTTTGTTTTCCAGCGAAAAAAAAAGAACGGTTTTTCCCCATTTGTTGTTATTTTTTTTTATAATTATTTTTCGCCCCTGAATTATTTTTAATTAATTTAATTATTTGCAATTTTTCCTGGGAGGCTAAAAGAAAGACGAGGAGGAAGAAGAAGAAACCAGCATTATATATGAAGCATTCTCTGCTCCTGAGAACCTCGCAGCCTTTACCAGGTAATAAACAAAACCCTAATTTTCTCTTTCTCTTATCAAATTTACTTTTTCTTCTCTTTCTCGGATTTTCCCTAGAAAATCACGAGGATGAAGACGAGAAACGGCTATCCCGAGCCAATCGAATTACTAAAATAAGCTTTAAACCAAGCTTTTTTGATTTTCTATTTCCGAATGCGTGATTTCGATTTCTCTTTTCCAGAATTTGGTCATTGATTTATCCGCAGTGTCTGTGTTGTAGGGTTATTAGTTTTCGCTAAGTGATTGGAAATTGGATGAGCTTGGATGTGGAAGTGAAGCTTAGCGGAGGTTCACTCTTGTTGTCATCATCATCAACGTCGTTGTTATTGTGTCCGTCATGGCACAGCAACAATCTTCCAGACTCAATCGTCTCCTCACTCTGTTGGACAGTATCCTTGATTTTTCCTGATTTTTCTTTTGTTACCAATACTCTATATAATGCTTCCTTATTTTTTGATCTTGTGTTGCGTTTCTTCGTATCCTAATCTTTTTAAGACGGTACATGTTCTCCTTAATTATAATTTCTTTATAGCTGGTTCAACTCAAGCTACTCGGCTAACTGCAGCCAAGCAGATCGGTGATATTGCAAAGTCTCATCCTCAGGACTTGAGCTCTCTTTTGAGAAAGGTATAGTCATGTGTTTACTTTCTATGGATTACAGAGATATAGGGCTGTGGTTGATTGTTATACTGATGGGAATCAATGAAAATGGTAGTGAAAGTTTCATATATTACGCGTCCCTAGCGTAGATGCTCTCTTGGTCTTTGTTCTAAACCTACTATTCTACCCAATGTGCTCAATATAGGCGGGTAGACAGAGTAGAATCTTTGAGGCTTGAGGAGATAATATGTGATGTGTGGTTTTGGAGCTCCTTTGTGTATGGGTGTCATCCCTTGTTCGATGGGTTTCCATCTTGGCATTATAGTTTAGGTTTACATCGTTCTAAACTGCTAAGTCGGTCTTTACTTTAGATTTTTCTATTTGTCTCTTTAGCTTAACTCTATTTTTCCGGGAATTAGGTTTTGCATCACCTGCGTAGTAAAAAGTGGGATACGAGGGTTGCTGCTGCTCATGCTATTGGTGCCATTGTTCTGAATGTCAAACATCCTTCATTGAGTGAACTGTTAAATTCTTTAGCAACGAAGTTGGGTGAGGCCGGGATATCTGATAATGTAGATGAAGTGGTGGCTTTGCGCAATCTTCAGTCCAAGATTCTGGCAAATGCACCCTTTAGAAGGTTATTAATAGCTCTGTTACACAATACATATGTTTTTTATATCATCTACTGTTAAGACTTCTTAGCTGGATTTTAGATATCTTTCTCATGTTAAGGTTTTCCGATGTCTTTTGATGTCTCTAACTTTTGGAATGTGCTAACAGCTTTGAGATGAATAAGGTTTTAGAGTTTGGCGCTTTGTTGGCATCTGGTGGACAGGTAATTCATTATTTGCTATTGTTTACTTGTCTAGGTCATTTTGTAAGATTTCAGCCGATTTATCTCTGATGTAATTTCTTCATTGATATATTGTCTTTAGGCCTAATCAAACATCTTTGTGAAATTACATTTTTGTTAGTCTTAAATCGTTTGGGATAAGTAGGCCACTGGAATGACATTAAGTTTGCCGGCAATCTGGTTAGATTCTTAGAAGTGTTTAGGTTTAATCAAGTTTTCTCGGCATCAGAAAGAAACATGTTGGATAGTCGCTACTTTTGAATTCTATACGCTTTTGTTGTTGAGGATCACATCCTTAGCATGATTGAAACTATTTGATTGAAACTATTAGCAGGCTTTTTCACCAAAAATATCATTTGTCAGCTGCAACCTGTAAAATTTGTTTCCTACAGTTTTATTATTTGGCCTTAAGAAATTATGTGACTTGGTTTGTAACTAACTGTTTCAGCACAATCTGTTGATGCAACATGATACCTTGCCTTCGTTCTTTTTCTTTGAACTTTTGGTTTAGGGGAGCATGTGAAACCTTTATTTTTCCCTTTATCCTTACCTTTTTTCTCCTCAAATTTTGTTGTTTTTCCCATAAGATACGTTGCAGTTCCCTTGGTGCAAACCAAAATTAGATGATAGCCAAAATTATTAGCTGTTTCCGACATGAAGAAACTGTTTTTGTTGCAGGAGTACGACATTTTGAATGACAATTCCAAGAATCCAAAGGATCGAGTGGCTCGTCAGAAAAAGAATCTCCGACGACGTCTAGGTCAATAGCTTGTCTCCTTTTCTATTAATCAATTTCCATGGGGAAAGTGTTATCAGTTGTCCAATTTCATGAAATGTGATATACGGTACCATGATAGATTATATGTTTAAATTTTGAGAAATCAGTAGATGCGTAAAACCATTCTTCTAAGTCTATTACATCACTACTATTGGTTCTACTTATTCTCTGTAAAGTTGACTCTGTATGCTCTAAATATTAATGTTTTACTTGATTGATGCATCTATTGAACATACTTCTGAAAATCTATGAAACAGGTTTGGACATGTGCGAGCAGTTCATGGATGTCAATGAAATGATTAGAGATGAGGATCTTATTGAGCAGAAGTCCAATGTTCCTGCGAATGGGGTTGGGAACAGATTATACGCAAACTATTCTCCACATCATATTCAACAATTCGTTTCAAGGATGGTTCCCCGTGTCAATTCTAGGAGGCCAAGCGCAAGGGAATTAAATTTACTGAAACGAAAAGCAAAAATAAGCTCAAAAGATCAAGCTAAAGGTAGCTGTGAAGTAGCAGATGTTGAGATGCCATCGTCTCAAGTTGCCTCAACCTCAAAAAGAATATCGTCCGACTCATTGGACTCGAACAAGGTATTTGGATAATGTATACTCATAATGACGGATAACCATCTTGCATAATATTAGTTGCTGAACGTTAGTACAACCAACTTGAAGTCTCATTAGTTCATTGATATGCTATCCTTGGATTCAACTTTGACTTATGCTGATTTCTCTTAGGTGTATAATCTCTTGCGAATATATAGTCCACACATAGGCACAGACTTGACTTGAAAATAGAATAACAGTTTTCATATTTTGTTTTAGCAATAAATCTCAAGCTGCATGAGGAAATTTCCTTACTTATTAGAATTCTTGGCACTTCTGATTTTGGCAGACCATATTTCATACTGTCTTTTCACTTCTGTACGTAGGCGGACATTGGTAATGAGGATGATATCGAGCCTGATGGGGATGGAAAGTGGCCTTTCCATAGTTTTGTTGAGCAACTTATTCTTGACATGTTTGACCCTGGTAAGGTTCATGTACTTGTGCCATATACATTTTACTTTTTTCCACTTATTGAGTTCTAGTAAAGTTGATTAATAATCTGATAATGTGGTCAGCATGGGAGATCCGCCATGGAAGTGTAATGGCTCTCAGAGAAATATTAATGCTTCATGGTGGTTCTGCTGGAGTGTCAACAGAAGAGTTTAACTCAGATAATGGGTTTGAGTTGAAAGAAGTCTTGAACAAAGTAACACGAGAAAGAGAAATCGACTTGAATATGCAGGTTTCAGAAAATGAACTGGAGCCACTTCGGAAAAGACCTAAGATTGAAGATCCATCAAAATCATTTATTGATAACACTGTTTTAGAAGTTATTGGGGGTGACTCTGATATTAATGTTAAAGATGAAGATGCTGAGTTTTTACTGCCACCAGTGAAGGTCAATGGTCAAACTGACTCTAATTCTACGAAAGTGGAACCTCAATCTTCTATGGATGACTCGTCATCTCACTCTGAAATAAACCATGTGGCAGAGGTTAACAATCATTTTGAAGATAAGAGTTTTATTGAGGAAGCAGTTATACCTAAGCATCAGGAAGAAAATCTCGAAGTGTTGGATTTGGTTAAACAAGCTAGGCATTCTTGGATAAAAAATTTTGAATTTCTCCAGGATTGCACCATTCGCTTCTTATGTGTGCTTTCACTTGACCGGTAAGACTTTGGTACTTATCCTAGGTTTTCTTTCCATTTTTAGCTGTTTCTGCTTCATAGCATCTATGGTAGCACTATTGTTTAGAATGGTTCTGATACTGGCTGAGATTTGGTTGGTCATTTCTTAGTTAATGATTAGCTTTCTCTCCATTGCAGATTTGGGGATTATATTTCTGATCAGGTAGTTGCTCCTGTGCGAGAAGCTTGTGCCCAAGCACTTGGTGCTACTTTCAAATACATGAATCCCTCGTTGATTTATGAGACATTAAATATCTTGCTTCAGATGCAGGTAATATTTATCTTTTGACTTTTTTAACCTACTCAAAACTAAGAAACTTGTTGCAGTCTCTATTAATTATAAAACTGTTTGGTAATCTTTATCATTTATATTTTTTCAGCGCCGGCCTGAATGGGAAATTCGTCATGGAAGTCTTTTGGGCATCAAGTACTTGGTTGCTGTGCGACAGGTAAAATTCCAGCACATGAGAGCTAATTACACATGTTTGGAAAACTGAAAAAGGACACTTTTACTGTCTTTTTTTGTGGTTTTCTCATGTCTAGAGAACAGAGAACATATATTTTTCTATCATGATATGTAGTAGTTTTTGATTTTCTGAGGCTCTGTGTAGCTTATTTGACTTCTTGAAATGTTCTTGGTTTGTAGAGATGCATGTCCAGTGTTAGCTTTTCTTTCTTATTCGCCCATTATTTTGCAGGAAATGCTCCAAGATTTGCTTGGCTATATTCTTCCGGCGTGTAAAGCAGGGTTGGAGGATTCTGACGATGATGTGCGAGCAGTTGCCGCTGATGCTCTTATACCGGCAGCAGCTGCTATTGTCTCTTTGAGAGGACAGACATTACTTTCCATTGTCATGCTACTGTGGGATATTTTGCTTGAGTTGGATGACTTAAGTCCATCAACCAGCAGGTAAACAAGTGTAAAATTTCATGCTATCCTTTTCATTATCCAAAATCCTTCTTTTCTTGGTATTTGGAGTTTTCTGCACGAAATCAATTTTGAACCAGTGAAATATTTCTTGCAGTGTTATGAACCTCCTGGCAGAAATCTATTCTCAAGATGACATGACCCTGGTGATGCATGAGGAATTATCACTGGGGAGGAACAGAATATTGACCTCAATGAAATGGGTCATATCGAGAGTATTGGAGAAAAAAGAGATGTTAAGGAAAGCCCTTATGCATTATCAGGTTTAGCCCCTAGGTTGTGGCCATTTACGAGGCACGGCATTACATCAGTTCGATTTTCTGCTATTCGAACTCTGGTAGGTTTCTATTGTTTATTCTACAATAGAATCTCTCTCGGTGCTTGCTTCCTATGTTTGTAGCCGCTTTCATGATACATGTATCTTGTGCCTTGAGTTTCTCTGGCCTGTCAAATTTAACAGATGTAATCCCCTTTTGTTTACTTCAGAATACACTTTACTTTATGTTTCTTTTATATGCTTATAGTGTGCTTTCCTAAATTTTCCCCTGGCAGGAACGACTTCTTGAAGCTGGATGCAGAAAGAACATTTCTGAGCAGTCTAAATGTTCTTTTTGGCCATCTTCTATTTTAGGGGACACCCTGAGAATCGTCTTTCAAAATCTTTTGCTTGAATCCACTGAGGAGATTCTGGAGTGTTCGGAGAGAGTGTGGAGACTATTGGTTCAGGTACTTAGTAATGAAATGTTGCTTTTCTTTCAAAACACTCCTAAATTTTTTCTATGCTTTTTTGCTCCTTCTTCTGCACCTTTAGAAATTAAAGGATCTTCGTTCTTGGTTTCCAATTTGCATGGTTATATGTGGTATTTTTTCTTGCATATGTAAGATTTTGATATTAAATCCCACAATGATTAGAATGTGTTTGCATCTGAACCCTTTTCTTTTATTAGTAGCTGGATGCCTTCTACCTTTAAAATTTTACCCAGAGCCTAAGCGCTTAATGGTATGGAGGTAGATGTCGGATGTCGTGAGAATCATGTTGCTGATTGCCTACGAATTTGGGTCATGTAGTGTATTTACTTGAAAATGTGTTATTGTGATTACTTTTTCGTTTCCTTGAGGTTTAAATGTTTAATACAGCCTAATTTTTTTCGTATTTGGGCCTAGATTATCTCTCATTTGTCTTCTTTTTCAGTGCCCAGTGGATGATTTAGAAGACGCTGCAAAATTCTATATGGCTTCGTGGATAGAACTTGCAGCTACTCCTTATGGCTCCACATTGGATGCTACGAAAATGTTTTGGCCAGTAGCTCCTCCTCGTAAGAGTCATTTCAAAGCTGCTGCTAAGATGAAAGCTGTCAAACTTGAGAACGAAGCTTCTAGCATTCTGGGATTTGATTATGCAAGAAGTTCTGCTTCCCTCGAAAAAAATGAAGATGCTTCTGCCAGGTCCACTAAAATTATCGTCGGCTCTGATATGGAGATGTCAGTGACCCGCACCCGGGTAGTTACAGCATCTGCATTAGGTATCTTTGCATCCCGGTTGCGAGAGGGTTCAATGCAGTTTGTGGTAGATCCACTGAGTAGTACTCTTACTTCTCTGTCCGGTGTTCAGCGCCAGGTATGCATCTCTCTATCTCTGTATCTCGTTTTCTCTCTATTGCATGTTTTGTACTAAACCTCTGGCTTTGCAGGTTGCGTCCATTGTGCTCATCTCTTGGTTCAGAGAAACTAAATGCAAGGCCCCTTCTGATGGAAGTGGAAGTTTGCCTGGTTTCCCTAGTCCTCTTAAAAAATGGCTGCTAGATTTGTTAGCTTGCTCAGACCCTGCTTTCCCTACTAAAGACATACTTCTTCCTTATGCTGAGCTCTCAAGAACATACACTAAAATGAGGAATGAAGCTTCTCAGTTGTTGCATACAGTTGAAACCTGCCATTGTTTTGATAAGTTATTATCAACGAATAAACTCAATGTGGAGAGCGTGACTGCTGATGAGACAATTGACTTTGCATCAACACTAGCTTTGTGGAACAAAGAAAGTGCTGGAAATGAATCCTTCGAAAAGCAAGTTTTTGAAGATGTGGAGTCATCTAGGCAACAGCTATTAAGTACTGCTGGTTATTTAAAGTGTGTCCAGGTACATTGGGATCTATTTTTGATACGATTCATGTGCCATTTTAAATCTTGATCTGCTAGATTATCATGTCATGTAAATTAAACGTTTCCATTTCTCGAGATTGAACCATTTTTATCCTCTATCTGGACTTATGTTATGCAGAGTAATCTACATATCACAGTCACCTCCCTGATCGCTGCTGCAGTTGTTTGGATGTCAGAATTTCCTGCTAGACTTAATCCAATAATCTTGCCGCTGATGGCTTCGATTAAAAGAGAGCAGGTAGCAACTAAAATCTAAATGTTTGTTTTTATGTTCGCTGAACTGAACACTGACTCTGTGCTGTTTCAAGGAACAAATACTACAGCAAATAGCTGCTGAGGCTCTTGCAGAGCTCATTGCATACTGCGTAGATCGGAAGCCAAGCCCCAATGACAAGTTAATCAAGAATATCTGTAGCTTGACGTGCATGGATCCTAGCGAAACACCTCAAGCTAGCATCATTAGCTCTATGGATATCGTTGATGATATGGATTTTCTGTCATCGCGGAGTAACGCAGGAAAACAAAAAGCAAAAGTCGTGTTGGCTGGTGGCGAAGATAGGTCTAAAGTTGAGGGTTTTATCACGAGGAGAGGATCTGAACTCGCATTGAAGCATTTAAGCTTGAAATTTGGTGGTTCCTTGTTTGACAAACTCCCAAAATTGTGGGAGTGCCTCACTGAGGTTCTTGTTCCTGAAATTCCTGCTGATCAACAGAATATTGACCTTAAAATAGAATCTATTTCGGATCCACAGGTCTTAATAAACAACATCCAGGTATACCCAGTGAAGTTTTTTGCTTGTGTTATTTGAAGGTTTAGTTTTAGGAATAGGCCAAAAACGAAGCTTAATATTGAATATGCAGAGCCTTAACTTGGTGTACTTTTATTTTCTATGTTTTCCAGGTGGTACGTTCAATAGCACCAGTGATGGAAGAAACACTTAAACCTAGACTACTCAGTCTCCTGCCTTGTATTTTCAAATGTGTTCGCCATTCCCATGTGGCTGTTAGATTGGCTGCTTCTAGATGTGTTATGACAATGGCTAAATCAATGACAACAGATGTCATGGCAGCAGTAGTGGAAAGTGCTATTCCAATGTTGGGAGATTTGACATGCATTAATGCTAGACAAGGCGCAGGAATGCTTATTGGTTTACTTGTTCAAGGGCTGGGTGTTGAACTGGTTCCATATTCTCCTTTATTGGTTGTTCCCCTCCTAAGATGCATGAGCGATGTTGACAGTTCAGTCAGGCAGAGCGTGACACGTAGCTTTGCTGCCCTTGTACCTATGCTTCCATTAGCACGTGGCGTACCCCCTCCTGTCGGGCTGAGCAAGGATCTTTCTAGTAATGCAGAGGATGCAAAATTTTTGGAGCAGCTACTTGACAACTCCCATATAGATGATTACAAGCTTTGCACTGAGCTAAAAGTTCAATTAAGAAGGTAATTTAATCTCGATTAAATGAAAGTTTATTCTCTGTTCTGAGTGTCTCAAGGTGTCTGTGTTGTCTTTCTGATTTGGTCGTTTCACTGGCATATTTCCTGGTTTTCTTGCCTTGGTTTTCTCAGTTGCATCTAAACAAAATTGAGGGTATGGTTTGTGAGAAATGGTAGGACATTGAACTTATTGTTGGTTTGAGCAGGGTTGAATTCAGGAAATTTGGTCTTGTCTTAGCCCGGTCCTTGATTAATAGGGATTAGACGCATTTTATAATCTATATCAATTTTCTATATTGTTGAATTGAACTGATTGGAAACTTTATTGCTTTTGAAATATTATTCTGGAATATTTATCAGTTTTCTGTTTTCAGGTATCAACAAGAAGGAATCAATTGGTTAGGATTCCTGAAGCGTTTTAAGCTCCATGGAATTCTCTGTGATGATATGGGGCTTGGTAAGACGCTTCAAGCATCTGCAATTGTGGCATCTGATGCAGCAGAGCGTCGTGGTTCAACAGATGAACCAGATGTTTTTCCATCTATAATTGTTTGCCCTTCAACATTAGTTGGTCATTGGGCATTTGAAATTGAGAAGTATATCGACCTTTCTCTGCTAAGCGTGTTGCAGTATGTTGGCTCTGTTCAAGACCGTGTTTCTCTCCGTGAACAGTTCAACAACCACAATGTCATTATAACATCTTATGATGTGGTCCGCAAGGATGTTGATTATCTGACACAGTTTTCATGGAACTACTGTATCCTGGATGAGGGGCACATAATTAAGAATGCTAAATCTAAAATAACTTCAGCAGTAAAACAATTGAAGGCCCAGCACCGACTTATCCTTAGTGGAACACCAATACAGGTTACATTGGAGTGCTCGACTTCCCAGAAAGTTTAATACTCGTTCTTTTATCTTGAGTGATATTGTTTCTTTTTTTGCAGAATAATATCATGGAGCTGTGGTCCCTTTTTGACTTCTTGATGCCTGGATTTCTTGGGACAGAGAGACAGGTAGCGCTTATACATTTTCCCTGCTTTTATGTTGTTACAAATTAACAATTTTCAGGGTCACTTTTGAAAGTTGTACTTTGAAGAAGTAATTTTGGATATTCTTAGTTGTCATAAACGAGACATGTGTTTCTTTATTGGGCAGTTTCAAGCATCTTATGGAAAACCGTTGCTGGCAGCTAGAGATCCTAAATGCTCTGCTAAGGATGCTGAAGCGGGTGTACTGGCAATGGAAGCTCTCCATAAGCAGGTAATGCTGTTTCATGAGTTCATCTATTCCGGCTTCTTATTTTCTGTTGCAGTTGTTGAGAATTGGTAATATCATGACCTCATAACATCTTCATATCACGTAGGTTATGCCATTCTTACTCAGACGTACGAAAGAGGAAGTCCTCTCTGATTTGCCAGAAAAGATCATTCAGGACAGATACTGTGACCTTAGTCCTGTCCAGTTGAAGCTTTATGAGCAATTTTCTGGTTCAAGTGCTAAGCAAGAAATATCTAGTATCATAAAAGTTGATGGGTCAGCAGATTCCGGAAATGCAGATGTTGCGCCAACAAAAGCATCCACACATGTTTTCCAGGTATAATATTGTCTGCTGCATTGAAGGCAACAGCAATATTTATATTCACTCCCACCTATCAACTTTACAGTATGGGGAGACCTGATTTTTGTTTGGGTTTTAATTTTCCAGGCACTGCAGTACCTGCTTAAACTCTGCAGCCATCCGCTTCTTGTTCTTGGTGATAAGGTTACAGAGCCGGTGGCTTCTGATTTGTCAGCAATGATAAATGGATGTTCGGACATTATCACTGAGCTTCACAAAGTTCAACACTCTCCAAAGCTTGTTGCTCTTCAGGAAATTTTAGAAGAATGTGGAATAGGTTCTGATGCTTCTAGTTCAGATGGCACTCTTAGTGTAGGCCAGCACAGAGTTCTGATATTTGCACAGCACAAAGTAATTACATCTCTGGTTTCTTCCATTTTTCTGTGGGGTTTTGTTTCCTTACAAGGTTGTCCAAGACCTAACCATGTTATATTATGCAGGCTTTGCTGGATATCATTGAAAAGGACTTGTTTCAAGCCCACATGAAAAGGCAAGTTCAACTTGTGAATTTACTCTTTTTATTGTCAGTGTAGTTCTATTGGAGGACTCTGTATTGATTAAGTGGTCTCCTAATTTCTGACTTGAAAAGTCTAAAACTGATCAGCAGCCTTTTTTCGCTTAAGTTGTATTGAGCTTAGTTTGTTTTTTGTGATTCCATGTTCCATCCTTATATCTGGCTTCTTCAATATGTTGCTTATCTGTTTTCCCTTTTTCTTATAAACAGTGTCACATATATGCGACTAGATGGTTCAGTTGTACCAGAGAAAAGGTTTGAGATTGTGAAGGCCTTTAATTCAGATCCTACAATTGATGTTCTGCTCCTGACAACACATGGTATGCTTTTTCCATTCAACAATGAAATTCTGCTATTTTGAGTTGATATTGTAAGCAAGTTCTCTGAATTAACTTCTTTCTGATCCTTCAGTTGGTGGGCTTGGGTTGAACCTGACCTCTGCTGATACACTTGTATTTATGGAGCATGACTGGAATCCAATGCGTGATCATCAGGTAAAGATTTATATTTTTCTTTGGCTTCGTCCATGTAATTGGTCGAGTTTCACTTTGCAAGGAGGACGAGTTCCACATCTCTTCCATTTTCGATTGGAAATAATTAAAAAAGTATTGGCACACACTTAGATGGTCTATTATTATTGAGGTTTTGCTAATATAGAGGTGAACCAACTGTGGCAGGCGATGGACAGAGCGCATAGATTGGGACAGAAGAGAGTTGTAAATGTACACCGTCTGATAATGCGTGGCACACTTGAAGAGAAAGTGATGAGTCTCCAAAGATTCAAAGTGTCGGTTGCCAATACGGTAATCAATGCTGAGAATGCAAGTATGAAGACAATGAACACTGATCAGTTGCTTGACTTATTTGCTTCAGCTGAAACTTCTAAAAAGGTATTCATTTTATTTTATAACAAGTCTCTGTAACTGAAGAAGAAGATTGGTTAATCCTCAATTATCGGTCTTTATTGTAGGGTGGTGCGTCTTCGAAGAATGGATCAGAGGATAATGACCAGATTGCTGGAACTGGAAAAGGACTGAAGGCAATTCTAGGAAACTTAGAAGAACTGTGGGATCAATCACAGTACACAGAAGAGTACAATCTTAGCCAGTTCTTAGCTAAGCTCAACGGGTAATAGCATAGTCTAAAAGCCAAGAATGTGTGTACATATTTATTCAGCTCGATTCAGGAGTACCCGACAATTTTGACGTTCCAAACAGATAAAAGGTTACATCCACTCTTTTTTCTCCATTTTGTTTTGTTGTCAATCTTTTAGATTCATAAAAGAAGAAATGATTTTAAATTATAAAAGGAGAAAACGAGAAAAGAGAGGTTGATGACATCGAGTCGTTAGTTTTGGCAATACGACCGGTCTAATGTTTGTGACCGCCGAAGTAGTTTTTGTAGTGGATTCTGAATCGTGTAAATACGCTTTTAACCACCTTTTCCTCTTCTGTTTCAGCTTTTTTAGTTAGTTTCTGTTTCAAGTCTTCTACTTTTTCTTGTTTTGTCGGTGGTTAAGTCCAAAAGCATAAAACAAGTAAAAGGACAAAGCATTACTCTTGAGTAATCGACAAATCTCTCAAAACCGACACCAATTAAGCCCTATTTTTAATCTTGAACCAATCAATTTTAGGTTTTTGGCAATTTTTATTCTGAATCGAAAAATGACAAAAAAAAAAACGGATTAACTAAACCAACTCGTGGTGGTTTCAATGGTTGAAGGATTCGAGTTTTTCTACTGCAGTTTAATATTGGCAACTCTTTTCACACGCTACGAAGATTAAATGTTCATAATTTCCCGATTATCAAAAATAATAATCGAATTAACCTTGCTGAAAACTTGGATAAACCATCCTAGAAACATCTCTTGCCCTTTTAAGAGTTACATAACCTTTCTTGTTTTTTTTATCTAAAAGCTAAAAGGATGAGAAAAACATAGCAACACCTGAAATCAACAATCTGACTCTCTATATACACAAAATTCACAACCCCACACACAACAACAGTTTTTCACAAAGTAAACCTATAAAAGATAAATCAGTCAACAACATCAGAGCAGAGAAAAGATGAGATAAGATTTGGATCACCAAATTTCATGAGCAAGTCAAGATATTGCATAGCTTCTTGAGGAGTAAGACCTTCCAGTAGAAAATCAAACGAATTAGAATGAGTCCCACTCATAACTTCTAAGCTTTGATTCAACAATTTCTTCTGCTTCTCTTTCCCCATTTCTGCAGCTTCCACCATAGGCAATAAATCTTTCTCTTCCTCTTCAAAATGTGTTTTACACATCATCTATGTTCAAAACAAAAACCTCCAAAGTTTAACAACAATACCTCAATCATTACAAAAACATAAAAAGTCTAAAGATAGTCTTTTGTTCCTTGTACCTGCAACGATTTGAAACGAGAAGCAAGACTAAAGAGAGCTTCTGAACAAATCCCAGAATCCAACACTCCAATAGATTTGATATCTTCTTTGATTCCATTCATCATTGGTAATTCTCTCCCATGTTCTTCATTTGCACTTTTACACATCCCTACACAAAAATTTGCAGAGAGATTAATTTCAACATTTGACAATAAAATCCAAAAAATCAATTCTTTATTTTACCTCGATCAACAGATTCAAGAACAGGGAACAAGATTCTCTCTTCCATTTGAGCATGTTCAAGCATAAGCTCTTGTAAATGTGTATAACTCTTTGCAAATTTCCTTATCTCCATCTTCGGTGTTCCGACCGACGGATCCACCGCTTTTTTACCTCCACGCGCCGCCAGATCCTCCGACCATCTCAACATTCTCTCCATATGCCACAACATACTCCTATGCTGAAGCCAAATCGCTCTCACTATCAATGGAGTCGCTTCGTCGAAACCTTCTAGATTAAACTTCCAAATCATCAAACGCGGCTCCGGGAACTTGTCCTCGATGTAACGAAGAAGAACCTCTAGAGATCCTGATACAGTCTCCGATCCGACTTGAATCGTCGGCTTTTGGTCTTCCGATGGAACGAAACGGAGAGGAACTTTCTTGTGAAGAAGAGCGAAACGGAGATACGTAGTCACCAGACTGTTAGGTGGTCCGTACAATCTCACTGTTGCGGCGAAGCTCACCGTCGGTGTCTCTGTTTTTGTGGCCGTGGCGGTGGGGATTCGTTGGGTTGGTGGTGCAGTGGCGGCAGCGGAAGAAGGAGGAGTTTTGACGACGAGGTCAAAGGGAGAGATCTCAGCCGTGGATTTAGTGGAGCTGGAGAAGCAGGTTCCCATATTTGGTGAAGAAAACGAAATCTAGAATCTCTCGAGAGAGAGAGAAGAAGAAGAAGAAGTTGGAGTGAATTGCAAGAAATTGGAGTCGGAGAAGAGAGAGAGATTTAGAGGCGCGTTTGTTGAGGAGAATGAAAAAAGGTATCACGCCATTATCAAATTGCCAAAAGCTTTAGGAACTTGATTTTATTCAGAGTCCATTTTTCTTTCTCTCCATTAAAGTGTTTCCCATAATTGAACTAATAATTAAATATTTTCTCTGCTCCTCAAAAAAAAAAAAAAAAAAAAGAGATTTCTGACTCTTTGGAACTTTGCTGGATCACTGGTCAAGTCATAGTCGTCATGACTACATAATTTTATGTTTTTCGATACAATTATTTGTTTGATCTAACAATCTAAAAATGGTTGATTAGCTTCTAAAAAATACAATTGTACTAATTTAGATAAAAAGATTTCTGACTTTATGTTAAATTGTACAATTAGTGTATGAGAATTGAGGATAAAAGGAAGAAAACATTTGTTTTCTTTTATTGTTGAGATTTTCTTCAGTGTTTGTTTATGCCACCGAATTTTTCTTCTAAAGTAGATAAAGAGATCTCGGTGTAATTAATTCAAAATGGCATCTTGTATATAAATTATCTATCAATTTTGGAGGATTCTCTTTAGTTATTGCGAGATACACTCCAATATCATATGTCTTTGTTGCAACTTGCAGAAGATCTTCTCTATAAGAAACCCAAAATACAATCAATGGTAATTAGGAAACCAGTTCTTGTTTATTTCGAAATCAATTAACATTAGTTTTGAGATTCGGTTTCTTATAGCATGTTTTAGATCTATCAATATCATAGAAATCACTCTTGGGCACGGGACTCACAAGTCACACCAATTCTCCTTCGACATTTATTCGGTTAAAATAAAATTTACATGTTTCATGCAACCAAAGAAACCCCGTGTATTTGACAAGATGGTACGCAACCATACTTTTTTGCTAATAAAGTCTTTTATTACATTACAATCAGTGCAACCCTTAATCCCTTATGGCTAATGCGCCTCATAATTTTTACTTACATTAGCCATTTCTCCTTTTTCATGGATTAAATTCACTTTTCACTTTACCTGAAAGATATCTCGTTAATTATATATTGCTTGTCATACTTTGTCCACAAAAAAAAAAAAAAAAAAATTATATCTTGTCATACATTATTCAAAGCATCGAGATATGGAAGTTTTCAAGAGTTATAACTCTTTCTTACGATCACTCTCTCGTCTCATCAGGATCCTCCCACAGGACCCACACAACCCTTCTTTTTTTTTTTTTTTTTTTTCTATTGTACCTATCTTTGGTAGTTTATATACACTCAAGTTTGATTGTCATCGTGGAGATTTATCAGTTATTGGACAGAATTCCTATTATACTATCAACTATTTACTCGCAGGCCCGTGCAGCCATTTTGGGACCTAAGGCTTTTTTTTTGCTTATTAATTTTTATCTAGTTAAATGACACTAGAAAGGGTTTTTATTTTTTTTGTTGTGTTTAAAATTTGCCAATTTGGGATGGCACTAGAAAGTTAATATGATCATTCAGCTAAAGTTTGGAAGATTGGAACACCAAAGAGACCTTCAACATTTACTACTATGGAGTAAACGCTCTCTACTCCAAAATCATCATTTCAGCTTATTTTGCTTTAGTTGTACATGAAACCTATAAACCATGCAGATGCACGGATCTTTAAATCGAAAACACTGAAAAATATTTAAGTTCACATGTACAATTCTATAGATATATTAAAATGATTTATGATTCCATGCAACTATATCGAGAGCACTTACTAGTTACTAGTGCATAAATTCGAATTCCCATGGATTATGTGGTATATTTGGAAACACGTATGTATATTTTTTTTGGTTGCTTATGTTTTCTTTATCAATAAGGTCCCATGTTTACCCTAATCATTCCTATATTGAATATTTAAAATTCATAAGTCATAACCTTCCACTTATGCCAAACATGATTTGCTTTTTACAAAATTGATTGGTTCTAAATTCTCACCATCCTCATCAGTCTTAGTAAAAACGAAGCCAACCATATATGCTTATTCGTATCTCACTTTATATCTGTAGATAATATATATAGAGAATAGACAGAGAGTAGGTGTGTGGATAACTGGAAAGATATGAAATACCCCTTTATGAAATTATTTCATGTCCGCTTTATCAAACGAGAAACGGTGTAAAAACAACAAGCAGCAGACATGACTTTGTTACCTTTTTTTTGTTCCTGCCATGTGATTTGCCCTACTTAAACCTCACCTTTACGCTTCGCCTTTTGCTCTTTGCTTCATCATCCACAGAGTTTAAAGCCGTATATGAGAACATTCTAATATGCTTTTGGATTATCACTTTTTCCTTCTTTTTTTTCTAAAAACTTAATACAAACAATTTCCTTGTTCTTTTTTCTTAACATCAGTCGAAACCTAACCAAGGGCATTACCGCATACCATAAAGAAAATTGCTGATCGCATAGAATAGAACAGACACGGCAACTTGAAAACACAACACTTTTTTTTTTTTTTTCATTTATATATAGCATCACAGCATGTGGGAGATGATGATGATATGTTATTATAAGTTCTTCAATGTACAAACATGAGCATGCGATTTAAGTGTTAAAACAGGTACAAACGAAGCGAAACATCATGATGAACATTTGAAACCTCCACAAGCAACAACCCAAACGATGAGAATAAAGGAGAGAACAGCACCAGCCACCATCAGCTTCATCTGCAGACTCTGTAGCCACATCTTCCTTCTTAACTGCCTTCCTTGTCTCTGGAAGCTATCCGCCTGGAACTGTAGGTTCTCGGTTTTGTCAACCAGAAGTTCGATCTTCTCTCCTCTGTCTAGAACCTGTTACAACATCAACAAGAGAATCATCAAAAACAGCTGCAAATCCTCATCGATTCATTCTCATAATCGATATCTAGTGGCACATGCTAGTTCAGTGAAAATGGGACAAACCCATCTTCTATTGGAGATACTATGACAAATTCTGAAGTTACTTTGTTTGACTAACCTTTTCAAGCACCAATTTTGTTGAAAATTACTTACAGTTACTTTGTTTATAACATTATTGACCTCAAACTTCAGGCAAATAAAAACATAATTCATAGCGCAAAGGCAACAGATGATATATAGTGACTTGGATCAGAGCTATAGGACAACCAATTCCTTTCCTATGATGAGAAGCCGGGAGGAGTTCATGCTATGATAACTATCTCATTTAGAGTTCCTCAGTACCAAACTCTAACAGAGATGTATATGAAACCAATCCAGTCAAAAGGTATAACACTGGTCTGGAAATCTACCCAAGCTGCATGCAATTTCTTAATTTCTAAAAGACTTAGATACTCAAGCCAAATATGTCACAGTTTTAAACGTTGACAGGGGTCTGGAAAGAAAACACAGAGAGTAATCCGCAAACAATATATAGGTTAATGAAAGACTGGTTGTGAGAAAAGCAATGGATATATTTATCCAGTAAAACTACCATGAAAGTAAATCCATTTATTTGGTGTCAAATAGCTCTTCTAGAAGTTATGTGTTGTTCAGTATCTTTCCTACAGTACTTTTTTTGTTGTTGCAAACTTTCAAAATCATGTGGATAAAAATGTCTAAAGCTTGTTCATTTTTTCCTATAATGACAAAAGGCATACCTTCTCAATGTTGTCCATCATGATCCCCTTGACCTCAGTAATTTGGGCCTTCAACTTTGAAAGTTTGCTCATCTCTTCTGGATGGCTCATACAATACTGCATATGCTCCTTAAGTATGGGCCTATTTAGAGGGGAAAGAAAAGAATCAGAACACGCTTGCAATGCAAAAAAATGAGTAATATCAGATAGTTACAGCTATAGACAGACCCAAACTCCCTGTCAAGATTGTATGCAATGCTAAACCGATCTCCAAACAAATCATCATCTTCGTCATCATCTGCAAGAGGATGTCGCTCATCATTCTTTATACTCGCTTCATACCGCTTCTTAAAGTCTTCCTTGACCCGTTCAAGAAACACGAAAGGAACACTTCTTCCGGTGGACTCATCAGCAACCACTAGAAACACTATATGTATATACACACACAACAATCACAGGCATCACCAAACAAGAAGTAAATTAAAAAGCTTCAACTTATTAACAAGTATAAAAAGGATTCAGAAAAGAAAACTCACCAAAACCATTGTCGACAAGGAAATTGAAAGTATGACCATCGCAAGAGTAAGTATACTTGCTGCTATTAGTGGGTAGCTTCTGCAGACATTGAACAGCAATGGTGCTAAAGTTGCCTGAATAAGGAGTATGCTCCGCTAGAACAACTGTTCCTTTAGCAACAAAGCTATATATCAAACCCTTCTGACTCATTATTGAACTCGTGAAGCCTCTAGAGAAGAAGAAGTCAACCAAACCACAATCAGATCTGGAATGCAAAACCAAATATGGGAATCATAATCCAGAAATATATGAGAAAACTATATAGATCACTATGTAAAAACAAGATAAAACCCTAAAACACCCAGAGGAGGACGAACAGTAAATCGCAAAATCGGGAGATAAATTACAAATCGTATAGAATCGCGATCCAAAATTGAGTAGATTAACACCGAAGAGCAACAATTACGAATCGGAAAACGTGTTCTGATGCTCCGATGAGGTTGAAAATCGACGCAATTTAAAGATCGGTGTTATTTAGTTCCGGAAGCAAAGTATAGAGATAGGTCAAAAAAGATGATCGGATAAGAAGAAATTGAAGGAGAAATCAAACAAGGCATAGCAATTGCAGTAGCAGAAGAATCAAGAACGAGAGAGGAATGAGTACCTTGAGACTCTTAGCTTGCTGATGAAGAATTAGGCTCAAAATTCTCAGAAATGTGGTAATAATTAATATCAGAGACGACGAGTCACGAGTCACGACTAGTTTTAGAAGGAGATAAAATGACATTACTTAATTCTGATTAATTAATTCTTAATCTCCAAATAGTTTGGTTTGATTGTTTCCGGTTTCTATTCTTGGTTTATGAAATTTAGCTATTAAAATGAGAAACTATTTCTATTTTGCCTTGGTTTGGTTTGGATATTACCGGTTCTTTTTCATTTTTCGGTTTAGAATTGAAATCACCGTAACTGTGTTCGGTATGGTTTCATATTATTGTACATTTATAATTTTTGGGTTATATTAAATAAACCATAATTGATTGGTTCATTACAGATCTAATCTTATTTTGAGCATTTTTTTCTTGTAAACCGCAAAGATAAATGAAAAAATAAAAAGAAAGGGACCAATTCCTTCCTTTTTGAATGCCTTATGTGTAAATTCATCAATCATAAATTATTAAATTATGAATTTGTAAATCCCCAAATCACACCTGAGAATTAATGAAAACGTACACGCAAACAAAGATTGAAAATCTAAATGATATATTTTTTTACCAAATACTTTTTCCAATCCAAAAGATAAATGTATGTGAATATTGCCACAAAACTAGATGAGCCAAAATTTGAGAACAAAGCAGCAAAGTTTGGGGTAAGTAGAACAAACTGGAAACACACCAAAAACCAAAGTGACTAGACTACACTTCTTTCAAAAAGTAATCCCAAACTGCTTTCAGACCATCTTTCAGCATGTCTGAAACACATTTCCTCTCCACATTTTCCTCCTGAAATTGTACACGTAACTACTGTCATTTGTTGACCATCACTACAATTAAAAGATCTTGTCTAAACAAAAAAAAAGAAATGAAAATGTTACCTTTAGTAGTATAGTACTTAAGGCTTTCAATTTGAGATTCACAACACTTGAGGTTCCTCCAATCCCAGTGCGGAAATCATATCGATCAGCCTCTAGGATTTGAAGCCTCAGAGCCTGGTTTCTGTACGTAGTATTTATAGTATGCCAAACACCACAAACTCTATATCGATCCGCACAAGAAGATTTCCCAAGTGGCCACTTTAACCCACCTTTCACAGTTGGATCTATCACCGCTGAATCAGTCAATTCTTTGAGATTCTTAATCTCATTCTCCTGGATACAATCAAAGAGGCATATTTCACATCTTAACCTATATCACTTGTTTAATATTCTTCATCTCATTTTCTTGGATACTAAATATGGAATACACAAAGACAACTCACTGAGAGATTGGTTAATGTCCTTTTTGAGTCAACCATCAACCTCATGTCAAGATCTTGATCAAGGCATGAGACGTCAAGATTTAAGTGCCTCAAAGCACTAAGCTCCGCCTGAATAAAAAGCAAACAAAAGCTTCAATATAATTCTCTTATAAAAATGTGGTAATTAAGTAGGAACGGGTACGGGACGGAACAGGACTATACCAACCCCTACTAGGACTTACCTTATAGAAATTGAGTCGTTTATGTTGTTGGTCCACCATACATTTACATGAGATGGTTGCATCAGGACGAGTGTTGTCTGCGACCTAAAAAATCAGAAACCAAAACCTCAAAAAAATAAAAATGAAATAAGAGACACAATCATGAATCTTACAAAAGAAATAAAAAAAAACCACCTTCACGTGATACAACTCTTTGGTTTCTTCAACACAAAATCCCATTTTGTGCACAACTCCATACCTAACGTTTTCGACATAAGACTTTGGGACATTTGTACGAAACGTTTTCTTCAAATTTTCCAATGTGCTTTTAGTTAACGGACCATCTCTTAGAGTATCTGATGAACTAACACTGCATCAATTTGATAAGATAAGAACCGGTAAAATCTTTTATTCAACATAAAAATACTCGATTAGAAATGCTCAAACAAAAGTCCCTAACTCATTTGCCTACATGTTAGCTCTAGCTAACAAACCACCTACGGTAATTAGAATGCTCTTAGACCAACACAAGGCTAATCACTAACCCTGCACCATGTAAAAACAGAGTTTGTGTGTGTCTGAAAAAAATGAATGGATAAAGATTTGAGGAAAAGACAAAAACCCTTACCCATGGAAAACAACTTTACCAAATCGAGCGATCAGTCTGAGTTTGACATCCTCTGATCCACCGTAACGTAGCAACGTCTTCTTTGCCCTATCAAACCCCTTTATAAGATCATCCTCCACTTTCTCTGTCACCCATAACCATGGAGTTTCCTGTTTTCCAAAATCACTCTTCGCTAAGATTCCCAAAGATTTTTCTTCTGCGTCGTTCCTCCACTTTAAAGAAACGGGCACAAGTTGAAAGTAATTGTCCTCTGATTCTGAACCAACGAGAAACCATCTATAAATGAAATCGTTTGCGTAGATTATCTTTGTATTAGTACTCCCGAGGTTTTTATTGAGCTTTGTAAGAAGAGAAGGTGGAACAGAGGATGCTATCAATCCAACATTTTCATGTCGTTTATGTGGTGGAACGTAAGACATCTCTGTAAAAGTATATGATACAAGAAAAATTAAACCTTAATTTCAAAAGAACAAGCAAGTTTCTGAGCCACGAGTAGGAGAAGAAGAAAAGAAATCGTACCTTTTATTGGCTCAAGTACCTGTTTAGATACTCACAAGTCACAAGAAGAAGAACGATCACAGAAGAGAGAAACTGAAAAGACTCAGGTGAACTGAAGTGGAAGAGACGAGACAGTTCGGTCTCTTTATCACTACCACTTTAGTCTTGGAAATGTGCATAATATTTAATTTTTAGTTTTGATTTTCAAATAAAAAAATAAACCGAAAACGAAACTCTTGTTATCATATTATGAGCGTTGATATTTTAGAAATTCTCTGTTCTTTTAGAAAATTGTGTGAACATTTTGTAGCAATTAAAATAGTATAGATTTAAATGCTAAACCTCGTTATTTAGTCCAAAATGTAGGAATCTTAGGATTATTTTTTTTGTGATTTCTCTTAGGACCTATACTTCGGGTTTAGATTTCTAGACCGTTTTAAATCTAAAGGATAAATTGCAAAATTGACAGTTTTTTTCAACCACAATTAGCAAACTAGTATGTTCACTAAATTTAATTAGTATTGTTGGTAAAAATTAGTTATTTATTTAACAAAATTAAATTTACGACATAGACAGAACAAAACAGTTATATGTCTAGAGTAAAAAAATTTAGTCAAATGTTTTTATTTGCCAACCCAACTTAATTCATTAAAACGAATCACGAGAAATTTAACCTACTACAAAAGATGCAACTAATTTTCTAAAAACGATTTAGACTACCGTTGATCTTGTTGGTTTTTGGATGTTACATGTCTATATTATGATAATTATTTAATTTATTTTGTAAACATTAGAATAAAATAGTTTTTGTTTATACTAAATGAGTTTTGATTTTTTTAAGTGACTATAAACACTCGTGTGTCTGCTTAAACCATGTGTAAAGTTAAAAATGATAACGGTTAGAACATCTAACTTTACATATGCCCTAACTAGGCATTTTCTACAATATGCTTCAGATCGACAATTGTTAATCATCTAAATTTTTTCACTTTATATATGTTCTGATTTGACATTTTCTACGATACATTTTAGATCGACACGTGCTAATCATCTGACATTTTTTTACCTTATATGTTCTAATTGGATATTAATACGATAAGCATTAGATCGACACGTGCAAATCATTCGACAAATTTGGTATAATACAGCTCACTCAAAATGCGTTACAAGTTACAACTAATTTGGAGCGTTTAAGGAAAATATAGACGAATATGCTGATAAAAAGATTTAGAATTTTAATAGGTAATTTAACACATTTTACAAACACAAGCATTAAAATTTAAAGCTAAAAAAACATATAAATTTAAAAGTGAAAATAACTAGTCAACTTTCATAGACCATTACCATAACAAGCTAAGAATATAATTCAATGAAATTAATTTTAGGTACATTTTTTCTTTTCTAAAATCAATACATCTTCATGGTAGATTCTACAATTTTAAATATAGAAATCAAATTGTTGACCAGGGAAAAAAAAATGAATTGCAAAGAAACAAATTAAGATATTTTTCATTCCAACTTTTTCCCCAAAAATTAGAGAGAAAAAATTAAATTAAATAATTCCAAAACATAAAACGTACAAAAAAGTTAATGATAAAAACGTATAAAATACAAAAATACAAACAAAAAAAGAAGACAGCGTGGAGAGTGAAGCTATTGGTAGCATGGCTGCAACAGAAGGCCAAGTGTTTGGTCTTACAATTTTATTTTAACTCTTTGTGTTAATTAACCCAATTAGCCCTTTCCTCCTTCAGGGTTTATTTAACTTGCCCTTTCTCGTTTCCTCCTTTTTTTCTTAAACCACTCTTCTTCCTTCTTCCTCTAAAAAAATCACTCACACTCTCAAAAATCTTAAACTTTTTTTTTGTTTTCTCAGAGTTTAATGAAGAAGCGCTTAACCACTTCCACTTCTTCTTCTTCTCCATCTTCCTCTGTTTCTTCTTCTACTACTACTTCCTCTCCTATTCAATCGGAGGCTCCCAGGCCTAAACGAGCCAAAAGGGCTAAGAAATCTTCTCCTTCTGGTGATAAATCACATAACCCGACAAGCCCTGCTTCCACCAGACGCAGCTCTATCTACAGAGGAGTCACTAGGTTTTTAAAAAAAAAATTAAATGATTGGTTTTTCGAATTTGGTTGTTGAGATTGGATTTGGGTTTTGTCTGAAACTGCATTTGTAAGATTGCATGTTGTTTTGTGGGATATTACAGACATAGATGGACTGGGAGATTCGAGGCTCATCTTTGGGACAAAAGCTCTTGGAATTCGATTCAGAACAAGAAAGGCAAACAAGGTTTGGTCTTTTTTTTCTTAACTCTTGATTTTTTTTAATGAAGATCTGGATTTTAACTGATAAATTTGGTTTCTCTGATCTGTTGTTTGATCTCAACTTCGTCACTGCCCATCTGCAACTTCATCAGTTTATCTGGGTAAGTTCTAATTCTCTGAAACAAAATATCAATTTTTTTTGTGTGTTTTACTAAATTGAAGAAAAAAAGAGAGTGGATTTGGTCAGAAGAATCTCAACTGCTTCACGCGTAATTGCAGGAGCATATGACAGCGAAGAAGCAGCAGCACATACGTACGATCTGGCTGCTCTCAAGTACTGGGGACCCGACACCATCTTGAATTTTCCGGTAAACCAAAAAAAATCAGACTCTTGATTGATGATGCATGTTTGTGATTTTGGAATCTGGATTTTGGTCTTAATTAAAAAAATAAAATTGGGGACAAATCAGGCAGAGACGTACACAAAGGAATTGGAAGAAATGCAGAGAGCGACAAAGGAAGAATATTTGGCTTCTCTCCGCCGCCAGAGCAGTGGTTTCTCCAGAGGCGTCTCTAAATATCGCGGCGTCGCTAGGTTCCTTTTTTTTCTTTCTCTTTTTTTTTTTAATTTCTATAGATTTATTCTTTTTAATTTCGGAATTCACTACCAAATTGAGAAATAATTTCCCCTTTTTTGGATATCTGAATAACAGAATTAATAATAGGAAAAAATATGATCATGAAAATTTGCTTTTAGAATATTCTCTCTTTTTAAAAAAAAAAGAAAATCAGTACTGCAAAAAGATGAGATTTTTTTTTAACTTTTTACAGATGTGTTAGCAGAAATGATTTTATTCTATGGATTCAACAGTTTTTTTTTTAATTTAGCCTAAAAAGTACTAATAGAAATTGTGCTTGATAAAAACAGGCATCACCATAACGGAAGATGGGAGGCTCGGATTGGAAGAGTGTTTGGGAACAAGTACTTGTACCTCGGCACCTATAGTACGTTACCTCCTTTCCCTTTTTTTCTTGTAATTTTTGAAATAAATATTATTAATTATTTTTAGATTTATATTAAAAATTGTTTAAAATAATTGACTGTTTATAAGTTACCGGGCATAACGGATCCATTCTCTGTTATGCTTTCTCAAAAACTAGTTTTGTAAGCATAAAATAGTGTGTGATAATGTTTAAACTGTTTTTTTTTAATATTTATAATGGTGATTTAAGAATATTAATTTGTTTAGTTAGACAATTAGAATAATATATACAATGGGTAGGCAGTGTGGGTTTGAATTTTACACACACTGACTCACGTGAGGCGAGAGTTTTGACATCATGTCTCTTCAACTCTCTCTTTAATTGATTTTTATCTTTTAATCAAAATCAACTTTTTAAAAAAGAAAATTATCTAATGATCCCTCTGCATAATTACCTTTTAAATTCTGCATTTTTTGTGGATCCGATACTCTGAATATAAAAATTGAGAACTCTGCAGAAGGGAATATTAACAACAACTCTTTTACTGAAAAGTAATCCCATTTTTTTATTGTTTTTGCTGACTCTTACCGGGTCCTTAGATTATTTAAGGACCGCCTAATCTTCAACAAATCTCATATTTTTTGAAATTTCACTTTTTTTTAGTAATACAAATTCAGATTTGCAAAAATATAGGATGTGTTCTATTATATATAAACTTAAATCATTCTTTATTTTATACCGAAAAAAAAGTAGAGATGTCAAGAGCATAAATACAAAAAAAATGAAATTAGTAGTTGTGAAAGTTGTATAGAATAATAATGTAGGTTACAACTTACAAGTGTAAAGGCGCGTGTAACGCGCGTAGGTCACGTGATAACACCCTCACTTCATAAAAGGACAAAATAGTTCAGAGGGGTTAGGACCAAACCCGAGGTCGATCTGGTTTGCTCTTGTTTTTTTGGTTTATTATAATGGTTTAATTAGAGTTGAGACTGCTCTGAGTAGGAGTCACGAGCCCTCACGTGCATTGCTCATCTCTTTCTCTACCATATCTTTCATCTTTGTCCTCCGAACAAAATCTGGTCTAACTTTATCTTCTTTTCTTTTAATAATTGTCTTCTCTACTTTACCATTATTTTTCTCTAGATTATTATGGTACCAAACTTAGAACTTAATAGTAGTTGATTAGAGGTTAGAGTTGACACTAGGTAGGTATTTTAATTATTGTTAAATAATAAACTCAGTAATCGTACGTTCGTGTATTAATTAATTTAAGTCACAAGTTTGGACTCTTTAGTGTTTAGAGCGGCGCAGTGGAGGAGAAATGGTCTTTGTACACGCCTCACCTCTTCACACAAATCGTGTAACCCTAGTTGTCCCTACAAAAACACGTCACCAAATTCTATTGATTCTTTGTCTTTATTAGGTATCATAAATTCTCTAATTTAAATATGAAACGACAAAGAAGAAACACTTGTTTTAACACTTGTTTGGGCTTATTTGGTTATAGCCACTTAGACCATCTTTATCAATGGGTTCTTAAGAAAATCTTAAGATGATCTTAGTAATTTTTTAGTATTATTACTAAGAACCAAAGTTAAGATCCAAAATGAAAGTGGCTTATCTAAGAGCCAAAAAGAGGTAAATCTTAACTTTGGTTCTTAGTAATAATACTAAAAAATTACTAAGATCATCTTAAGATTTTTTTAAGAACCCATTGATAAAGATGGTCTTACCAGGTTTGTGAAAGTTAACAAGTTGTGGACACTGTTTACTTTCGAAACACTGACTTTGTTTGCATTGTCTTAATTTAGAAGCTTTTAACTAATAAAGTTGCTATTTATTGGTTTTACAGATACGCAGGAGGAAGCTGCTGCCGCGTATGATATGGCGGCGATAGAGTATCGAGGTGCGAACGCGGTTACTAATTTCGACATTAGTAATTACATTGACCGGTTAAAGAAGAAAGGTGTTTTCCCGTTCCCTGTGAACCAAGCTAATCATGAAGAGGCTATTCTTGTTGAAGCCAAACAAGAAATTGAAACGAGAGAAGCTAAAGAAGAGCCTAGAGAAGAAGTGAAACAACAGTACGTGGAAGAACCACCGCAAGAAGAGAAAGAAGAAGAGAAAGCAGAGCAACAAGAAGCAGAGTTTGTAGGATATAAAGAAGAAGAGGCGGTGGTCAATTGCTGCATAGACTCTTCAGCCATAATGGAAATGAATCGTTGTTCGGACAACAATGAGCTAGCTTGGAACTTCTGTATGATGGATTCAGGGTTTGCTCCGTTTTTGACGGATCAGAATCTCTCAAATGAGAATCCCATCGAGTATCCGGAGCTTTTCAATGAGTTAGCATTTGAGGATAACATTGACTTCATGTTCGACGAAGCGAAGAACGATTGCTTGAGCTTGGAAAATCTGGATTGTTGCGTGGTGGGAAGAGAGAGCCCAACTTCTTCGTCTTCACCATTGTCTTGCTTTTCTACTGACTCTGCTTCATCAACAACAACAACAACAACCTCGGTTTCTTGTAACTATTTGGTCTGAGAGAGAGAGCTTTGCGTTCTAGTTTGAATTTCTATTTCTTCTGCTTCTTCTTCTTTTTCTTTTGTTGGGTTCTGCTAGGGTTTGTATTTCAATTTCAGGGCATGTTCGTTGGTTCTGAATAATCAATGTCTTTGCCCCTTTTCTAATAGCTCCAAGTTCAGATAGGAAAAAAACTAAATGAACCGTAAAACGGAACAGAGAAGTAGAAGAGTCCCTGTCTTATTCTTGACCTGACTGTGAAGTTTCTCCCAACGCTCCTTTTTTTCCTCTAACGTTTTTCAAGTGTAGGAACTAGGAAGGTTATATAGGTAAAAGTTGATTCCTAACACTTAATTCATAATTCTGATTGCGATGGTTTTTGGATTGCTAGATAGCCTAGTAAAAGAGCCTTATCATCCAAACTTGCGATCAATTGGTAACCGTGAACGTCTTCATTAGGGTGAATATTTGAAATAGATTCGATAGTACCATTGGTAGTCTATTCGTTTTGTGGAAACAACTTCAATTTGTATTCCATCAAACAATAATATAGATGCATTCAAGTAGAAAATCAAATCGAGTAGATTTGGAGCATAATTAAGTAGAGTGGTCAATATAATAATATGATACATGATAAAAGTCTTGAAAACATTCCACACACAATAAGCCTAAGCAGCAAGCTATACTGATCACACAATCCATAGTTCTTAAGGCTTTAAAATACATAACTAAGAAACATAACAGTTTAAGGTTTTATAAGCAACACCAGTCGTTTGCTTTTAAGTAGTTATTAATTAGATAGATAATGATAGCACCAACAAACCTTTTAGCCCTTAATTATTCAAGAAGGTGGAAGGTGATGATGTCAGAGGCAGAGGGAGCATGAAGGGCATGGTTTGGGTAATGGTGGTGATGGTTCTGGTGGAAACGAAGAGCGTAAGCACGCGACCCTTCAATTTGATATCCAAGAACTGAGTCGTAATCTCCTCCATTGTCTACTAATCCATAGTGAGGATCTTCAGCTCTTAGTTCCTATTCATCACCAAAACATGTTTTAATCCATTTTCCACATAACTGAATCCAACATTATTAATTTGAAATGATATGACATATTTGATAAATGATTCGATTAAGAGAAAACATAAGAGTGGCTGATCAATCTTACACTAAATTTCTATCCTTTTAACTGGCTATATGCATGTATTTTGCCTAAAACAACATGTAAGGAAAGAAAAAAATAAGAGATATTACCAGCTCATGTATGAGATTCTTTTGTATGTCTTGTTGACTTTTGTTCTGCAATTGTGTAAACCACAAGAGAAATTATGAAGATATATACCGAAGTTATTATGACATCACTATATTATATGCTTGGTGTTTCTTTTATCCATTAGCTTAAACAAAAAAAAAACAAGATAATTGTCCTAAAGTATTATCAACAGTTTTAGTAAGTTCATAATATCAATTTACACAAACTGTTGAGACAAATAATATGATAAAATGGGAAAGTGAGTGGACATAGAAGATGTGACCTTTTTCTTGGTGGTCTCGATCTGATTCCCAAGAGATTTAATCTGTACAATTAATATATATATAGATTATTAAAAAACGACCACATATATTATCCAACAGTAAACAAAATGTTTCATTTCTCTAAAACACCTAATACAACAACAAGTCAACAACAGTCATTTATCTATAATTAAATTCAAAAATTAAAGCTTGTTTATACGATTAATTAAAACCCTAGGTAAGGGAAACATATGAAGAGAACCTTGCGCTCGCGAACGAGTTTGAAAGTGTTGTCCATTTCATCCTCAAGACGACGCAGCTCCTGAATGTCAAGCTCGTCCAAACACTCACCTAGCCTCTGCCTACAATTTTAACAAATTATGTATATGTTTTCGTAATCTTGTTTTTTATTTTGTAAAATAACTCATCTAAACAAAAATTTGTCTGATGAGAGAAGAGAGAGAAACAAATACTTGATCTGAGTCCGGAGATTTCTATTTGTCTCCAACAATTTCCTCTTGGTTTCTTGCATTCTCTGCGACAAAACGCATCAAGAATTTAACCAACCATAGAAAAAGCACATATCGAGAAGAAGAAGAAGAAGAAAGATCTAAGAAGGAAAAAAACCTCATATTGAGTGGCCCAAACATCAACATCAGAAACTGTTTGGTACAGATCTACGATCTCCTTCGTTCTATAACCATAAAAATCACCAAAAAAGTAGTGGTTAATTAATTAGAAGAAAACAAAGCAATCTAGCTTAATTTAAGAGTAGTGTTTAGAGAGATCCATCTACGTGGTGTTAGGGCTGATATACTCATGAAGCTTGTTGGAGCTAGAGAACATGATAATCGAAACCCTAGCATCACACAAAACCGTGAGCTCATGTGCTTTCTTGAACAAACCATTTCTTCTCTTTGAATACGTCACTTGTCTGTTTGTCTGGTTCTCTATCCTCTTGATCTGGATCTTCCCTCTCGCCATGATATTCTTCTTTCTTCTCTCTTTGTTTAATCTTTTTGTTAAAGAGAGATTTGGTGGAGAGGACAAGAGATATAATGAGAAGAGAGAAGTGAAATAGAAAGAGAGAGAGAGAGAGAGAGTTGAAGAAGTAAAGGGTCCACTTGAGTTACTAAAAATAGAAAGTATTGCCTAATCCATGAAAGGTAAGTTCAGAAGTTGATGAAAACTAAGTGATAAATTTTCCATTTATGTAAAGTGGTTTTTTTTAATTACAAGACACTGCTTAAATCAACGGACATCGATGGTTGTATAATTACAAGACACTGCTTAAATCAATTGTCACTAGGTAAAAGAGGGGGACCAAATCTATAAACTTGGTTTGCTTTTCGTCAATTTAATAACGGAGCTCCGTTAGTTTGGACTTTGTTTTTTGTTTAGACGGTGACATACTTAACGGCGTTTGTAAACGTCAAATCAGTGCAGGTGGATTTTTGGTTGGCTTTTTGCACTTACCCTAAAGTAAACGAAAGTGTTTAGGTGTGAACCAAGTTTTTATTTTGATGTTAAAAGCCAAGATTCCACTTTTGTTTGTTGGATTTGGGAAATAAGAAGAAAGAGATATATGTTTGGATTAATTGTCACTTCCATCTAACTCAAATCTTTTATATGTTTCCCCAAATGATTACCAATAATTTCTCGCATTTGCCTTTAACTAAAGATTCATGGAAAATCGAATATTACCCCAAGGGTTTAAGAAGGAATCACAAGTTAGGAGAAAAGTCATTGTTTGTAGATAATGCTTTGGTCCAAAACTGACCACCAAATCAGATATATGCATATTACAGTTCTTATTTTAATGTATTCAAAATTGTGATGAAACTCTTATTTTTTTGCTTCGCCGAGTTAAGTGTCGTTTTTGGACTAAGTTGGCCACAGTATAACATGGATTGTTTCTATTTTCAACATCAAGTTTCAAGCAATGCAAATCAGTGTGTGAGTCACGAAAATGGAATCCAATCCCTTACATTGATAGGGTATCCAAAGAACTCTTGTATCAACTTCACAAGCCAAACACAAGAACAATCATTCTTCGCTTAAAACCTAAGAAGTTCAGTTACAAGAGACTGGTATTTTCGTTTCAACGCTTTAAAACAGGGACAACTATGCATGATGCGAACTAAAAATGTAATAAAAGATCTACAAGACGTGTTCCTATGGCTAAGGTACATTACACAAGAGGTGCATCATTCATCTACACAAACAACACGCACTCTTGTTCTGGTCTCAGTTCAGTTTCCCTGTTCTCTTCAGGTACTCTTGCATGCGACTTTGGTTTGTTTCAAATATGAAAGGCATTCCCCGAATCTGCGCACAACCATATATATCTCGGGAATAAGTACGGACCTAGAAGCGTAAGTAATGATCATAAAAGAGTATCCAGGATCAAACCTCAACTAGACAATCGGATTTGAGGATCAAACTCTGTCCAGGATCTACTTCCTTCTCATTTACTGATATTGAATACTTCCCCAGATTTTTCATATGAAACGACCCATCATCACCCAGCCGTATGATTGCCTGCATTCAGTAACCAAAAAAGGAAAAAAACACACACACAACAACCGTTACAGATCCTGAGCTGCTGCTTCTCACACAACTCAAAGACCTAAATAGAAATAGAAGTATCTACTATTGACCTACCTGTCGTCGAGATATTTTGCTACCCCGCTTTTCTCTTCCCAAATCAATGTCCACAGCGAGGTCTTCTGTTGATCTACCCACCAAAACCTATATTAAGAAAAAAGAACCCCGGAATAAACAAGTGCTACTGTAATTCTTAAGAAGCTTATAAAATCATACAAGGAATATACTTAAACAAATAAGCTAATAATACCTCAGGCTTCTTGATGTAGTGTTTTGAATATCTACCATATAAAACAGCTAATGCACCACGGGAAGCAATGGCTCTTTGCATATATGAATAAGCAGCCTGCTCAAGTCTTATGATTGTTCTTTTCATGTCCTGGCTCTGATACTTGGCAACTGCAAGTGAAAACATTTTACGGAATTAAACACAAGCCTTAAACCTCTTATAACATCTCTTGTGCTACACCCATGGAAAAGGTTCCCCACATAATTGTGGCATGTAATGACTTTTGTGAGCCAAATACCGAATATATTCCTGATTCACATACTAAAAGCTTTCTTTTTCCAAAAATGTAGATATATAGAAAGAAACGTGAGTTCCTCTGAAAGAGAAGGGATGCTCAATTACCTTCGAGATCAAAATTATCTTGATCATCAGGTTCCAAGTCCATGTCAAGTATCTGAAATTATAAAGAGTGTTATTGATTAGGTGTTTAAGTGTCATGGAACCATAACACAAGAATAAAGATGGAAGTCAAGAGTTACCATAGCCTCAATGTCAGAATAATTGGGTAAGTCCTCATCACTCTCACAAACATGCGCTTCTACTTCTGCTTCTGCAAGAGTGATCTCTAGCTCAGGGTCTGTAATCTCTATCAAGCCATCAGCAGTATCTTTAGCATGTGGCGATTCATTAACAGGTGGTACAACATTTTTCTCTTTACAGTTTTCACTATCCTTCTCCTGATAGCTGCCATGGCCATCAGAACCGACAAAGAGTGTTCCACTAGCAGTTTCTTTCTTTCCATCTTTTGCACCGGTACCAGTAGAAAGCAGAGTATTCGAGCATGCCTGTGCAGACCCAGCACAGGTAGAACCACCAGGAGCTACAGTATTCTTTAACTCAGCACTAGTCGATGCCCTGAATTTGCTAGCTTGACTTGGTTGGCCCATCTCTGGCTTTCCTTGAGTAGACCCCTGTAAACGTCCTGGGTTTTTCTTTTGAGTCTGGACTGAATATCCCTCACTTTTTTCCTTACTGGCGGAGAGGTCTCTAACACATGTAGTTAATGGATTATTGGTATCCTTAAAGTTCCGCCGGGCTAAGGAAGAAACTGACATTGGATGGGAGTTGTTGGATAGGAAAATGTCATCATTACACGGAATATCAGGATCCTCTTGGTTTAATAAACAGCAGATTACACCCCCAACAATCTCAGGATGAGGATCTAAAGCAGATGCAATTGCAATTGTACCATCTAGCTCAAGCATCACATGATCATCCAGAGTTGCATCTCCTGAATGAGTTGGTGCAATGGAAGGATCTTGCTCGGTGGAGTTAGGAAAAGCCTCGCGATTTGTATCATTTGTTGAGTTCACCAACAGTGAGCTAAGACCATCATAATATGACTTGTCAACTTCTTTGCCATCTACTTCCATGAACGGTTCCACGTCTTCTTCGAAAAGAGAAGTTGAAAGCTGTGCCAGGAAATCAGTGCTAGCCATTGTGGTTATTGCCTCGTGAGCAGTATTCTCTAGTTTCTGCTCGGAATCTTGATGAACCACATCACATCCTGATGGACCTGCATGTTCAGTGAATGTGAGATTTTCTCCTCCTACGTAAGGAATGTTTCCCTGTAAATCATCTTCCGGCACAACATGAGTTGTCACACAACCGCCTTCAGCCAAAATTTCTGGAAACGCGTTGTGGATAATATCCATGTGAGAGTCCTCAAGACCAAGATGTGTTGCATCACCATTATCCATGAAATGGCTATCATTTGGTGGTACGAGGAAACCTAGATCCAAGGAACTAAATGGCTCAGTCCGAAATTTCTTCCGCAAGGAATGATAAGTACTTCTGAGCCTTTCAGCATTCCTCTTCCTAGATGAGCTTTTGTTTTCTTTTGAATATCCAGTTCTACCAAACTTTGTAGGAAAATTAGGGTTAGTACGTTCAAGCTCAGTCATCCGAAAAGCCGCCTCGGCAGAAACTACTGGATCATAAAGCAGTGCATGCCATCGATCTTGCAGTTCTCTGATAGAAAATCTTCTAGAAAACTGCACAGCACCTTTAGCAAGCGATTCCAAAGAAGCACCGGCCTGCAAATAAATTAAGGATTCTGGTTCACTTAATTGCTAGAATACCAGACAAGCGGAATGAAGAAACACGCAATACATCCAGAAGCACTAATTTAGTAGAGGAACTTTTTGGCTAGCCTAGCTTGATATATAAAATGCTAAATGAGAGAAGCAATGAACATAATTATTTACCGTGTGGTGATAGATGAGCCATCAGTAACAAGACAAAAGGAATATTTTTTCAATCATATTATGTTCTCCTCATAACTGAACAGAAAACAGAATTAATGAAAAATATTTGACAGTCCTTTTCAAAGTGGAGAGAAGCATGATACATACAGCTCTGATATCAGTGATCACACAACAACTAATTAGCTAAACGGTATAAATTTTTTCTAGAACAACAATTACAGCTTGGCTCATCGAGATAGCGTAAATTGGTTTCCCATAATACTTCATACTATAGCGCATATAACACTGGCTTAAGATGTTAACAGGATCAAACAAAAAGTTGCCCTGATAATTCAACTATTTCTTGATATCTGTAACCAACCTTTTGTCTCAAAAATTCAAGTCACCTCAAGACAAAAACAATATTGATAGATGAAGGAGTACGAAAATCAAATATAGGTACAAGCAACTACGAAGATCAAAGCCCAGAAACAATGTGAGAGTCACAGAATTGATAATCAGTAATGTTCCAACTACTTCTATTTAAGCAATTGATAAAGCTCTGCAAACAAGCATGGTAGAATACGAAAACTACATGACCATTGAACTACATAAAACGTGTGAAAGGACCGGAAATTCAGAGAAATTATGCCTAACCCTTAATTGAGATCAAATCCATGGCACAATCCAACATTGGGACAATAGAATATCTTCCACTTCCGGTAGTAAAATAATGAAAACTGAAATGTGACCAAAATCAATGATATGGGAGCTCACCTCGACGGCATTCTTTAGGAGCAGGTCGTCTTCGGGTATCCACGGAACAACCTGGGCAAGAGCCCCCATGTCCACTGCACAACCAGACCTTGTCTTCTCTTAGGAAAGCTTCTTGTAGAAGGGGTCCGTCTAAAAGATGGTGACCTAATTAAAAGAAATCAAAATCAGACCGATGCAGGTAACAATATCATCAGAATAGAATCAAATTTGGTTCTCTAGATGAAACAGTAAAGTTTAAACGAGATAAATCCCGATCCAGAACCCACCGAGGACTCGAGGAAAGGGTGAATCAGAGTCTAGGGGTGACCACGAAGGAAGAAGGATGACCCAAGGAACAAAGATTCAATGGTGGAAGTGAAGGTGACGATGATACTGAGAAAAGAGATTGAGAGAAGTTTTGTTTGTTTGATTGATTGCCTTTCTCAAAAGGGCTAAATGCCTTAAACATATAGTAGCGATCGATAAAATTATTGAACCAGACAGCTAAACAAGAAATCTAAGGATTAAACCAAGAGGCTAACCGGTTTATCCTGTTACACTAGACGACGCTATTGCTTGGTCTAATTAATGGGCTTCTCTTTCTCACCATTAAGCTCTTCTAGTAATCTAAAGCATTCTTCTAGGTTTCGTTTCGCAATAGGGTTTAAGAACGTAAGAGAAAACTGAAACAACAAGTATCAGGATTTGGAAAAAACATTAAAATAACGAGAAAGATCGAAAATTAAGAAAGTGACGAACCACGATTCGCAGTTAATTTAGTCAGCCATTACAGGAGGATACAAGTAGAATTCCATTGCTTTTATTACTATTCAATTCTCTCGTTAAATTCTCAAGCTCCAAAGACGGCGCAAATACAAATTTCGAAATTCTCACAAGTTGATATCACAAAATCAATGAATTGAGAGAACACTTAGGCACAAAACAGAGAATTTAGAAAAATTCAAGAAGAAAGGAACTGACTTGAGGGAAGAAGAGGAGCCGACGGCAGTTCAAAATCTATAAATCTGAAACCCTAATTTTAACCTGACTGTCTCCGTCATCCGGAGAAGAAGATAAGCACGTTTGAGAAACTACACCGTTTTGTCTCTTTGAAACTGAAGTTGCGGATGTGGCAGTTTTGATTATTTTTTACTGTAAAAAAAAAAAAAAATTACACTGTTTCTATCACCATCAAGACCATGCGCAATGGCGCATTTTCTCCCCGGGTGTGACCATTAAAGTAATGGAAAATAAGAGAAAAGTTGTCTCTCTCCTCACATTCGGGTGTAACTTTACACTCGGGTGTAAGACACTCTCTTTCTCTCTTTCTTTTTCTCTCTCTCTTTAAATTATAATAATAAAAAAAATTTCACACCCACACTCACACTTACCCATGCTCTCATTATCATCAGTACTTTAGACTGGGAGAGTGTTGTAATGTTTTATCTTATTAGTACGTTTCTTTATTCCCAAGAAACCTTATGAAACTAAATTGTTTTTGTTCCTGTGATACCTAGAATGCTAATAATTAAATTCATCCATGGCTTCTTCTTAGTATGTATGTTTCCAAAGATGAGAAAATTCCAATAAAATTGGATATTGTACGTATCATAGAAAACAGTCAAAGGAAAAGTGGATGAGTGTATCTTTGAATCATTGAACAATTTTAATCTTCCCTGTTAATCATTCCCTAATTATTGGGTTTCTGATTTAATAGGAAACTAAGAGCATTGACACCGTTACTAAAATTTGAAGTGGAGTCAATTCAAGCTTACAATCACACCTTTCAGGCATAAAGTACAATCATGCTTAACATTGCAAGGCTAGTGCAGTGAAACCATCACAATTCACAACATACAGACCACTCTGTTTCTTTGTCCCTTAAGCGCAAATACAACATTTTTTGCTTTCTCGTTCTTTTATTCAGCAAAATGCCACAGAGGAGAGCTTAGGTATAATTTCTATATATATATATACGTACATAAGCATGCATCGGTTTAGAGTGCAGTTTCTGCATACTGTTCAGGCTTCTCTACTTGCTTCTTAAGGAACTCCAGCACAGAGAGCCGCTGCATGCATGTTAAAATTACATTGTCAGATAAAGTTTTACTGACATTCAGCAGCTTTGGATAAGATACAAAAAAGGGAGTCGTGCAAGAATCTTACTCGTTGCTCGAGAGCAGAATCTTCAGCGTCCAGTTTCAAAGATTCCAGCAGTTTCATGCCTTCCTTGAAACCATCTGTCGCTGCAACTTCATTTTGTAGAGTCCTGTCTATATCCGCAACTTTGGCTAAGGAAACTGCCACATCCAGAATCTACAGAAAAAAATGTAGAAATAACAAGCAAAATCAATTTCTACTTCCGGACAGACTTTGCTTGATATCTTTCAGTTACAATTTATCTAGGCAATAAATCAAGTAACAAATAAGAAAACCAAAGAGAAGATTTCCAACTAACACAATAAACCCATTACAATGTACGTAAATCTAATTATAGTTATCCACAAGACAGTAACTTTATCGCAGAACTAAATGACACCTCATCCAAATATACTGCCACGCCAATACGTCAGTTACCTAAACCTCAGTGCAACCCAGGCAACAAAATAGCAATTGTCTTGAATAAGACCTAGGAAATTATTTAGAGAATTTCTCTGAAAATTCATGGTAAAGTAACAAATAAGCAAAATGGCAACAGTGGACCAAGAAACCCGCTTGAACACATTGAGAACAAGTATACTCTATCCACTCAACATCTTATTTCAGATCCTTGATCCACTAGCACCTTATGTTAATCTCTACATCTTTTAATGCTTTTGAATTCAATTTGCCTGGACCCAAATGACCATCAAGATGTAAGAATCACATCAAGAAACGCTTTCTGCCTCTAGAGTGAGAGCTTACGATCTACAAAGAAGCCTTCACGAATGCTACAATAAGTCAATAACTTAACTAACAACAGATATCTTTCTGCGAGACCTTGAATGTATATGGCGACTAAGAGTAGCCAGTTCAGCTAACCAAACATTGGGACAAAACAAAGATGAACAAAAATAGAAAATTGTATGAGGGCACACTTACTTGTGAAGGAGCATTTGGGTGATGCTTCATTGCATCACGTCTGACATTTAAAGCTCTATCATAATACGATCTTGCAGCTTGTAGATCTTCGTCATAATATTTAAGATCTCCTATTTTATTGAGTGAGACAGAAAGTGTATGTGTAATCTGCAAGTTAAGTTAAAATTGTTAGCAAAATGGTAAAAAGTTTGCAAAATCAAAATATAACAAGAACCAATGAGCTATAACCTCCAAATCATTCAACGGCAGTTTCATAAGGAATTCAACACTCTCTTCAAAATGCTTGACTGCAGAGCTTGAGTCTCCCATCGCTCGGCTGCAACAACAACAAACTTAATCATCAAACTTAAGGGCACCAAACAGAAAGATTTCAACACACCAAATAGAAGATCAAACATTTTGGCCAAAAAAACACAGTTCAGGAGGAGAAAATGATTATGTATAAAGGAGGTTTTCCGAACCAAGCATGCACTGTTGCTTCTCCTTTCCATTTACTCTGAACGAGGTGATTGAACCACAGAGAAAGATGTATGCAAATGATATGAGGATACAGAAAATCTGAATATATGAATATATTTCCAGCAATTGATGTGGACAGGGTCCATCTAGAAAACCAGACTCTAGTTCAAACGAGAAAGAACTTGTTTTAGTATTTCCCCAAATGTCATGCGCACTCTAAGCAAGATGAAAGCAACAACCAGTTGACTTGAGAAACTATCAATTGAGGAAACTGCCAAGGAAGGGCCACATACTTGAGAAACTCCAAAATTAAAAAATCAATATGAACAACAAAGTGGCTATAACCAGTCTAATCAATGGAATAGTTAGGTGGCAGCGGATCATAAAAGACCATATTGGTGACCACATTCGAAAGCACTGTTGTTTCCTTAATCTTATTTGTTCACAGAAACTCGAGAATGGATAGATCTTAGAAATAAACAACTTGGGATAAGAAGAAGACAATATCATACCTACAGTCACCAAGCATGCCAAGGACTGCACCAAGCTGTGAACACAACTCTGGGGTATTGCCCTCCCTCCCTAGTTGATCCCGAATATCCTCGGTACACATTGCCAACCTTGATTTAGCACTTTCATAATTTTGGGCACTAAATGCCTGCGCATACAGGTTGAATAAGAACAAGAAGTAACAGCAGGAAATCATAACAAATGTAAGTGGTGAAAAGAGAATAACCCCATCGGTTAGGTCAACAAAATGTAGAGACAGAACTCACCCTCATAGCTTGTTGCACCAAGAAAGAACCTCTTTCCATGGAAACATCAGCGTAAATCACTTTTTTGTTATCATTTTCAACCTCTTCTTTTTCTGTTCCATTGACGACAGATCTCTTGATTCTAGCATGGCCTTCAATAAATTGATCAACCATCTTTTGAAGGTTTTCATCAGCTTCAATACTTTCAATGTCAGCACCGCATAGAGGGCAGTCCTTAAACCGTGTTAAGCACACTCTGCATTCAAGAAACCAACAAGTTTAAGAAAAGTAGACCCAATCATGAGCCAAAAACTAAATAAGGGATATAATTTACACTAAGCGGCTGAGCAACAAGGGCTTACTTGCAGAACACATGTGTGCAAGGCACACATCTACTGCTCTCATATAGAAGTGCTTGACATAGCATACAGCTAAAAGGCCCAAGCTTGAATGTTTGAGAGTCATAACCAAAGGGGCACTTGGCAGGCACCGTTGCAGAATCAGTAGAGTCCTTGTTCAATTTCCCTTCGTGTTCGGGACATCCTTTACTCCCATCTTCGCCTTGCTTTCGTGCAGAAGCATCATCAGGACGAGCAGCTTTAGAAAAAGGGCAACCAGAAGCCGCCGTATCGCCTTGTTTTCGAGCAGAAGCATCGTCAGGACGAGCAGCTTTAGAAAAAGGGCAACCAGAAGCCGCCGTATCGCCTTGTTTTCGAGTGGAAGCATCGTCAGGACGAGCAGCTTTCGAGAAAGGGCAAACAGAAGTCGTCATTCGTGAAGGTAACAACAACCCCTGCACCTCAAAAGAAAAATTCAAACCCAAAATCACTAAAATTGCTTCCCAAATATGATGAAATTCGAAATTGATTATCTAGCTAAACACAGCTTCTCGCTAAACCAAATACATAAAAAAAAAAAACAGCTGGAAATCGAGCATAGAAGAAGCTAATCGAATGACAACAACATTCTTCTCGAGAAAGTGAAAATTCAGAGAGAATATGAGCAGAGCGTTACGGAAGTAGCTCAACAAAGAGAGAGATAGATAAACGACCTGTATTGAAATGGATTGAGATTGAGATTTGGAGATGTCTCTTTCGCGGCTTCTCTGCAATCAATCAATGATCTATTGATAGCTTCTTCTTTTTTTCCGATAAGTTTTTTTTTTCTTTCTTTTGGTTTCTCTCAGTCAAAAGAAAGAAAGATAGAGATATTATTGAAGGATCTGTATGGATTGAATTTGGGCCTTCGGTTTTTTTTGCAGCCTATTTAAGAATTTGGGTCACTAGCCAATTTAAGAAAACGGTTGTTCTGGATTATGATTGATTAAATCAACCCAGTTATAGCACCTGTGTGTGTTATGACATCTAATCCACACCACAACTCCCAAATAACCGATGAAATAAACAATCTCATTCTCATCATCTACGACTTTGGTCTCTTTGTATGTATTTACAGTATGCGAATGTCGTCTTTGTATTGATTTAAATGTCTTCCAATTTCTGTAAAAAATCACCTCTTCAACTAACTTAATCCATAAAAATTGTTTTTTTCTCAACACATAAATCGACTTTAAAGTTTTAAGCAATCAAAACTGCCATGAACTCTAGATTAAAATTGCGATTAACTCTAGATTAATATCAGATAAATATTTAGGAATAATTCTTGACTACTTGAAATATAGAAAAATCTTTGACATCAAGGTTCAAAAGGATGTATCAAACGTGGATAGAAGAGCAAAAAAAACACATTATACTATTTGATTGCTAAGATCGTATAACTTTAGGTGTTTTAGAAATTCAATTTCTTCTTATCATAAGAGAGTATGAAGCATTTACACATAAACAACAAGCCAGAGGTTCAAAGCTACCTCTCAATCCGTTCAATTCCAATCAAATCATAAACTTTAAACTTGTCCTCTGGATTACGAAAGGTTGACTGCTTTGCGGGTAACACAGCGAACCCATCAGGATCAGTACATGTCTCAAGACCACACTCATGGCATAGAGATTCAACATCCAACTCCTGAAATATACAAAGTTGACTTATGATATTTCAAGTTTACGAACAATATGAAAATAGAAAAGACAGGGGATCTTTAGTCATAGGTGTATTATTACCTTCATCATCAGGTTCTGAGATAAACGCAAGAGAGGATAAGGTTGAAGCTTGTAGCAAACATTGTTTATGTATTGGACAGCGACTGATCGCATCTTTTACCATGAAAACATTAAGCAAATGATCAACATAATTGAACAGAACAATTTACTGCAAATATCATTCCATGTATAGGCACTTTATACCCACCCATATATGAATTCCATGTCACTATCTAATTTCCTTACCATACCGGTAATATTTTCTAGTCCAAACTTCTTCTACATCATCTTTCTCATGCTTATTGTCATTTCATATTACATTAGCCGCTACCAATTAAAGTGCCACAAAGACTATCCCTGAGAGCTAGAAGGACATAACTACATATTTATATCCATGCAAGCGCACCTCTCTAATATGAGGTTCACTTATGCAATACTGCAAGTATGTCGCCTCAGAAGCGGTTCTACTTAAGAAGTTCTTGTAATTGCCCATCCGATATAATCTGGAAGAAAACATCAAGAGAAAAGACAGGTATCATCATACTTCAATTCATATTGCCTAAATTATGTTTATATTAAATAACTCACACGCAAATGATTGAACAGCATAACACTACCTTAAAAGGTTTCGTACAAAACATATTTCCTTGGATTTTACTAAAGCAAAAGTCAACTTGCGAAACCATAAAGAAAGTGGTTCCCCCTGCAGATCAAAATCTCAAATATATTAATGGCAAAAAGAAGGTGGCATGGTAACGAATCAATTAAGGGTAAAGAAAACAGAGAAACAACCATCACTCCACTACTGGGATTGAGATGAAGCAGCACATAGAGTGAGCGGAACTCGGCTTCATTTTCGTAGATATAGTCCGGTTTCCTATTTGCATCATATATATTATACAAAGAGGTAAGAGTTTTTGCTAGCTGCTCCATGTTCAAGTGATGCATTGAGCTAATACTTGTACCACTACAACTCTGAAGCCTCTTGTGAGATATGACATGAAATTTAACCTGTTAGAGAAGCCATTCTGGAGTCAATGATAATAACATCAATGGAACTCTTCAGAGAATAAAAAAACTGATGTTTATCAATCAGAAGAGAATGATCAGTCAGAGTGGTATATTTCTATGAAAATTACAAAAAGATGAAAAATGATCCTATTGGAGCGTCCTGAACAAGGTTATGACTACGAAAACTACAATCAACACATGAAGTCAAAGTATCTTAAATTTACAAATATTCTTTTGATAATAGCAGGAAGTAAACACGCAAACAACTTTCAGCAAAACCCAGGGAAAGCAATTCTAACGACAAAGGATAGACATGTCCAGTGTAACCCATTTACCGAACCAGGGAGAAAAGTAGCAGTAAGAAACAGGTCATACCATACCATTTCCTCGTAGAGGTAGATCACTCTCTCATTGGCTAAATTCTGGATGCTAAGATCTTGTCTAATAGACCTTGTCCTATCGAAAATAAAATCATGAACCGCTTCAAACGGGTGCTCCTTGGAGTCTAGCAAACTTAGAAGGTATTTCAGGGTTTCTTCTAAAACTGGGAGCGGTCTTACATCTGATGCCTGAACATCCGCTGCTGAAAGAGTTCTACAAAACTAGCAAGAACACAGAAAGAGAGTATAACTGCCTTTGGTATCTGACAAAAATGAGTAACACAAACTATTCATCTTGACCATTCAGAAAGAAATTCTGTAGAATCAAGCTATTGGATTCTAATTTGCATAAATGACGAACTTCAACATCAAATTCCTTTCAATCACAAGTTCTCTCAGCTCAGTGTCAAATATTGAAAGCTAACGCCTCATGCTGAAGGTGAAAGTTTCCCAAATTAGTACCTTTTTGACAGCTAGATCTGTGGATGATTTTGAGGGGTTTCCATAAAGCCTCTCAAACACTGCAAGATCACGCAGGCGTTCCCTTGTGACTCTTTCCCTCTCTATTGATACCAAAAACAACTCATTAGATGAAGCTGTACACTCTCTATTTGCTGCTTCAAGTGTAACTTTTACCTAAACTCCTAGCAAAAGACAATTTCGTTATGAATCAACACTCATCGCCCATGAATACAACTCTGAATCGACCTAAGAACTAGATCAAATTCAATTCAGGTGCAGGACAGGGTTGAATTTTGGCGGAATCTCAGGTCAATTAGAAATTTATCTGCAGCTTACGTAGTTCGATGATTACCTGGGCACATAGAGGAACAAGTTCCTACGATGAAGGAAACGTCAGCAGAATCTCCTTCCTTATTGTTTGATTCGTCTTCATCATTGTTTCGTTTGAGTGGTGCATCGGATCTTCTCCGAAAGGAATCACTAGCTCCGCCGCCGGATCCAGTCCTTGGGTTATCAGAGGTCTGGCGATTCCCATAAGTATTCGAAACCCTAGAAGTAGAAGAAGAATAGCCACGATTACGACGATTCATGGCTTAGAGGCAACGAGATCTTCTTCCCTCCCAAGTCCCAACGAGACTCTGAAGAAACGCAACCAATTGAAGCTGTTACCGAACTACTATTTGGAATAAACCGGAAGATAACCAAATCCGGTACATTACTTTCAACGAATTAAATCCGGTGGCAACCGGGTCAATTTAGTTTTAACCGGTTCTGACTTGTACACAAATTTGCATTTCTACAAATGTACAGCAATTTAAATTCAACTCAAGTGTAAGAATGCAGAACATATCACATTTCCACAACAATGTAATTTACATATATATAGTTTTGGAGAATTCGATTTTAAGTTTTGTTTTGTTTTTCTTTCCGGTTTTGCAGATTTTTCTTTTAAAACTGAAACCAAATCAAACCTTTCGTATATGGTTTGGTGCAGTTACATTCGGTTAAGTTTTGTTTTATACAAACAAAATTTTAATTAGATTATTTATATATTTGACGGAATTCAATTTTGATTTTGTCAGTTGAGCATTTCATTTTGGTGGTATTCGATTTTTTCCCAACCCTTAGGCCGGTTGGTGGGTCTAGTAGTCACGGCCATTCTCTAGACAGCAAAGAACAATGTGTCCACCTCTACAAATTTTGGTGTCTTTTCCTCAACCATCCATAACAAGAATCTAACTGCTAACATTCATAACACATAGACTAGAACCACTAATAAAGTAATAATAGTGCAATTTTCCATCATAAAAAAACTCCATATTAGAAATGCAAAGAGAAAAAGTTGATTCATCTCCACTAACACTAGACAGTTGTCTCGCATTCTTTCTTAGCTGCTAACACTCTTATTTTCTCTTTCACTCGAATTTCTAACACGACCAAACTGATCCAACCGAACTATGTACCAAGCATTCTCTGTAATTTCTGCCTGAAGAGTCAAAACACTTGAACCACACAAAATTGAGACAGTATTGGCAACTCTACGACTAAAGATTGATGATATTCATATGACAAACCCATACATTTGTTGGTGGAACTGTGTAAATCGCCATCTATCCCAGGAAACAATTATTGGTCTCTCTCTGAGAAGATTTGACAAAACACTTGGTATGTACACACAACATTTTGAGTCTCCCATAAAAAAAAAACAGAACTCAATTTCTTCCGATCCTTAATGAAGAATCAACACCTTTGTTCTGTCCAGACGAAGCTGCAACTGCAAAGAGTCTAGCAATCTCTAGCTGAGTATTCGCCATTATTTCCGTTCGTTTCAAATCCATTTCTCCTCTCTTAGCTTCAGCTTCAGCTCTCATTCTCTCTATCTCTTTCATCGTCTCCATTCTTGCTCTCTCAGATCTCATCACCACCTCCGCTAACCACCGTATACTCCCGGCGATCTCTTCCTTCTCTTCTTTATATCTTCTCTTCACTTTCTTCCCTCTCACCTTCGTTTTAACCACCGGCGTACTACTGTCTGTATCCATCTCCGTCGCTTTTTCCGGTTTCTGCTCCGGCTTGAATCCATCTTCCTGCACACAAAACTTCCATTAGAAAATCTCCCAGATTTGGTTAATTCTCTGTATAAATTTCGCTGATCAGACCTTAGGAATCTTGCCGACGCCGTTGGATCCGTAAGAAATCTGCGGTGGATGAGCCACCGCAGGCGACGGCGGCTCGAGTAAAAGCAGAGGAACAGAGCAATTCAGAGGCAGAACAGCCTGAGGCTGAGGTTGAGGTTGAGTTCCACGAAGGAGATGATGAAGACGAGGGTAAAGAGGCCAAGAGGAGCCATCAGCAGTAGCGGACTCAGAACGGTACCGTTTCTTCATGGACTCGATCTTGTTCTTGCACTGTGTTTGAGTCTTCGGAGACTTGGTTTGAGTGGCGCGCGAGGACACGTGTCTAGCCACGTCTTCCCAGTCTTGACCCTTGAGCTTGGCTCTGTTCCTGAGAACCCATTTTGACTCGTAGGCTTCAAGTAAACTTGAAACAGCTCCTTCGCTCCATTCATCACGCTTTAACCTATCCACAACGACGGAGGAAGCAGAGGGCTTCTTAGATGATTCGTCGTGGTTGAGAGATTTGAGATTTTCTTGGTTAGATTCTCCGTTCTCCATATATTTTTTCTTCAGGTGAGTAAAAACAGAAGACAACCCAAGTGTGTGATAAAATGAGAAAGAAAGAGAAGTTCTTTAGCAAGTCGTTTGATAGAGATGGGAACTTTTTGAGAGAGTGAATGGAGTTTAACATATGAGAACTGTGTAAGATTTCGCTGGTGGTCTCAAAACTAACCAATGAGTTTAGGTACACGCGTTTCTTGCATGTTCAATGGTCGTGACTGGTGACTTAAAGCTAAAGAAAATTATGTTTTCTCACTTGTATTATTACTGTGATTTTATTCTCTTTTTCCAATTTATGGTTTGTGTAAGAAGATTACAAATACAAACAGAGAAACGCATAATTGCACCGGCTTTTACTTACCCTTCACAAAAGTTAGTGGAGCAACCCGTCACACATAATATAGAGGAGAATATAGAGAAAAATGTGAAAGAGTGGGTTACCATTGAAAAATAGGTTTTATTTTCTTTTATTTGTCAACTTGAAAAAAGGTTTTACTTTTGATTTTATGTTTTGAAAAGGGTTCACAATAATGAATTCAAAATCCTCTGATGCAAATGCTTTTATTCATTTAGCTATAAAACCTTTTTATATGCTTTTTTCTCTTTTTAGGTGTATGGTGGAGTTAGTCTGGCTGTTAGCGTTGATGTCAAGCCAAACCGCAAAATCCATTAGGCAAAGATGGTAATGGACCTAATGGAAGTGGGGTTACACTTGTCGCTCTCTCACCCATTCTATTTTTCTCTCTTTTTCTTCTCATGTTTGCTCAAAGATCCTATATTTGGGGTTGTTCCTTTTTACTTATTGAAAGTGTATATCTTGCAAAACATTCAGAAAATTTTCGGGTTTGTGTTCTAAGTAAAACTTCATTAGTCACTATAGCACATGTTTTCGTTATTTGCTGAACTAACACCTCTAGCAATTTATCAAGACATCCAAAAACTACTAACACCTCTTGGTTAATTATCAAGACCTCCAAATTTATTTACTTATAAATGAATACCCAATTTTAGGTGACGTCTTTAATTTTCACACTTTTTTTTTTACGTACCAAAGGAATGAGGGAGTTTATTGTAAGAGTGAATTTGTTTCCTCGTTAGTGGAGTATGATGGACCTTGCAACTTCAAAATAGCACATTGGACATTTTGGGTCTACAAGAATATCATCGAATATTTTTAAAGAGCCACTTAGAACTTTACAGTCTCATTTGGGTGATGAAATGCCTTGTAAGGCATAATCATTTGTTGTTGACATTTTGGTATTTAGCGCATATGATTATATACTAGAAAGAATGGTAGGTTTTAGAGCCAGAGCTGCTCGATTTAGTGATATAAAAGTTCAATTTCCTAAAATATGAGCTTAGTTCATGCAAACTGGAATAGTAATGCATAAGCGGATATACTAACTCTCAACATTGTTGTAGAAATTTTGTGGGAAAGTGGCACTATGGGACACTTTATGACAAAGTATATACAATTAGGGTTTGGTTCGATTATTGCAATGAGCGTAATTAAGTGGAAAATGAAAAACACCAATGGTCGAATAATAGTAGTTTTTTAATCCACCATCAAATTCACCACTTTAAAGCCGCTCTAGAAGTTCGAAAGAACAAAAACAAAAGTTCTCTGCTAATTCATTGTAACTCAAGAAAAATAACCACACGATCTACATGCCGATACTAGGTAGGTTACGTCGTACAAAACATGTACTGTCTGGATGCACCAAAACCTTTAAAGAAAGTCTTGATGGACCTTATCCGGCAAGACAGTACTCATGATGTAACGGTCGAATGCAAAGAAAAAGTCCATTGGTTATATATGGCGAACTTTCTTTTGATAAGAGTTCCACAAAGTAAGTATGCAAATTCTTTGGTTTCGACACAACAACAAATCATCACAATGGATTACGGTAGAGATGGTATTTCCATGATCAAGGCAGCGAGGCTTGGCCTTAGGATTGACTGCGTCGGGGTCAGACATGGAATCGATGACGCACACCATGTGATCAAGTCGGAGAAAACGTTGTCGAGACAAATCGAGGTGTTTTCAGATGTAATTCATATCAAACGTTATGTTATAAAAAGCTCTACATGCTAATCTGAAACGCGTCTGAGATTCTATTGGAACCCTTCAAATAATCTCTTCCAGTACCAAATCAAAAGGGAGATGCTTCATATGCTCCTCCGATCCATGTCCAAATATAGAGAATAAATTTCAACCAAACCCTAGAAGATCGTGTAGTTCTTTTTCTTGAGTTACAATGAATTAGCAAGGAGTTTTGTTTCGAACTTCTAGAGCGGCTTTAAAAGGGGTGAATTTGATGGTGGATTAAAGAATTAAAACTATTCGACCTTTGGTATTTTTCATTTTCGACTTAGTTACGCTTATCGCAATTATCGCAATAATCGAACCAAACTCTAATTTTCATTTATCAATGCCAACGTTTGATAATAATCTAACCTGAACCACATAAAATCTTGTTTTATACCGAATTAACTAAACCGCTCCAATAAATATTTAAGATTTTGTGTGAACACTGAAACTAAAATCCATTAAAAACTATATTTCCAGTTTTTTCTTAAACCTAGAACCGGACCAAACCTTAACCTAACCAAAAGTTTTCAAACAAAACCGATGCTAAAGAAAATTGGGGATTTAAGTGTTTTGGTTTATTTCTCTTTAAACGCGGTTGTGGTTAAACGCGTTAGTAAACGGTTTAGAAAATTCCTAAACACTTTACTATATCTATTTTTATTTTTTTTCGTTTATATGAAATAATAAGAAAGTCCTCTGTTCCAGCCTTATCTCATCCGCAAATTCATGACAATCCTTTAAGAAAACAGAGAACAGTGAAAGAAAATCTTAGGAAATATTTTACAATCATATGAGCTTCAACAAAAATCAATAACTTATATAGTTTCCAAAATTCAAAAGTTCAAAAGGCATTACGAAATCGACCGAAAACAAAACACAATCCGATAAAACTTAGGTGCAAGTTTCACGGGAAATGCCGAGCCTGGAATTTGGAACGTCAATGAGAACACGGTGGTTCTGCTGTTGCATACTAGCGATGACGTTAAGGACAGAGTTAACGTTGGTCGGAGCTGCAGCCATGGCGAGGCAGCTGAGGTTACCTGCGGAGCTGTGGATGAGAAGGTTGTCCGGAGGCAGAGTCACGTTCATTCCGGCGAACATAAACGTCACCGACGGGAACACGACGGAGCCGGAGTAGCATGTGTCGAAACCTCCTAGTGAAGTTGCGTTTGCGTTCTTAACACGTCGCCTGAACTCGTTTCTCACCGCCACGTATGCTGGTTCGACTAGCCTCGTGTAGACCGTCCCTGCGTACATTCAAAGTGTTTATGTTATTTTAAATCAAATTTCTTTTTAAAATGTAATTTTTATATGAAGCTTTTGGATTAGTCATTTTTTTTTGTTTAATTCGTTTTCAATTAATCGATTTTCGTTAAAGGTTCTCTCTTAAGTAAAATCAAAATGATATAATTTGGTTTGTTTCATAATATTTTAGTCCAGAAATATCTCACATTACGTGTGAGAGAGCAAGAGCAAGTAGGTTACTTCCCTCTCACGACTTATCATTCCAAATAAAATAAAATTCAGACCTCAAGCCAAAAAAATAAAAATTATTAAGGAGGATTGAGAAGTCCATACCGGAGTCAAAGATGGTGCCGGCTCCGGTGGCCGGATCAAAGGCGAGTGCACTTGTAGGAATATCCACAATTTTATTCCCGACACGAATTCCAACCAAGTTAACATAGTAAAGCGATGATCTTCTAGGGTTCTTTAACAATGGAGTGGTCTTGATCCGGATCGGTTGGTTCTTAGGTCCCAGTCTTAACGAACCGGAGAAATTGCTGGACTTACTATTAGGCAAGCAATACGAGAATGTAGACTGATATAGATTTTGTGACTGTGAGATTAATGACAATGGACCACGACCTAAGCCCATGAGTCCTTGCGCTGGCAACGACGTTCCACTAGCTTTGTTGATGCACCCAAAGGTGTAGTTTGGGATGACATCAGTGGCCAATGTTAGTGTGTCTTGTGTCAGATATGCTTCGATTGCTGAACCACCATAGGTCATGTTGAAACCACATGTTTTGCTTGCGGTGCAACTTGGATTTGGAGCCTGCAATTAAAAAACTTTATCGATTAATATTTCGATTTTTTCTTACTTTTACAACGTATTTCCATAAAGAATTATTTATACATCTTGGATCTGGTTATTAAAATGCGCTACTAACGATGTGTTACGTTATTTAATTGTAACTGTAAGTGGCCTTTTTGTATTATAGGCAAAACCTAACTAGCATGACGACAAAGTATATAGATCAAAGTTCAAATTCAACAGTAAAATATGCCCTACTAGTTGGAATTGTATAAATACTATACCCGTGACTTAGACTCATGGTACAAAAACCCGTGACTAGACTTGTCGATTATGGTGTAATAACACGCCAAAACTAAGTTCACATTCATCTTTTGTGTAGACGCATCCAAAAAATTATCAAACCGCCGCGTGAGTCCAGCATTACGCCTGACATTCGGTTCGTTTTTTCTGTTTTGGTTGTTAAAAATAATCAAGTCTAAATAATAACCATTTTTTCTTTTTCGATTTGAAACATTTATGTTCTGATTAGATCTTGTTTTGAACAAAGTAAAATTAATTATTTAGACGTTAAGTATGATATGATTAAAAAAATTACGTTTAGTTTTCATTTTTCAAGTCCATCCAGAGTAGGCATGCACATATCTAATTTATTCGGAGAGTATAACTATAAAGCAATAAGTAATTACCTGTTTACACTGAGGAGCTTCGCACTGAAGAGTGCGAGAGGAGCTTGACTTGGAAGGGTCAAAGAGAACAGAGGAAGAACAGCCAACGCAGCCAGAACAAGGAATCCAAGCAGCGTCATTGCTAGTGTCAAGAGCCACGAGCATGGCCTGAGCCGGTGTCCCGATGTTAGCCCTCACGATATAAGTCGGGCTCTGAACGATGCCGCGACCCGAGGCGATTGGGACTGATGATTTCCTAACGCCGGCGAGGCTTGACAAGTATAGGAAACGAGCCTTGTCTTGAAGAAGTGTGTCTTCCCATGAGACAGAGGTTTTGAATGGAGAACATTGACTGTTAATGTGGAACACTCTTAGATCTGAGGAATGGCTCTTTTCATTGCAGTTTATGGATTCAGATTTCAAGATTAAGAGAGAGATTAACAAAATCAAGAGATGGGATCTCATTGTTTAAAATCTTGATTTGGTCTTTGTGGTTTTTAGTGTTTGTAGAGTGAATGTGTGAGTGTGTGTTTATATAGTGAGTGATGATGATGAGTGTGTAGAAAGTAATAAGAATATAAAAATGAAGAGTGGGGTTTTGTTTATCTTAGAGAGAACAGACTGTATTCCATCTCCTATTTTTTCGTTGTTTCTATCTGTTTTTTGGGTCCACACTAATATTGGCTTTCTCTTCTCTATCGACATGCGCGTTGCTCTCCATCCACAAAAACTCATTACTCAAGGGGTTGTAATTTGTAATTCTGTTTGTGTTTTAGGCAATGTGTTATAGCTGATTTAAGAAAAATAGTGACCCATTCGGAAAAAATTCCATTAAGCGTGTTTAGGTTGTAGCAATTTGATGAAGTATATATGACATACTAAATTACAAGTGTTTTTTCAGTATCGTGGAAATAAAGATCAAACATGAAAAAATATATTGTGGTGATATGTAAAGAGAGTCGACAAGCGTTTTGAAGTTTTCGCATGGAGCCAACGACGGTAGAGTTTGGAGAAAAATGGACAACGTTTAGAAGCATCCAAAAGCTATTATTTCAAAAATAGATAACATCACAGATTTCTAATCCCTTACTGGCTTATTTGGACTCATCTATCGAATGGTAATCAAACCAAACCGGACGTCTAGCTGATTAATCGGTCTATTGATAACCGATGCTCATTCTAACAAAATCGTTACAATTTTGATAAACATCCAATTTAGACAACGATTCTTAGAGGGTATTAAAATACAGAGGAACGTGTGGAGTGATATTGTTTTGAGATCCGAGAAAATGAGTTTGATTTTTTTTTGTTCTCAAAGAAAAAGATCAAAGGTTTCACGTGAGGAGTGGCTAGTGGAAGTCTGGAAGACCGACATAAATGCATTATGTATTGTTGCATATTATGGAATGTATCAAACTACTCAATACTCATTACCATGTGGTGGGTTATATCTCATATTGGCCTCTTCTCCACTATATAGTGCTGTCCATCAATTATTTATTGCATTTTAAAAATTTTAAGTGTGTAAAGTATCTCCAGGCCCGGCCCGCCCATAAAGCAGATGAAGCATGTGCTTTAGGCCACACTTTATATTCTAAAAATATGGGCCACATTACAAAAATATTTTGTTAGCTAGGTTGGTTACGTATTCTCTGGATGTGTCTAGTAGCGTTGGTTCGAACCTTCCAATGGTCAATATTATTATTTTCCATTTTCTTTTGCAACTTTTTAGCCTGTGAATAAATCAGCCATAAAAGAAATGTTACAAACCTAACATACATACCCCCAAAATCTGATATTACTAATAACAAATTAATAAAGATTATTATTTTATTTATAATATTTCGTAACTTTATGTATTTGATTTTAATGCACCTTGACCATTGTTTTAATTTACAAACAAACATCCAATTTAAGTAAATCATTATTTGACCATTGTTTTTTTTTTTACTTTCTACTAATTACCTAATATTATATACTAGAAAAGGCCACATATGAAAATATGCTTTAGGCCTCCAAAATCTTAGGACCGGCACTGAGTATCTCCATTATTGTTTGTTTCTTAAGAGTTGAATGTGATATGTCAATATCCTCGATACTAAAATAATGATATAATTTGGTAGAGTTTTCATGTGGTGAGGTCGTGAACTAAAGAAGAACTTGACCTTTGCATGTAGTTGTAGGTAGCTTTGCTAGTTATTGGTCTTCGTTTAGTCACTCGTTTTGTAAGAAAATAAAAAGTGGTTGCAGAGAAAATGAAAGTTACACAATTTAACAAATTTATAGCCAAAAATGAATGTCTCGTCCGAAACTTACTCCTAAATTTAACCCCAAAAAATCACCTTTGTTCTTAAGCTTACAAACTCACTCTCTTTAATTTGCTCATCATCACTTATGTGAAATGTTTTTATTAATAGAAACAAATTGTTACTGTGTTTATTAATATCAGTGGATATCATAACTCAAGAGTCTAGATAATGATGTAATTTCTTAAAAATCTTTTTAAGTGCATTTCGCATAAGTTTTTTCAAAAGTGTTTTTTTTTTTAATTCGAAGAGAATTCTATCTGGTATATAATAAGCCATTTTAATAAACAAATATTTGATTTCTTAAATCGTTAATTTAATTCTTATTTTTACCTCAGTTAACTCCCACTTAGTTTGCGTGTACGTCACTTCTAAAAGTATGTTAGAACCATCAGTCTATCAGACCTAGACCTTACAGTACACTGGAAAGAGTCCCAAACATAGTAGGAGGAGTCTGAAATTACATTCTTTTTTCTTTTCTTTATATATTCCCAATCATAACTTGGAGTTGTATTAAATGTACCTAAATCACGTGAGAATAAAACGGAGGTTTTTCATACCTTTACAAAAGAAAATGAAAATAAAACAATTCAACTTTTAAGGAAGATCAGATCGAAGTAGTTGAGAGCCTTCTGCAACTTATTCTTGATCGTTTGTATCATTGCATGTTTTATTGGTTTGGTCGTTTTTCTATTCATCAACGAATCCAACCGTCCGGCGCCAAAAGTAGAATTAGCTTCTATATGGATTTCACGGTGCTTAATATCACACAGACTCGTCTTAGTGCAAAGTGGGATTTGTCCATAAGGATCCCTGAAGATCTTCCTGGTAACTATATATGTCTTCAAGGAGACTTCCAAGCTTCATTTCTTTACAAGAATGTTACTCTTGCTACATCATCTCCACAAAAGTAAGCTATATATTTATACTTTCTTTATAATACTTTTTACTATAACTTAAACCGGTTTTTGTATTTTATATTCATGTTTTCGGAACTAATTAAATCCTCTGTATAACCAGTTACAACAATCTCAAATACCGCTTGCCTCAGCTTCTTAAAGTTTCTGCGGTTGTCTCCGACGAAGATATTGGTTCGATTGGAACATGCATTATGGAAGATGTCAAAGAGAGGAAGCAAGTAACGTTTGGATCACAGTTTTCTCTTACCGATTGCAGAAAAAAGACGTCAGGAGTTATGAGTTATGCATGCCATGAAGTGACCTTGAGGTTCGAACCCGGATCCAAGATGAAGGCGTCTGTGTTTGGGAAGCATCCAAGGTGCAAGAATTTCTGACCAAGTCCACGTCATCACCAGTTTAATGTTAAGTTTACAAAGATTTGACATCTTACCTAGGGGCTTTATTGAATCAAAGATTTAGTTTTATTTGTAATGACTTAAGATTTGGGTAGACTTTAGGGTCTAAAGTTTATCGTCTTGACTTTTTAATATTTCTTAGGACCTATTAAAAATGTAATGCATGATATAGAAAAAACAAATTATCGTCATATAATCAAAGTGAACTTATAAAAATGACTTGCCTTACTTTTCTTTTGAAATTCTAATGTAAGTAGTATGTTTTGAAATTCTAATGTAAGTAGTATGTTTGTGTTTGCATAATTACATCAACAAACGGAAAAAAAAAATGTTTGTCTTTAAAGCCATGCAAAAACTAAAAAAAAAACAAGTGTAATCAGATCAGATAAGTCATAAGTCAGAAAATTCCTTTAATAAATGTGAACTGAAAGTACTTTTGTAAAGTCATCAAATAAAAAGGTCAACTGTACAATTAAAAGTCCGCAAACATCTCGATCGTCCAAGGGACGACTTTTCCAAATTGTTAGGCGCTCTTGTAACTTTATGAAGAAGATGTAATAGTAGTGGCTCGATCGCGTCCACACATTTACATTGCGACTTTTCTTGCATGCCGTCTCACACACTATATAGAGGCATAACACAATTATCTTCGTTGTAAACTAGTTCTTGTTTTCTCCATTTTCTCTCAACAAAATCAAAATGTTGACTCACACAATTTCTAAATCCATCTCTTTGGTAACCATTCTATTAGCTCTACAAGCTTTCTATAACACAACAAATGCTCAAAACTGTGGTTGTTCGTCAGAGCTATGTTGTAGTCAGTTTGGATTTTGCGGTACCACTTCAGACTATTGTGGTGTAGGTTGCCAACAAGGGCCTTGTTTTGCTCCTCCTCCTGCTAATGGTGTGTCTGTGGCTGAGATTGTTACGCAAGATTTTTTCAATGGAATCATTAGTCAAGCCGCGTCTAGTTGCGCGGGAAATAGTTTTTACAGTCGAGGAGCTTTTCTTGAGGCCTTAGACTCATATTCTCGTTTCGGTAGGGTTGGATCAACCGATGACTCTAGACGTGAGATCGCAGCGTTCTTTGCCCATGTCACGCATGAAACTGGACGTAAGTATATCTGAATATTTATTAATAAAACAATAGTATAACTTGTTTTTGTTTTATAATAATCATTAGATTAAATGACATGTTTTACTAGATTAGTGATATCTTTTCATCAAATAATACTTTAAATCGTCCGATGCATATAACAATCACTTTTCAAAATCGTAGAAAGTACTTGACTAGAGATATTTTGATGCTGCAACATTCGATATAATTGTTTACCAAAAAAAAGAAAAAAAAAAACATTCGATATAATTATTTCGACTTTTGTTTTAGATTTCTGCTACATAGAAGAGATAGACGGAGCCTCAAAGGATTACTGCGACGAGAATGCAACGCAATATCCATGCAATCCTAACAAAGGCTATTACGGCCGCGGACCGATTCAACTCTCTTGGAATTTCAACTACGGGCCAGCTGGAACCGCAATTGGTTTCGACGGCCTAAACGCACCGGAAACAGTAGGCACAGATCCAGTCATATCCTTCAAGACCGCCTTGTGGTACTGGACCAATAGGGTTCAGCCTGTTCTCTCTCAAGGTTTTGGTGCAACAATCCGAGCCATTAACGGTGCTTTGGAGTGTGACGGGGCCAACACAGCCACCGTTCAAGCTAGAGTTCGTTACTACACGGATTATTGTCGTCAACTTGGCGTTGATCCTGGAAACAACCTCACTTGCTAACAAAAACATCTACTGTATTAAATGATCTATTTCTCTGTATACATAAAAGTAAAAATAGACAAGCTTTAAGAATGGAATGGCCCATTAATGTTTTGTCCCTTAATATCGAATATACAATCCACATAGCTAAAAAAGACAAAAACTTTGAGATGAAAACAGAGAAACTCTATACAGAATCCTATGAAGTAGTTTTCATCATTTTTGAGAAAGACATGGAAAAGCTTTGTTGTGATCAACACCATAATAATGAAGAAAGCCTTTGAAGACATGGCCACTAATGGTTACAGTTGCTTGATAACCAATCTCTGCTTGCTCGTTGTTGCTTATTGCTGTTACTCTTGTCCGTTTAAAAACCGCCGGAGCTTCAATTTTCCCCGGTAACCCCTCTTTGAAGCTTCTCTCTGCAATTTTCCACACAAAGATCTCAAATTCAGATTAAAAAAGGTTTCTTTTTTGTTCAATTCTAGTTCCAATTTTCATTACCTTGACGAGAAGTGGTTGTCGGAAGTAGCGAGACATTAGCGGAACTCTGTTTATCGATTTTGAGCTTCTTCTTCCTCTCAGAAGGAGAAGATGAAGAACGAGTTGCAGAAGAAGGAATCCACGTGCTCTTCACGTGAGTGACACAGTTGTATCCTCTGCTTTTACAACAAGTTCTACATCTTTCGAACAAACACTCTTTCTTTGCTCTGTTTCCACAGTCTCTGCATACTTTTTCTCCAACTGTGTTGTTGTCTTCCACCGCCGCGATGTTTACCGGAGAAGGAGACGGCCGTGTTGTTATCTGCGGTGATGGGGGTAAGAGAATGATGTTTCGAAGACCTAACATGTAGTCTGGAGTACTGATTCCAACGGCGGAGGAAGAGTGATCAGGTGGGATTGAGACGGCGGCGAAAGGTGTTGAAGATGATGATGGTTGTGGTGGTGGTGGCCATGAGAGGGAAGAAGGTGGATTTGCCACTGTGGCAGTAATATAAAAGCGCGTGGAGGCTAATCTAGTAGGTGGAGCTTAGCTATGGAGGAGTCTAGTGAGAGTAGTGAGAAACAGAGAGAGAGAGCAATAAGATGAGTGAAAAAGAAAGTTTTTTTTTTATTTTTGGGGTTTTGACAGAGTTTTGTGGTCACATGTCTAATGGTTAAAAATGGTCTGCAGAAAATGAAATAATTATCTTTATGAAGTGGGTGGTCCACTTCCTTGGGAAAGCACCCGTCTAAAACGGCTTTTATATCCCACTTTGTGGGTCTCTCTATGTGCTTAAGCTTTGATGGGATAGATTTCTTAAGAGGTCTGGATAGTTTGTACTTTGTACTTTGTGTTACACCAGGGATAAAAAGTATCACAAAGAGATTATGGAATCGAATGTTTTAGTTTATTTAGGTTTTTCACTTGAGGAATCTAACTTAGAAGCATTGCAACACTTTCAAGTCTAGTTGTTTATAGCATTCAACTTATATGCAACAAGAGATTTCTAGCAGGGAAGTTGATCCTTGTAGATGTCCAAGACCGATGTGGATGCAGTAATTGGGCGCAATCTGAGAGAGAATGAATATGGTTTGGGTGGAATCAGATACTTATCGTGAACACATGGAGTCCAGCTATCATCTCCCCCAAGACCCATGTGTTTGTGGTCCAGATGCACCTGCACAATAATCACCATTCAAATGAGCTAACCAAATGCCAATTGAATGCTCAGGTGCTTGATCAGTCGCTTCCATTCTTGAATTCATATATAAGCTGGTCAAGAGGATCAAGAGATTGAGGAAAAGACAAAGATTACTACCTCGATGTTTTGTCCTTTGATAAGATCCTCTTCATGCGTTGCACGATGAAGCTCACCGGTTGTATAGTAACTAGCATTCATCTGCATTGGAGAAGAGCTACCATATGTTGAAGCATATATTCCTACACCATCCTTGTTTCGGAATGTCACCCACCTAACATCTGTTCTACCTCCATTTTCTCCTGGAACAATATAAGGGACATGCATGTCTCCAACATTGTGTTCATATATCGCCACATGGGCTGCTGCTTTTCGGTCTGGGTAACACTCAAATGGACCTTTGCCATACCATTCTACACGGTCCAGTGTTTTTTCAATGTGAAATTCTATACCTACACGTGGTAGCGGTGGAAGATCAGAGTTTGGTTCTACAGACCAATTGGTGATGATATCTCCGGAACCATAGATCAGATATGTAACATTGACTTTGAATAAGGCATCTGACTTTGAAGAGCCAGAAGCTGAAGAACCAAGGTAAATGAACTCTATCTCTACGGCTTTATCAGTGATGCTCTTCACTGAACAGCTTTCAACAAGGAACTCCACATTATCCAACTGTGCTGCTTTCCACCTCGAAAAATAACTAGAGTCACCTCCACCTTTATCATTGTCTGTAGGTGCACGCCAAAAGCATGGCAGTATAGCTTCCTTCATAAGGAGAACTCCTTGAATCTGTCATTTTTGATATAAGTATAAGAACATACACATCCTCGCTAAAGCTGAAAAAGTGTATGCATAACTTCTTCAAGATTGAATCTATTGTTTTAATTTTACGTTTTGTACTTTTCTCTGCCTAGCTAGTTAGATTCCTTTTTCTAATGGTAGTTCTTTCTTTTCAACAACTATGTACTCAGTATAACCCGAATGCGTTTAAATAAATCAGGAAAGTGGTTACAACCGGTTATATCAAACTTTCGATTCCAACAGTATCGTTTACTTGAGGAACCTATATGCCTACAGTATGTAAGACTTCTTCCATATAATTTTACGCATTAAGAAATTGTTTAAGAGCTTCCAATCAAGAAATAAAACAGAAAAGAACATACCTTCCAACTTTCAATAGCTCCTTTTCGGACATTTATCATTAGCTCCCATGAATCTTGCTGGCTGATCTTAATGAAATCTCCAACAGTTTCACAAGTGATAATAGTGTCTGTCTTTTTTATCGCCTAGAGTAGGAGGTTACTTAAAGATGTCAGGACTTCATGAATTAGAGATCTTTCCAGAAGAAATATGACTTGTAGAGGATGTGGGTTATACCTGCGGTATAATTTGTCTCTTTGCTGGTAAAGGAATCTGCGTTGAAGACAAAAGATGACCAGCTTCAAGCGAACGAGTAGGATTTAAAAGCTTGGTAGTTATTGTCAGAAACAATTCTCCAGCATTTGAGTCATTCCAATAAGAAAACCATGGACCTGACTTCCATTCCATCTCAAAAGTATTTTGTGGCTTTATCACAGGAATAGAGAGAGTCCCAGATCCAAGTTCAAGACCATCCCCATGAATTGTCCAGCTAAACTCCAATTCTTCTGTTGTGTGGAAAAAGTAAGTGTTTGCAACCTGCAAAGATTAAGTTTGAGCTACATAGATGGTATTAAAACCAAAGCCAACTGAAGTGATGTATATTAAATTGTACCTTTATCAAGCCATCCGTCAATGAAACCTTGATTGGTTGATAACAATGCTTAACCTCTTAAGCAACACAAAGACATGATTGCAAACAGAAGAAAATCAGTGCCATTTGAACATCATGGTCAAGTATTCAGAAAAAGGGAAACATATGTGATACGTTTTAGATTTCTATTCCTTAACTTCAATTTCTTGACTTAGTAAAATATTTAGGATTTCCATTTCTCTACTAATTTTCTTTACCTAGAATGCTTTTCTATTACGTTTTGGTACATAAGTAAGGATGAGATTTCGTCTGTGATATACTCATCTAGGGTAGAGAGAGCGTTGGAGAAAAGCTTTTAAGCTTTCTTATCGGCTTTGCCAAGAGAAACGTTTCTAACAGATTTTGATGATATAGTTCTGATTTGTTTCTATTTCAATATAGAAGAGTTTTCGGTTTTCTTTCGTGATTCTTAAACTCTACCAATTGGTCCGACCTAACAACGGACACTTGCCAAAAGATATGACTACTACTCGAACAGAGAGAAGTTTGGACGCGTTAGAGAAGAATCACAAGATTCTGTGTGAAAAGTTGGATAGTATTCAAGCTGGTTTGAAGGATGTTTTAGATGCAATTTTGAGTTTGACAACAATGGTTGCTGCAATTCAAGGGGACACGGTATCTGAAGTATCTCAAGAAACATCTGCAGATTCTACCGTGGTCCATATAAACAACAACCACTGTGCCATAAAGGGCGACAAATATGTTAACGAGGGTCAAGCAACAGAGATTCCCAACTTAGATACAAAGGAAGAAGCTGTCTTATTGAATCTCCAACCTCAAGTTCATGTGGAACGTTGGCCCAAAGTTGTTTGTGGAAAACAACAGTTAACTGATGTTCCGCCTTATTTGGATTTTGATGAGGATGATTTCATTGTTTTGGAAGGGCTTGCTTTGGAATGAACTCTGAGTCCAGCCTTGAGGACAAGGCTGTTTTTTCAAGCATCCAGCAATGATACGTCTTAGGTTATTTAATTATAATTTATGTTTCGCTATTTACGAAGTTATTCATTTCTTTTACTAGAGTGCTTTGCTTTTAAGGTTTACTATATATATAAGAATGAGATCTCGGTTGTGAGACTCATCCAAGCTAGAAAGAGCTTGGGTTTCACAGAGGAAAAAGCTTTTAAGCTTAGTTATTGGCTTTCCCGATGGACATGTTTGTAACTATTTAGGTTCTACAGTTCATTTGCTTCTAACGATGGAAAAGCTTTAAACTTTTTTATTCTTAGCTATATCAAAATGTTACCATGGAGTGCTGGATGAGGAGTTCGGTCAGGCCATATAAGCCCATTGAGACAGAAGTTCAAATCATTAGGCTGGTCACCAAAGTCCCCTCCATATGCCCAACGCTTAATGCCATCTGACCCCAGTTTCAATAGCCCCTAAATGTTAGAAGAAGACTAATATTTCAATACAGATTAGCCAAGAAAAGTGCATTTTTAATTTTTACATGGAATAAGAACTTTCAGATCATTGATAAGAGAAGGGATTAACAGGTTTAACTTAATTGTTATGGGCATACTATTGTATGAAGAATCAGCTTATACTAAAATTCAAGATATGAACCTGGTCAACCCAGTCCCATATGAAACCTCCTTGCAGGCCAAAGGTATTGTCAATTGCCTCCCAGTACTCATCTATATTCCCGTTGCTGTTACCCATCGCATGTTGATACCTGCGTTTTGTCAAAAAGAAATCTCTCAAGTAGACACAAAAGAAACATGAAATCTAAACAATGATGCAATAAATTGTCACTATATGATGCCAAATGCAATTCAGGAAAAGTGAAAGAAGTCTGAAGAAATTGATCTAACATACTCGCATAATATCAACGGCCGTGATTCATTTTGATCAAGTGCAATCTTGATGATGTCCCAAACCCGCATGTACATAGGGCAGACTATATCAGTAGAACTTGTTCTGGAACCACCACCTTCATAGTGCACCAACCGTGAGGGGTCTTTTTCCCTAATCCAACCTGTTCCACAAGTTCAACAACAGTAGCTGTAAGATAAAATGGATATGCAAGTTAATTCTCTATCAGGATTGTAAGTAACATAGATCAAAGCTTATTCAAAATTCTTCACATAAGCTCTTACTTCAGCATTAGCCAGATATAACCTATAGATTATCTTACAAATATACTATCACGTAACACTGCCATTAAAATTGAAAAGCAACTTGAGGAAACGAAAATATAGTGACTATAAATAATACTTGTCTCCTCCAAACCAAAGTAAAGCACTCAGAAAGAAAGAGAGAGAGAAAAAGAGAATAAATATAGGATTCTGAGAGATTATTATTAGAAAGCACGATAAGATATAATTAGTGTTCATTCCATTAGTACAATTTTCAACTGGACTGCATACCTGCCATAGCAGAATGATTAGGCCCATAGCCAGCCTCATTTCCCAGTGACCAAGAAATTATGCATGTATGGTTTTTGTCTCTTTCAACCATCCCAACTACTCGATCCAGCATAGCGGCTGCCCAGCTTGGCTCTTTCGCAGGGTGCTTCAGATGCCCAGAGAGATCAAAACCGTGTGTCTCTATATTGGCTTCATCGATCATGTACATGCCGAACAAATCACATAATTCATACCAGCGGGGATGTTGAGGATAATGACTGTTTCGCACCGCATTGATATTATATTCTTTCATCATGATTAAATCCTGGGATCAGTACAAGGGGTAAATCAAAATCCCAATAGAGTACACAAGTTAAATAGTGGTATCCTAAGTAAACCATGGAAGGAAGAAAGCAAAGCTGGACAAGAGAAAATAAAAACCATGTTACCTTGACCATGCAGGCCTCTATATTCGTCTTCCCAACACGTGGATGGTGCTCATGCCTGTTTACACCTTTTATCACCACTGGGTGCCCATTAACAAGAAGCTGTTTGAAGGCCTTTGATACTTGCCGAATGCCAACAATGCTTGATTCAGAATCAAGGACTTTCCCAGATGTATCTTTTAGAGTTAAAACGAGGATGTAAACATTTGGCTGTGCACAAACAAAAACAAAATAAGAAAAATATGAGCTAGTAACATAAAAATTATAACGAACTTACATCAGAACACAATACTTCACAGACACATATCATTTCAAATTTCACATTACATCTTTGGTAATATTTCAGTGTTCCATGCTACTAAGATAAAAGTACTTGATTAAGATCTGGCACGACAATCCTACATAGTTTTGGGCAAAGATCCCAGCATTGGAAATAGATAACAATTAGAACAATACCCAGCTCAAATTCAATGAACTAGACGCATCTGAATACATGATCAAATTATCACATTAGCAGGATTTCAATCCATATTTTCCTTAATAGGTACAGCAGATAGACAATACTAACCTTATACATTTTTTAAGGTTTCTCATTTGAATGTTCCAGACTAATACATCACTTTTTTTAATAGCAAACTACTGCAGGTCTGGGAAGCAAAGCCAAAATTGGCTATAGACAATGAGCTGCTTACTTGTTCAGCTGACCAGAGATTTGGCAAATCCAGTTTTCCCTCAAGCAAATAACCATGAAATCCAAGAGTTGGGCTTGGAGAAGGATTAAGCTTCAAATTAGCCACCTTGGGAGAAAGTTCACAATTAAATCCTTCAGAGTTGTACCAATTTTTAGTATCAAATACGGCAGCCTCTATGATGAAGTTAGAAAGAACAAGATGCTTTGAGGACTCCTGCATATTGTCTATCTTCACTTCAACCTGCAAGATTATAAACAATGAAACTTAAACATAAAAAGTGCACACACTACTTAAATAATACCGAAAGAAGAGCAGGTAAATACACAGCAAGGTAAGAGTTAAGTGAAAAAAACCAGAAAATTATTTCGAGGCACAAGAATAAGTGGATTGTATCAACTGAAACAACTTCGATATAATATACTACCTGGATGTCTGCGTAGGAAAAGTCATCTGCCAATTTTGACTTGAAAAAGTAGTCAGCAATGAATACCTGCATACAGAAGTTAATCAATTCAATGGCCGTATATAGTGGAGAAGAAAAATAAATTGACATACACTCTGGTTAACGAAACTAGAGGGAAAACCTTGGGCTTTGCTAACAAAAGCACATCTCGATGAATACCAGACAACCACCAATGATCTTGGTCTTCAAGGTATGAACCATCACTCCATCTAAAGACTTGGACAGCAAGAACATTTTGTTTCCCCGAGTCCCATGGATAGCAATAATCAGATATTTCAAATTCAGCCGGTAACCTGCTATCTTGACTGGTTTAAGAGAAAAGGGAAAATTAGTTTGGTAAAGTATTAGTATTACTTATGAACTTTACTGCCAAACACAAAATAGGTGCTAGAACATAAACGAAGTTGAAATGAGACTAGTCTTTGTATCTCATGATTTGACTAGAACCCTGGCTATAGCTAAAGATAGTATTCTAAGTTAGATGTTTTGTGATTAGGTAACCAAAGCAAAGTATTTACAGAGCACAAAAAACTAGTTTTTCAGTAAATGCAGTATTATTTCTTATGTTTCCAAGTAAATTTGGCTACGTTTTAAGAAATAGAAATGGATTGGAAGTTGAAATATTCAATTTTCAGCATATCTTCTCTATCAATTCTTATATATAGCACATTTCCTTGACTAGGCAGTTTAGACTCAAGCTGGGCTCAGAAGACAGACTTTGCATCTATATACTAGTACACAACACTAATAGAGACAGAAGTGTATATGTCACACCTGTACCCAACAGGGTTGCCATTTATCCAAGCAAAGAATGCGGAGTCTACAGCTTCAAAGTGAAGAAGTATTCTTCTGTCTGCCAAAAAGACACAACTTCTATAAGAAAAGCAAGGAAAAATGAAAAGGAAAATTATACGTAAGAATCGAATCATCCAGGGAAAGTTGTTCACAATTTCACTTATACCTAACATCTGAAAAGCACAATATTAATGGTCATTTAGTCATTTACATTGCATGCTGAACTTAGCATCTTTGCTGCAAGTTCGAAAACAAACTCTTCAAAATTAAACTATAACACTAACTTTTAAACTATAACACTAGCAGTAAGAAAGTTGGACAAGGCTCAAAATACAAGAGGCATGCTTATCGAAACAAACTATGGCCCATTGCAGTTAATATTGAGAAGAAAACAGTACTGTTAACCATTTAACAGTAATGTTGCTGTTGTTCAATAAAAAGTGTTTCTGCACATTAGACCTTAAACCTGGTCATGTGAAAATGTCAAAGAATAAAACTTGGTAAAATAATCCTATCAAAGATTAAAAGATATAAAGTTGGCTACTTGCATCCAAATTATATGAAAATACATTGTTTTAATCCAAATCTCAGGCCGTTACCTGGATAATGAAATTAACACATGTAAAACGAGAGTATGAAAAGATATGGAACATAAAATTTGATTTTCAATGCTTAGATATGTTTACATACCCTTCCATTCTTTGGGAATCTGGAAGTAGGTTCTGTAGCAACCAGTAGGATTATCCTCAGGAACATGAGGAGGGTCATTCGGGAAAGGGTACACCACATTCGTATAGATAGGCCGATCAAATCCATGACACTGCCAATTGGAAGGAACTGTAGAACGAAGGAAGTAATTCAATATTTGCAAGACACCAGAAGATTATCAGCAGAACCAAGTCTCACGTTCTGTTATACAAGTGAGACTTGCAAGTTGAAACACAAGTTACACAACAGTAACCAGTATATAATTGGCGGAAGCAACTCTCAGATTACAGAATTATAACACCCTTAACCATCTGAAAATCTATCACACCATCATTTTTAATCTAAACATTACAAGAAAACATGACAAGCTACTAGTATAATTGATTGATCTCAAGAATCAAGAAAATCTAAACAAACTGAGATATGAAAACTGTAGAGAAAAGATCAGAAACTGACCGGGTAAAGCGTTCCAGTCTGAATCAGGGAATGCAGGATCATAAAATTTGTCAGGAACATTTGCAGGTTTAGGAGCCAAGAAAAACTTCCAGTAACCAGATAAAGACTTAACAAAGGGCAAGCCATCGACCCAAAAAGCAGCGCTATCAAGAGCAGCTTGAACAGCATCATCATTCCAAACAGCAGATTTTGATACGGTGAGATCCACGTTATTGCGCTGATACCAGTACCTCAAAGCCCCTATACACAATCATATAAAATTTCACTCTCCACTGAGTTACTACTACTTAATAACAAGTTAAAACCACACTCAAAACTGAGAAGAATTGCAGCTATACAGAACCAAAAGACCCAAACTTTAGCTATCATGAGCAAAGATAATATAGATAGAGAAGAAATTCAATTGAAAAGGATTATTCTTTACAAGCAATTTGGCAAAAGAAACGTCAAATCTCTCGATTAAGTAATTGAGTGAGTATTAAGAAGAAAGCATGAGTTTTTAGGGTACCTTGGACGGATTCATGGCAACGCAAGGTGACATGAGGATCTCTCTTACGCCACTTGAAAAGGGTCTGATCCTCCCAAACTCTATACCCATTTTCAGAAGGAAGAATCATTTGGGTCGCTAACGAAACCATGCTTGCTTACCTACTTACTCGCGTGAGTTTTCGGAACAGAGGAGAATGAATGATCCGTCGTGTAAGGTCGTGAAGGAAGCATCAAAGTTGATCCATTTCTGTAATTTGTCGATGGAATATAGGCAATAGAAAAAATAAAACATATGCAAGAGAAACACAAACACTGAGAATATCCAATCCTCCTACTTCACAAAATGACAAATGCCACGTGGCGTCGTGTTCGCATTATTACGTCTATGATCAAAACTCAATTAATGCTTAAAATCATGAAATGGGTAGTCACCATTTTTAAAAAAATTATTTGTAAAAAGGGTCCATTTTCACAAAAAAAAAAAAAAAAAACTAAAAAGCCCACATAACAATATATTTGGTAGAATCCAAAGCCTTTTCGAAATGAGATTCAAAATATCATAATGTTTGTTCATCATCAATATCAACTCCTCTCTAAAGCAAGAAAGATCAATAGATGAAGAAGAAATGAAAGATACCTTTTCTGCAAGGTCTACATCGATACGATTACAACCACAGTAGCTAGTCAACGAAACCTTCAGGCTTTGCACCAGAAGTAACAATATCATTCACACTCATAGCGACCTGGAACCAAAAGTAAAGCAAACCATGAGTGAGTTGTTTGGGTTTAGAAAAAGAGAAACATATAAGTCCCATATTTGTTACCAAGTCGATTCCAACAGTTTCATAAATTCCGGTCTCAAATGCCAATTTAAGTTTAGTCCCTACACCATCCATACCCATTACAAGATAAACCTCACCTGCTCAAACGAAACAAAACAAAACAAAACATTAGAACGAACAAGAACTCTCAACTACGAAATTCATAGAACTTGCATGATTCATAGATAAAAGTTGACCTAGACAAATGTTAGTCACACTGTGAATATCCTACTTCTTCACAAAACGACAAAAGCGTCGTGTTCGCATGACTTTTACGTCTATGATCAAAACTAAATAAAATTAATCAAAATATCAGATGGCTCATTGCTAACATTTATTGAGTTGAGCAGAGATATGACTTCTTTTTCTTGGTCAAATTTATTCTTTAACAACTGATCTAAAACGCAATTTGTTTAGGGTGGTAATAATGACAAGTAAAACTATTTATATATATCTTGTAGTTTTCCAAGTCTTAATGTAGTTGGATGAAAATAAAGAATTTAATTGTGTCCATCTATCTCTTAATTAATCGTAGAAGAATCATATATAGGATTAAAAACTCATTATCACACGAGCACCAATCTAGGAATTCGAATTATAGGAAATCGAAAATTATAAATTAATTTATTAGTCGAAACATTATTACACCTAGCCAGTAGCCACCACCATTATGCATTTTACAAAAATAAAAATCCTATAAAGGTAAACCTTTTCTTCAAAGAGACCCCTCACTTTAATTACATTTAAGAAATGTATAAATATTAAACAAACACATGCAATAGAAAAACTTCCCTAGAGATCAGAATCAAATTTCAAATATAAAAAGGGCATCTCTGTGATCACAACAATCTCCCTACCTGTTGAAAAACGTCTAGATACACTCACAATAATCTCAAGGTGCTTCGACGACTAGCAAAATTTGCTCAGCCATGGCAGATTCAACCTCCATCATCAAGAAACGAACCAAAGGAGGCTGGAACGCTGCCGTTTTCATCATCGGTAAACATTTCCTAAACACTCTCACGGATTTGGATATATATATTTTCCCAAATTTCATATTGTCTAGTCTTTAGAGAAGTTGATACTACATGTGTACCGTGTACGTACGTGTGATTAATTCATTAATCTTTGCAGTTGTGGAGATGGCAGAGAGATTTGCGTTCTACGGTCTTGCAAGCAACCTAATAACGTTTCTAACAAACGAGCTTGGCCAGTCCACGGCCACCGCAGCCAAACACATCAACACATGGATCGGTGTTTCTTGCATGTTCCCCATTCTCGGGGCGTTTCTAGCTGACTCAATCCTAGGCCGCTTCAAAACCGTTCTCTTGACTTCTTTCATTTATCTCTTGGTCTACATATCGTTACCAAACCTAAACCTTGACTCATTTTTCAAGATCTCAAACTAAAACTAGGATTAATATATATATGAACGTTGTTCATCAATGAATTTCAGGGAATGGTCATGTTGCCATTGTCGGTTACGGTGGTGGCGCCGCGGATGAGAGAAAAAGTGTTATTTATGGCATTGTATGTGATGGCGGTTGGAGAAGGAGGGCATAAACCATGCGTCATGACCTTCGCAGCTGATCAGTTTGGAGAGGCCAATGCTGAAGAGAAAGCAACAAAGACTTCTTTCTTCAATTATTGGTATATGGCCATCGTCCTCGCTTCTTCTATAGCTGTTCTTGCCCTCATATTCATTCAGGTTTTTTACTTTTCAATTTTCTCTTAACATTAACTCTCTCTCTTTTTGTTGTAGGAGAATTAGCTTTCGTTAGAGATATATTCATATGCTGGTTTCAATAACTAATCACGTTAGCGAGCTAAGAAAACTAAATATGTATATGTAAGATAGTTACCTAAACAATGTAGTAGATATCTTGATAACTGTATTTTGAATTATGAAAAGCGAAACAAATCCTACACAACATGAAATTTGGTCTAAATATATACGTCAACTTTTTCATATATTTAAAAATTGGTTGGCATAATAACTAGCGAACATGGTTGGCAGGAATACAAGATTATTTGATGATATTATTTTCCAGCTTCATTGAAGTTTTATTTTTCATTTTTTTATCTTTTTATGAAAAATAATTGCTTTTTTTTTTTAATTATATCTCAAATCAAAACATTACTATTTTTTTCCACAGGAACGAGTGAGTTGGTCACTAGGATTCAGCATAATAGCAGGAACTGTGGTGATAGCTATAGTGATATTTCTGATAGGAATTCCAAAATATCGAAAACAAGTTCCGGTGGGAAGTCCCCTCACGAGGGTTGCTCAGGTCATCGTCGCGGCTCTGAAAAAATGGCGACTGAGCTCCACGCGCCACCACTACGGCCTCTGCTACGAGGAGGAGGATGAGCACAAGTCGGAGTCAACAAATTCTAATCAAATATATCTTCTTGCCAGAACCAATCAATTCAGGTACTTGCTTTCTATTAGTATACATTTATTTATATCACCACTTTCTATTTATATACATTTATATCACCTTAATTTCAACAACAATTTTTATACATAAAAATTGATATATCCAAATTCCAAAGTGGTCCAACATGCTGGTTTTATGGGCACATCATATGCATCTTAATGTTAATATATTGGCATAAAGTATGACTTAAATTACGTCGTCCAATTGGAACTGAGTCGTTGGAGGGACACCTGTTTTTCTATCGATTAAATATATATGTGTGTGTTAATATAAAACTTTTGAGAGGATTGCATTGTACATTTCCAGCTGATGAAATCTTCTTATTGACTTTGCCGATTTTTTTTATATCCATATTTGTAAGATTTTAAGAATACTGTATATAACCATTTTCTCTAATACTATTCTAATGAAAAACTATATTACATATTATGATTCCATTACTGTATGAATTCGAATATATAACCACGTTCATAAGTTAGCTGGATAATGCCACTAAATTGGAGCATTGAATAAGATCTGTTTCAGAACCGAAGAAAAAGGAATTCAAGTAAGAGTAATTAATTAATCGAACAAATTCAACAGAGTACGAGATCGAAAACGAAATAAAAAAAATACTTTTGGTATAATGGCATCACTTTTAACTTTGCAAGTCTTAATTTATTTTGAAAGGTGAAAGTGAGAAACCATTGCATCTAATAGACATTGATTAGAAAATGTTTTTAATTGATCTACTACTAATTTTAGGATGTATCAATTTTACATAATGCAGATTTCTTGATAAAGCTACAATTATTGATGAGATTGATCATAACAAAAATAGAAACCCATGGAGGTTATGTACCGTGAACCAAGTGGAAGAAGTAAAGCTAATATTGAGGCTCATGCCAATTTGGATAAGCTTGATAATGTTCTGTGCCACACTTACTCAGCTCAACACATTCTTCTTAAAGCAAGGAAGCATGATGAACAGAACCATTGGAGATCACTTCACTATTCCTCCTGCTGCTTTCCAAAGCATTGTTGGTGTCACTATCCTCATCCTCATTCCTCTCTATGACCGAGTTTTTGTCCCTATGATCCGTAAGATCACCAATCACCATTCTGGAATCACATCTCTTCAGAGAATCGGCGTTGGCTTATTTGTTGCCACTTTGAACATGGTAAAGTGAATTGTGAATTATCCTAATAGAATTCTATATATCTAGATGTTGTCCCTAACACGTTTTGGTCCTTAATAGCCTAATCTTAATCAAAACAATCAAATGAATGGCCTAACAATATATGGAGTTGTGTGTTTATAACAGATGATATGTGGGCTTGTGGAGGCAAAGAGACTTAAAGTTGCAAGTGATCATGGATTAATTGACTCTCCGAAAGAAGTTGTTCCAATGAGTAGCTTGTGGTTACTTCCCCAATACATACTAGTTGGTATTGGAGATGTATTCACTATTGTTGGTATGCAAGAGCTTTTCTATGATCAAATGCCAGAAACTATGAGAAGTATTGGTGCAGCGATCTTTATTGGCGTCGTTGGAGTCGGGAGTTTTGTTAGTACCGGGATTATATCAACCGTTCAAACAATCAGCAAAAGCCATGGTGAAGAATGGCTCGTCAACAACCTTAACAGAGCACATCTTGATTACTACTATTGGATTATCGCATTGCTAAATGCTGTTAGCCTCTGCTTTTATCTGTTCATAGCTAATCATTTTGTCTACAAGAAACTGCAAGACAAAGATGATGATGTTGAAGGCGAAAGATAAGTTTGATCAAAGATGTTTTGAAAGGATCGGCCTTATATTTATCCTAGTTTATATCCAAACTTTAAAATGTGTAACAGTTAATTGTTGTGATTACAAAATAATCCTACTTTTCTTAAGCTAATTGGTGTCTTTTAAACCTGCAAGCTGCGAAGCTGCAAATTCCATTTTGCCATCGGATCGGACAAAGCTAAGATGAGACAGGTAATTGCTTTCTGCCAAATCATGTAGCGTTCGACGGCACCGTGTTGTCTCCTGCTTCGCTTCTATGTAGTCCCCACTCAATAACCTATCACTCTTTTCTGCATCCTGCTTAAAACAATACACATATGGGACATATGACATGTACACGATGCTCAGACTTTCACCAAATAATTACGGAGCAATGAGGAAAAAAAAAAGCAACCGTACCTCCAGGAATCTCATCATTTGTTCTTCAATCGTGCCACGCATGGTTAAGGTTTCTACAAAAATAGGGCGCTTTGCACCCATCCGATGAGCACGACTAATGACTTGCTCTTCCAAGCTGCTCATTTGTGAACATTGTAGGGGTCAGCAACACCATGGAAAGGAAAAATATTTGACCAGATATGGAATATTAATATAAAAGGCGTTGCCGTGAGGAACCACTCAATTTAGCTTTTAGTTTTATCCATACGAGATAAGTATATAAAACGGCCACCATATGATTCACTCCAGAAACTCCAAAAAATTTAAAACAAAATGAAGTGACAAATAGAAGAACATCAAGTTTTATATATTTGTCACTGATATCTCGTCTGTGTTTGCTGAATGTCAAATTGCTCAAAGTCGTACCTTTTATCCCAGATTGGTTCCATCAGGAAAACATGTGTTACAAAGCTCAAATCAAGACCAAGGGCCGCACTTCCATCCATCAAAAGTGCCATGCAATCAGCATCGTTCTGGAACATTGCCAGAGATTTCATCTGAAAAGTTGAAATCGAAAGTTGTTTGACTTATAAAGGACTGAAAGATGTGAGAAAGAAATACAAATCAATAGCCAAGTACCTTATTACATGAATGCATTGGACTGTACATTTTACCAAACTTGATGCCAGCAGTTGTCAACTGCAAAAGCAGAGTATAAAATTGATCAAAGCTTAAAACACAAAGGAAAAATAAAGAATGCGTTACAAATACAAGGTAATTCATACCTGTTGTTCAATCACGTGAATATGCTCAAGAAATTGAGAGAAAATCAATACTTTATCAACAAATATCATCTGAGATCCACAATCCTGTCCATGGAATTCTTTCCCCAAAAAGGATTCCGAGGTACCAGGGGAATTGTCTTCCAGGTTGTCATTGTCAGTCTTGTTGAAAGACAAAATGCTTTTTCTATTACCCTCATGTAACTTCCTCAGCCTGTCTACGAGATAACTGACTTTACTGCTGGACGTAGATTGCCAGTCAGGATTCCAGTCGTCCTGAATAATAAAGTAATGCGATTGAGTATACTATTCCAGGAACCAAGTCGTTAACTTATAAGATGGTTTATGCACATATCTACCTGTTTATATGAAGGCTGTAACTCAATAAGATCCTTTGGCACAGGCCACTTTGGATTTGGATTTTCTGGTCGAGCCAACGTTTCAGGACTTTGCATCTCATATAAATATCCACAACCAGGAATAGTACACCTTTCGCTATCAAGGGCAACACAATCAAGGCACAGCAGGTGTCTACATGGAGTGATAACAGGAAGTCGGCACCATTCCCCACATCTATTTATAAGATGAGAAGCAAAAGCCAAGTTAGATACTTGTGACAAATGCCCCAAACTAATGAAAACATTGGATTTAAGATATACCTTTTACAGTTACAGCCACCAATAAGGCTACCTTGAATAAAAGAATACTCCTCTGTCGAAAGATCCAGACCATTTTCATGTAAAGCATCCATTGTCTCTTTGATATCATGACCAGCGTCAGTCATTTTAATATGTCCAGCCACACAGCAAGATAGTCTGACATTACTGATGGTAATGCTTCGAAATTTCCACTGTTTAGAGTTAAGCAGACTTTCTACATGAGATGGATCATTCCAATCAGCTAATAAGATATTACGCCTAACTGTCTCCACTAGTTCATTGTAGCTTCTTGCATGACCTGGAAGGAAATTAAGGTATGTCACCTTCTTGATACACGGAGGAATCATCTTCAGATCTTTCTTTCTAGAGCTTATCATGCATCTCTGAAGCAGCTGAAGTAAACGCAAACGACCCTCCTCCATTTCTGCTTCAAATGGTCTAAGGATGCCAGCTTCCCAAAACTTTGGATTTTCTCCATATACTTCCTCGTGAAGAAACTTCAAAAGAGGTTGGATATGTGAAAGCTGGCTATTTGGTGTGTTAGGGGTTGGTGTTCCTGTCAATAGCCAACGATTACAAGCTGTCAGAGAAACAGCCATCTGAAATTTATTAGTCAAACTGACACTAGAACCAAGAGTGTGTCCTTCATCTAGCATGACCCTAAGCCAATGCACTTGGATCAATGGGCTTTTCTTCCGGGGATTCCATTCTGCACTTAAGCGACTAAAAGTTGTGATCACAACATCATAATCCCAAGCCAAGCTGTGTGGAGATAGCTCTATATGGTCAGTCCAAACGAGAATACGAAGCTGATCAGAGCAAACATGTTTTTGGATTTGTGTTGTCCAATGATTAACTAAATTCGTGGGGACGACGATTAGAGTTGCTTTTGACAAATACAGTCTAAATGTATCCAGCGGCTGACAGAGAGCAACTTTGAGGGCAGGTACATCAAATACTAAGTTCTCAAGAAACTTCGGGTAAAACCATTTGGTGACACCCTTTTCAACTCTACTCTTAAGACCAAATGCTCGAAATATTCTCTGGAACCCAAGGGCCTCTTTATTCAAACCCAACACTGGACCAGGTAAGCCAACTGTTTCCATCTGTGAGAGCTTCTCAATAGGGAGTTTAGCAAGCCAAATTAAGGCTTTCTTTACGGTTGAGTTTACTGAAGACTTGTGTTCCCGAAGGACACTGGTGAAGAAAGAGATATTATCATTTTCTTCACCAGAGGCTCCCTTAGTATAAAACCCTTGCAAGAATTTTATAGGTTGAGATCTATCCCATAATTCTTCAGGATCATTACAACTCTGATATGCAGGGTCAGCATTGTTGCTACAAAACCATGCAGAACCAGTAACAGATACACCTTCATCTATTATTCTCCGCCACTTTGAGCAAGAATCACACTGTATCCAAATATCGCTTTCCACATCCGAATCAGTAAGACCCTTTCTCTTGCAACCTGTTATCATACCACATTTCTTCCAATTACCGATTCTTTTAGCTTCCATCACTTTGGAGAGCTCAGATGCGCCATTATATGCATGCAAGAGATTTTTTCTGACATTACCCAAGCTCTTTCTACATTGAGCTTTTACATCCAGGGACGCAGGGATGTCAGTTTCAAATTCGTTTCCAAAGTTTGAGTTCTTAGACTCCAATGTTTGATCATCTGGATCCATCAGCCTAGCTTGCTTAAGTGGCAACGATTTCGACTCCAGCAGTGGACGAAAGGCTTCAAAAGAGAACTGGTTTCGACAGCTACTTGGACTTTGAAACCTCTTTACAGCAAACATGCCGTTAGAAGTGTACTGGTCACTCGTGTACTCATAATAGGCACATTTTTTGTCACTTTTATGTGTACACCAAACGATAGGAAGTCCCTCAGGCGGATCAGCCATTGTTCCCTGCGTCTTTAGGATAAGGGATAGTGCTGTTATCGTCTTTCCGAGACCTGGTTCATCGCAGAACATTCCCCCACGGAAATCCTTGACCTTGGGAGCTGCCTCAGTGATTATATCACCAGTCACAGCATTTACATAGAAACTAAACCCATCCTCAGTATTAAAACTCAAGTAAAGGGGATGAGAGGAAACATCAGCTTTCCTCTCACGGTCCAGCATCCAACTAACTGCTGCCTGCTGATGAGGAAAGAGTTTTAGATTCATACATGGCACAATTAGAGAGGTCAATGATCTGAAGAGACGGCAGACTGCTGAAATGCTAAAAAGATCCTTCGTGTCAAGTTTCATCAGTATGCTAATCAAAACGTCATCTGAGAGATCCCATACACCAGATGCACAAGAGTCAGTAGACGGTAATACTCTAGAAGAACAAGACACATCATGATTTCCTGGACTGGGCAAGCTCTTAAAGATTTCATGTAGTTTGAACAATCGTCTTTTTGGAGAATCTGGGGCATTACAGAGTAATTTGCAATCAAACACATGACAGTCAGATAGATCCCAGATGGCCTTTATTCTTCCATTGGCCTCTTCCCAAACACTTTCCCCGTCAAGGATTGAGACTCTCAGTCCCCAGTCACAGCTGCAAAGAACTGGAATAGATTAAAAATGCGAGAGAAGTATCTATTCACACCCATCCACAAAAGAAGTTTGCATTCATGATAACAACAGATGCATTCCCATTTGACATATCAAAGTAAAGATCACTAAAGTGATACAGAAGAAAAAGAAAAACTTACACTCCTATGGAGATACTTAATAAAATATTCAGATATATCCAATATATAATATGTACAAAAAAGGATTCGATTGTTTATTAATGCATGAAGGTTGCTCCAAAACTTTGTCCAAACATAAACAGGAGGAAATCAAACCAGAAGTTGATCCACTTAACTTCTATTACCAGGAACAAGAAAAAGCATTACTTATACAAACAGTGAACCTAATTGACATAGCTCAACAGTAGATTTCCAAAGTAAATATACGAGAAGCACACATGACATCAGAAATGACAGATAGAACCTGAATTCTACATACCATGAAATTGAACATATCTACTTAATCTCTCTAAACCAAGCCACCACAATTTAGAAAACTATGCTAGCTACAGAGAGATTACTGAGAGTCCAAAAGAATTACCTCAAGTGCTTGAACAATGAAGCAGCAGTAGCTTGGGATTTGGGAAATTGCCACCCGGACCACAATGCAATAGGCAGGTAAACATCAACTAACACCACAGCTCTTTCTTCTCCATTCTCACCTTTATCAATCTTCACCACTTGAGAAAATATCTTCAAACATTTGTTGGCAACCAAAGCGTGAAGCTGCTGCACTACACTTATGCTTCCATTCACCATGCCTATACTCTTTACCCTCTTCCTTCCCTGTACGGTCTTCTCCTTGCTCCCGGATAAAACTCGGCTTTTCGACTTCGGAGACTTTCGTGTACGACTACTCTCTCCCTCAACGCACTTACGGCGTTTCTGTGGAGTCTCCAATCCACCGTCTTCAATTGTTCCACAATTCTCAACATCAGACGAAATTAGGGATTTGAGATTAGAGATGGGATTGATGAGGGATAAGATCAAGCCATTGTCGGATTTGAAACCAGTGACGGAACCATCATTGAAGATGAAACAGGAAGAGCCCAATTGAAGAAGACCAGGCGAATCGACGGAAAGAACGGTACAGAGAAAACCACAGAGTTTGTGATCATCATCGGCCATCGCCAGAATCTCAATCGACCACGGAATGCAGAAAGTATAAGGCTTTATAGATTTTCTCTAAAAAAATCGCATCTTTCTGTTTCGACCTCTTGCGAAAGAAAAATAAAGAAAAAGAAATTAAAATCACAAAGCACTTTTACTAAATTAGGGTTTATGTTTTTTTTAAGAAAATAAATATTCGAAGAGGGGAAATAAATCATCCAGCTCAGCAAAACAATTTAGAATCATCGCGTGATTAGAGTTCTGATAGATTTTTTTTTTATTTTTTAAACACTTGACAAAATCATATGAGAGATCAACTACTCTCCACGCTTCACTTTATTATTATTGAGAAATGAGAATCAAGTGAACAATCAACGAGACATGAGTCTTTAAATCCATCCTCACACAAAAACTAGCACAATCTTATATCACTAGAACACAAAAACAGAAACCTCAGCCATCTCTCAGGATCGAATCTACTGAGAGCATTTCTCCAAGTATGCATTCCATCCTTGAACTCTATACTCATGAGCCGTCTCTGCTGGGTTTTCCGCCTTTATGATTCCCCGTCCCACGATTATAATATCACTTCCCCTCTCAGTAATCACCTGAACAAAGAAAAAGAGTACTCGGCATTATATTTCTGACTAAAATACTAACAATGGACGTAAGATGAATGCGAGGGTTGGGAGAGACTCACAGAGTGTGGAGTGTTATACTGTTGACCAAGTGCATCACCACCTTTCACCATTTGAACACCAGGTGTTGCATGAATCATAGACGGATACACATATCCGCATTTCCAAGATGCCGGATTCACCGAGATGAATCCCATCACAAAATCAGAATGAGCGTCTGCGATTTTCACGGCTGCTGCAGTGTAGTCTCCTGTAGCAAGGTTACCCGCAGAGCTCATTTCAGCAAGCAAAAGCAAACCTCTGCCACGAGGCATACCCTGCAATCATATAGGAATGTAACAAAACATTAGAAAAACAAAAGAATCTATAATCAAGTAATAAAGAGAAATGAAAAATACCTTCAATTTCAGGCCATCCACGATTCCTGGCCCCGATATTATATGAGCGTTTACAATATCAGCCCACTCCAATATTTTAAAGATGCCTCTGCGAACAAACCAGAAACATTGGCACACAAAAAATCGAAAAGACCTGAATGAAGGCTAAGTGACATAATGTAGAAAAATTACCCTTCATACTGCATAGTGACAGTGTTACCAATGTCTGCAAACTTGCGATCTTCAAATATGAGAAATTTGTGCTTGTCTGCGATCTAAAGTAACCATAAACAATGGATCAATGAGTATCGAAAAGACCAATTCATCTCAATAACAGACATGAGACTCATGTTTATTGCAGAGATTACAATCTTCACTTGCTCTATGTAACTAAACCTATCAAAGAAACAGATTTTCTTAGATGTGTGAGAGCAAATTAGTACAAAAGTAATTACCGCACGGAGCTTAGAGCCAAAGTCAGGGGTGAAATCAGGCAAAATATCAACATGAGTCTTCAAGAGACAAATCTCTGGTCCCACCTGCATGAACACAAAACATTTGGAAGATGTCACTAAAACATAATTTAACTGAAAACTCTTCAAATTTGGATACAAAGAACCGAAATATTAATGATCTAACCTTATCGGCGATGTCAAGCAATTCAGCAGCAGTTCCAACATCAGCAGCTAAACAAAGATTGGTTTCTTTCTTCAACATAATATCAAACAGCTTCTTCCCCGTGGGATTCTTGGAAAGCTCTGACCTTTCCTTGAACCCCAAAACTCTAGGCTTAGGCTTCGGTTTCTCCACACTTGGAACACTAACCCTACGATTCTCTTCCAAAAACTTAAGCAAATTGACTTCAACCTCCTCTTCAATTTTCCCCTTTTCCTTCAAAACCCTAACCATATCCGTTAACATAATCATCGAATGTAACTTAATCCCATTCTCGGCCAGATTCTCCCTACCACCTTGTTGCCTATCGATCAAAACCACCGCGTCACTAACCTTTAACCCCACAGCACGAAGAGGCGCAGCAGTCTCAAGAACAGAGGCACCACTGGTTACAAGATCTTCAATAATCAAACAAGTTTGATCCTTTTCGAAGATTCCTTCAATAGCTTTGGATGTTCCATAGTCTTTAATCTCCTTGCGACGCATAAGCATGGGGATACCATTGGAAACAGAGACGACGGTGGCGATAGGGAGGGCAGTGTAAGGGACACCACAGATGACGTCGAAGGTTGCGGAAGGTGGAAGAGAAGAGATGAGAGTTTGAGAGATCTGTGTTAAGAGGGAAGGATAAGAGACGATGAGACGGAGGTCGATGTAAACCGGAGAAAAGATTCCGGATTTGAGCTTGAAGTTGCCGAATTTCACGGCGCCGATTTCGTGGAGCTGGAGAATCAGTGCTTCCATGGCTGACATTTTTCTTCTGCTGCTTTTTGGTATCGGATTCGATGAGAGGGGGACTTGGAAACGACTGCACACTGGAGAGTGTGGGCTTTTATATACTTTAGGTTTTGTTTTTTTTTGGGTTTCAATGTTTTTTTTTTCCTATTTATAATAAACTGATAAATCATTAAGAACGTTGTGGGAAAAAAAAATCATTAAGCACATAAAAACGTAAATTTCTCATAGTTATCATCTTTACAAATTTATTTACCTTAATTTTGTCATATTTGGATAATCTTTTCATTCAATTTCTTAACAGTATCAGAATGAAAGATGCAAACTGAATCTTTTTAATTAAAATCCGAGATCGCAATTCCACTAACACATTCATTTTTCAATAATTTTATGTTTTATTTTGTAAATTAACAAAAAATCGTGTAGTATATTAACTATAATATAAAGTTATTATGTTTTTGTCATTTGATCAAAAATACTCTGTGAGAAAAATAGTACTAAGAAAAAATAAAAAACTACTTTACTGCATAAAAAAGATAGTACAGGCAACCAATTGAAACTGAATTCGCCCTAAAGAGGACATTATTCTGAACATAATAAGCATACAACAAAGGACCTGTCCGGTCTTAAGGGGAAACACAAAGTACAAATGAAGATGGATCATTTCCCATCCCACACAGATTACTTATGTTACAGATTGATGAAAAATATTTTTTAAAAAAAAAAATCAGCAAAGATCACTCATAATCTACATCAAACCAGAAATAGAGGTAAGCCTTGGAATACATGACTCGAACACGCTGTAGAACCAAGTCTCCACTTGTCGAAACAGCCTTTGCACCTCCCTCGATCCTTGTCTGCAAAACTGTTACACTGTTTGCTTTAATCTTTTCAGCAACAGTTTCTTTCACTTCCACATGGCTCAAGATATCTTCAATGTCTTCATCTCCAGCAGTGCTCACGATTGGGCATGAGAGATGATCCAAAGGGTTTGTCTCACATTGAAGCACACATCCATCAATCGTTACCCTTCCACTCCTATGAAGCAAACAGCACCCGAGCTCTGCTTTCACTGTTAAATTCGCAAGCTTGCAGGTCGATAGCAATTCCAGGGCACTGCACAATAAACCCAACAACAAAAAGCCGTATACCAAAGTATTTTCTTTGCAATAAAAAGCAACGACATAGAACAGGAAGTCACATCTATCTTTTTCTTTAAACCTCAACAGGAAATGCGTTAAGCCACAGCTTTTAAGAAGTTCCCAGAAAGATTTTTGAAAACAACTGCAGAGAGGAAATGACTTAAAAGGGAAATATGAGCTCCAAACCTGTCTGAACCACGAGCACAGACGAGAGTGGTTTCATCAGGAATCTCGCCCCCGCCGACCTGAACAAAGCAAAGATAGTATAAAACTGAAACTACTATTGAACATTGGGACTTATGTATCAACATCATACCACCCGTTTATGAGATAATAAGATCAGGAACTCCTTTTAACCTCAAGGCATAGAGTTTTCCACTTAAACTGAAACTAAGGACACTGATAAGCCAACCCCTAATCCACACTGAGGTATTCTAGAGGTGTGCATCGATACATTCATGATTAAATCACTATCATTCATATTGCTGCAACTCTATCTTTTCATCCTAGTTCATACACCAAGCTCTACTTTCAATATCTTTCATTACAGCTTACCGTCATTCCATGAGTTGCCCAGTATGAGAAGAGGAACATTGAGAGGCAGGTGGCAAGTGCATATTAGACTTTGAAGTCGAACTGAATTCTTTTTTCGAGTTCTCACCACAGTCAAAGAATTTTAGTCATCAAGTTCTAATTCTTTAACATTCGTTAAAACGTCCATGTTACAAACAGCTCGTGCTTAGTTTCCAGTTGTGACATTGGAGGTAATTGTTTGCAAGCTTAAGATGTCTATCATTTTTATTTTGGTACCTAAAATGTGGCATTGATCTCTTTGGATCTCTTCAATGCATATTGATCTCAGATGCCGAGACCTATGGCATGTAATGGATCGCCATCCTCTCATGAGAATAGATATGTTACCATATGTTACCATATGTTAACATGTTTTTTGGATACTAAACATTTACTACACAGATGTTGGTATTAATGGTTTAGATTAAGTCCGATAAATTATTTTTCACTTTTTGCGATTTTGAAGTCTAAATTCTTTTGGCAAGACTCAAGAAACGTGTGAAGTAGACCAATTTACATTGCCATTTCTAGAGAAAGTTATAAACGATTCTTCCAGAAATATCAAGCAATTACACTAGGCATATATTCTTTGAAAGACATACCAGGCAAAGAGGCTTTTTAATCTGAATATTAGAAACACGATGATTCCCACCGGCTCCTATTAAAATGGTATCGCCGGGTCTAGAGGTGACAATTTGGTCAGGTTTGTGGACCCTTGTAGGAATAACAAAGAAGTGTACAACGTAATTGATAATATCACAAACCTTGCTGCAGATACAGCTGACTCAATGTTGTGGAAAACTCCAGGCTGAGATAAATCCTTAACAAAACGGTCAACACGGAGCCACAAGCGAGGGTGACACGCCAGATATCTCCATCTGTGGCAAACGAGTGCTGTGTTATACCTATCTGCAAACTCAGAAGAGATACACAAAAGGCACTGAAATAGACTGTAATACGTAACAAATGCCCAAGTCAATCATACAAACAAAATATGAAATTTTCGAAGCTTCACACAACACAATACAGATCAAAACATAGCAATTCAATACAAAGACAAAAGCTTTCTTGCTAATCGTGTCACATTACTACAGAGCTGTATCACACCAAGTCAAGAGGAACATATCTTTCATTATCGAGATTAGGATTGAATTCAATTATGATTTGATTAGGATCTGCAAAGTCTAAAAGTAGTAAATTTGAGCCACAGAACCGTAATTGAGAGGTGAAACATATTTGGTCAAATTTCTAATTGAATTACCAACAACGAAACGATTGAAAGCAGAATTGAACGAGTATGAGAAAACCCAAGTAATAGATGCGAAAAAGAAACCAAATTTACCTGGAATTGGAGATAGGAAGCTGAGGATATGCATGAGGCAACCATCGTCGAGATTGTTAATAGACGTGAGAGAATGAGGTTTCATTCTCTTCTTCATCCTCGATTCGACAATTCTCTCGGGATGCTTCTCGTTGTCGAGCTTCGAGATCTCATGAATCTCCATGGCCGCTTAGGAAGTATGAACCCTAACTTGTCGCCGTCGTTAATAACTGCCGACTCAATTATCCATTATTGACGTCATCTCGACATTGGTTATGTCCGGTCCAACAAAAACATGTCTTTATGACATTTGGTTATGATTTTTTGGAGTTTTCTTAAAAAGTAAAATTGAAAAAAGCAGAGAAATCGTAACCGTTGGTTGATTAGTGCAATGGACAGTCCAGATGTATTTTAATGAGGCCGAAGTAAAGGAACCGAGAAGGCCCAAGCACAACAACACTCTCGTGTTGTGACAAGACAAATTCATAAAACCTTTCTATCTTCCAACTGCAAAACTCTGAAATTGACATGACAGAGGAGGTGAAAATGGCCGAAGAAGGGTGCTGTGAAAATGTTGAGTCGACGTTTAACGATGGTAGCCACTGTATTTCGAAGACTGAGGACACCGGAGGAATCGACAGCAAGAGGTTTTACTTGGCTCGCACGACAGCTTTTGAGATGCTTCGCGACAGAGGCTACGAAGTTAATGAAGCTGAGCTCTCTCTCACTCTTTCTGAATTTCGTTCTGTTTTTGGTGAGAAGCCAGACCTTGAACGCCTCCGTATCTGTGTGCCTCTTCGCTCAGATCCCAAGAAAAAGGTTTCAGCTTTTCTTTGTTCCACCTCAATTTTTCGATTTGGGTGTTATTTTTTTGTTTGAAACAGATGAAAATGTGAAAAAGGCATCAACTTTTTTCGATTTTGGGTTTGCATTTTGGTTTAACGCCTTCAAAGAGAGGAAAATGTGCAAAAGGCGTTAACTTTTCTCGATTTTGAGCTTACAGCTTGGGTTTAGGGTTTGAGAAATTTGAGAAATGCATTAACTTTTTTGATTTAGGGTTTAACCTTGGTCTGGATTTGCCTTAAGACAACAAAAAAATTTCAACCTTTTGATTCTTGGGCATTTTTAGGGTAAGACTAGTGAGAATTATAGGGGTTTACTTTATCAGAGATCTTTTTTCTTTCCATTGATGTGTGGTTTGCGTTTGGTCTCGTTGAACCTAAAGCTTTTGGATTTTGGTTATGTTTTGGAAAAACTGAAGAACTAATGGCATACCCATTTTTTTCCTTGGGGACCAAGAAAATTTGTTATAGCAGTAAGGTTCCTCACATGGTACTTGTGTATGTATCGAATGGCATGTTGCTATAACTTTTAAATGACAAAGGGTTGGAGCATTTTAGTATTTAGGGTGTCATTAAAATGTTATGTTTGAACAGCTAGTAGAGATGAGAATGTAACCAGACATATTCTCATGGTTTTACCAGTTTTTCATTAAGCTTATTGAAATGGTTTTATGCAGATCCTTGTTGTGTTCATGGGAACTGAACCAATCACCGTGAAATCAGTTCGTGCTATTCATAGTCAGATTTCCAACAATGTAGGCGTGCATGCTATGATTCTGATTTTACAAAGCAAAATGAACCACTTTGCCCACAAGGAATTGACAACCTTCCCTTTTACAGTTCAAACTTTCCCGGTAATTAAGCAGTTATCTGTATTCCTACATGATGAAACATTACAGCTTCGGATTTGGATCGTCTTGCATGATATTCTAATGAGGATCATGAAATTGAGACCTGAATTGGAAAATAAAGACTTAACTGAACAGTTGCATGTTTATACTTATTCAATGTGCCAACAGATTGGAGATTTGTTGGTCAACATCACAAAGCACATTGAGCAGCCAAAGATTGAGATTTTAAACAAAGAGGAGAAAGACCAATTGCTGAGGAAGCATGCACTTGAGGATAAACAGGTCTGTTTCAATTCTGCACAAAGCTTCTTTGCCTATTTGTGTATGCTATGTTTTAATGGATGTTTCTTTTTCATTTCAGCTTCCTTATTTGCAGGAGAAGGACAGCTTCGTCAGATACTATGGGTTAAAGAAACAACAGGTGGTGAAGATTACTTACAGTAAAGAGCCTGTTGGGGATTTTGTGACATACCGATGCATCATCTGAACTCTGAAGAAAGGCAAATTCGTTGTAGCTACTCTATGATTAATTAAGACACTCCTTCTGTTTCCTATTTCTTCTCCTCAATGCAGTACTTTATGTGACCTTGGTGTGTGCTTACAATTGTATTAAGAGATTGAATCTGGTTTTGAATGAGGAAAAAAACATTGCAAACTACACGAGTTTTCCAAAATGTAGTTGTCATGGAGGTACATGTAAACAAAAGAGGTTTTTGAAAAGTAACAAAAAAAAATCTAATTACAAGAAAAGAGCAATGAGGAGATTGTTTGAAGGGACGCAGAGAGATGTTGTCTAGTCTGCTGAAATTCCCAAAGCTCCTCTCTAACACGGCAACCTAAACTGATTGACAACAGAAGCAACACCTGCCTATTAGTTATTAACAAATCTGTATACAAGCTCTATGAACCTATATAAAAGGGCATGGAAGCAATTTATAGAGTATAGTAAGGAATTAATAACCTTCTAATTTTCACAACTTTCTTTTGTTTCCTTGGGATGCTTCAACAACCCTCTCACCAACAGTGCTACTGGATCCAGAGTTGGGTGCATTCCCCAAAGCAAGTGAATCTGCAGGTCCTTCTTCCTTTTGAGCTTTCTGCTTATTTAAGTGAGTCTCTCGTATGATGCATTTAGGAAAATTCCCTTTTTCTCCAGTTCCCATCTTCGAAGAAGCGGGTGATTCTGGTCCTTCCATACTCTTTGCCGCCAACATATCAAAAGGCCTATGAAAGAGCAAATGAGCCACAGTTCTGTCTGTGGGGTTGGTCACTGCTTCTGTATCTGGCATCCCAGCATATCTGTAGTATCAAATACAAAAGCTAGTTATGTAAACCACAATTTGATATTGATGATGAACTCGGTAGCATTTATAAAAGGTTAACCCACAGTTTCGAAAAAGTATGCTTGTCGTTTACATTGTCTAACTAGTTAACCATATTGAATAATATGCATAAATTTGCCAACCTATATCTGGATTCTTCTCTGGGAATAACTTCCTGGTCATCCTGGCTAGTCTTGTTACTGTGGGCTGTATCACTAGTGTAATGTCTCTGAGCTGCACTACCAGCCAACCGGAATAAGCTATCCCGTATACAAGTCCGTGTTCCCATATCCAACTGCAGGTCAATAAAGAATATTAGTTACTCCCAACACAAAGTTCAACTACAAAGTACCATAGGATTATGTCTGCGTCCTTTTTAACATAACAAGTCAAACAACCATTTGAGTACCTTTGCTACAACATCCTGAAGCCGATAAAGAACTGAGAATTCTGCTGAATTATCAACAGCAGCAGCAAATTTGCCAGAATCATCTTGTTCCAAAGATGAACTAGGATCAAAGGAAGGCATTGCAGTTAGCCCTTGGAGATTAGTTTTGTCGACAAGCTGGAGTGGAATATCTTGGAGACAATTTTGAGTAATGGATTGATCTGCCACAGGCACCTGATGAGAAAATTGCTTCTGTTGTCTCTGAATGGCAAGCATTGCCTGCATTTGCTGTCTGCGTCTAAGTTTTTCTAGTTTTTCCTGTGGTGTCATTGTTGAAGGCCGTGCAGAGGCATCTATTGCCATGTTTACGGAGGTAGCAGTAGCAGGATTGTAGGAAGGATGCATCGACTGATTCTTAACATCAGGATGTTGGACGGCCGAAATTACAGGCACACTAGAATATGGATTTGCAAGATTACCAAAAGCAGAAGTAGCCATGTATTGGTTTGGCATATGTGAATAGTGTGATGTCCTAGATCCTTCAGACTCACTCTGCAGATTAACAGCCATCAGAGAAGATCGAGGCGGTGTCAACTGATTTACCAACTTTCCAGGTGAATTACTAGATGGAATCCTCTGACCGTACAGATCTTGAAATGCCCATGCTTCAGAAGTCCTAGGCATTTTCGAAAACTTCATCATTTTATTTTGTTGATATGGCTGGTCAGAAAAAGGAAATGAAACGAAAAAGGTTCAGTGGAGCTGTAAGAATTAGAATGCATAAGAATTTGAAGACATAGTTCATGCTACCGATCCGGATTGACAGAAACTATGTACATACATTCATTCACTTTATCATAAACGTGTGAGTGAGCAATACGCAGCAGTCTGCTACGCATAGTACCTGGTCCTCAACTGAGGGTTGACCCTTATGCTCACGATTTTGGTCAGCCTTTAGAGTTACACGTACACTCGGCACACTTTGGGATGACGGGCCATTGGCTTTTCCAGTCAATGGAAATTGCTGGTTCTCTTGCTGCTCAAACTCAGTTCTAATATCCAATCCTAGATCTTGCGAGTCCAACATTGATGATAATGATTTTGGACTATTGGATACATCTTTAGAAGAAGACCATAACTCATCACCACCGCTGAGACTGCCATCGCCAAATATAGGGACATCATTGCTGCAAAATCATCACTTGTGAGGATACTGTGTTAGATAGAGGCCGATGTGCATGAAATAACCATTAGTAGTAATCCTGAGGTTAGTGATGTCCTTTGATGTTGAAATGTACCTCACTTGAAGGGAAAATATCAAAAATACGGGGAAAAATTAGCGGTGCTACAAGTTAGTGTTCTACAAATGAAGCAACTGCACATATTTATTCATTATTTCACCTAATTCCTTCAAAACATGATATCTTGACAGTTCTCATCACAAGGATTTTCCACCACATTCACATCAGGTATCTAATAGTTCTTAAATATTGTGTAATGTTTGTCAAGACGAATTCAAGTCAGCATATAACACATTATACATGGCACAAAAGGAGTATGTCATAGAAAAGTTACCGCATAGCTAAGTGAGGATGAGAAGTAGTGTTACCTGAACATTCGATCAAGATCATCAAAACTACCAATGTTGGCCCAGCTGTAGTCATCAAAATCACCTTGCTCTTTACTCTCATCAGAGCTATGAAAAATATCAGGGCCTTTCCCAAGTTCAGACGTTTTCTCTGGTAAAAACAGGGTGAGCACACAACTTTAAAATGATTAGATTGGAAAGAACGTACCCAAGTAAAACATGACTGTTTCAAGAAACGCACCACCTCTTGTTGAATCATATCTGGCTGGCTCAGCTAAGCATTTTGAAAGTTGAGTCGCACTCAAATCTGGATCAGTTTTTGTAGCATTAGTTAGCGACGTGTCAGGCCATGAGGTCATACAGAAATCTGGCTGAGGAGTCCCCTCATCAGCATTATGGCTCGAACTGCTCCCCAATTTATCATCATGGAGGTCAGTTTTAGTCCCAGTTATCTTTTGCTCAGCCGGTTTAGCTGTCTTAGTTTCTTCACTCTGTTCCTTCTTATTAAGTTGTTTAAAAGGCACAATATGGTCGCCTGTCTCACCGTCATCACCCCATATCATATTAGTAAGCTGAAAGATAGGTTAAGACCATAAACAATAAGGTTCAGGCACAACAACATCTACTTGCGACTAATACCGAAGGAAAATATAAACATGTAAGCACTAGGGTCTACTCTGTGAATCGAAGAAGACAGAGAGCTTCCCACACAGAGAAGAAGCAAAAAAAACTCATAATTGCAGGACAACCGATCGTTATCCATACTGAAGGATACAGAATTATACAGATTCCAAACAAGATAGCAACAGAAGAGACTTACCTCTTCTTCTTCCCAATCAAACATGACTTGAGAAACAAAATCGAATCAAAGAACCTATATCACGCTCCCGAATTGCTCCACACATCGCCAGCTCCACAACGAAAAAAAAAACAGCAAGATCAACAAATCGGATAACGTAAATCCAGTAACAATAATAAAAGTAAAAAAAACGATAAATGAAATAATAATAAACTGAAAAAGCAACAAGCTTTGAAAAACCTTGATTCAGCAGAATCCTTCATGCTCAAAGGATATGGGAAGAGAAAGGAGTTACAGTGGAAAAAAGAAAAAAAGAGTTTTTTGGTGGACTCAGAGAAAAGTCACGTGCCAAACGAGTGGCTGAGAGGAGCGAATTGCCACGTCAGACGAGAAGGCCGTATCTAAACATGTGGCTGAGAGTTAACACGACTTGATTCCATGACAGCACATTTTGACTTTCCCTGGCTGTGGTCTTTTTTAGCTGTTTTTTAATTTATTTTTATATTTTTATGTGTTTATCTGATTAGTGTTCGAGGAAATAAGAGACACATATTATCTGTTTTTTTCTCTTCATTGGGTAAATGTGTTTTTTAAAGAGTGGAACCAGTGTTCAACTTTTAGATTTGGTGGGGTTTGTGTTCATAGAGACCACAATTTTTATCTTTTTTTTTATGTTTAACTAATTAGCTTTCATTGATACCCACCTTTTTAAAAGTATTTACTTGTATCAATTTGTTGAAAAAGAACTAATGCCTTATCCTGAACAGTTCATCTATATAATGAAACAGTGGATAGTTTGCCCAAAAAAAAAAAAATGAAACAGTGGATATATAAATGGTTGCAATTGACATACATTTTTTTTAATAAGTGTGTTTATTTCTCAATTAAAATGAAATCGTTATGGTCCTTGAAGACTACTAGGTTGAAAATTAGAGACATAGAGAATAACATTTTTTTCAGACCTTGTTAATAGGCTTTGTGCCTCAATTGTTTATGCGCTTGTTTATCTTGTGTTTGTACTTTGTACTTAGTATTCGATATCAAAGGGGGTTGTTGGTAGGGGTTACTCTTGTTTCAAGATTGATCACGAGTAACGTTCGACACATTAAGCAGTAAAAATTGTTGCTAGCTACAACTACGAGGATACAGTACCAGTATTGTGATAGAGACATAGATACAAAGAGTGAGTCTGAAACAAAAGCAAATTAGCATTATATTGAAAATTAGACATGTGCTTGCTGACTTGATAAATTTATATTTGTTTCATGCACAAGGTTTTAGTGATTTAGAGATATTAAAATCATGAAAGACGCTAGAGAATATGTTTCTAAAAACCAAAAAGAGTGATGATCCTGCCTGAAATTCACTTTATAGTCCACAATTTCACTGAAATGATGTGATTCCAACCATTTTTTCCCCATCAATTCCACAATTTTTAAGTACAACACTTTTGTGATTCTAATAAAAAAATAACATTTTGTTGTAAAACGAATTTAATAGTACTAGAAATTTCCTCTTTAGGGAGATGCAAAAATTCAATGATCACACTGCTATTTTGGTCGATGTGTAATAAAAAAGAGACAAATGCGGCGTGGAGGCCTTGTGTTTACATGCAGCATAAGGAGGGCCACATGACATGACATCATGTGACTCTGTTTCACATAGTCAGAGAAAAGAAAAAAGATGACGCCGGAGAGCTTGTTAGCGTCGGCGTCGATCAACATAGGTCTCGCCGTCGTTGCACTCTGGCTCTTCTCCGTGCTCAAGAAGCAGCCGCGTAACGCCGTCGTATACTACGCTCGCCGCCTCTCCGATCGCCACCACCACCGTCCTCTGTCTCTACACTCTTCCCTTTGTCTCCCTCGATTCCTCCCTTCCGTTGCGTGGATCCCACGCGCCTTCCGTGTCCCCGAGGACGAGATCCTCAGCCGCCACGGCCTTGATGCCCTCGTCCTCATCAGGCTCTTCAAATTCGGGTGAGGATTTGGTTTTACTATTTATCATCTGATTTCGCATTTAAACACGATTATCAGATTCTTTAAAATATGTTACAGAATTAGATTCTTCTTGTTGTGCTCGTTACTTGGAGCATCACTGCTTCTTCCGGTTGATTATTACAATGAGTCAGATTTACCAACACGAAAAGAGTATTCGATGGATGCATTCACAATATCAAATATTTCACGAGGTTCTAACAAGTAAGCCTTTTTGTTTTGCTATGTCTTAATTTGCATAATCTCTCTTAATTAGAGTTGTGTTTCTTGATATCTGTGTTAATCTTTCCTAGGTTATGGGTGCATTTCTCATGCTTGTGGTTCATATCATTCTATGCATTGTTTTTGTCGCATAAGGTAAGCTTTTACTCTTGTTTATCAGTGACGGATTATTTCTTTTTTAGAATAGGTTTGTTTACTCTTTGTTTACTCGATCCTCTACATCTAGGAATATAAGGAGATTCTTGTGATAAGGCTTCAACAAATGAAAGAACTTAGACATCGTGCTGACCAGTTCACTGTTCTTGTCCGCCAAGTTCCTCTCTGCCCTGAGCATAACACTCGTGGCTGCGCCGTTGATCACTTCTTCTCTAAGCATCATCGCTTTAGTTATCATTCACATCAGATGCTGTATGACGGGAGAGATCTTGAATACCTTTTGGTAAGGTTTGACTGCAGCTGTGGTGGTATCATCTTTTCTTATTGTAACAGTAGAATGATTTCAAATTTTAGCTGTTTTTTCCTGCAAATGTGATGGTGGATCCTTTATGTAGGGGAAGCAGAAGAAGCTTAAGAAAGAGCTAGAAGACAAGAGACACACAGACATGCTTTCGAATGGATCACAGGAACATAAGCACATATCCACATCTGAAGAAAAGCTTCGAGAAATTACCCATATGATTTACCACCTTCAAAGTGAAACTAAGCTCAGAGAGAAGGTAGTACTCTTTATTGAGGTCAGAGTTAACAAGTTATTGTTTCTTTCTTATAGAAAAAAAATTCTATATTTTGCGTAAATTTCAATGAAGGAGTTACCTGTTGCGTTTGTCACCTTCAAATCCCGAAGAAATGCCGCGCTGGCAGCTCAAACACAGCAGCATTCAAATCCTCTAGAACTGATAACCGAAATGGCTCCTGAACCAAGAGATGTATCCTGGAGAAATCTTGCTATTCCACAAAACTTTTTGCCTCTGAACAAGATCGGAGTCATCCTTGCAGCAGCACTTCTTACAATCTTCTTTGCTATTCCGGTCACAGCTGTCCAGGGAATTGCAAAGTATGAGAAGCTCAAGAAATGGTTTCCTCCAGCCATGGCTATTGAATTCATGTAAGGTTTCTCTTCTCATCCACTATTATTTATTCATATAAAGTAACATATATTTTTTCTTGATCCCAAAACAATAAGATAAGATTGTTATTTGCAACAGACCAGGGCTTAGCTCAGTTGTGACAGGTTACCTCCCAAGTGCTATACTCAAAGGTTTCATGTACATTATTCCTTTCGCTATGCTTGGACTTGCCTATCTCGGCGGATCTATCTGCAAGAGTAATGAGGAGATAAAAGCTTGCAACATGGTCTTCTATTTTCTAATGGGAAATGTTTTCTTCTTGAGTCTTATCTCTGGTTCCTTGCTAGATGAAATTGGAGAATATCTCACTCATCCTAGAGACATTCCTAGTCACCTTGCTGCCGCTGTTTCAGCCCAGGTAAAGTCTATTATAAACTCTTCAAATATATTTCAATTCCAAGATTAAATTTTCTTCAAAATAGTAACTTTTTTTCTCACTATCTTTTTCATATATAGGCAGAGTTTTTTATGACATACATCTTGACAGATGGGCTGTCTGGATTTTCTTTGGAAATTCTTCAATTGGGACTTATACTATTTGATATCATAAGATCATACACTTATGGAAGAGGAAAAGAGAGAACTCCTTACCTCTTTTCATTTCCATATTTCAGAGTAATCCCCACAGTTTCCTTATCGATAATGATCGGTATGATTTATGCTGTGGTCGCGCCATTGATGCTCCCTTTCCTAGTTGGTTATTTCTGCCTTGGATACATTGTCTACTTCAACCAGGTCTAGATTATCTAAAACCCTCTTTTAAGATGAGTGATTGTTTCTACACATACTACTACTTTGCATTATATTAACTCTGGTTTCCTCAGATGGAGGATGTATACGAGACTACATATGATACTTGCGGTCGATTCTGGCCATTCATTCATCATTATATCTTTGTCTCAATAATACTAATGCAAATCACAATGGTGGGTCTTTTTGGACTTAAGTCAAAGCCATCTGCAGCAATTGCTACAGTACCTCTCATATTGATCACTATAGCTTATAACGAGTACTGCAAGATCCGCTTCCTCCCATCATTTAAACATTTCCCTATACAGGTACTTATCAACTTCTATGAGGAAATGATGGATAGATTCAGCTCTTTTTATCTACATATTGTTTTTTGTGGTGTAGACAGCAGTTGAAATAGACGAAGAAGATGAAAAGAATGGGGAGATGGAAACACATTGTGTTGATGCTGCAACAGCATATAACCGGCATCAACCTTGTTTAGAGCGTGTAAGCTCAGCGGAATCATCAACAAACTTGAGCCAACCGTTACTTGGAACGGACTCCATTTGATGCTAAAGGTGAAGGAACTGGTTTGAAACTTTGTCTTCCTAGTATTCTAAATAGAAAATGATTTTGAAGCTTCTCCATGTACGTCCTCATGTGTTGTCACTTTAGATTAGTGAACGCCAAAACCCTTATAGAGAGACGAGTTAGATTGAGAATGTTTATATACGTTTTGTAAGTTGTTTACTGTTCTAATAATAAGTCCTCTCTATCTACACTACAGACATCACCAACACTTATTTAGTTATTTTTAAATTAGTTTTGAGTATTACATGTTTTTTTTTTTTTTAACTCGTGTAGAATTTAACAGATTAAATGTTGATGAAAATATCTTCCTTCAAATCTGAAGTGTCTCTGGTGTCCTTATTTTTCGACTTCTCTTCCACTTCCTCTCCTGCTGCTTTCTCATCAGTGGCATTGTATCGAACATCTGGTGGGCAACATAGCATCTTCCACTTATATTAATCGACAATGTACTCTACCACAATCAATCGCAATCACCTGAATCGGACCATCAGCAAGAGTAAGTCGTAACGTAGTTTTCGCATCCGTTAAGGATTTTAAAGACCTAGTACATAGCTGATTACAGAGCAGTTATTGAAAAGCCATGAATGTCTTCATAACCCATGATTTTGTTTCCTATTTCACCAATTCTCTGAATTTTCCCTAAGGCTAGTATGATACTTGCTCATTGCACCAATTTGATAGATTTGGAGTTGTAACTATCTTAATTTCTCTGTGAATACCTAAATATAGAACCCTAAGGATGAACTTTAAAAATTTGGAGGACATTTTCTGTCTTATGCTTTAGGGTTACAACCTCACAACTTGAATTCACATCTCTGGAAAGATTCTAGAGGAATGGTGGCATGGTTAACTAACATTATGATCTTGATACATGTATGTTCTTCAACCCTACAATATACTTCTTTTCTTCATCCCATTTCTCGCATATCCATTCACATTTTTTCTCTAGATGCCTCATCTTTTCCTCGTGACCATTATCAGTCCTTGTTGTCTCTATTCCTCTTTCTTTTTCAAGCTTTTTGATTACCTTTGTCAGAAGCTGTTGGAAAACAAAGATCATTTCGTTGATTAGTTTTGAAATTTTAAGAAAAGAGCCAGTTAAACAAAAGTCTTATAAAGGAGGAAAAGGCCATGATTTTGATTACTTTTATTTCCATCTCTATAGAAATTGTCAAAGTGTCCTGACTTGTTGGGTTGTTAACAATATCACCATTGGCAATTGCTTTATCCTTCAACTTCTCTGTGTCTTTAAATCTCCTCAGCAGATTATGTACTGCTTTGCTGTTGCTACTTTTTGGAATTTTACTTTGACTGGAGGCGAACTGATTGATTGGTAAAATGGTGGAGTGAGTATAAAGGCTAATCTACGATATAAACTAAAGACTAGTAAAGTAACAGTAGTCGCACCTCCCAGCTTATTTTTGTGAAATGAATTGTTTCTTGACCAAGGTCATTGTTTTCCAGGTGTTGTTGTCTTTCTCCTATCTGTTGTAGTATCCTCTTTTCTTGGGCCAAGCTTTTACAACCGTGGATCATCGAGACTTGCTTCCACTAAACAGGTATGGTGCGTCCAAGTACATGCAAAATAGATGTAATATGATTTCCATACTAAACAAAGAGATTTGCTTCACCTTTCTATACTAGGCTAGGTTCTTAAAGAAACTTATCCATATGTTATTTCTTTTAGAAGAAGAGAAGAAACTTATCGTCTGGTCATTTAAGGCAAGAGGCTGATTATTCTCTTTTCTAATTCCTTACAATCTTGTTTTTACAGTGAAAAACAAAATGTTCTTGATTGGTTGTGAGGACTTACGTGATCAGGCCTTTCTCTTCCTCTCTGTTTTGCTTCTGCTTTATTCAATTTGTCAAGATTATGCTGCAGTTGCTCTCGCAGATTCTTATAATATTTGATACAGTTTCCAGTCTGTTGACTGCGATACGTAGAATGTTTTGCTTCAATGTAGAACCTATACCTGTTTGACTGCCCAGCCCAAAAAGTTCATTATCCTGCATAATAAGCTTTTAAAAACAGTACAAGTACTCAATGTTCTATTTTATACAGATGGTTACTCGGGTTTGTATGTAGTTCTCGTAGGTGTGTTGATAATCCCTCTCGAGCTTTTTGAGTCGCTTCTCTGCTTTGGAAACTGACATGTGCACAACTGGATCAGCGTCAGGTGACATCTTGTCGCGGTAAAGTTTCCCTAAACCCTTTTCATTATAGTTGCCCACAATACCAATAGAGTTGGATATTTTGTTGACATCGTTGAGCTGAGTAGAAGCTTCCATGCCACTGATTGCAAGAGTTTTCAAAGCTGCTCCTAAGTATCATTTGAAGGAATTGCTCTTTTTGTGTTCTTATAGGAACGGAAAAGTCATAGCTTGAATGAAGCAACCTATCACAATTGATTATCCAAACTCGTGCACCCCACGCCAAGTAAGTCAATGGCTCATCGTTGAAGATATCTTCTTTTGTATATTATGTTTAATTAATACTTTAGGCATCTATCTCTGCTTTCTAGCGATAAGATGATGTCTTTATTAAAAAAACATTGGAAACATAACCTCCTGGAGGCATAAAATATAAAGAAAAGCTTGAATTCAGTCTTTATTAAAATATAAGCTACGTTATTGTAAGACAACCCATGGATGCATCAGATACAAAGAAATGATTAATTTGATAGTCTTAAGTTTTATTTGATAATATGTTAGTTGTTAGTTAGAATCAATTGGGTTGGTAACATTTGGTTAACTTGTCATATAAAACATTCAAACACAGTTTCATATATCACCATAAAGGTTTTTCTTTGGGGACTTGGTCTTGAAAATCACCCTCAAAATTCCCTTTCAACGATCCAATGGTTAGATGAACCGAGAAACTTTGTAGAAATTAATCGATTGAAATCAACATTTCGTATTGGATTTTAGTGTGATTATATGAAAAAGAGAAAGTCATAGTTTTGACCAAAGCAGCTTCTGATTTTGCATCCCAATCCAGAAGGCTTTTAAGTTTATTCTGGTGATATATGGTTAGTTGTTTAGTAGAATTTCTCTGTTCATAGCCAATGATCCAATGGCAAGAATTGAAGTCTATTCGAGAATGATTTGGTTGCTTATATTGATCTGGTAAGGAAATATTGTAAAATGCATTGTATCATAAAACGAATCATCAATGTGATTTACAACATGATAGCATGTTTGTTCTTCAGTTACATCATCCATACATATATAGGCATCTTGCTTTCTATTCCGTGGAATAGATCTTAGCATGTCTTTGAACTGATAAAAGTACATCTCTGAAGTTACCCTTTTCGGCAGCCTTTTCTTTTTGAAGCAGTTTTGTGCATCTCCCTGAAACTTTTCTTCAAATCGAGCAAGTATTTCTTTTCTGCATCACGTTTCTCACCTATGCATTTACATTTTTCCCGTAGAACCCTCATTTTTTCTGTGTATCCTTTTTCATTTTTTCTTGCAAAATGTACTCTGTCTTGCAAAATATTCTCTAACTCCTTTTTCTCTTTCTCAAATTCTCTGAGTACCTTCGTCACAAGCTAGTGGCAAACAGACATCCTCACATTTCTTAGTTTTAAGAAACAAACCCATGAGTAAAGAGGATAAATTTGCTGTGAATCTTCATTACCTGTATTAAGACCCTTGTAGAATTTTTCATATTGTCCAGACTCGTGCGGTTGCCCATTAGTGCACCATTGGAAATAGCTTTTTCTGTCAAATTCTGTATCTCTTTAATTCTCTTCAACAGATCATGTATAGATTTCTTGTTGCTATTCTGTGGAACTATTCTTTGAATGCACCTGAACTGATTTTATCATAAGATGGAGAGGTAAATATTCAAAAGTTCATTTACGATAATTAGTTAAGAGGCTTTCAGTAGGAGTAGTGTGGAGTGGTACCTCCCAATTAATTCTTTTGACGTCAATTGTTTCTTGACACAGGCCATCAGTGTATTGCTCTTTGTTTTCTGCTTTCAGCTGCTGAAGTACTATCTTTTCTTGTGCCAAGCTTTTACGACCGTGCATCAAGAAGAATTGCTTACCCTAAACAAGTATGGTTCACCCCAGAAACACATGAATAATACATAATATGATTTACTGAACTTAGATCAGTGCTTCAATTATATATCCTAGGTTGCTAGAAAAACTGGTCTACAGGAACGGAACAATGGTAATTGTTTGGTCATAAAGGTAGGAAGCTGATTAATTTTTTTTAAAATTCGAGTAATTGTGTGGATGGTGAAAAACAAAATGATATTGATTGGGTGTGAGGGATTTACATACGTTTGTTGGTGTCTCTCTTCCTCTTTGTGATGCTTCTTCTGTATTCAGCTTGTCAAGAACATTCTGCAGTTGCTCCACTAAATCTTCGATGTGATTGATACAGTAGCCAACCCAGCGACTGTGATGTCCTGGATGTTGTAAAACAATGTAATACCTATACCTGTCTGACTGTCTAGAAAGTTCATTATCTTGTAAAACTGGCCCTATAAGTTTCTAACAACACTACAAATAATCACTATTTTGTTATGTATTGATGCTTACTTGTAGTTCTGTGTACTTCTCGTAGGTGTGTTGATAATCTTGCTCGAGCTTTTCCAATCGCTTCTTTGCTTCTGCAAATGATGAACGCCCAATTGGGCCAAGGCATGGTGACACTATGTTGCAGGAAAGTTTCTCAGAACCCTTTTTACTATAGTTGCTTCCAATACCAACAGAGATGGATACTGTTTTGAGAGTAGAAGTTTCCTGACCAGCGGCTTCGAGATTTTCCATAGCTTCTTTTGAGTGTTTATGTATTATAGCAAACAAGTTTTTATATGGAAGCCTTGTTCTCTTTTGTTGTTATATAAAGAGAAAAAACATTGTTACTGATTATCCAAACCCTTGCACCCCACTCCAAGAAAGTCAATGGCTCCTCTCCTACTTTTGTATTTTCTTTCTTTTTGGTTATTAATAATAGTTTGGCCATCTGTCTCTTCTTTGAAGCTATATATAATATCATCTACTTGAGGCATAAAATACAAAAAGAAATGTTTTTCATGATAATTAGTGCTTATTGTGATTAAACAATGAAATGTGAATGATTGGGATTTTGATAAGTCTTCAATATAACAGATTGTCACGAAACAGGTTTTGGTCACATTAAGTTAAGAGTAATGCTTCCTTAGACCCGCGTCTTACTTACTAAAATGGCGACTAATAGTCATATAGGCTGCTCAGCAACCTTAGCACGTTCTTGCTGCTGCAAAACCTCAAAATTCTGTATCTGTTTGATTGATTCTTTGAAAACTGTGTGTTAATAAGTGTATCAGTACGTATTTAGGTAAATACAGAATGTCAATTTTGTGTGTTTTTTTTTTTTGAGGAAATAACTTACCTCTTCTCTGTTCTGTTCATGTTTAATCTTTGTTCTCGGTCTCACGATACGATCATGCTCTGCAGTTCTACGCAGGTTCTCACTCATAATTCCCACAGAGCCATACTTTTTTTAGTATTGTGTGAGCTTGTTCTGTAACCAGATCAGCTGTTGATTGGTCTCAGAGATCTGCCTCAGCTACTTAACAACCATCTCTTGGTAAGATTTCATCTCGAATTCCAGCCTTGTTTGGCCTAATGAATCATAGATAAATACATATGATGCATTCACAAGAACCAAAAAAAACTCTAAATCCCAATAACAAGACTTAAAATATATATTGAATATCTGAGGGAGAAGAACCGTGATGGTGTTCATTGAATGACTCAAAACATATACCGAATATCTGAGGTAGAGAACCTTGTGACGCATGCATCAAATAGTAGCAGCAAGAACCTTATGAATAACATATGTCTTAGGGAATGTAAGCACATCATCAAACCACTCAACTTTCCCCCAAATCACACCAGATCTACAGATATGCTGATGGGTGTAAAATGAAATTAAAGGATATACAGATAAGTTGGCTCTTGGACGTTTACCGAACCGGCCGGGTAACTTTACTTCCTAATCCTGGCTGCAAGCTTGAAAGATCTTTTTATGGTCTCAAGTCTCAATGGTTTTTGAAAATTTTGCAACATCCTTTGCCTTAGTGATCCCATACTTGATTTGTTAAACGTACAAATAGTGTTTCCTTGGTGTGTTAAACCGGAACCAAAACCGAATTTTGAAAATCAAGTTGAACACGCTCATGTGTCACAAAAGAATAGATAAAATGATGATATTTTTTTATAACATTTAGTTGGCGGGACGAGAGTGAGAGAAGAGAATGTTATTGTTCGCCTAATCCCCAAAATTTCACCAAAACAAAAGTTGAAGGAGGAAACCAGAGGAAGGAGACGACTATCACAACGCATCTCCACTCTTCCTTAATCCATATGGCAGTACGATTTCTTGTTTTATTCTGTTTCTAGTTTCACATCTTTTGATTTTGATGTTTATGTGATTTTTGTTTTTCTGGTGGAATTGTTAAAGTTTTTTTCTTTTTCTTTTGGATTCTATAATAGTTAATGGGCTTCTATATGTTGAATGCTTTACCTCTTTATACAATTTGGAAACAAGAGATAAAGCCCAAATATTTCAGCTGTCTGTCTAAGCCTTAGGCCCAATAAGACAGAATGGAGTTAAACTATTTGTTGATTCTCTTCTCTCTCTGTCTGCTCTACGCAGCTTCAATCCCCTTTTTCCGTTTGTGTCGTCTGTTCTTCTCTATCTCTCTCGTTCATCTACGCAATCTCTCTCACTAGGTGAATTCCATAATCTTCTCCTGAATGTTCTTGTTGTGAATTTTGTTTTAGATATGTACCGAATTGAAGTTCCCTCTGTTTTTAATCAGATTCGAATCGATATCTCTCGTTCGCAGTTTTGGGTTTTAATTTCCTTATAGTTGTGCTTATTTGAAAACTTAGTCCTTTTCTTCGGTAGAAACGCCAGTTTCATTCCGTTTTAGGTTTTGTCTATTATTTTGTTGATAAATCCGAATTCTTTGATATCTTTTGTCTATTTGAGACCAGAGACGAGAGATTAGATGTTAAAGAATTGAAATTGATTTGAGAATGCATCAGATTTGTTTATATGGATAGATATTTGCTGGGTTTCAATAAAGTTATGAGTTTTAGCTTTTTGTGACCATTGTCAAGTATAAAACCCTAATTTTGGTGAGTTTAGGAGTTTTCGATTTTTTTTGCTAGATTATATGATTACTCTTTGATGAAATATGTAATTAAAGGTAGTAAATAAAATCCTTAATGTTTACTATGATTTTGAAAACTCATCAGTTTTTTTTGTTTTTGTTTATTGATGTCTCTATGTCAGATACAGTTTATAAATGGGTAAGAAGAAGTCAGACGAGAGTGCTGCTACCACGAAGGTGAAGCCAAGTGGGAAAGATGCTTCTAAAGATTCTAAAAAGGAGAAATTATCAGTCTCGGCCATGCTTGCAGGCATGGATCAGAAAGATGATAAACCGAAGAAGGGCTCATCATCTAGATCCAAAGCTGCTCCAAAATCTACATCCTACACTGATGGCATAGACCTTCCTCCTTCTGACGAAGAAGACGAAGGTGAATCTGATGAGGAAGAGAGACAGAAGGAAGCAAGGAGGAAGCTGAAGAGTGAACAAAGGCACCTTGAGATATCTGTGACTGATAAGGAACAAAAGAAGCGAGAGGCGAAAGAAAGATTAGCTCTCCAGGCTGCAGAGATGGCAAAGAGGGAGGCCTTGAAGGACGACCATGATGCATTCACGGTTGTTATTGGAAGCAAGACCTCAGTGCTTGAAGGAGACGACTCGGCGGATGCAAATGTTAAGGATATTACCATCGAATCTTTTTCTGTATCTGCTCGAGGTAAAGAGCTTTTGAAGAATGCCTCTGTCAAGATTTCACATGGTAAAAGGTATGGGTTGATCGGGCCAAACGGAATGGGAAAGTCTACACTGTTAAAGCTTTTAGCTTGGAGGAAGATTCCAGTGCCAAAGAATATTGATGTTCTTCTTGTTGAGCAAGAGGTGGTCGGTGATGAAAAGAGTGCTCTGAATGCAGTTGTTTCTGCCAATGAAGAGTTGGTTAAACTACGGGAAGAGGCTGAAGCTCTGCAGAAGTCGTCTTCTGGAGCTGATGGAGAAAATGTTGATGGCGAGGATGATGATGATACTGGAGAAAAGCTTGCTGAATTGTATGACAGGCTGCAAATTTTGGGGTCAGATGCTGCTGAAGCACAGGCTTCCAAAATTCTTGCGGGGTTAGGTTTCACAAAAGATATGCAAGTGCGTCCAACTCAGTCCTTCAGTGGTGGCTGGAGGATGCGAATATCGTTAGCTAGAGCTCTGTTTGTGCAGCCTACTCTTTTACTGTTAGATGAACCCACTAACCATCTTGACCTGAGAGCTGTTCTATGGTTAGAAGAGTATTTGTGTCGCTGGAAGAAGACGCTAGTTGTTGTTTCACATGACCGGGACTTCCTCAACACAGTCTGCACGGATATAATACATCTCCATGACCAGAATCTCCACTTCTATCGTGGTAATTTTGATGGTTTTGAAAGCGGATATGAGCAGCGTCGCAAGGAGATGAACAAAAAATATGATGTCTATGAGAAACAGATTAAAGCAGCTAAGAGGACTGGAAACCGGGCTCAACAGGAGAAGGTAAAGGACAGGGCCAAGTTTACTGCTGCAAAAGAAGCATCCAAGAGTAAGGCAAAGGGTAAGGCACTTGATGAAGAAGGCCCAGCACCAGAAGCTCCAAGGAAATGGAGAGATTATAATGTGGAGTTCCACTTTCCAGAACCAACCGAGCTCACTCCTCCTCTTCTGCAGTTAATTGAGGTTAGCTTCAGCTACCCCAACAGGCCAGATTTCAGGCTCTCGAATGTTGACGTAGGTATCGATATGGGGACACGGGTTGCTATAGTTGGGCCTAACGGAGCAGGAAAGTCCACTCTATTAAATCTTCTTGCGGGAGATTTAGTTCCAACAGAGGGTGAAATGAGAAGAAGCCAGAAGCTGAGGATTGGCAGGTATTCTCAGCACTTTGTTGACCTGTTGACAATGGGAGAAACACCGGTTCAGTATCTTCTTCGTCTTCATCCTGACCAAGAGGGATTTAGCAAGCAAGAGGCAGTGCGAGCGAAGCTAGGCAAGTTTGGGCTACCAAGTCACAACCACTTATCTCCAATTGCGAAATTGTCCGGAGGACAAAAGGCTAGGGTTGTGTTCACCTCGATCTCAATGTCAAAGCCTCACATTTTACTTCTGGACGAGCCTACAAATCACTTGGACATGCAGAGTATAGATGCGTTGGCGGATGCACTAGATGAGTTCACAGGTGGAGTTGTGTTGGTGAGTCACGACTCGAGACTCATATCGCGTGTCTGTGCGGAAGAAGAGAAGAGTCAAATTTGGGTTGTAGAAGACGGAACAGTGAATTTCTTTCCAGGCACATTTGAAGAGTACAAAGAAGATCTCCAAAGAGAAATCAAAGCAGAAGTTGATGAGTGAAGTTTTGTTGTTAGCTTCTAAGGTAAACTCAGTCTCCTTTATATTTTATAACAAACTCAAACAGTTTTGGACAATTTTATTTTTAGCAGTGTGTTCTTTCATCATTTGTGCGTTAATTACATGACACTATATACATCAGTTTCCCCATATTACATATGTTCTGAGTGTAGGTTGTTGTGTTTTGGGGGGAAGAAAACAAAAGACATATGTAATTCTTTTTCATCAGTGTGTTTTCATTAGAGCCATAATAAACAGCAAAGGTTTCTTTATATTTTTAGCTGTCTGAAATTTTGTTCAGTTTCTCTCTGGTTTATTATTTTTGGTTCTATCTCTCTCTTTTGCTAGTTTAGTAGTTCTGGCTTTCTTTGGTTGATTGTGTTTACGAAGCCTCTTCCTTTGTGTTTATTTTGATTAAGATAGTGAGAATCAATTGATTTGATATAGGGTTCTAATCTTAGAGTGTAAGCTTGGGATTCAGAAATGGGAGCCGAACGGGTAGAGATTTCGTGTTGATTTTCTGGACTTCACAAAATTAGGCACTTGAGGGATTTACTTAGTTCTTTTGTGCTCTGACAGTTTCGTGGAATCTCTTTTTTAACAAGCTTGAACTATTCTTAGCCATAAGGTCACCTAGATCAGCCATCAAATCTTTCATAAAGCTCAGTTCGTTTTGAACATGATAAATCAACGAGTCAAAGTTTGTATATGGTTTAGAGTTCAGAAGAGCTATATGTGTCTTGCATTTTCAGCATTTTGATATCCACACACAACTGACAGACAATCTAAGTGACTAGGAATCAGCTTAGCGATACTTAAACAAATCCAAACCCTCTCGGCTCCCTAAATTACAAAACATCATCAAATTAAAGTTAAAGGTTCCTACTCAACAAACAACTACTTGAACCAACACCAAAAATTCCCAATCAAATTAGTCAGAATCCATATACATCATCAAATTAAATGTTAAAGGTTCTCTTTCGCTTTCCTCTGTTTTAAGAATACTCTGTTTCGTGCCTTTCTCTGATTGATATGTGATTTATCTTTTGTTTCGTTATTTTCGTTTCTTCTAGAACAATCTCACAAACACTTTTACTATCATGGGTCAAAGAAGTAGATGATTACTGGTCAAAGTCAACATGAATTGTCTCTGGTCGAAACTGTGAATACTGAATATATAATTGGATTTAGATTATAATGGTTTTTTAGTCAATGCGATGAAAATAAACAGACTCAAAAGAAAGATTGGTTTCTTCTACAAGGGATCAGAAGAAATCTTAAGAAATCAAGAGGATATGATCATGATCTATAAAATCATACCCTTAAAGGGATTAAAATCCCATGTTTTATTCATAATTAAGCTACTATCATTTATTTAATTCTCGGCAGCACCAGCTTCTCCACTGGTTTCTCCTTGAGTTTGCTTAGCACGGTCATATTGAGACACCCATTTGGTTAACACATACTCTGCTCTCCTCCATGGTGGCATAAATAGCCCTTTCTTCTTGAAGCTCTTCTTTGCAGCTTTAGACACAAACACTACAACTTTCTTTAACCTCTCAACTTGTCCAACAAAAATGTTAGGCAATGTTTTCGATATCGACTCGTAAGTCTTGGTTGGTTTAGCAATCTTAAACTTCGATTGGAAATCGATGTCGATGAGCACTCTTTCTCCTCCGATGTTAACATCCAAGTACTCATAGTCCCCTGTTTACCATTTTCCACAAAAATGTTGTTATTATCTTAACAATTTTGCAACTTAAGAGTGGATCATAATGAAGAAACGTACCAGCAGGAACACGATACGATTTCAATTTTGATTTCTCCCAGCGAGATTTGCATATTGCTGCATCATATCCTAAAGCCACCAGTTCATCAGCAACATTCTTCAGTCTGGACTTATCTTCAACCTCTCTCTTGACAATCTCGCTGGCTTTTGTCTCAAGAACAGTCTCAGACACGTTAGCACAAAGTAACAGACTCTACAAAAACATTGAAAAGAAAACAAACTCTGTTTACATCAGATTTCAAACATTAGCATCAGAGATATTAATCATACCTTGACGCTTCGAAGAACTCTGCTGGAAGAAGAAGATTCTTCGTCCTCGTCGGAGCTATCAGTGCCACTTCCACTGAAGCAGTTGAAGTGGTTACGAACAATGCACTGTGATTTTGTCTCATTGTCTGGATCCTCGATATAGTTCTGAACCATCCTCCTCAAACAGACTGAGCTAGGTTCGAATTCTTCCGAATTGCTTCTAGTAAGCGATGAATCTACACCGGCTAAGTTCTTCAGAGAGAACGGACGTTCAAAAAGCCGCTTCAGTCGTGATCTCGGGGCTTGTCTCGTCGCTACACCATTGATGTTGATAGGCTGGACTTTAGAACGGAAAGGCATTTTTTCAAAATGGCTCAAAACGTACGAAACCCTGAGAAAGAAATTTTGTTTCTACGTCCAAAAATCTTAGAGAAATCAAAGAGATCTAACGGAAAAAATATGGAGGAGGAAGGTGTGCAAATGATAGGAAACAAGACTCAAAATCAAAAAATATTTAGATGAGAAAATTCAAACGTTTATGATTGATTCAAACGTCATGTTTTTAATGTTTTTATTTAGTTTTTGTTTATTATAAAAGATGATGCAAATCACTATGTGGATGATGTGATTTTGGTTTGGATTTCTCCCAAAATTCATAGGAGATTATCTTCAAAGTTTTGCAAGGGAAAGAAGAAGTTTTGCTAAAACATTAGGGGAAGAAGAAAGCAATGTTTGATGCTTCTTATATAGGAAATGAGAAGAGAGACCTACACATTTATCATTTTGTAAAGGAAGTTAATTAGTCCCTATGAATTACGTGTTCGTTTCTTATTGGTCTATTCTACGTCATTGATACTGCTTTTGATGTAAACCGGTGTGTTGCACCCGGTTTACATTCATAGTGGTGTTTACTTCTACATCACAAAAATTTAAAGGTCAATCTAGTTTCCATTTTACATTGCAATTTAAGTTGACGCGTAAACTTTATTACTTACCTAAAATGAAAAGTTTAATGTACATCTCTCTTTTACTAAACAATTTATGTCAAGTTTATAATTTTCAAGAGACGGACGGTCATATCTTCTGTTTATTCATAATTGCTATTTTTAGCATCGTTGTAAATAATTTTGGTCAAATAAATCATTGAGTGAATTCCAATTGTATTGCCTAAAAACTAAACAAGAAAATAAGTAAAAATCTTAATACATTTATGATGAAATGAGTAAAAATCACAAAGACTAAAACAAATTTACACGCGTCAATATTATATTTGAATAATTAATAAAAAGCTGAAAGTAAATTTGGTTGACTAAATATTTTATGTTAAGTTTATAATTCAAAGGAAAATAATAGTAATATCTTTATTTTGACACTAAAAAAAACTAATTTTATACAGCGCAATAAATAGTTTTGCAAAACAAAAAACAAAGATATCTGACTGAATTTATTGAGTCGCAGATACCAATTGTATTGCCTAAAAACCAAAAGAAAAGATAAATCAAAATCTTGAACTATTTATGACGAAGCTAGTATAAATAACAGAGACATCAACCACAAATTCATCACAAAAACTTGAAGAAACTGGTTCATCACGAAGCGAAATCATATAAAGGTACGTCTAACAATCTCAAATCTTAACAATCAAAGCATAGAATAATCTCTTGCACCATTTAGTTTTACCACAAGCATAGTTCCTACAACCTTATGCAAACTTTTCTTTTCATAAAGAAAGTGGATCTTTATGTTACAAAAAAAATGAAAGCTGATTTTAAAATTTTCTAAGAAATAGAGGGCTTAATGGCAAAATGTTGAAATATTTTAAGGCTCCAAAGTGAAAAATTTAACCGCCAAAGCGTAGGTTTCCCCCCAAGATTTTAAAAATATTTAAAAACTCCCACCAAACTTTTTAATTTTAAAACTCTAATCCCATTCAATTCAACCAGATTTCGTTTCTTTCGTCCTTTTTTTTTTTTGCATTCTCTCGTCGTCGTCTCAAGGTACTTTTTTTCTCTCTTCCAAAATTCGAGATCTGTTTGTGTTTTTCGAGAAAGTTTGGTTGGATTCTCAATTCTGTTCTTCGATTTAGTCTTCTTTTACGATAGATCTGGTAGATTTAAGCATTATACTCTTTGTTTTTTTTTTTTCTGAAACTTTCTTTGTTTTGTTTGACTGTGTACGGTTAGATCTAGAAGAAGGAAAGAGCAATTTGAAGCGACATGGCAGGCAAAGGTGGAAAAGGACTCGTAGCTGCGAAGACGATGGCTGCTAACAAGGACAAAGACAAGGACAAGAAGAAACCCATCTCTCGCTCTGCTCGTGCTGGTATTCAGGTCATCTCTCAAACCCTAATTTCGACCTTCTTTGACTCTGATTGTTTTCGTTATTTATCAGTACAATCAGATCTTCAGGAATAGATTTGTGTTTTTGTTGCTGGATATGGAATTTCTTTTTACTTGAGACCATGTTCTACTTGCGGGTGAATTTTGTTGAAATGGTATTTATCAAATTTGTCTTGTGGTTTTGGATATCTGAGAATACATATTGTGTTTTTTTGTCATATGTTATGACTCTCTAGATTGTTTAGGTAGTGTCTTACGGTATGTGCCCAAAGTTCCCTTACTCTGAATCTTACTATTGGTTTTCTGGGTTTGTTTGGTTCTAGTATGTGCAATGTTCTTTTTTCATATTAGGTTATATGATTTTAATGAAACTATTTGGTGTGCTCTGCTAAAGGACATTGATGCTGTGCATAGCTATACAAGTAGAAAGATTGGTCTTTTTTGCAGTTTAATTTTACGATACTGATAGTGTTTCTTTGTTGATTTCAGTTTCCTGTGGGTCGTATTCACAGGCAACTCAAGACAAGAGTTTCCGCACACGGCAGAGTTGGTGCAACTGCTGCTGTTTACACGGCATCAATCCTGGAGTACCTAACTGCTGAAGTTCTTGAACTGGCTGGAAACGCTAGCAAGGATCTGAAAGTGAAGAGGATCACTCCGAGGCATCTGCAGTTGGCGATACGAGGAGATGAGGAGCTTGACACACTCATCAAGGGAACCATTGCTGGAGGAGGTGTGATCCCTCACATCCACAAGTCTCTCATCAACAAAACGACCAAGGAGTGAAATGATGTGTTTCTTTAGTGATATGATGTGTTTCTTTAGTCTTGGACTCATTTTCCTTTATCCTTTTCTTAGTTCTTTGACTAGTGTTGACCTCTTCTGGACATCCTCAGGTGTACATTAGTTAATTTGAACTCTTTAGGTTTCTTTTGTTCAAGCAAATGTTCTCTTTGAATGCTATTGTGATTTGCTTATTATGTTTAAAGTGAACTGTTTTCTGTGTTTAACAACTGAGGAAAATCATTTACTCGCATGCTCTCTTAGGTAACTGGACTTAAAAGAGTCTCTTAGTTATAGAACTTGGTATCAAAAATCATCAGCATTTGATTAAGTCACATTTTCCCAATTATTCTCAAATCCATTCCACTAAAAAAAAAAAAAAGAGTTCATCATTCATAAACTCACTTGGTTCCAAGGCTTTGATAGCATGTTAATTGCAAGCTTGAAGGTGTCTTGCTTAAGTGAAAACTGGTGAAGGTTATTTAGGTACTGTTGTTTCAAATGCCTCAACGAGCAATGCCACATCCTTCTTCCTTTCTACAACAAGTTTACTTACGGTGTGTTGCAGAGCATAATCAATCATCCACTCCTCTGCCTTCTTCCTCTCATCCATGTCCTGATGCTTGAGATCAACTGTTTCGCTGCTCGGCTCTGCGGTAGTTTGAATGTAATTCGGTTCTCTTGGGTTGAATCCCCTCCAATCCTCAGTGTACTCTTCTCGGTTGCAGGGTTTTTGTGCAAGAGATAACAGAGTTTCCTCTGTTTTCGATGCAAGTTTAATCTGCTCTTTCACTTTCTCTCCATCTGCCGCCTTCCAACCTTCTGTTTCCTTGGAGTCCAGCTTCTCATCAAGAGCATTCCCTAGAATGATGTCATCTTGTTCAGATAATAAAGAGTTGATTGTGTTATCCGAGAAACCACCCTCTTCACGTTCTTGATCCTCACTTGAATTTTCGGATTGTTCAAGAATCGCAAAGTTTTCAGTCATCATACCGATGTTTTCATTACCATAGCCACATGATTCAATGCCTTCCCCTTCTAGTAAGCTCACCATCTCTGCACTTTCAGAATCTAAATCTTCAGCCTCTTCCCATTCCACCTCCATATTCTCAGCCTTAGAATCAATTACTTTGCTATCAGTTTCTCGAGTGCTTCTATTTTCTTTCTCCTCATCAACATAGATTTCCACACAACCATCATCACATTCACCACTCATCTTCATACCTGCATGGGACTTCAAGAAGCGTCTCCTTGTGGATATAAAGCTTTGAATAGGTGGGAATTGGCGGTGAAGATGCGCGTTGAGTGAACAGTACGTATAAGGACAGACTTTCAAGACAGCAGGAGAAGTAAGCATCATATCCTCTGTGAACTTTGAGTTTTTAAGAAACGAAGAACAAGTTGCTCTATGCGCATTCACATCCCCACAACGAATACTCCTACCACTTCTCTTGAAACTCAAACCCTTTTTCAAAGACTTACTACTACTACTACTACTACTCAGTTTCTTATCTCTAGTGCAAGAATCGAGTTTCTTACCGGTCTGGCTCTTCTTTTCTATACCAGCTTGAACACTGTGGCTCTGTCTCCTAGCCTCTGAACTCTTCGTTCCTTTCATATAATTAGGTGACCCGCCTGTGACTTTAGCAACGATCTGCTTCTCCGGTGTCGTTGGTTGAGGAAGCCTACTAGTTCTTGGTCTCTTCTTCATCATCTCCGGTCCAAGTCTCCTCCCATGTCCTTGCCCTAACAAAGCTTGAGCAGTCTTACGCTGAACCATTGATCTTTCCAAGGCAAACCTGTGAGAGGCTTCTATGTTTGAAGCTTTTACTTTGTTTTCTCCTAATAATACGTTTCCGGTTATATCTTTTTTTTTTTTGGTCTTTAAACGAAAGATTTGCAATTGCATGTTTTTGCTTTTGAAGTCCACTTTCTGTTTCTTAATTATTGCTTCTAAATCAACATTTTTTTGTTCTCTTCTTATAACGTCTTCCGCTAAATGAGCATTATGTTCTTCTTTTTAAGCCTAACCAAAAATAAAATTTCCTTCTATTCATGAAATCGTGAACCGACAAAACAAGTATTTTTGTATTATTAATTTGTTTGAGATAACCAAACTAATTAAGCAAAATCTAACTTTTTTTATTAGCACGTATTGGTTGATAAAATAAATGTATTTAGATAATTGATAAATGAGTAATGTGTGTGACAAAAAAAAATGTCTGTGACCAAAAGATAACATATCCTTTAAATTTCTTCCGATTGTTGCCACCCTAAAAAGGTTTATTTGATTATCAATTTTATAAAAGCTAATGAAACATATTAATCTGTTGTTATTTAATCGCTATTTCAAATTACATACACTAAAATCTGGTGTTCTTAAAATATGACATTTGTAAATCATGATTCAGAGATTTTGAAAATTTGGTGTTATTTAACTAATATTTCAAAAACTTCATTTATTTGGTAATATATAAAACATTAAAATTAAAATATCTTTGTATATTAAATCACTGGAAATTTTTCTGGGAATTTATGAGTAAACTATTAAAAACAAAATCTATGATATCACACCAAAATTCTTACAATCCACACACATAAATTGTTATAAATATTATCAAATATTTCAATTCTTGAAAATTAGAAAACATAGATAATTGAAGTTAATCTAATAGGCTCTCCTAAATAAATAATGTAAGAAGGATTAGAGGGGAACAATAATATTTAGAAAGCCTTTGGCAAAAAAAAAAAAAAACAATGAGGCATCAACAATGACAGAGTCGGGCGTCTTATATGCAAAATGGTCGGCCAAGGAAGGGGCTCATTGCTCACGCTCTCTTCTCCTTTTCGCAGTCAGTCACAATCGAAAACCTTTTCAAACTTATAAATATTTCATATCTTATATTAATGTCCTTTGTCAAGATTTCAAATTTGATCATGGTTATTTATTTTTTTATTTTATTTTGATCAAAGATCATGGTTATTTATTACGACTTGCAATTTCGTAATGTAAAAATTCATGAACTTAATATACAAATTCCCTTAACGTATATGAAGCCGTCTTGAGTTTGATCAGTAAGCTTGCAACCGTTGAAAATGTTACTATATCGATACGAACCGTAACATATTATTGATGTTTCGGTTATTTTCTACATTTTATTTTTTGTCTAGTTCCATTGGAGTTTTGCAAATAGCATCATGTGTTTGCCTTGAGTTAAATTTTGTGGTTAACGCCTACTACATAAGAGAATAATAATCTCCCCATGCAAATTAGGTAATATGCGATCCTTATCCAAAGCTATAAAGTCAAGAATTTAATTCAAATTTGCAAAGGACTTCATATAGATTGCAAGCAATCTTTACACAAATAGAAGAAACAAAACATAAAACCATACAAAGTTTTTGTAGACAAGTTATTGATCCAAACCCAATGAAAGTTAAAAGATACAAGAACAAAAGGAAAGAAGAAATCAAATAAAATTCGGTAGCTTATTTAAAAATCCCATTTCCTGTTTTCAGTTCAGAAGTTTAGTACTCAGTTTTTGGAGAAGGTGAATACGATGGTGGAGGTGGGGATTTGTAAACATATGGTGGTGGAGGAGACTTGTACTCAACCTTTGGAGAAGGAGAGTAATAAGGTGGTGGTGGGGAACTGTAGACATATGGTGGTGGAGGAGACTTGTAATCTACCTTAGGAGAAGGCGAGTAGTATGGTGGTGGTGGAGAACTGTAGACATACGGTGGTGGAGGAGACTTGTAGTCTACCTTAGGGGAAGGTGAATAATATGGTGGTGGTGGAGAACTGTAGACATATGGTGGTGGAGGAGATTTGTAGTCAACCTTAGGGGAAGGTGAGTAGTATGGTGGTGGAGGAGAACTGTAAACATACGGTGGTGGGGGAGACTTGTATTCTACCTTAGGAGATGGTGAGTAGTATGCTGGTGGTGGTGGAGAACTGTAAACATATGGTGGTGGAGGAGACTTGTAGTATACCTTAGGGGAAGGTGAGTAGTATGGTGGTGGTGGAGAACTGTAGACATATGGTGGTGGGGGAGACTTGTAGTATACCTTAGGAGAAGGTGAGTAATATGGTGGTGGTGGAGAACTGTAGACATATGGTGGGGGAGGAGACTTGTAGTATACCTTAGGGGAAGGTGAGTAATATGGTGGTGGTGGGGAACTGTAAACATATGGTGGTGGAGGAGACTTGTAATGCACCTTAGGGGTAGGTGAGTAATATGGTGGTGGTGGAGAATTGTAGACATATGGTGGTGGGGGAGACTTGTAGTATACCTTAGGGGAAGGTGAGTAATATGGTGGTGGTGGGAAACTGTAGACATATGGTGGTGGAGGAGACTTGTACACTACCTTAGGGGATGGAGAATAACATGGAGGAGGTGGTGGACAGACACAAACATGAGGATGTGGTGGAGACTTGTAGTAAACTTTAGGCGACGGTGAGTAATATGGTGGTGGTGGAGAGCTGTAAACATATGGTGGTGGTGGAGACTTGTAGTACACCTTAGGTGAAGGTGAGTAGTATGGTGGTGGTGGGGAACTGTAAACATATGGTGGTGGAGGAGACTTGTAATATACCTTAGGAGAAGGTGAGTAGTATGGTGGTGGTGGAGAGCTGTAAACATACGGTGGTGGAGGAGACTTGTAGTACACCTTAGGGGAAGGTGAATAGTATGGTGGTGGTGGGGAGCTGTAGACGTACGGTGGTGGAGGAGACTTGTAGTATACCTTAGGAGAAGGTGAGTAGTATGGTGGTGGTGGGGAACTGTAGACATACGGTGGTGGAGGGGACTTGTAGTACACCTTAGGTGAAGGTGAGTAATATGGTGGTGGTGGAGAGCTGTAGACATACGGTGGTGGAGGAGACTTGTAGTAAACCTTAGGGGAAGGTGAGTAGTATGGTGGTGGTGGGGAGCTGTAAACGTACGGTGGTGGAGGAGACTTGTACTCAACCTTTGGAGATGGTGCGTAATAAGGTGGTGGTGGAGAGCTGTAGACGTACGGTGGTGGAGGAGACTTGTATTCAACCTTTGGGGATGGTGAGTAATATGGTGGTGGTGGAGAGCTGTAGACGTACGGTGGTGGAGGAGATTTGTACTCAACCTTAGGGGAAGGTGAGTAGTATGGTGGTGGTGGGGAGCTGTAAACGTACGGTGGTGGAGGAGACTTGTACTCAACCTTTGGGGATGGTGAGTAGTATGGTGGTGGTGGAGAGCTGTAGACGTATGGAGGTGGTGGAGACTTGTAGTCAACCTTTGGAGATGGTGAGTAGTATGGTGGTGGTGGAGAGCTGTATACGTATGGTGGTGGGGGAGACTTGTACTCAACCTTTGGGGATGGTGCGTAATAAGGTGGTGGTGGAGAGCTGTAGACGTACGGTGGTGGAGGAGACTTGTATTCAACCTTTGGGGATGGTGAGTAATATGGTGGTGGTGGAGAGCTGTAGACGTACGGTGGTGGAGGAGATTTGTACTCAACCTTAGGGGATGGTGAGTAGTATGGTGGTGGTGGAGAGCTGTAGACGTATGGTGGTGGAGGAGACTTGTAGTCAACCTTTGGGGATGGTGAGTAGTAAGGTGGTGGTGGAGAGCTGTAGACGTACGGTGGTGGAGGAGACTTGTAGTCTACCTTAGGGGATGGTGAGTAGTATGGTGGTGGTGGAGAGCTGTAGACGTACGGTGGTGGAGGAGACTTGTACTCAACCTTTGGGGATGGTGAGTAGTATGGTGGTGGTGGAGAGCTGTAGACGTACGGTGGTGGAGGAGACTTGTACTCAACCTTTGGGGATGGTGAGTAGTATGGTGGTGGTGGAGAGCTGTAGACGTACGGTGGTGGAGGAGACTTGTACTCAACCTTTGGGGATGGTGAGTAGTATGGTGGTGGTGGAGAGCTGTAGACGTACGGTGGTGGAGGAGACTTGTACTCAACCTTTGGGGATGGTGAGTAGTATGGTGGTGGTGGAGAGCTGTAGACGTACGGTGGTGGAGGAGACTTGTACTCAACCTTTGGGGATGGTGAGTAGTATGGTGGTGGTGGAGAGCTGTAGACGTACGGTGGTGGAGGAGACTTGTACTCAACCTTTGGGGATGGTGAGTAGTATGGTGGTGGTGGAGAGCTGTAGACGTACGGTGGTGGAGGAGACTTGTACTCAACCTTTGGGGATGGAGAGTAGGTTGGTGGTGGTGGAGAACTGTAGACATACGGTGGTGGAGGAGACTTGTATTCTACTGGAGAGGGTGAGTAAGTTGGTGGTGGGGAACTGTCGACATATGGTAGTGGGGGAGTCTTGTATTCAACTTTTGGAAGCGGTGAAGAATACAGTGGTGGTGGAGAACTATCTGTGTATGGTTCATAGGCAGCAACCATTGTTGCCATGATGATAACTCCTAGAGCGCAAATGAGATGGGTGGAAGGCCCCATCCTTGAAGAAGATCTCATTGAGATTTTGTTATTCTTTACCAACGCGTTACTACGTTGGTTAGTTTTTCTTTTTTTTTTTGGTTTGTGTTGTAAAGAATTGGCGCATGGGGTTTTATAGCAAAGTGTTTCTCTAAATCCAGCTCTACGATTCTGTTTGCCCTGTCCTTCTGGACTCTGTCAACTAAATCGTGGAAACATGTCTACACGATTCTAGTGTGAGACGTGCAAGAACGTTTTGCGAATGTCAACGAGTCACTTTCCATTTTATATTTGCAAGTTCAATAAGAATGTTAGTGTATCATGGATGCTTCATTTGATTAAAGACCTTGTCTAATTATCTTTTTACGTTTTAAAGGGCCACTTCAAATATATATACCATTTTGAAAAGTGAAATGAAAATTTGATTATTCGGATGATTTCATACATCCCAAATATATTAAACTTAAAAGTATGAAATTGTTTAAATGGATACTTTTCAATGATATTATATGATTGATGCTAATATTTTCCTAAAACGATTACAATATATATTGCACTAGAAATTTGACATGATTTATGCGCTGGTACAAAAATTTATTCTAAGGAATGTAAAGGATAAAAACGAAGTACTACGAAGACTTTTAAGATGATATCAAAATATATGTGTACGTACATCCTTAATAAGTTAAAGTATAGAGAACTGTTTAAATGGTACTTTTTGGGCTAGCTAGCTAAAATGTGGAAATTGTGTAATATTTTCAGTCATTGGCTAAATGAGTTTACACATATTAAATACCACACTTACAAAATTGGATATTTTTACCTCAAAAACAAACTTCAGGATATAAACTAATCAGTTGATAAAAGAAACTAGTATAAAAAAATATTTTATTTATATACTTACTCTAAAAATCAAATCATGAAAAGTTGAAAACCATCCTTCATGCACGATCAAGAATCTTCTGATGTCAAAAAAAATGAAGGAAAGATCAAGAAGCTTCTATGGTTAATGAATGACGATTTACCATTTCGTTCTTAACTCATCTCATCAATTTGTTGGTTAATTTTTGACAGCCAGTTAGTCATAGCTTTGCTGCATTTAATTTGCAAGACTTAATTGTATGTCTGGTAATATATATATGTATGATTGTAACTATGTTTTAGACATTCATTCTTTTATCATTATAAAGGGTAATCTATTGAAAATGTATAAATTGAAAGGTACGTAGACATTCTTACGACTTCGGAACTTGGAAGGATGGTTTATGTGGTGGCTGGATCGTTTCTATCTCAGGAATTTCTCTCAATGTGATGTTAATTTTCTTCTGTAATAATGGTATTTTTTGTTGATAATTTTTATTTTACTTCAACTTTAAGAAACCGCAGAATCCAACTTGCCGGAAAATAAAGTCTAGATGGAATGGAAGACACGACATTCGAATTAAGAGAAACGATAGCCTTAATTAATTAAACTAGGAATAAGCTAGATTTTTTTTTTTGTATGTGATTTATTTTATTAGTAAAATCAAAACGAATCAGAAATATTTCAAAGCCATGTTTGTACTAACATATATGTAAAGCTCGTGACCCTCATGAGTCATGAAGAAACACACCGAAGAAAAGAAACTTGGAGCATCTTTGCGCAATTGCAGAGTCGTCGATCGTGGTTTTGTTCTTGCCTGCATGGTGGTTGAAATCTTGACAGTCGTTTTCTGGAGGAATAATTTATGTAATTAACCATAATGGCGGATAAAAAGAGTAGTTACTTTGATTTACTCTTTTGAGGATACTTACTTTTTTTGTTCATGTAAAGTTCTTATCTCTACGAAAACAAAGTAAATGAGTAAGTATAGGAAAACTGAAACTCTTTAATATATCCCATATACAAAACTCATTTTGGAGAATTACATCTAGACTGCAAACAATCTTTACACACATAAAAGAGAAAACATTCAACCATATAGAAATAACTTAGTCAAATAATGTATCAAAATCCTCAAGAAAATTGAAATTAATAAAGAACAAGAGGCGAAATGAAATCAAATAAGCTCAGTAGAATTGTAAAATTGAAAAGCTCATTTGTTAGAAAAATTTTGTGTTAAAAAATATATTTTATACATGATAACTAAAATGTAATTGGTTATCTTTTCTATGTTACAATCATGTCGTAAGTGTGGTATTTAGCGTGAGTAAAGTATCCATTTTCCACACCCAAAAGATACATTTACAAAAAAATTCTACTCTAATATAATAGGAGATGCATATTTACTTAACCATTTAAAATTTAACTTTAAGAAATCTCGTATATAACAATTTTTATTTTATTTTACATATAGACAACCAAAGACGCCCCTTTAACAAATCGTGTTAGTTATCTAGTACAATTTACCTTGTAAATCATTGATGATTGATAACCAGGTGAGCCAAATATGCAAAATTAAAATATGATATCAAGTGACCCTTTTTTTTTTTTGTAAACCTATATGAAGTGACTCTTTAGAAAGTGAAAATTAAAAGTAAACTAGCTCGTTGACTAAAATGATGCATCCTTGATACATAAAATTCTTCTTAAACTAGCGAATATAATATGTGGCTCGTTGACATTCGCTAAACGTTCTTGCACGTCCAAAACCAGTATCGTGTCGACATGCTTCCACGATTTAGTTGGATGAAGTCCAAAACAACAAGGAAAACGTATAGTCTAGCTGCATTTAGAGAAACACTTTGCTATATAAACTCATGCGCCCATTCTTTTACAACACAAACCAAAACAACAATAACTAACCAACGTAGTAACAAGTTGGTAAGAAAAAGCAAAATCTCAATGAGATCTTCTTCTAGGATGGGGCCTTCAACCCATCTCATTTGCGCTGTAGGAGTTATCATCATGGCAACAATGGTTGCTGCATATGAACCATACACAGATAGCTCTCCACCACCGTTGTATTCTTCCCCGCTTCCTAAGGTTGAATACAAGACACCCCCACTACCATATGTCGACAGTTCCCCACCACCAACTTACTCAACATCTCCTAAAGTAGAATACAAGTCTCCTCCACCACCGTATGTTTACAGTTCTCCACCACCACCAACTTACTCACCGTCTCCAGTAGAATACAAGTCTCCTCCACCACCGTACGTCTACAGTTCTCCACCACCACCATACTACTCTCCTTCCCCTAAGGTAGACTACAAGTCTCCTCCACCACCGTACGTTTACAGTTCTCCACCACCACCATACTACTCCCCTTCCCCTAAGGTAGACTACAAGTCTCCTCCACCACCATACGTCTACAGTTCCCCACCACCACCATACTATTCGCCTTCCCCTAAGGTCGACTACAAGTCTCCTCCACCACCATACGTCTACAGTTCTCCACCACCACCATACTACTCGCCTTCTCCTAAGGTTGACTACAAGTCTCCTCCACCACCGTACGTCTACAGTTCCCCTCCACCACCATACTACTCGCCATCACCTAAGGTCGACTACAAGTCTCCTCCACCACCGTACGTCTACAGTTCCCCACCACCACCATACTACTCACCTTCCCCTAAGGTCGACTACAAGTCTCCTCCACCACCGTACGTCTACAGCTCTCCACCACCACCATACTACTCTCCTTCCCCTAAGGTAGACTACAAGTCCCCTCCACCACCGTACGTCTACAGTTCTCCACCACCACCATACTACTCACCTTCCCCTAAGGTGTACTACAAGTCCCCACCACCACCGTACGTCTACAGTTCTCCACCACCACCATACTACTCACCATCTCCTAAGGTGTACTACAAATCCCCTCCACCACCGTACGTCTACAGTTCCCCACCACCACCATACTACTCGCCTTCCCCTAAGGTCGACTACAAGTCTCCTCCACCACCATACGTCTACAGTTCCCCACCACCACCATACTACTCGCCATCACCTAAGGTTGACTACAAGTCTCCTCCACCACCGTACGTCTACAGCTCTCCACCACCACCAACTTACTCACCGTCTCCAGTAGAATACAAGTCTCCTCCACCATCGTATGTATACAGCTCTCCACCACCACCATACTACTCCCCTTCACCTAAGGTATATTACAAGTCCCCACCACCACCGTACGTTTACAGTTCCCCACCACCACCATACTACTCACCATCACCTAAGGTGTACTACAAGTCCCCACCACCACCTTACGTCTACAGTTCTCCACCACCACCATACTACTCACCTTCCCCTAAGGTGTACTACAAGTCTCCACCACCACCGTACGTCTACAGTTCTCCACCACCACCATACTACTCACCATCCCCTAAGGTGTACTACAAATCCCCACCACCACCGTATGTCTACAGTTCTCCACCCCCACCATACTACTCTCCTTCCCCTAAAGTGTACTATAAGTCTCCACCACCACCATATGTCTACAGCTCTCCACCACCACCATACTACTCCCCTTCCCCTAAGGTATACTACAAATCTCCACCACCACCGTATGTCTACAGTTCTCCACCCCCACCATACTACTCTCCTTCCCCTAAAGTGTACTATAAGTCTCCACCACCACCATATGTCTACAGCTCTCCACCACCACCATACTACTCCCCTTCCCCTAAGGTATACTACAAATCTCCACCACCACCGTATGTCTACAACTCTCCACCACCACCATACTACTCACCTTCACCTAAGGTGTACTACAAGTCTCCACCACCACCATACTACTCACCTTCTCCTAAGGTGTACTACAAATCTCCACCACATCATCATGTATGTGTTTGTCCACCACCTCCTCCATGTTATTCTCCATCCCCTAAGGTTGTGTACAAGTCTCCTCCAACACCATATGTCTACAGTTCTCCACCACCACCATACTACTCACCTTCCCCTAAAGTGTACTACAAATCTCCTCCACCACCATATGTTTACAGTTCCCCTCCCCCGCCACCTTATTATTCTCCTTCACCAAAGGTTGAATACAAATCTCCCCCACCTCCATATGTTTACAAGTCTCCTCCTCCACCATCGTATTCACCTTCTCCAAAAACTGAGTACTAAACTTCTCGGCTGCCTCTGTATTACTGAAACCAAAAATGTAATTCTTAAATAAGCTATCGAATTTTATTCGATTTTATCTTTTCTTTTGTTCATGATTTTTTTTTCGTATATCTAATCAATTTTAATTTTTTTGGGATTTGTGTTAATAATTTGGCTACAAACCCTCATTTGGTTTCATGTTTTTCTTTTATTTGTGTAAAGATTGCTTAATTTTCCTACCTAATTAAATCTGGTATGGATTATAAAAACACTCAAACTGAAAATCAATTACGACGACGATTCCCAAAGGTATCAAGAACTACATTTTACTCCCTCATTATATTCTATCGCATTACATTTATTAATTAAAAGATTTTCATTAATAAAACGGAATTACAAAGGAATCCTAATCTAACCATTACATGCATCCAACCCAAAAAAAAGGAGAAAAAAAACATGAAATAGCTAAGTCATATTAAAAACTAAAAGGATAAAACTTGCTTATGTTTAAAATTTAGGTAAGTCGATTTTATTTATCCCAAATCTCTTGTTCGTCCCTTACTATTAACTTCAGTTTTATCTACCAAAGAAGTGGTGGTCTAGTGGTAAATTGGTAATACAAGGGGATTGAGTGTTTTATGCCTCGGAATCAATCCTGTTTTGGAACGGAGAAATATTTTTTAAATAGGAATGAATTAAATGATGGCTCCGAATATAAGAGAGATTCTGGATCTAAAGTCCGGAACTTCCGCGGTTTAAAAAAAAAAAACACTTCAAAGCTCACAAATATATTGTCATATGATATGGTTAGGTTTTTAAATTCTAAATTTATATACGTCGCAACTGTACTATAATCCCTATACAAGTGTAAATCAATATTTGATAGTTTAATATCTCTACATTTCCGAAGACAAGTTCTATATAAAACCCAATATTAGTGCCGGGTTTATATTATCTTAATTTGATAAGAAAATTATTATTGGACGCTAACCCACGAATTATCCTCACAAGTCGACATACAAAATAGCTAGATGAGCGATCCCTAACTAAACTATTGTCTCTCGTCCCTTCAATAGCATGTCTAGACGGCAGCTTATTATTCTACCATTTCCCCATTTCTTATCATGATTATGTTTCTACGTAACTCTTATATATCTGTTTTGACTGTTACTTGTTGAAGTAAGCTTGAGATAGAAGCTTATGATTAAGAAGTTAACTAGAGTTAGAAGTTAACTTGAGATAAAAGATTAAGGGTTTTTAGGAGTTATCTAAAACCTAAGTAATATCTTGTTAAAGTCGGTTTATGAGCAAGTCGGTTTGTAAAACTAGGGCTTATGTTTGTGTATAAATATGAGATGCCAAGGTGTGGTATTCCATATGTGTGTTAGAGATTGAGAGATTGTGTGAGGCCTTTGTTTTGAGTAAGTTTCAAAGGTAATAAGAAAAGTTGTTCTTATAAACACAAGTCTTGATCAAAAGGGTTTTACTTAGGGTTCTTAAACAATAATTGGTATCAGAGCGTGGTTCTTATTGAGTTGAGAAACCCTAACGTGAAGACAAGATCATAAACAGAGGTCGTGCTCTGTTCGAAGTTGACAATATGGCTGAGATAATCCCTGTAACGGCTCAGGAAAGCGTTTCCTCAACCATAAAGTGTCCGATGCTCACAGCTACAAACTACACCGTCTGGTCTATAAGGATGCAGATTGTTCTTAGTGTGAATAAGGTCTGGGAGACCATCGAGCCTGGATCTGATGATGCAGAAAAGAATATCATGGCTCGTGGACTCTTGTTCCAATCAATACCAGAGAGTCTCACCTTGCAAGTTGGGAAACTCGAGACATCTAAGAAAGTCTGGGATGCAATAAAATCAAGACATGTTGGGGCTGATAGGGTAAAAGAGGCTAGGTTACAAACCTTGATGGCAGAATTTGAGAGAATGAAGATGAAAGAAAGTGAAAAGATTGATGATTTCGCAGGGAGACTTTCTGAACTAGCTACAAAATCTGCAGCTTTAGGAAATAACATCGAAGAAAAGAAACTTGTCAAGAAGTTTTTGAATAGTGTACCACGGAAAAGATACATTCACATCATAGCTGCTCTGGAACAAGTGCTTGACCTCAATGCAACAATGTTTGAAGATATTGTAGGAAGGTTAAAAGCTTATGAAGAGAGAATCTGTGATGAAGAAGAACATAATGATGATCAAAGCAAGCTTATGTATGCAAATCATGATTCACAGTCATACAATGAAAGCTTTAATGCAAGCAGAGGTAGGGGACAAGGAGGAAGGTTCTACGGACGAGGAAGAGGAAGAGGTAGGACAGGAACTCAGAATCAAGGTGGATTCAGAGACAGGTCAAAAGTTGTATGCTACAGATGTGACAAGAATGGTCACTTTGCCTCAAATTGTCCCGAAAGACTGCTTAAATTACAAGAAACACAAGAGAATGAAGAAGAAGAGACTCAGATAGCAGAATTGATGATGCATGAAGTTGTATACCTTAATGAAAGAAATATAAAACCAAGTGATTTCAAGACCAATACGGATAATGATAAAATTTGGTACTTAGACAATGGTGCAAGCAATCATATGACAGGAAATCGAGGTTATTTTGCAAGCATTGACGAAACTATTTCAGGAAAAGTCAGATTCGGAGATGATTCTAAGATTGATATAAAGGGCAAAGGTTCAATACTCTTTGTAACAAAAAATGGAGAACGCAAAATATTAGCTGATGTCTATTATATCCCTGATCTAAGAAGCAACATTATCA